CGCTAACCCCCGCTAACGCCCCGCTAACACCCGCTACCCCCCTACCCCCGCTAACCCCGCTAACCCCGAAAACCCGTAACCCCCCGCTAACCCCCCTAACCCCCTCCGTACCCCCCGGCTAACCCCCCGCCTAAAACCCCCGCTAAACTCCCCGCTAAACCCCCCGCTAACCCCCCTAAACCCCGCTAACCCCCCGCTAAAACCCCCCTGCCTAACCCCCGCTAACCCCCTTATCGGACATCGTCTTACCATAACAGTCCTGTAATAGGAAAAGTATGACGCGTTACAATCCTATGTACCCTCTTCAACCTAAAATGTAATAAAAACCTTTACAACATTGAGTGACGCCACCGGTGACTCTCTGGCCTTCCACCATGTTTGTCAAAGCCTTTACTGTTATCTTCCAATCCCACGGAGCTGCCCCCTGATGATATCCGTGAGTATAGGACGGTTGCGGGTATAAGCTTGCCAGTAACAAAACGACGCGGGCCTTCTTCATCTTCAATCTAAAGGGCGAGGTAGGACAGGTACGGCCCGCCTGTCGCTCCGTCCGACATGATCGCGCTTACCACCTACGGGAAATGTTACCTGCAAGGACCCGGCTACCCTAAAGCTTCATTGCCCAAAAAAGAGACAAAATAATGACAACCAAAGACAAAAAATAAAAAGAAATACACCGTAAGGGAATCGGACCCTTGCCCGCCACTTAATGCAAAGTTTGCATTGATACCATTTCACCAACGGTGTTCGAGCCAAGTCTATTATCGAAACTCAGATGAAAGAAACAGAATAAGCTGCATCCCATCAAAGCACACTAGCCACCAACGGACATTGCACCAAATTGCTTCCGTTAATCTTATCTCGAATTTCTGACCAAGTCCATAACTCATCTCTCAAGCATTTCTCTAGTCGCCTTCATCACTCCCAAAAATCTACGTTCACCCCCAGTACCAGCATATATATACCCTCCCCGCCTATAAACACACCAGCACACCAACAGTCGACCCCAATGCCCAGAGAAAGCGAAGCAAACCTGCCCCCTACCAACGAGGGGTACGGCACCCAAGAATACTGGTCCGTCCCATCCCCTTTCCCCCTATTTATATTCCCACGCTGACTTTCGTATTACAGGGAGAAACGATATGCTGCGTAAGCTCTCCCCCTCTGCCCCTCTCCCCCACTCCCCCAATCGTACACAGCTAATCTTTCCCCTTCTCCTAGCGAAGACGACGGCCGCACATTCGACTGGTTCCTCTCCCCCACCTATCTCATCCCCTTCTTCACCCAACTCACCTCCGACATCCCCTCCGCCGGCAAAGACGGCAAAGATGCCCGGATATTGATGCTGGGCTGTGGAAACTCGGCTCTGGGGGAGGTGCTTTATGATCATGGGTGGAAGAATATTGTGAATATTGATGTGAGTGCTTTGTCCTTTGGGGTGGGGATCGTGCGCGGATTTGAAGGCGGGGGGCGGGGGGGAGGGGGAGGGGCTGATGGGTTGAATGGGATGTGGCTGTGGGGTCCGGGATGAGGCGGTGGTGTGACGGCTGGAGGAGAATGAAGATGGAGAAAGGGGGGATATTTTCGCTCTGGGCGTGCTCAGTCGGTCTAAGAATAGGGCAGATAGGATCCCATTAGAGAGGACCTGCTCCAGAGAGAAGCTGACACCAAGAATAGTACTCCAAAACCGTCATCGACCAGATGCGCGAACGACACTCGGAAGCTCGACCCGAAATGACATGGCTCGAGATGGATATCCTTAATCTGCAATTCGCCGATGACGAGTTTGATCTCGTAGTTGACAAAGGTGCGTACATCTCTACTTATTCGGTGGGGACAAGAGCTGATTTGAGGTAGGTACCATGGAGTGAGTAAAGTCTGGCGGTGTGTTTGGTTCGAGTCGCTTATTTTGGGCGGTAGTGCTATGCTCACGACGAAGGGTGACCCTTGGGTGAGTACTGTCATCAATCTCCTAGTGTTTTGTGCTGACTTTGATCAAGAATCCATCCGAGAAAGACGTCAAGACGTGTACGCAAGAAGTCACCGAGGCTATCAGGTGCGTTTTCCCCCTTCATCATTGGAAGTTGCTGAGCGACTGCAGAGTTCTGCGGAAGAGAGATGGTTCCAAGTTTGCCTAGTAAGTCTAGCCATTATACCCCCTCTGGCTTGCCAAGCTGACACCCATCCCAGCTTCACCTTCGGTCAACCACACTTCCGAAAACGGTTCGTCCAGACGCGCCCTCCTCGGCCGCCCAAGCTGACTTGACTGCAGATACATGCAAGATCGCCCCGGCTTTACCCTCACGCACCGCGAGATCGGCCCACCGGAAGGCTTTGCATACTTTTTCTATACGCTTGCATACACGGGTTAATTAAGGGTCGGGGTGACTGCGATGCATGGAATTCCAGGGACGGTGCCTGACGATCCTCCACTCCAGGGAAGTTTGTTTGTATTTCCCAACGCGTCGAGAGGTGAAACCCAATTCATCTCCACTTGTGCACTCTTCTCATCAGCACGATGCAGGCGCACAGACAGTATGAGGCCCCCCCGCGGCTCAACACTCGGACCTACTCGAGCTCTACTACCTCCACCACCCACTCGGCCCTCCTCCCGCCCCCGTCGCCCCTCGGCCCCCCTGCCAGTATTGGCAGCGCCTCTTCTGCCTCGGGCTTTGGTCTCACAGACGAGATTGACAGGCTGGGCTATCTCTATTCTCTTCGCACAGCGTCAGTATCCCTCCACCAACACTTGCACATCTGACCCGCCGCAGCGTACTCCACCACCACCTCCTCAGCCCCAACCCTGCTACCCCCAAACCCTCCTCAATCCGCTCAAACTCTTCCTCTCGCGATCCTCTGCCATCCACTCCTCTCACCGGCACCTCCCCCAACGGCTCTCGCTTCACATCCTTCTCCTTCCACTCTGTGCCCTCTTACAACACTGCCCCCAAGCTCCCGGATACACCCACCACTCCCACCACTCCGCCCCCGACTCTCCGTCGAAAGAGTTCCGCATGGACGTTGGGCAAAGGGCACAAGACGGAGGGGGAAGGCGTCAAGTTGCCGAAAGAGTTTTTGCTCGAGTTTTGGGGGATCCTCGGCGGGGAAGAAGGTGATCAGGGATGGAAGACGGCTGTGGGGGCGTTCTTGGGCATGATCAAGAAGGGCACCAAGACGCCTAGCGGTTTGAATCTGCGAGAGATCCCGACTATCCTCGAAGGTGAGTTGCTCTACTTCAAGAGACACGCAAGACTGACGCTTCGTACTGTAGCTTTCACCTCCAACATCCCCCCTCCTTCTCCCACCTGCGCACCCCAGCACACGCACCAGTCCCACCTCTTACAGCTCCTCTACAACACCCTCCCTCGCTCTTCCCACTTCTCCCCCATGTCCCGTGCCCAGACCGACAAAGACAAAGAGCTCCTCTCCCGTCTCCGCTCCGAAGTCCAATCGTACATGCTCGCGCCGTCGCCCAACCCTGCTGGAGATGGCGCCTCAAGCAACTTGACGACGCCCGTGGCTACCACGCCAAAGAAGAGCCCTGTCGGTCTTGGGCGTCCTTCCGCCCAGTCCGTTGACGCAGTCAGGAGGAAGCCGAGCCCTATCTGGGATGGGGATGTGAACGAGATGATCAACACTGTCGGTCAAGTTTGGGGAGTGCGACGAGATGTGATGGATAGGGATGTTTTGGATATCAAGTCTCACGGAAAGTCTGTCGAGCTTGTACGTCCTTCATATCCAGTTCTCGAGCTTTGCTAACAAACTTTTAGCTCTACATGAACGACCTCAAACGCGCCCTCACCGCCATCTCCTCCCAGCCCCCTCCTCTCACCTCCTCTCAAAAGAGCCGACAAGCCTATCTCTCCCAAGCATTCACAAACATCTACAACGACTTTCCCTCCCTCAACGCCCCCTCCGGCCCCAGCGAATACGCTTCCCCAGCCCGGGACATTGCCGGCGGCGGCTTCTTCTTCATCCCCAGCCGTACCGTCGAAGTCTTTGGCCGCCTCGCTTCTCGGAGTGCCGAAGCGGGCCACAGCGCCCGTACGCGGGATTTGCTCGAACGTTGTCGAGAAGTGTGGGGCATCAGCTCCCGCCGGGAGAAAGAGAAAGAGCTCGAAGGGCTCGTCGGGCGATGGGGCGACAGTATCGGGACCTCTGACGAGATCCCTCTCTCGAGAACCATCGCCGACGGCCTCAAACTCATCTCTTCCGACCTCAAAGCCGGCGACCCTCTACCATCAGTCATGATCCAATACCTCCACATCCTCCTCTCCCTCACAACCTCCAACCTCCTCACCATATTCCCCTCCTCCCGCCCTCCTCCTCCCCCTCCACCTTCTCTGCTTATCCTATTCAACGCTGCGCCGCGTTTGTTTGCGGCTCAGGAGGATTCGAAAAAGACGTTGAGCGATGCGCAGGATGAGCTTGTGGGAGCTGCTATAGGCGAGTATATCGGGGCGGTGGAAGAGTACATGGGCGGCGTCGGCGGTGGGGAGAATAAGGGATTGGTGGAGGGGTTGGAGAAGGTGGCAAAGTGGATGGAGAAGGAAGTCAGGGGGGTCAAGAAGGCTTGGGGACGAGGACTAGAGTCGTGCGCATCCTTCACACCCGCCTACGCATATCAAACTGACTTACCGCAGGGCGCTCAACCCAGCATCCATCATCCTCTCCCGCCAACTCCCCCTCTTCCTCGCTGAACTCCAAGCCCTCTCCCACCCTTCCCCCTCCGGCCAAGCGTCCGACATCTTCCCCCTCTACGAGACCACCGGCAAGCTGCTCGAGCTCTGGGAAGATCTCGTCGAAGATAAGGAACATGATTTCGAGCTGGATGCGTTCTTTGAGCCGTTCGTGAGGGGGTGGTTGAAAGAGACGGAAGGGTCTGAGGTGGAGGGGTGGGTCGCGAGGAGCGTGGGGATGGATAGCGTACGTCGTCTGTCTCATGATATGCAGCGATAGCTGACCTTTGACTTAGTGGGTACCGGAGGGCGAGAACAAACATAGTCAGTCTGTCATCGACCTATTCGACTTTATCCGTGGCTCGGCGAGTATCATCCTTCACGACCTGCCGTTGAGCGAGTACAAGCGTGCCATCTACCTCATCGACTACTCCAAAGTATACCTCCCCCCCCCCCTTCTCCACTTTTGCCAAAAGCTGACCTCGTTTGCAGACCGTATCATTCGCCGTCACCCAATACGCTTCCACCGTCCTCGCTCTCTTTGTCCACGATATCAACCCCGAACGCTCCCTCTCTCCATCTGCCGAGCCTGCTTATCAAGGGATGTTGGGCGGGAAAGCGAGCTCATGGCTGGCAAAAGGGCAGCAGGCGATGAAGAGTCTGGAAAAGAAGAAGGTCGATGGATTCGTCGTCCCTCCCGCCGTACGTCCTCTTCCCTTCCTCATTTCTGCCGGTGCTCATGTAGATATAGGCGTGCGTAAAGCTCACCGACATGGGAGCTGCCAAAACCTGCCTCGAAGACCTCACATTCGCCCTCGAAGCCGCCGACACTGCCCGAATCATCAAGTCCCACCATCTCGACACCCCCCATGCTGAGCGTAACGTCAACCATGTCTTTACCGTCACTGTCGTTCGCGGCCAGGGTCTTTTGGGGAGGGGGCTGAAGGGCGGGGCGGATGCGTTTGTTGTTGTTTTGGATAAGGGCACGGGGGAGAGGAGGATCAAGACGAAGACGATCTTGGGGGCGGAAGATCCAAAGTGGTAAGTTTGTTGAGGTCTCGAATAGAGTCAGAGCTGATTCTGTATAGGGAACAAGCTTTCGAAATCACCGTCGGCGCTATCAAATTCCTCGAACTACAAGTCTTTGACCGCCAGCTCGTCGGCAAACACGAACCCCTCGGTACCGCCTCATTCAAACTCGACCCCCGCTCCTTCACTTCCACCCCCACCCGCGATGTCGTCCTCCCCCTCTCTCCCCGCGGTACCATCCACATCCGTATCAGCATGGAAGGCGGCGAGAAGAACGACGTGCAGTATCACCTCGATGTTGCTGGACGAGCTTTGGACAGGGCGGAGGGGGATATGAGGAGGGGAATTGTGGATAAGATGGGAGAGTTTATCAAGGCGCAGTTGAGTGTGGGGACGATACAGGCGTTGATGAGGCCTCTCAAGGATAAGAAAAGGGGCAAGGTGCCGCTTAGTGATGATGAGATCGAGACGAGCTTGTTGCCGTTGTATGACTATCTCAACGATACTGTGAGTCCACCATTACCACCCTAGAGCTCTGCTAATTCCAAACAGTTCTCAATCTTCTCCGTCACTCTCACCTTCGACAGCCGCATCCGACTCATGCTCTACATCTGGCACCGCATCATCGAAACCCTCATCTCCCTCCTCGTCCCCCCTCTCTCCGAAAAACCATCCCACGCCCAGCCCCTCACCTCCCCCGAAGTCGACATCGTCTTCAAGTGGCTCCAGATCATCAAAGCCTTCTTCAACGCTTCCGAAAACGGCGTCGAGCACGGCGTCCCGCTCTCTCAACTGCAGGCCGGGCCGTATCGGGATATTGTCATGCTGGGGCAGTATCTGGATTTGCCGACGCCGAGTTTGAAGGAGAGGTGTAGTGCGGCGGTCAGGGCTGCTGGAAAGACTGGGGGAAGCGCTGGGAGGATCGAGGATGGTATGCGTGGTATGGCTCTAGACGAGGGGAAGGAGGGAGAGAGGATGGCCGAGGTGCTTTTGCGTATTGCAAGGACGAGGTGGGTCACTATTTTCATTTGATGGGGCTCTCGCTGATCTTTCCACAGACCCGATACCGCCAATTTCCTTGCTCACGAAATTGGACTTCTTACAAAAGCACGTGTAGAGAAACAGGCGGGGGTGCTTTAGTCCTAGAATCTGCTTTCTTATTCTGATTCTGGGCTTTTGAGGTCTCGAGGGAAACTGTTGTTCTATCTTGGAGATATGTACTCTACTGTACGCTAGAATGCATTTCTGTTACTTTTCAATAATCTATAAGCCCAAAGAGATGACATTCCGTTTCTACAAGATAGATCCGACAACCCGGTCCAACAAGATAGACAACCCATTCAGATTTCGCCTCAATCCTACTCCACGCCTAGTCTAGTACCCTTTCTCCGGATCCACCCTATTAATCACCTTCCCCCCCTCCCTAATCCTCTTGACATTTTCCACCAACAAATCCGCGCCCACATCAAAGTACCCCTCCACATTGCTCGACGTATGCGGCGTAAAAGTGACGAGAGGGTGGGTGAAGAGGGGGTCGTTGTCAGGGAGAGGTTCGGGGTCGGTCACGTCAAGGGCGGCACCGGAGAGAGAGCCGTCGTCGAGAGCGGCGATGAGTTCCTCTATGATGAAACGGTCAGCATGAGATAGATGGAGATAAGAGGGAATGTAGAGAGACACTCACCAGTCTTGACAAGATCACCTCGTCCAACGTTGACAAACACAGCACCCTTCTTCAACTGAGCTAATCCGCACCTATCAGCATATACCCCAAACACAGAATACGACGGATCACTCACAAAAGCTCTCTCTGTTGAGCAGATAATGAGTCTGAGGCGTCGAAGGCAAACTCGCAATAAGGATATCGGTATGGTTCAAGAACGTCTTGAAAGACTCGGGGTCGTTGGTAGAATAGTACGCAGAAGGGATAGATCCTACAGACTCATCAGCAACGTCCTCTAGCCTGAACGCCACCAATACTTGCCATCTTGATCCCCAGTACCCGGGATGATATACCCCTCGTCGTCCCTCTTCTCGCCGTTGGAGTTGGCAGCGATGACGTTGACGTTGAAAGCTTTGAGAAGTCGGGCAGTCTCGCGAGCGATATGACCGTAGCCCTTTCTGATAGTCAGCTTCACCGAAGACTTGATGCAATCAGAGAAAGGGAAGGGAAGGACGTACGAGAAGGCCGGCAGTCTTGCCGTATAGCGTCTTGCCCGACAAAGCGAATGGGAAGGGGAGCTCGGGGACGTCGCGAGAGTACTTCTTGGTTGTCTAAGAGATCGTCAGTGTATGCCCTTCGCAAGAAGGTTGAGAACGTACGCGGAGGTTGAAAGTCTGCAGATAGATGTGCTGATACACTAACCAGTCCAGTATCAGTAAGCGTCCTAGAAAACGGACATCTACATACAGTTGATAGTCTGCGAAAGGATCCATTGAGGGATGCTCAATACATGGATACCTGGTTTAGTGTGAGCATAGCACTAGCGAAAGAGACGAAGAGACTGACCGGAGGCAGACGAAATCGCAATCCTCTTCTGAACGTCCTTGTCGCCCAGTAACGGGCCCTTCAAGGCAAGATTGGCGCCAGCTACCCGAGTATCAGAATACCCCTAGGCAAGATAAAAGTAGAACATACCACTGGTGAGCTGTACAAGTTTAAGCTCGGGGACATCGTCCACCCCAATATAATCGGGTACGCCAAGATGGTTCGAGTACCATACTTCCACTTCCTTCGCAATCTCCTTCGGCACCTTCTCGCCATCTTCGTAGACATGGACATGCTTGAAATGCGTCTTGACCTCTGCGAGCTTGTCGTTGGAGAGATTGACGGTGATGATGAGGTTCTGGAGAGGGCCGTGGGAGGCAGCGATGGCATCGGAGGGGGGGTTTGTCATGGCGAGCTGTTGGGCGAGTGCGAGGGGGGCGAGGAGGGCGGCGAGGGCAGCTTGTAGACGCATGGCACAACTGGGGACAATCGCACGGAATACGCGAGCTATATACACTTGCCGAGAAAAGAGAGATGTCGATTTGATTCGTGCTTGATAACATCACCGATCGTGCCTCTCGGACATCCCCGCGCCTCCACCGACCATCTCTTTGTTTGGTCCAATCTGGTCTCCGCTCTCGCCTTATCGTTTGTTGCGAGCGACTCCCCTCAAACATCTTCCTTTAAGAGAGCCAGACGTAGGAAGCGCAAGATACAACAGAATGTGCATTACCAATATACCTACGACATCAAAGTGTCCTCATCAGCTGCCTCCGCTCCCGCACTCTTCTCCTCTTTCCTTCCCACCTCCTCCTCATCATTCTCCCCTGCTCCTTCCCAAAGCGTCCCCTTCCCTCCTTTCCCGAGATTGGAACCGTCCCCCTCTTCGCCCATGACAATGTCCACCAAATCCTCATTCCCGCCCTTCTCGTCTCCCTTCCCCTCTACCGGTGATGTGTCATCACCAAAGTCGATAAGCTGCTCCTCTTCCTCTTCTTTCCCACCTTCCGACAGGGCGGACGGGGTTGGTGCTGATTCACCGAGGGACAGCCCAAGACTGTCGGTCGAGCTGTTTCCGCTAGAGATATCAACCTGGAGCGTCGAATGCAGTTGAGTAGACGTAGTAGTATCGTTGGCTGCCGATGAAGACGATGGCGAAAGCGGCCGAGGACTCGTCCTAACATACACTAACTGAACCTCAAATCAGCTTTCTGTCCCCCGCCATCAAAGACGTCAGACTTACAGCATAAGGCCCACCCTCCATCCAAATCCCCGTCCGATCGTCCCTAATCGCCTCCCACGAAACCTACATCCCCCATCAGTACCACCCCTCCCACCCTCCGACTTATATAACTCACCTCGGTACACTCATGCTCCTTGATCTTCCACCACCGCCCATCGTCGCCTTTGACGTATACGTAAAGGTGGTCGTTGCCCACCAAAGCGCCGTCGTGGAACAGTATTGCTTTGAGGTCGTACTGCAAGAAGAGATGATCAATAAACAGCAAGAGGAGGGGACTTCACCGCATGACTTACGACATGCTGCAGATACTCGGGATCATCTGTATCGAACGCACCCGCCGAAGCCGCCTTCCTATGCCCTTCCAACTCCACTTCCAGTGATTCTTTCCGCGCCTTGAGAGCTTCGTGCACGGTCGAGACCTATCAATCGGTATAAGCGATGGATCCATGAAGATAGAGAGAAAGGCTTACCTTATCACGCAGTATCTGTTGAGACTGGGCGCGAGAAGACTTTGAAGAAGTGATCGTCGTATCAAGATGCTTCAGCAGTCTACCAAGACTCTCCAGCGTATCATTTCCCTACCACCACATCAGCTCTACCCCCTCTCCGAACTTCACGAGCCCAAACTCACCTCATGCTTCAAAAGCTTCTCCATCTTCTCCTCCCCCCTCCTCAAATCCCCCTCCGCAACACCCTGCAGCCCCCGCCTATTCGCCGCCCAAAGCTTATTCCTCTCCAAAAACCTATCCAGCACAACCTCCTTATCCAGCTTCCACAGTTCCCCCATCTTGGCCTCGGCGGCATAGCCGAGGCCGACAAAGAGGATGTCGGCGGGTTCGATTATGCTCAGACCCACATCTTCGGAAGAAGAAGAAGAGGGGGGCCAGAAGAGGTTGCCGAGTTGGGTGTAGATGTCGTACCCGGCGGGCCCTTTTCGGAGTTGGACGTATGACGCTTGGGATGTTTGGGCGGAGGTGAGGGTGGTTTCAAACGCTCTACTTTCATGTCAGCTTTCATTTCTTACACATTGAGGGAAGGAGAAGGGGAAGGGGAAGGGGCGCACCTTGAGTATTGCCTATACAACTCCTTCTCCTCGCCCGTACTCTCCTCCGTCTTGACTTTGATATGCAAACTGAATTCATCTGCCATCATTTCGTGAAACTCTGCCAAGTCGTCAGGGTAGACACAATATGGGCCTGGAAGAAACGTACCCAGCGCAGAACCAAGTGGCGGTAAGAGCGTAATTGAAGCTCCGTCCGTAGCAGACTTGATGACTCCGTCCGCGTCCGTAAAGCTCTGAGCATCAAGGTCGTTCTTGTCGAAAAGACCAGCCAGTGACTCTATCCCTGTGACAAGGGTCAGCGCGATTGAAGTAGCAAAGCGGGTGAGACTGACTCGGCTCGACTACACTGTCTGATGTCGGAAGGGCAACACGATGATAGATCTCACGCAGTTCTCGGATGGCGCCGTATGCCTGAAGGATATGCGCAAGTGGGGTATATTTGCCTGATTCAGAGTAAAACACCACCGGACTACATCCTCGTCAGTCCTCTCCAGAAGGCTGCTATGGGGTCGACTCACGCTCCTTCCTGTCGCTGCTTGGGAACAGGTTTATCCTTCTCTTGCTGTGCCGAAGCAGAATGGAAGCTAGCAGTCATCAACGAATCCATAATCGCCTTGTCCATCTCGGCGTCTTCCTTTGATCGCCCATGGTCATTCTTCCCCTCCATCAGCATAACCCCCAAGCATAAGAAGAGGAACTCACCTGACCTGACGGTACCAGCGACATATTCCCATTATTCTCCTTAGTGCTCGGCCCAAACAGCGACGTGATATCCGGCCCATCGCCCACCCCACTCGGACTCGGCGGCGGCGGCCCCCCATCCGCCCTCCCCCTCCCTTCTTGCTCCTGCCCCTGTCCCTGCGACAGCGCAATAGCCTTCTTCAGTTCCTCATCCTCATCGTCCACCGATATCGCTTCATGCGCAGACGAGCCTGGCGCAGCTAACGTCGTCGACGTCGTCGGTCGGGCGGGGACGGAAGGGGATGTCCGGAAGGGGTTGTTGGATGCGAATTGGGATCGAGATGGTTTGGGGGATGCGGCGGGGGAGTCGGCGACTTCGACTACTTCTCGGTGTTGGACTGTCGCTCCATCAGCACCTCCTTCCTGTCACTTGAACTCGAGATACGCACTGGAGGTGCCTTCGCTATGCCGGGGATTGAACGACGTGCTATACCCCGGGGTAGGCTCTCTGGCCGCCTCTGGCTTCCACTAGCACCCCCTTAAATCAGTATCTCCTTCCAGCACAAAAGGACAGACTTACATCTGCGCCATCTCCAAAACACCAGTTGACAGCGGCGTCGGCAGTATGAAACCTGGACGCTGCCTCCCTTGCGAGGACAGGCTCGATGCCCATGGCGAGGAGGCTCTCGAGGGTTTCCGATGAGGCCGACATGGCGGATAGACGGCTTCCTGACAAGAAACGAGTGATAGAGAAAGATGAGCGCCGAGTTGGCGCCTGGCAATTCACATCAACACTGCGTCATTAGGTCACGTGACACCGCCCATCTCCTCTTTCATCGTCACTCAACACCACAACTTGGGGGATGTGCGTACAGATCCATGCAATATGTACATTCTATGACTGTTATACAAATCGTTACAGTACCACTATCATCTTTAGCACTAGTAGACCTTTGCAACCCTCGGCGACGTCGCGAGACCCCCATTCGAGCCCGACCGCCTCCCCGGCGCCGCCGTCGGGACACTAAGCAACTTCCTAGACTCCCATGCTCCACAAATATGTCTAACCACCTACAGTCAGCAACACCCCAGACACACGTCGCTAGAGAAAAACTCACCTCTTCCCATTCCCAGCCTTCTCCTCCCCAACCCTACACTCCCTCCCACAAAACGTCATCCCACACCTCCTACACTCCGGAAAGTTCACCCCCTTCATCATACATACCCCGCACTCTACATTCTTCGTCAACGCGCTCCGTCTTTCTGCTTCGGCGAGGGCGGGGTCTATCGGCATGATCGCGTCGTGTTGAGAGGGTTCGAATGGTAATTGTCGGCGGTTGGTATGCGAAGGAGGGACGGAGAGAAGGGAAGGAAGTTGAGGTGAAGACGCTACCGCCCTGATCGTCTTGTTCGGCACGTCAAGCCCCATCCCCTGCTCTACCTCCCCATCAACCTCCCCAGCCGATATCCTCCTCCTCATCGTCCTCTTTCCCTTCCCCATCCCCATCCCCTCCTCTCCGGGCCACTCGACACCATCCCAAACACCAATCTGCACCTGCACCCTTCTGAGCGTCTCCACCGCCCCCTCCGTTTTCACCTCAGACGAAAAAGGGACAGCACTCTGGAGCTCGTTGTCGGGGTCGGGGTCTGCGAGCGCCGCGAGCGAAGCTGTCGATTTTGTCGAGTGCAGTATCCTCGGCGGAGACAATACCGACGCCAACGACGTGATCGACGCTTTCCTCTCCTTCTCCTTCTTCCCATCTCCAGGCGTCCTGCCCCCCCGCCGCGAAGCCACCACCGCCCGCTGAGGCGTAAGTGCCGGGAACGGGAACCCGCCCAGCCCCGCCTCATCCCTCGGCGTCCCCGTAACGATCGTCTTGAGCCTCTTCCCAGCTTGCACGATCAAGTCGTCTGCTACTTCCAGTCCTATCGGAGATGTTGAAGCGATGTGGCGGAAGTGGAATTCGGCTTGGAATGGGGGGCATGTCATGGCGAGCTAAAAGGGCTTATCAGCTTGAGTCACTAGAGGTGGGAGGGGGGTGACGTACGATGTAGTCTGTCAAAACCATAACCGCTTTCCGAACCTGCTCCGGCCCCTTTCCCTTCTCTCTCCTGTCACAAACAAGTCCCAGCTCCCTCACCTTACTACACACCACCCTCCCCAACGCCCACACATTCCGGCCCTTCTCCATCTCTGTCCTCGGCTTGAGCGCGGGGGGGAGTTGTTGGAGCGAGATGGGCGGGAGAGCGACGGGGTCTTGGGATTGAATATGGCCGTGGCGGTAAAGACGGAGTAATGGTCGGAGGAGCTCATACTATTCCAACCCATCAGCTCAATTCTTCATACCACGAAGGAAGGAAGGAAGGAAGGAGAGAAGGCAGGAAAGAAGGAAGGAGACGCACGATGACACTCGGAAGCTCAGCATCGACATCTTCAATCTCATCAAACAACCCTCCCGCCAGTTCACGCGGCGTCTCGATAGAATCGTCCGTTGCAGAGGTATTGGCGCCTGACGAAGCCGCCAGACCTGGCGTACTCGGGGACTCCACCGCCACAGGCATCTGCGTAGGGACCGCCTTGCCCTTGCCCTTACCCTTCTTCGACCCAAAGACGATCGCCTCTTCATCACCCGACCCCTTCCTACCCACCAAAACCTCCCTCGCGGCGTCAACTGCTGGGATACTCTCCCTCGCACAGGCTTGCTCCACCGCCCATCCGAGACCGAGCACAAACCAAGCCGCAGCCACGCCCATCCCCTCCACATCCCGCACGGCGCGCTTGCCTTCTTTGGGTATCTGCCAGCCGGCAGCGATGAGGTCGTGTTTCTTTCTCGCGGCGGAGGGGGATAGTGGCGGGGAGAGTGCGTTCGACGGAGATGGCGAAGGGGAGGGGGAGGGGGGAAAGGCGAAGAACCGGGACCAGAAGGACGTCGCATACGGTTTCTCAGCAGCACGAGTCGAAGCCGCAGGCGAGACAGGCCGCTCCATCGAAAGCGTGGACGTCGCCTCCATGAACGCCGACCCCCTGATCAGCAGATTTCCCAGCGCAAGACACGCCGCCGGCGAAGCATGCGGCGGCAGTGCAGCTTTGGCGTACAGCTTCATAGCGAGGTCTGGCTGGTGCGCTATCAGGGCAGTCTGTTACGAGAGAAAGAGATAAGGCTGTCAGTATCTGGCGGCGATGGAGGGAAGGAGGGGACTCACTTGGGCATCCCACATGAGGGCTTCTTCATCTTCGGCCTCTTCTACGTCTGGGGGCGAGGCATGGCCATCTTCCTCGCTATCTTGTTCCTCGGGGAAGGAAGGAAACTTGGAAAACTTGAAGAACTTGGAGAGGCTCGCGAAGGAGCTGTTCGCGCGGTCAGGATGTGTGAGGGCGGTGTGGGTCGGGGGGGAGGCTGGGTTCTTCGACATCTGTTGCTTGCTCTGCGTCGTGTTGTTGTAAGTGCGGATGAGAAATTTCCAGAAATGCCGCTGGAGATTACCCGTTCTGTGCGGGAACACAAGCGCTCGAGACAATGGCCGGCGGCTCATGATGCACCAATCCTCGGAAGCAATTCCAGGCACGTGCTAGTAGTCACCGTTATATCGAGGGTCGCCCGGCTGCTACCAAGACTCCGCGAGAGCGCCTCCCTTGCATGTGCAGCTCGCTTACTCCCATGCCCCCTACCCCCCTGCCACCATACACTCCCTCATAGACACTTCCTTGGGAAATTCCAGCCAGACAACCGGACTAACGGCCATAGCTTTGGCTTTATCAGCCGTTGCCGCGGCCTTGCATCCCTGAATTCGCCCAATCAACTTCTCATCAAAGTCCATTTGTTTACGATAGCCAACCTCTCGCTAGATCTTTCCAGATAACGGTACACGTACGGTATCGCCAAAGAGATGCATACCCCCAGCCTCGCTTTGATATCTCTTCACCCTCCTTCAACTTCTCTTCACTTTCCATCTCTCAGAAACGATGCACGGCGCCTCTTCCAAAACCCCTCTACCGAAAAAAGAACGCACCTGCGTGTGAGCGCGGAATCTGCAGCTCCCATTGGTTCATTTTGGTCGTGTGCCAGGTACATATTTTCTTTTTTCGCTCAACTAGTCACCGCAGTGCCGGGGAGACAGCAATTATCCGTACAGGGAGAGAAGGGCAAGACAATATGTAGGTTTTGGGGCTGAGTTACATGGGCAGGGCTATGTATCAGGGATGTGCATAGGGCGGAAAGGCAGCCACCCCGCGTCCAGGTTGTTGAATGAGACGAGCGTGTATCGCACGTGTTCTACCTTGCTCTGATCCCCCCAGGTGTCTCTTAGTCATGATGCAAGCCTTCTTTGGGCATACCTCAGCGATGCTGAACTTGCAGTCCGCGTCGGGAAGGAGTCGGAGGACGGATCATCCTCTCTCCTTTCGGAACAATCACAACCAAGCTCTCGGTCGGCGAGAACAACAATAGCCGTTCGGACATCACATCTTTAGGCTTTCGGGTCTATACCAACAAGCGGAGTTCAAATGTGGTCGTGTGAGCAGACTGAGAGTCGCATTTTACTCATTGTTGCCATCGTGGAGCGATGAGTCCGTTGAGGTGAATTTGACTTACTCCACTCACGCCTGTCTACTCATTCCGTCGATTCTTCTCTTCGCAAGTACTGTCATCCATCTCAGTATCTAACTCACAGTACGCACCTCCTCCCTACGTCGAGCGCAGTGCTTGTGGAACGATGAGAAACTTCTGCGCGTCACTGAAATGAGCAATCATGTCAACTATCATTTGACTGCGTTACGCGCGATTGTATCACTAGAAAAATAGTTCTCAAAGGAGAGCATGGATGGAGACAGAGAACAAGTTTTCCCACGCTCTTTAGTCTACTGCTCTGATCTACAAGCATCCGCTTATACGCTGTACATTCGCCCGCCGTCGTCGTGGCTGTTGACGCACGTGTCTGCTTACGTAATGATCATTCGGCATCTGCGGTTTGCCGAGGTTCTCTGTTGCATCTCTGGATTGTTGGGTTCACTCTTCTCCCCCCCCTCCTCATGTCCCTCTTCCCCCCCTCCCCCGCTCCCGACTTCCTCCGCCCCTCCCTCTTCGACCTCCTCGCCCAAGACCAGCTCACAGACCTCTTCCACCCCGTCCTCCGCTATATCCTCTCTTACCTCGCCCAGCAGTATCCACGTTATTTCTTGAGGTTGGTGAACCATCATGAGGAGACATATGGCTTCCTCCTGTTGCTGATCCAGAGATATCATCTGAAGAAACACAGTACGTTTTCCAAGCATATTTGAAAGCATATCTGACATCCGACATCGTAGACGCATCCATATCCGAACATTTCTACGGCCTCCGCCTCGCCCCCCACTCCTCCCCCTCCTCCTCCCACCTCCCACGATTATCATCCATCTCCCGGCCCCGCTCCCAGGGTCTGAGCAGGAGACAGAGATGGTCGATGCTGCTCTTCCTCGTGGGCCTGCCCTACGCGCGGGCGAGGGCGCAGGATTACTATGAACGCTTGGCAAACGTTGGCGAGGACGCTTCCAGAGATGAGGGGGGAGGAGGCGATTCACGTAGGCTCACCACCGTACGCCCCTCATGCATATCGCTAGGCAAGTCGCTCATGAACCACCAGACACAACTCGCATTCAAACGTATATACCCCTACGCCAACACCGCCCTCGACGCTTCATCCCTCCTCAACGACATGCTCTACCTCTTTGAAAGAACGGAGTACTACCGTCCGTGGCATCGGTGGCTTAATCTCAGAGTACTACGCGCTACGCCGGAAGATCAAGTACGTCCTCCCCTCTCCTCTCCTTCATCCGGGACTTAGAAGCTAACCATAAGTCTAGATCCAAGACTCGTCCATCTCCTCCTACCTCCCCCCTCTCCTCCCACCGCTTCTACTACTGCTAAAGCTATCACAATGGTGGTACTCGCCCTCCTCTCCTCGCGCAAGTTCGGTACTCGGCACAGAGAAAAATACGACCGCCGAAACGCACGCTGCTATCCTCCCTCCTCGGCCTCTACCCATCTTGCCCTCCTCCTCCATTGTTTCTATCCCTTCTTCCTCTCAGTCGGCACCTCTGCCTTCCGACCATAGCCCTCCCGATAATGATGGAAGCGAGAATGGAGAGAAAGAAGAGGTAGAGGGAAAACAATTCAAAGTGGAAAAGGAAGACTACGGCAAATGCCCGCTCTGTCGGAAAAAATGGCAGAACCCCGCAGTCTTGCCGAGTGGATGGGTAGTTTGTTGGAGGTGTGGATGGGAAGCTGTAGAGGGTGACGACGACGACACCGACAACGACGAAGAAGAAGAAGAAGAAGGCGCTGGCGGGCATGAAGTGGCTGATGGTCCGAAGGAGGGGGAAGAGCAAGGAAAGAGTCGGAAAGCGCGGAGAGGGCGGTGTCCTATCACAGGCGTGACGGTGGGTCCGGGGCAGTTGAGAAGGGTGTTGGTGTAGACACAGAGTAGCGAGAAGCAGAAGGAAATGAGAAGGATGTTCAGGGGCGATGTGGGTTTTGCGGTGTTGTAAGATTTACTGTATGTATCGGTATCTCACTTATAGTCGGATCGTTTTCGGCATCTTTCTGTCACGCTTGGGTAGTTGCCCTTGGCGTGCTGAAAAGAGTTTTGTTATAAGGGGCAAAAACCTTTTTCGTTATTGTCGCATACAAAGAAGAGCTACGAAAGAAGACTCTGATATCTATATATACGGAGAGCACCCTCAATGAACGAATTACGCAGATGACTCCTATAACCATGACACTTTCAGCTTAGAACCCATCGACACATGCCTTCTCTCTTCACTTTCTCCACCTATTCTGCTGCTCAATCCAGCTATCAGTCTATACGTAACCATTGTACCGCAGCTTGATCATGTTGATATGGGCACAATGACATGGCGTGATCCCACTCAAGAGTACTCGTATGGCGCCACTAGTAACCCATATCGCCCGCCCATTCAGGAGGAGCAAGCACGAGCCTATGGAACGATCTCAAACTCTCTTCAATTTCATTCTCCGTCGGCCTCTGTGACTCTCTATTGACCTCCCAATATGTATCCTGCACTGCTTCCTTGATATTGTCATAATACTCCTCGCTGTCTTCACCCTTCATGACTCTATCATCCGCTTCGTTCATCCACGCCTCCTCTTCACATTCATCAAACTTCCGGTCAATGTCAAAGTTCAGACTGCCTTCAATACCGTCGACTGAGCCGGGAATCTGTATCAGCCAACCCGAGTCAAAGTCGACGGCTCGGAATCGAGTATCCATCCGGCCCGAGCGTTCGATGGGATACCACCCGTCTTTATCCATCGGACCGATCTCGTCTTGTTCAGAGTCTGCGTCTGCCTCGTACTCTTGACCATCTGACATTGGCTGATCATCGTCGACGGTATCATTTTCTATGGAGGGCAAAGGCACATCGGCGCCATCGTCAGATTTGAGCGACATGACTGTTGACGACTGATCGTATTGATCTGGTTGGTGGGGATATGTGGTTTGGGACTGATCTTCGGTCATAACTTAGATTATGTATACTTTCTTTCGATACCTATTTGTCGACGTCCCTCCCTTGTTGTGCTACATCGTCAAGCATTGTTGTCAAAAGAAGATGCCTGAACGTCGCGTATGAGGTTCATTTTGGATCAAGCATCCCGAATTAGTTAGTACAGTCGTATAAAGTGCTGCAATGTGATAGTCTGACATGACAGGTAATCAAGCCTTGTCTTTCGAATGCCAGAATGGCAACAAAGGGAAAAGTCGGGCTGTCGCTCTTTCTGTTGAGCTCCGTTCCATAGTCCGCCCGTCCCTTGATCGCAGTATAACTGACAACAGAGACTCTCCAAGATCATCGTGTAGCAATTCGCGCTTCGTCTTTGCTGCAGAGCAAGGTCGAGCTCATGAGACACTTGCAAGCTGACCTTCAACTTGTCAATCAACAAGCGGGAGCAAAATGCCATGTGGCCCGCGCGTGGTCATGACGCAAGCGATAAGATACGAACACGCTAACTGCGCATCGCCTCAACATCGCCTTCTTTTGTTGATCTCTTTCTTATTCGCATTTTTACTACTTATTCTTATTCTTGATCTGACCTTTCAACTACATAACACGGCACCATGGGTCTCTTCTTCGCCAACGACGCCGTCGACCTCCAGCCCGTCTCGCCCCCTCTCGGCGTCCACCTCCACCACACCGCCCAGAAACCCACCACCCTCGTCCTCAAGGAGAGCGTTTTCTCATGGACCGGTGTACGTCCCTTCATCTACCTCCCGGCGAACTCAAGCTGACCTTGGCTCTAGGACGACTTTAGCGTCAAAGACACTGAGGGCCACACCGTCGTCAAGTGCTCTGGCAAGGCTATCTCCTTCCGTGACCGAAAGGGTACGTCTCCCACCTCTTCCTCGCCTGCTCATCAGCTCACAATACCTTCACAGAGATCTCCGACGCCAACGGCAAGTTCATGTTTGCCATCCGCAACAAGCTCATCGCTATCCACAAAACTTTTGTCGGCGAAGACAAGGAGGGAAATGACCTTTTCAAGATCAGCAAGAAATGGGGTGGTACGTCTTTCCCCATCTCTCCTCTTTTCTTCGCACATACTGATTTAATGGAATAGTCGGTTCTCACATGGTCGCCACCTTCAAGAATGCTTCCAACGGCCAAGACACCACCCTCGTCCTCCGCGGTGACTTTTGGGGCGGTTCGGCCGACATCAAGGTCGACAACGGACCCGTCGTTGCGCAGATTACGAGAAAGATCTTCAATGCCCGAGAATACTTTGGTGACAAGCAGACTGTGAACATCCTTTTCTTCAGAAGGGATTAAGAAGGGAGGCTGATGAGGTTTATAGTACATGGTTACTGTTGCGCCCGGTGTCGACCTCGCGCTCATAGCTGCCGTCTGCATCTGTTTCGACGAGGCCAAGAATGAGAACGAGGACAAGGACTAAATAGGATAACAGAGGTTCAATGACAAGTTTGTAGATGTATAATGCAAGACACGGCCATACACGATACCAGAAACGCAAGGAATGATGAGTCTTCAATACAGTCCACTGTTTCTCTATGTGTCCTCTCGCTATGAATGCCGTGTTATAAGTGGTTCTAACATCATCAGTCAGGTGTCTTACATCAGAACTGTACTTTCGCTCGGTCCCGAACAAAGAGCTCGGGCTTGTCGGTTGTCGATCAGAGGTTACTAAGTTTAGAACCTTGCAGATCATCGTAGATGTGGTATCAGGCAGCCCCGCCATGATAGGGAAGCTCTCATTGTAAAAAGGAGAAGAAGGCGAAAGGCTATATGTAGATGCAAGGTTCTTTCTCGAGCGTTGCTTCCTTTCTGACCCATCAACAACGACTGACGGCGTGGGGAAAGAAGCAGATCCAAACGTTCCTCATCGTCGAATGCCTCCTCAATATATATACGACAGCACATAGATCTGCAACGCTAATCTGAGATATATACAGTATCTCAAACGTTGGATCATCATCACACCATGGACTACCGACCCTACACCCGCGACGACAGCCGCCCAGCGACAGACGTCAACAACACCCGCACCTCCTGGATCAACGGCGTCCCCTACGTTACTCCCCCCGGTGAACCCCAGCTCATAATCGGAAACACCATCAGCACAGGCTCTGTCGGAGATTGGAATAGCCATTTTGGTTCTGCTAGGCCTGCACGAGAAGGTGCTGGGGAACGTACGCAGGATAGTAGGGTCGCGCAGAGGAGTGGGCAGAGTGGGCAGCAGCAGGATGATAATGGTGGCAGCATGACGGTGTGGGACGCTACTTCCCATCCACATCCTTCAGCTTCAAGGCCTCGCCAGCACAAAGTTCCACACGAGCACCATGATGGTATCACCTTCGAGCATGAGAGCGCTCAGTCTGACGACAATCCTCGCGAGAATATTCATCCCGACGATGCTCATGCTACATCAACTAGAGAGGCTCACCTAAAAGCCGTCTCCATCGCTTGCCGCAACGCCGACGAAGCCAACAGCCGCGTCTTTGAGATCGCCACAAGTATGTCTGACTATGCAAGTGATATGCACCCCGAGGGTGCGCGGCGATACCAGGCTCTGCTTGATAGTCTGGATCAGCTTGAGGAGTGTCTTATTAAAGAGAGAAAGGCGTGGAACAAAGCTGAAGATTGGTCGGATGATGAATCGGAACAAAACAGCGCAGCTGGCGATGAGCTTTCGGCTTGGGAGGAAGTGGGCGCAGAGGATGTTTGAGGAATTGTTATCTACACAAGATCTTGGGACCATTATCATGGAGTGGAACCTGAGACGCGTCGTACGGTACGAGTAATCAAGATGTAAACACCAGGCAGAGCAGATCATGACATGTATATCACTGCCTGGTCATTGAGATGTACATGTGCCCTCCTCTCCCCTCGATGTTTCAACGAGGCCAAGACTTTCTATACAGTCTTCATTCGAAAAAGCAGGAAGCTTTTCTTTGTGCTCAAACGTCAGCATTTCAAGTCCGCATTTCAAGTCCGCATTTCAAGTCCGCATTCAAGTCGGTATATCGAGACTGTCTCTTTTCTTCGACTTCGTGGCAGCTCTGGTGCAGGAAGTATACAGTGAAAGTGAAAATAGACAGAAGCTATTCTCACATTGCAAGATCCACCTCGGGCATTCTCTGACTTGCCGTATATAATTAACGGCTCCCACCCTCTCACTCTCATAACTTTCACACTCGAACCATTTCCATCCAGTCACAACAACACACATCAAAACACCATGTCCTCCACACCCCCCTCACGCAACAACACCCAACGCTCCAGAGGAGGAAGATCATCCAATAACGACTGGCTCTCCGGCCTCAACCTCGCCCCCAACTACATCAACGGCGTCGCCTTCGACCCCATCGACAACATTGGCCCCGGAGGTAATGGAGACCTGATAACTGGTAACTTCTTTAGCGGACAAGTGACGATTGGGGATACCGATGATGGAAACCCTCGTGCCAATATGAGCGCGATTCGGGCCCGTACGCCGCAAACGCGAGAGACGCAGAGTAGTGAAGGGGCGCCTTATTACCGAGGGGGTGTCATAACGACCCTGCAGATAGGGGACAATTTCACTGCGGTCCCCGAGCAACAAGCGCACGTTCACCAACCTGCCGAATACACAGCTCCCGAGTCCCCTTCAGACAGTTACTCAAGCCGCTCCTCTGGCTCGCGCGATAGATCATCTAGACAGTCTCGCCAAGAAACCATCTCCACCGCTAATCGCAACACCGATGAAGCCTTCCGCCATGTCTTGGAAATCGCCGCAAGTGTCTCTCCCGTTGCAAGATGTATGCACGCCGAGGGTGCGAGGCGATACGAGACTCTACTCGAGAGTCTGGATCAGCTCAAAGAGTACCACGATGAAGAGAGAGAGGCGTGGACCAAACTCGAATATTTGTCGGATGATGGATCGGGAGAAAACAGCGTTGCTGACGATGGTGAGCTTTCGGCATGGGAGGAAGTGGACGCAGAAGATGAATGAGGGATTGCTATATATGCACGATGTGTAGACCATTATCATGAGGCGGAGGACAGAATGCGATATGCATCGTAAGGTGATTGAAGTGTAGGTACCAGGCAGATAATGGCATGTACATCACTGTCTAGCATATTGAGCTGTACATGAGCCATCCCCTCCCCTCGATATGTCAACAAGGCCCACACGTTCTATCAGTAGTATTCATTCAGACGAGGAGAACGCAGAAAGCCTTTATTTTCTCAAACAACCACAAGTCAACATTCCAAGTCAGCAACTCTAAAAAGCGACCCATCAAGAGTACCTCCTTTCCTCAACGTCGTTCGAGCAGAAAGCAGAAAGCTATCTGCTCAAACACTCCAATTTTAAAAGAACGGTACAGCGGGCCCACCTCCTTTCTTCAACAACGCTTCAACTCTGGAAATAGATGGCAGAAGAAGTAGAAGTAGGCGGGGTTATAAACCAAGAACCATCCGGAATAGCACCTCCCTCGCCGGATATAAAAACAGCTTATCCCTCCATCTCCATCCCCATCCACACCCAGCAACACTGATCAAAACACCATGGAATTCCCCCTCAACCCATCACGCAGCAACGACACTGTAAGGGACCTAAATACCAAGCAAGATCAATCAACCGAATGAGTAGCAAAAGCCACTGCATTACAATTCCAACCCTGGAATCATAATGCATATGCTGGTATTTGGACTTGTTAACTCACGCCCCGGGACCTGACCACCCAACCCTTTACAGACACCCAACGCTGCACCTCCTCCGGAGACGAAGGAGCCAACGACAAATGCCTCGCCCAACTCCTCCTTTCCCTCAGCACCAACAACGATGCAAATACAAATACAAACACAAACAGCATCCCCTTCGACCCCGTCAACGACACCGGCCCAGGAGAGAATGGTGGGAATCCGACGGCTGGGAAGATCTACGGGGAACATGCCGATTGAGGGGATTATTCAGTGCATATGCCGGTTCGAGCACGAATCGTGCCCTTCAGATACAGCGGACGCAAAAGACGGAGAGTGACTTCGACATTGACGGAGGGGGAAGCTCGACCCCGCGTCTCGGGGACGATTTTACTTCAGTGCCCGAGCAAAGGCACTGAAAGCCGTCGCCACCGCCGCAACGCCGATTCGGCCTTCAGCAACACCTATTATGAAATAGCCAGAAGCATCTCTGGCTATACAGATTCGGCGAGCCCGAGGCCGTTCGGCGATACAGCTCTCTACTGGAGAAGATGGAGAAGCTTGAAGAGTGTCATGCTGAAGAGAGCGAGGCGTGGTTCGAGCTTGAAGATGGGTCGGATGATGAAACGAAACAAGATAGCGTTGCCGGCGCTGAACTTTCGGCATGGGAGGAATTGGGCGGAGAGGACGCTCGATAGATAGTCTAATACTTGTGTTTCACCTGATGTCTTCCCGCCCGATCGATAAGGGCCAGTATCTAATCTCTTTCCACAAGAAACCACTCTCGTGATATTACTCTCGTGATATTCTCTGGGACCAAACAAAGCGCCGATGACGCGCGATGGTGGTGACTCAGGCACAGGGGTTGTGTCATGGATTCAGGGAGATGACGAGAAAGCTGGAATTAGCGCGGGGTAGGGATTTGAATCCGTTGTTCTGTTGCGTATCTGTGCGCTAGCCTCTGCCTCTCTGCATACCTGTACCTGTACGCTTGTATCTTATGCTCGTAGAAGATGGCCAAACACAGCTGTGGTGCGAGCAGCGCTGGACTGCCACGAAACGCGACAGGGGGATAATCGGATTTCATCGGGGTCGGTAAATTGCCCGAGTGTCCGAGGCTCTGCCGATGGCGGCGAGAGCCGCGCATCGGCACTTTGCGGGGTAATGATGGAAGATGCCGATTGCCGGCGGCAGTGGCCAACCAGCTTGCGTGATGGAAGAATTCGAGGCACTGAAGCGAGATGTTTCGGCTCGCTTGTCTCTCCATCTGGGCTCCCCCACACCTCCCGCCCTGCCCCCCGTAGCCCCTTTCGTAATAGCCCCAAGCCCCCCCTGGCCCCAACACCCACATAACGTCAACCAGAAACATTTTCATTCCACATCAACATCTCACTCATCCAACAACAATGGTCGCGGCTGTATCTACAGAAGGCAGTGGTCTCTCCAGCTGGGGCGACTGGTTCAAGAAGGACTATCGACGTCCTATCGCCATCTGTGCTCTCATCAGTATCTGTCCCATCGCCTATGGTTACGATGGTACTTATTTCACCTCTCTGCTCGAGACCCCCGTCTTTGGTATGTCCTTTAAAATTATACCAGAGACGCGCTAAAACAGTCGCGTAGTCCAGCAATTCGGTCAACTGAATAGCGCCGGTGAATACGAGCTCTCGAGTGGCAACCAATCCCTCTGGGTCTCCATCATCCAAGTCGGAGAGATCGTTGGCTCCCTTGCCGCCGGTCCTATCGGGTGAGTCGCACCTCTCTTCCTCCTCCGACGCGTCTAACACCTGTCTGCAGTGACTACGCTGGCCGTAAAGGTGGTATCGCCAGCGCCATCACCCTCCTCGCCATCGGCGTCATCCTTCAAATGATCCTCGTCGGCTCTTCCGCCCTCCTCACCGTCGGCCGTCTCATCGCCGGTGCAGGTATCGGAATCATCTCCAACGCCGCCCCCTTGTTCTTGTCCGAAATCCCGCCCATGGAGATCCGTGGTGCCTGTGTATCTAGTTGGCAGTTGATGTTGGCTATCGGTCAGGTTATCGGTGCCGCCGTCGGTCTTGGTACGCATACTTTGGGATCTACCGCGTAAGTTTCTTCTTTTATCATCTTATGCCCACGGCTCACACTCCTGCAGCTCGTGGCGTATCCCCGTAGCCCTCAACCTCCTCTGGGTCGTCCTCCTCGCCGGTGTCCTCCTCATCGTGCCCGAATCCCCTCGATGGTTGCTCTACCACGGCAAAGAAGCCAAGGCCGAGAAGGCGCTCATGACGATCCACGGCGGGTCGGATTACAAGGAAATTCTCGTCTCCGAGCAGATGGCGATTCTCACCAAGAGTCGAGAGGAGGAAGCCGAGGCTGCTAGCAGTGAATCGAAATGGTCTGATTTGTGGAGTGAGTCTTCTTCTTTTTCTTCTCCTTCTTCTCCTTCTCGCCCAGTACTAACGCAATGTGACAGAGAACCCCGTCGAACGCCGTAAATTCTTCGCAACCGTCGGTATCCTCGTCTCCCAACAAATCTCCGGTGTTCAGTTCATCTTCTCCTACACCACCACCTTCTTCGCCCTCGTCGGTATCGAAGACACCTTCATCATCACCATCATTGTCGACTGTATCGAAGTTTTGGGTGTTATCGCGAGTTTCTTTGTCGTGGAGCGATTTGGCCGACGACCTTTGTTGATTTACACGTACGTCCCCCCTCCTCACTATCTTGTCAAAAGCTGATGAGGGCGCAGTGGTATCTTCATGTTCATCACCCTCATCATCGTCGGCTGTATGGGCGCCGTAGCAGGCCAGGGCGACAAGTTCGAACCCTACCTCGCCGCTCACCCCGCCCTCGGAAAAGCCGTCGCCGCCATGATCTGTCTCTACGGTACGTTGCCCTCTCCCCATCCCCCTGTGCATACATACAAGAAGACTCACGTTGTATCCCAGTCTTCGCATTCAACCTCTCCTGGGGCCCCCTCGCCTGGGTCGTAGCCGCCGAAATGTCCACCGGCCGTAATCGTCAAAAACACCTCTCCATCGGTACCGCCCTCTTCTGGTTCTCCGCCTGGGTCGTCACCTTTACCCTCCCCTACTTGTTCCAGCCTGAAGACGCCGGGTTGGGACCTATGATCGGTTTCATTTACGCCGTGGGAGGGTTCTTGAGTGTGGCTTTTGTCTTCTTTTATATTCCGGAGACGAAGGGCAGGACTTTGGAGGAGATCAAGTAAGCCCCCTTTCCTCTTCCCTGACCTCAAAAACTAAAGCTGACGTGCAACAGCTTTATGATGGAAGCCCGTATCCCCACCCGTCAATGGAAAGACTTTGACCTCGCCACCGTCGTCGCCAAAGACGAGAAGAAGGGTCTCCGCGGCCAAGTCGAGCACGTCGAGACTGCCGCCGGCGGTAAACCCGTGGCGGACGAGATTGAGGCTGTTGGTGGACAGAGGCCGGGAAATCAGAGGTTCAAGAGTTTGTGGAGGGGTGATAGTAATTAGAGCGCGTAGAGTGGTTAGACTGCGAGGGCGGGAGGGTGGGAGAGAGGAGAGGGAAGGAATGGTGTTTTTATGTCGACACGGTTTTGTTGATTCATTAATTCTTCTATTATCTTGTTTTTGTGTATAGAATCTTGTGAGAGGGTTTGCGCAAATGTATCCGCTTCTTGAACCTTTGTGCGCATTGACCAACCTCCAAGGAATCGCCCCAAGGTGCAACTTTCAGGCTGCAACCACAAAGCCATCGTACACGGAATCCCACCCCTTTAGTCGATCGCCATCATTCAACATACTGCCAATATGACTTGCCGTCATCAAATACATAGTACAACATGATTCTCTATCCTTATACTCGTACTCATATCTAGACCAACCACCTCTCCCAAAAGCCTTCCGTCCCATTATGCCCCGGCTCCACATCCCTCAACCCCAACAATTTCGTACACAACGAAAAGATCTCGAGGTTCTTGAAACCTGTTCATCACAAAAAACAAGTCAGCCTACCGGTCCCTTGTCCTTGTATTTCCCTCGCCCCGTCGCTCGTCGAGAAAGAGACAGAGGAAAGAAAAAAAAAAAACGTACTCTGCAGAGCCGGCACCCCCGGTTCCCCACTTTCCACAAGCCCCACCCCCGATTTCCTCAACGCCCTCGCCAGAGGACCGCGGGTGAAGAAGATGGCTTGCATATCCGGAAAGATATTATCTACATCTCCACATCAGCTTTGACAGAATGAATAGGAGAAGGAGAAAGGCGACTTGCCATAACCATGATTACCATACGGTTTGTAATCTCTTTTGTGTATCACCTCAAATTCATGCTACACCCACCCAAGTCAGCACACATCCCCTTCCCATCCTCTTCCCCACCCCACTCCACCCCCCAGCCCCAGCCAAGCAAGGGAAAGAAAAGAAAAGAAGGACTCACATGATCCGTAACCCCCCACCCCAAAGTCGGTACGACCCAAACCCCAGCAATCCTCCCCGACTTGCTGAAATGCCATCTCTCCGGCATACTTTCACGCGTATACACGCCAAAGGTCCCGTTCGACTGGGTGGCGGCGTTTTGGAGGGTTGTGATATGGGCCGATAGGGTGGATGGGGAGAGGGAGGGGTTGAATCGGATGCCTACTGAGGGCCAGCCTTTTGGAGTGTTAGCTGAAGAGGAAGAAGAAGAAGAGAAAGAAGGGAGAGAAGGGAAGAGAAGGAAAGAGAAGGAGCGTACCGTCTTTGTGTTCTATATCCTTCATGCCTTCGCCCAAAATGTCATCCAAGAAAATAAGCCTATCATTACTCGTCCTCGTCATGCCTTCCCCACCCATCAGCCTCCAAATCCTAACCAACTCCCAACCCAAAAAGAACTCACCATGATCAGAAACGATAACAACATCCACAACCCCCGTCAAATTCCTCCCTTCCAGCCCCCGCACCAAGTCCCCAACCATTCCATCTAACAACCCCAGTGCATCTGCCACTTCCTCGGAATCCGGTCCATGGGCGTGGCCCGCCTGGTCGATCTCGGGGAAATAGGAGGCAATGAATTCTGGGCGGTGGGAGAGGGGAAGGTCGAGCCATTGAAGGATTTGATCGACTTTTGGAGAGGGGGCGAGGTTCTGGTTGTTGAGAATTAGTGAGAATTAGGGGAATGAGGAAAGGTTGAGGGACTTGCGCGGTATGGTACAAAGTAGCTTGCTGACACGCCTTCAGACGTCACAGGCGGTCCCGGCCTATCAACCCCCATTAGCACCCCCTCTCCCTCTCCCACAAAGCAGAAAGAAGGAAAGAAAGACCCACCACATGCTAACAGCCGCCTTCCTCCCCATCTTCTCCACAACACTCCAAACCGGCTCCCCCTTCCACCACTCCCCATCCCAACTCTTACTCTCATCCGTATACACAAACTGCCCTCCCTTGCCCCCTTTGAAGTCTGGATCCCAAAAATCATTCGCTATAATCCCGTGTTCCTCTGGGTAGAGCCCCGTCATGAGCGCCCAGTGGTTTGGGAATGTGAGAGAGGGGAAGACGGGCTGCATGCTCTCTGCTCTCAACCCCGCGGGGTGGGATGCGAGCGCGTGGAGGTTGGGTAGCAAGTCGGCGTGGGAGGAGAAATAGGGGGGGCGAAAGCCGTCGAGGGAGATGAGCAGTGTGGTGGGGTGGTATGCGTGCGTACCGTTGGAGAGGGTGGGATGACGAGGGCTGGACGAGATGCTGCGACTGAAGATGAGGTTGAGGATGATCAGGGTGGGCAGCAGGCTGAGCAAGTAGAAGAGGGGTTTTGGTAGCTACGATACAGTCAGCGAGAGCACTGTTCCCAGTGAAAGGGCTTACTGAAAAGCCTCGTATTGTGATTCTGCCATTCCGTCGATGTGGCCCTAACGAGTGCTCCAAGACCCAAGTCTGCCTCTCCTCTCTCTCATCAGTCTCAGACCGCAGCAGGCTATCTTGCTCTTCGGCGTCACTTTCCTCTCCTTCAAGATGCCGCACAGCCATCACAAGCTCCTCGCCGTCGTCGCTTGATGAAGACGAACGAGTATCGAGCGTTTCGGCCGGCGGTGGCGGTGCTCTCAACTTGCTTTTGGAAGACATAGCGACGTTTTCAAGGTGATGGTATACAACCAGCCCTGCTTTGCGTTTATATGCGTTACGGATTCATAGCAGAAATCAGTCTCGACTTGTTGCGTGGTCGGATGAAAGAGGACAACCGCGCATTAGCGGGAACAAATATTCCTAATGCCTCCATTACAACTCCGCGGGTGGAGGCCGAACGCGCTCCATCTCCTCTTTCATTTCCATCCCCTCTTGCATCTCTCCATATCCCACCATGGGCCTCTCCACCCGCTCCCTCCTCCTTCTCACCCTCCTCGCCATCGCCCTCCCCCTCGTCTACGCCTCCTCCGGCGACCGCAACCCCACCTTCCAGCACTGTCTCCGCGGCTGCTCCCTCACCTACTGCGACCCCTCCCAGCCCCCGATCCCCTTCTACCTCAGGCTGTTCGGCTGGACATGCGCCGAGAACTGCGCGTATGAGTGTTCTCATAACTTCACCGACCATATCCGCCCGGGAAGCAGATACCACCAATGCAAGTTTCAACGCGTCGAACGCGTCCGAGATACTTACGTGAGCTGTAGTTTACGGCAAATGGGCGTTCTACAGACTGGGGCCGTTCCAAGAGCCAGTGTCGATATTGATGTCTGTCGGAAACCTTTACGTCAACTTGCAAGGTATATCCGAGGTTCGTAGGCGTATACGGCCAGAGAACAAGTTGCGACCATGGCTTCTCGCAGCTGGGTATGTCCAGGTGAACACCTGGGTATGGAGTGCCGTCTTCCACGGACGAGGTGCGTCTCCTCCCCTCTCCTCCTTCCCATCTAACACTCTTCTAGACACCCCCACAACCGAGCGCCTCGACTACTTTTCCGCCACCCTCACCATCGCCTTCACCCTCCTCTACGCCCTCCTCCGCATATTCCACCTCCAAACACCCCTCCTCACCACCCGCTTCCTCCTCCCCACCTGCGCAACCATCGCCTTCCTCGTCCTCGGCCACTTCACCTACCTCCTCTCCTTCCCCCTCGGCTCTTTCCCATACGGCTACCACACTCTATTCAACCTCGTGCTGGCCCTGGTGCACAACACACTCTGGGTCCTCTGGTCATTCTCCTTCAAATTCCCATACCCCTCCTTCTCATTCTCCGGCTACACCCTCGCCTGGCCAAGGTCTTACCCCCCACACGACGCATACCCCAATCCCTCCCCCTCCCAAGCCGGCACCCCCGCCCTCCTCGTCGCCCTCACAACCCTCGCAATGTCCCTCGAACTCTGGGACTTCTCCCCCCTCTGGCGCCTCATCGACGCGCACTCCCTCTGGCACTTTGCCACCATCCCCCTAACTATGGGTTGGTGGTCTTTCCTCGTGCAGGACGCTATCGAGCTCGAAGGCGCGCTCATGGGTCAGAGGGGCATGGGCGTGGGGGAGAAGCAGGAGGAGAAGGAGAAGAGGCTGAGGGAGGGGGAAGTGCCAAGGACGCCGACGTTTAGGGAGTTGGCTAGTGGGAGTGCGAGGTTGGCGAGTCCGAGTCCTAGTCCTGGGGCGAGGGCGAGGGCGAGTCCGAAGGCGGAGAGGAATGAGTGAGCAAGGGATTTGAGCGGGCTGTGGTATGGGATGACGAGCGGTGTACGAGTATAGTATATAAGGGTAGTGCGGTAGTGTAGAAGGTCGTGGCATCAAAAACAGATACAGAGCCCAACAGCTCCCTCCATCATCCATAACAATCCAATGTATCATCAATCATCCAACTTTCAACTCCACTCTCAAGCCTCACTTGTGCGCGACGCCACAGTCATGCTCCAAGGCTCCTAGATGCGTATGGGATGGGATGAAAGAATATCATAAGGCGAAACCCCAGACCTATGTTCCCACCACATACGAAATTTGTAAAAATAAAAAAGTAGGAAACGAAAATGCGGAAAATTCGACATGGGAAAGCGTGTCAAGAGGATGACAGGATTGATTAATGGATATGGAAAGAAGGGGAAAAAGTAATAGGGGTTTTTTCTATTGTTTTACGGGACCTCCACATGCAAGAACACCATTCTCCCCAAACTCGACTTCCGACTTCCGTACAGGGCCTCCATCTATGCTTTCGCCAGACATGAATACACCAACACTCTCCCTCTTCCACCGACATGACACCCTTCCCTCGAAACTCCCCAGCACTCCTCATCGTCTCCTCCCCAAACTCCAAACTCCACACTACGGCCGATCATCCACTTCTGTGACTACCACCGTCCCCCGCTTGTTCTGTACCACAACCTACTTCTGCGCTCAGTATCAGCTTTCTATTACCTACCTAAAGATGAAGAGATAACGTACCTTGGACTTGGAAGAACCGACAACTTCAGCAGCGACGGCAGTAGCCTTGTCCTTGGCCTGCTTGGCTTTAGCGGCACTACAGTTCATCTCATCAGCTTTTCTTCTTCCTCAGGCCATTGGTGGGGGACGTACGCCTTCTTGTAGGTGGCCTTGTAGAAACTAGGTATCATCAGTATACGTCCAAATCACAGTGCAGGGGAAAAGAAGGGAAAGGCAAGGGAAGGGAAAGAGGAGGACTCACGCAATGAACAAGAACAAGTAAGAGCTCAAAAGACCACATCCAAAGAGCGCAGCACCCTCGGATCCGGCACAATCACCGACAGTAGGCAGAGAAGTCTTGGCAGCCATGTGGGAGTAGGCTACAATCCAGCGTTAGTACCATTTCTCATGCACAACCATGGTTCCGAGCGGGGGAGGGAGGAGTAAGAGGCGCGGAACGAGCAAAGGTGCTCGAACCGCCAAAGCCAGAGCGCGGTAATGTCGATGTCGCCTCCCTGCCTCCACGGGCGAGGCATGAGATCGGGGACGGGGGGAAGGGGAGGAGAGACGGGGCAGGTAATGGTAGACAAAAAGAAATAAAAAGTACTTGAAGGCGATATGGGGAAATAGAGGTTGGGGTATTGGTTGTGCGTGTAACGATGAGAGAAGAGGTACGTGCTTGCGAAGAATACGATGAACAGGTCGATGACGAATTGACTGATCTGGAGGGAGGTGAGGTACTTCTTCCACTGTTACCAAGAGTGTGAGCGGAGGCCAGGAGTGGGATGACAGGGAGGGGAGAACAAACCCAGATTTTGGCACCGCCAGCGGTAGCGTAGTAGTAGTAGTCTGCGATAAAAGTCAGACGCGTCAGCAGATGGAAGAGAAAAGACGTACACATGATGACATGGACGAGCAAGTTGAGAGTGATAACAACCCATTGGACAGAAGTCTCGCCTTCGAGCTGAGTGTAGCAAAGGATAGCGGTAGCAGCGTGGTGGAAGACGTGGAGGAACGCTACCTCAAGTATCAGCACCCCATCACTAGCAGATCGCGATCACAACACTCACCGAGAGGCTTCTTCTTGAGGACAAGGAAAACGGTGTCAATGAGCTCGACATACTTGAAGTAGTAGTTGACCATGTAGAAGGTGACCAATCGCTGAAAAAAAGCGTTGCCGCAAAGTCAGTACCGCGTATTGCAATATGCGGAACATGTCCCGCCAGCAAAAAGTCGGCACTTACAGGGGTGAAAGCCTGGCCGTTGCAGATAGCAAAGAAGAAACCATGCCTGAGATACATGGGGATACTATAGGCCCATGTCAGCACTTTTGTCGCGTCTTATACCCTAAGCGAGACACCCCAAGGGCGACGTACATCTCTTCAAGCATCAAAGCCAAAAGAAGACCAGAACCAAGGGTGAGGTAAACGTTGTGGATCTGGAAGGGGATTTGGAGCTTGAAGGCGGGTCGGTTCCTGCAGCAGAAAAGTGTCAGCGTATATCCAGCACCATGTTTTCACGACAGACGCGTCGATGTTGATGGGGGGCGGCTCCGGCTTTTTTTGGCCAGGGTCAAAAAAAACCTACTTCATGATCTCCCTACCACCAAAGATGATGAGGAGGTAGGTGCCGATGGCGGCGACAACGGCCTTCTGGGTACTGAGGGGGGACTCTCCGGGGACCCAAGTGGTGAGCCAGTGGGGCGGGTTGGGGAGGTTGAGGGCGGCCCAGGAGGTGGTGAGGGCGGTGTAGAGGGGGCCGGGGCCGGGGGTCCAAGCATCGAAGGGGAACATGGTGGGAGCCGTGCAAAAGAATGTAAAAGGCGGGGGCAGCGGGAGAAGAGGGAGGGGACGAAGAAGAGAAAAGAAAAAAAAAACAGAGATGAAAATGGCGGAGGCTGGCTTGCGTGGTCCGTGCGCGTGGCTTTTTCTAATCGTTCAGAATTTGTTTCTAATGGCGGCATACCCCGTCATTAGCGCCATTGGGAGAGTTGGTAATGAACGCGTTGACGGGGATTTGGTCAAAGCCCGTGTTTTAATTTGTGTTTGCGATCAGGTCCTCGGCACCACTTCATCCGCAGGCCCTGATGCCTGGATCACTGAATGCGATGGCAGAGAAATCTTGCAGATATGTGGAAAGATATAGACAGCTGGGATACGATAGTGTAGAGCGAAGTTCAACGCAAGATATACATGGACAGCTATATACAAGTACGAAACCAGCACTCAAACATCCTCGCATCACGACAAAAAACCTAAACCAAAACAAGTCAGCATTCAACTCGTCAAAACAGTCATCAACATCATTGCGAGAGAATCTGGTATCAGATTGTCCGTTTAGAGCATCGGCCTCAACCTTTGGCGTCAATGTCCGCAGACAATGACAAAGGAGGAGACCCTGGTACAAGAGGTGCCATAGGGGTAATAAACCACTCTTCATTTAAACCAAGAGGGGAGAGAAAGCATGGATAGAGTACTCACAATAATGAAGGAGAAGGCTTTGACAGGTTCAATGCTTGAAGAAGAGATGCAAGATACAAAACTTTGAGCTGGTTTGGATTTTGTACTTGTACAGTTTCGACGGGACCAAAAAGTGGGAGCAGGTGGAGGTGGAGGCAGATCGCCATTCTTTCTCTTTCAAGTGATTGTTTTGAATATCTCGTAAACAATCCCTCAATCACCATGCTTTCCCGCCACCTCCTCCGCCTTACGCCTCCCCCATCATCTTCATCGCGTTACCTTCACTCTTCCTCATCCCTCTTCATCGGCGGCGCACGCTCTGTGCTGAACGCTCCCGGAAACGACAGACCATGGGACCGGAGAGGCTCGCAGAAGGCCTCTCGGCATAATGAGAAGAGCCCCAGCAAAGACTTTTCAGGTGGTTTCAAGGATAGAAACCTGAAAGGCGTCCAGCCAGCCACTTCCTCCCGCCGTCTTTCCAATTTCGACAAACAAGATCCGGAGGCCAGACCTCGAGAGAACTGGCGCAAGCACGATGTGGGATACCCTTCCCACAAATTCCGACTCGAGACTCCCGTCATGCCTCCCAACTCCAAGCCCCAGTCTTATAACCGTGACGACGATATCCCCGAAAAATACATCGGCGAGCTGCCAGCGTACCCCACCCCTCCAAGACTATCCACCGCCGAACAAGCTGCTCCCGCGCCTTTCCGCGACTTTGCTCTCGAGGAGGGCCTCATCCAAAGCCTCGAAGAGCTCTACGGTCCTGAAGGCAAGACATCCCCCATCGAAACCATCAGTTTCAAACACTTCACCAAGCCTTCCCTCTCCTCCGCCCCTCCCGGCTCGCAGCGAGTCATCCTCGGCGCCGAAACCGGTAGCGGCAAAACCATGTCCTACCTCATCCCTCTCTTCCACCACCTTAAATCTACCGACACCGGTCCTTCCAACGATCCGTCGCTGGACGAAGCGCTCTTGCCCCGCGCTCTCGTGCTTTCACCAACCCACGAGCTCACGCGCCAGTCAACGCAGTTTGCAAAGCTGCTATCGCACCATACGAAACTCTCCGTGTCTGGTCTCTCGTCCACTACTTCCGGCAGGCTCGATCGTCGGGGTGTTGTGGATGTATTGCTGGGTACGCTGGGGAGTGTGAGGCGGGGCTTTGGGATGAGGCAGCAGACGAAGGAGCAGAAGGAGAGGGAAGATGTTATTCGCGGAAAGACTATTTGGCCGGACGATGAGGTTCGGGAAGGGTTGTTGAAAAGTGAAAAGGTGGAATGGGTAGTAATCGACGAGGCAGACGTTTTGCTCGGTAAGTCACTCCCTCAACATCACGTTCAGCGCTGACGTCTTTCAAGGCGGCGACTTTTACGAAGACACCATCGCCCTCCTCGAACGTATCCCCCACGCCAACCTCATCCTCTGCACCGCCACCCTTCCTCCCTTCCTCCTCAACCTCCTCTCCACCCACCCCTTCTTCCACCCCTCCCCCGCCCCCGCCCCCTTCGTCCACCTCCTCTCCCCAGGGCTGCACAAGCTCCCCGAAAAGCTGCTCACCCGCTTCGTCCGTCCCTCCCAAACCGGCAACAAACACGGCGACGTCGCGCACCAAGTCCGGCTCACCCTCGCCGAAGATGCCAAAGCTGCCAAAGCCTCTGGCATCAAGTGGAAGGAGGGGGAAGGGAGCAAGATTGTGGTGTTTTGTAATACGGACAAGATGGTGGAGCAGGTGAGCTCGGTGTTGGGGACGAAGAAGATTGATTGTTTGGCGTGGACGGGCGCTGGGGGGGAGAGGTTGAGGGGGAGGAATGGGTCGTTGGATGATTTCTTGTTGAGACCTTCGTTGCCTGGCCGTCCTTCTTCCGCCCAGTCTTTGGCACTTGCCTCCGACGCTTCCGACCCGCAACCCGGCCTTGAGGATTCATCCTCCCCTACTTTGTCTCTCGAGGACGAAACTCTCAAAAGCCCTACTTTGTCTCTCGAGGACGAAACTCCCAAAGACCCTACTTCGTCTCTCGAGGACGAAACTGTCAAAGACCCTACGTCTCTCCCCACCCCCGAACACCACGACCCCCTCCCCTCCTCCCGCCCTGACAGAAACCCCATGAAACCCCAGCCCAAACGCCGCGTGCTCGTCACCACCTCCCTCCTTTCACGTGGGCTCGATTTCCACCCATCCGTCTCTTCCGTCTTTCTCGTCCAACCCCCTCGCGACGTACTCGATTTCGTCCACCGCGCCGGCCGTGCCGGTCGTGCTGGTCGTCCCGGGAGGGTGGTCGTCTTTGGGATCACCGGCGACCACATCCTCGACAAGACGCGCCGAGGCCCGTCATACAGCGCAGGCAAGCGCGATTCGAAAGAAAACAAGTCCAAAGGTGGGGTGTTGAGTACGAAGATCAAAGATCTGTTGAGGGAGAGCGAGACGATGAGTGCGCTGGGAAAGGCGAGCGATAGGGAACGTCGGGCGCCGGATGATGGACCGTCATATCGGGGAGAGCGGGGCGAGAGATATAATGGGTCGGAGTCGCGGAGGTCTTTCGGGGGAAGGGATGGAGAGAGAAGATCGGGTGGGTTTGGGAAGAGGGGAGAGGAGAGAGGATCAGGTGGATTCGGATTTGGGGAAAAGCGTGGTAGTGGAGGTTCCTTTGGCGAGAGGGGGAGCAGTAGAGGGTCCGGCAGCTTTGGCCGGAGAGATGACAGCAGAGGCTCGAGCGGTGGGAAGAAGGAGTTTGGAAAGAGGTATTAGACACATTGTACAAGTACTTGTATAATCACATCAAAATGAAACACCACCACTTGCATCATTCCTTATCATCTTTGCTGCTCAAAACAGGGCCCTCATCCCCATATATCGGATCTTTCTCGAACCATTTCAACCCTCGTATCGTATCCCAAGCCTCACCCCTTTCCTCCTCTTGGCCCGTACACATATCCCAGCTCTCAGCTTCTTTCGGGTAACTACCCACCATCTCAAACTTTCCCTCATCTTCCATCAACGCATGGCTCACGCCAGCAGGTACAATCATCACATCACCTCTTCTCACTCTCACTTCTACCCTCCCCTCATTAGCCTTCTCCGGCGGACCTCCAAAGCACAACCTCGCTCCGCCGTTCGTGACCACCAGCACCTCATGCGTCGTCGAATGATAATGATGTTGTCTGTACATTGTATACCTCCATCTTGGCTCTACCACGCCTACTTTTCGCAGATGCTTTTCGACAGATGTGGCGGTAGCAGAAGCGGGGGAGAAGGCGGAGTGGTAGATGATAAGCGGATGGCCGAGGAGGGAGGTGTTTGGGAAGGTTGCAAAGGCGGGGATTTGGTGGGATGAGGTGCGGAGCGAGAATAGTTGGGTTATGGCGGATGAGAACATGGTGGTATTGCTTTGAAAAGCTTTGAAGTTTTAGTAGATACAGACGAGATCTCGAGATGAGAAAACAGTGACATCACAGATATATTTGGTTCCGCCCCGACGGGCTGGAGCTAACGCAGATGCAATGGAGGGCTGGCGTGAGCACGAAAGGTTCCTCTCTAGCTGACTCTATACTACGTCAAGATGTGGGCACTACACGAGCTCGCCGAGAAAGCCAAAAGCCGTCACATCACTCCGCCAGATGGTCCTTCATCCTCAGCGTCAGTACCAGCGAAACGTCCGCGATCGCCCAATCTCGATAAGCAGCCCACCTCCCCCTTAGCCAAGGATGGACGGAAGAAGCCCAAGCAAACTACCCGAGAGAACGAGGATGAAGGTACAAAGCACCAGAGCAAATCGCCAGATAGGTATGCGTCGGACGATGATCAGGGAGTGCCGCCTTGGGGATTCTCGCACGAGATAGTAGACAAATTTCCAGCTTTGACGAAACGCAACTTTTGGTGTATACAAAGACACTCTGCTACAGGTAGGTCTATCCTTGCTCAATCGATTCACCATGGTTCAAACAGTGGGGCTGACATACTGTAGCTCTACATTACGATCTTCGATTACAGCTCGACGGGAAGACGGTATCGTGGGCCGTGCCAAAAGGGCTTCTAGGTCAATCTGGTTCTATACTGCAGTGTGTGGAGTATGTACAGCGCTGACCATTACTTAGGCATGTCAAAGAGCGGCGAGTCCAGAAGAATGGCAGTGGAGACGACATTACATTCCATCGAGTACACAATCCACGAAGGTGCGTCGTTCGCGTACAGGTTATATTTGCATGAAGCTTATGTATGATCACATACCATCCTAGCGTCTAGTGATAGAAGTAAGAGCCATTTTCCGTCTCTGATGGCGCCCTACTGACCACCAATCATAGCTTTTGGTCAAGGCCGGCGAGGGGGCACTCGTAAGCATCGTTCTTTTCACAGCTTGCATCACATATCTGACCAGTCAATAGAGCTCTGGGATATTGGAGAGTACACTATCGACTATCTTCCTTCTACCTCGGATGATGGGTACGAAACAGAAAAGGAAAGAGAAGCTGAAATATGGGGCGTGGAAGAAGCGCGATCGCGCAAGAAGGACAACCTCATTCGGCAGCCGTTCGTATTCCTTGTGCCGTCTTGTTGGAATATACGGAAGCTGATTAGATTGGTTGCAGAGATGGTAGAGATCAAGAAGATCTCTTTCGGAAAGCGTTATATCGCCCAATCACTCAAGGCAAAACTCGAAGCATCCACTTTACGTTGGAGAACGGTCGAAAGGTACGTCGACTATCTACGTTGCATGATTGACAGCTCGTTCTGATGGGTTTTCTTGTCTCAGATGGTGAATAACTGTGCGCATTGGGTATCTAAACTCCTCATATTTGTCTCACTGACACACATGACAGCTTATATACTCGTCCTCAGCAGCAAAACCTACGGCAAGACTGTGATCTCCAGCGACGGCAAAGAGAAAAAGACGTGGTTCATCAGTCTTCCGCGTGGGGTAAACGAGTATCCATGGGATCGGGGCGGTCAGGACGGTGATTTCTATGGGCGGAGTGTGAAAAGTGAGTGATATATGCCCTCTTAAGGGTGAGAGGGCGAGGGGGAGAAGGCTGATGAGTGTTTGATAGGTGGTCTGACGTTCGAGCAAGTATGCGAGGGACGTGTCGAAACCTAGAGCTGTTACTCGTACTAGCAAGGTGTGACGAAGATGCATTAAAGCAATGTCAACTACAGCAGCTGCATCACGCCTTGCTTCCTCCCCACACCCCTCCTCCTCTCCCCATTGATGGTCCGCCCATAGATCTAAATTGCTGTGGCCCTGCCGTACTTCCAGTAAAGCCCGTACTGTTGAAGCTAGGTTTCAAGTACTGAGACTGCGTTTGCGACTGAGGCTGGAACTGAGAAAAACCAGATTGAGAACCACCGAAAGAGCTGAATGGCGTTTGGGGTCTCGTTTGCGCCGGTTGCGGTTGCTGAGCAGCAGGGCGACGACGGAAGAACGATCCGAAGCGAGATGTAAAAGGTTTTTCGGATGCTTCATCTGTATAATGACGACCCGCCCCTCCTTGGGTGTAGGATGGCGTTGAGCTAGCAAAGTCATTGAACGACGGATGAGATTGTTGAGTGGTTTGAGGACGACTGAAACCGCCGAAAGACGACGTCGAAGGAGGCTGGGCGTACCTGCCTGGTGGCTCATCATATCCTCCATTCTCCGACGGCCCAGACTCTTCACCCTGAGACGCCTCCCTAGCAAACTTTGAAGCCAACTGATGTACCAAAGTCTCCACAATGCTCGGATTCTTCCGAGCCGTATCTTGCATCCGAGGGTTGCTTTGCATCATTTGATCTATGAGGGTAGCAGCACGGCCCATGTAGGTCCAAGCTTTTGATTGCGTATGCTGAGGCTTGCTTTGGGGAGGCGGGGTTCCGGAAGAAGCACTAGGTTGGAAGCCGCTGTTATATTGTGACTGTTGTTGCGACTGGCTCCCAAATGACGGCTGTGATCCGAATGACGGCTGCGACCCGAATGACGGCTGTGATCCGAACGACGGTTTCGACCCGAAAGACGGTTTCGATTGCGGCTCAAAGTACGGCTCTTCAGGCTGTGCGAACCTGCCACCCGGTAAAGCCGAGTTGAAGTTCTGCTGTGCCGCTTGAGGCCTTGAGAAAGGAGGATCAAAGTTTTGCTGAGAACCTTGAGGCCCCGTCGGCTGTGTCCTACCGAACTGACTATCCGGGAAACCAAAAGAAGACTGTTGAGAATGCCCAAGGGTCGTCTGTTGCTGACGCGAGCCCGTCTGACTCTCAATCTGACTCACCCAATTTCTCAATATCTCGGGGTTTCGAGAAGCAGCAGCCTGGAGCTGAGGGTCACTTCGTAAAACTTCTCGCAGAGCACTGATAGTTTCTTGAGAGACGTTGCCTGGTGAAGGCGCGCTACGGCCCGGGGGTGGCGTTTCTGGAGAAGGCGGTCGGAAGCGATTGAACGGGGACTGCTGTTGTGTCTGTGGTTGTGCGAACGATACCCCAGGCCGTCCGAAAGACGCTTGAGGACGACTACCAAACGAAGTCTGTCCCTGCCCGAACCTACTTGCCCCATTGCTACTAGGAAAAGATTGACCAGGCGGCTGACGTTGCGGTGCAAACCGACCTCCCATCCCCGGGGGAAACCCAGCCGCATACTCATCCTCTTCAGTACTCTCGTCATCCTCCTGCTGCCCCTCCAGCGACTCTGCAATATCATCATACAGCCGCTTCATCATCTCTGGGTCCATCTGCGCTCTGCGGTGTAGTAGAGGATTTTGGCTGAACAAGGTGGCTAGGTGAGAAGCGACGATGGAAGGGTGGACGGATGATGGAGATGTGCCCGTGCGGGATGACATGTATTGATCGAATGGCGACTCTTCTCTCTGACCTATCAGTCTATTAGTTATCTGAAGTTTGACGAAAGACGAAACATACCAGACCGATCACTCCTAAAAGCAGCCTTCTTCTCCTTCTTCCAAATCTCCTCCGCCTCCTCAAACTCCAAATCACCCCTCTCCGTATCAACCAGATAATCTCCATACGCCCTCCCCCTCTGCGCCGCCTTATACCGCTCCAGATGAATCTTATGCAGCCCTTCAAACGTCGCCGTTCGCCCCTTATCCATCTCACTCCTCAAGCCATTCAAACTCCCCATGACATCTGCGAGACCTTGTTTCATACCCTGCACCGCAGGGTTACTGGGGTCGTATGTCGACATGCTTCTCAGCGTATCATTCAGCGCCGAAGCGGCCTCGCCCCACGCTTCATCCTGCCGACGATACGTCTCCCTCACCGAAGACAGATTCCGCCCGATATTGGCGGTCCATCGTTCGATCTCATCATCCACATCTTCAATATGCGACTCGAGCCACTGCTCCCACATGCCCTTCATCGTCTCAGGTTCATCCCACATCTTCATAGGTCTCTCAAATCCAATCTTCTGCTCCCACACCAACCCCCCTTGCCCTGTCCCTGTCCCTTGCCCGGCACCACCCTGCCCGGGCACGCGGGGTACATTAACAACCCTCACATTACTCGGCTGCCCCCCCTTTGTACTCGGCAGCGTCACCCCCACACTCGACCCGTACACCCCGCTCAGAGCAGGGTTGGAGTAGTTTTCAGGGCGGGAGGAGAGGTTCTTGAGGTGCGTGTAGGCGCGGTAGAGGGCGCTTGGTTCGGGCTCTGGTGGGGGCGGGGAAGGTTCTCTCTCGGGCGGTGGGGTTGGAGGCGGGGTGGGCTGGGTCGGGATGGAGCGTGTTTGGGGGGCTGTGGGAGGGTTCGACCTCGGACTTTGGAGGTTTGCTGACGAACCGTCCAATGTCGAAGTCCTCGAAGGCTTCGAAGCAGGCATTGAAGAAGCAGTCGAACTCCCAGCCGGCTCTTCATACGGTATATTCGTATTATAAACCGTATTCCTCAAATCAAGATCATCCAGCCCATGCTTCGTGCTCATCGGTCCCCTGCCTTTCGGTTTCCAGCCCGGCTGCTGCGCCCAGGAAGGCGGGATGGGCCTCGAATACCTCGGAGCTTCGTCGACAGAGTCGCCGGGGCGGACATATTGATATTGCAGGGGAGGGGTTTGGGAGGAGGAGGGAGTTGTGGGGCGGAGGGAGGGGCGGGGGGCTTGCATGGCCGGTGAGGGCTCCGGCTTTTGGGTAAATGGGGGAAGGGTATTGGGTGAGTTGTGGTCGGACGGGTGAGGAGAGGGGGTGAGTGAGAAGAGGTTAGAGGACAGGGTTGATGGAGATGAGTCGGTCGGGTTTCATAGAGCGCCGTTCATGCTGATGTCAACTCAAAGGAAACGGTGCATATTTCTACCTGGGGATGAAAGGACGCGAGCTGTAGGGGCCTCGAATAGAGTGTCCATTGCGGATGGTTGGGAGCGGCATGAGAAAGTCACAAAGCGACGGATAAGTCGCAGTACCCAGAAGAGAAAGCTGCATTGACGAGGCGTTGGGATGTCAGCAACGTGTGGAGCAGATGGAGTCATGGAGATGTCGGATGGCAGGACTATATCGGACGTGATGGTCTAGCATCCATATCGTATCCGCTATTCTTACCGAGGCGGTCGGCCGTGTCGCGAGCCAACCAGATGTAAGCCGCCCCGAAAGCCGTCATGCAAGAGACGCCAAAGTAGCAAGTGAGGCTGCATGCTGTATACGTCGACAGCGATATCGCCCTGCCCGTCCATCCGTCTCCGGCAGCGCGCGCAGGATGGACGCTCGCTTGCCATGGCTGAAAAGCTTTTGAGCGAGAGAAGCCGAGGATGGCGGAGCAGGAAGAAGTCGGCATTCGTGCGGGGAGGCGCATAGGCACGCTGTGGAGTGCGGGGTAGTGCGGTAGCGGCAGAAGGCGCGTGGCCAGGGATGGGATTAGCTGGGGAAAATGCCGAGTCGCCCTTGATATCCACGCGCCATTTGCATCTCCATCTCTCTTCCTCCTCTCTTCTTCAAAACAAAACACACACACAAACAACAATGTCCGTCGTCACCAAGGTCCACGCCCGCCAGGTATGTCCATCCGCCCCCCTTGCTCCTCGTCCTCCATGTCCACCCACGCTCTCCCCTCCGAGCTTCCACTGACTTCCATTGTCTCTCTAGATCTTCGACTCTCGAGATAAGTCTATTCAACTGCCCAGGTGCCTTCAATATACCCTGCCTAGCGACATCCCTCGCGAAGAGAGGTATAGAGAAGCCCTGGACCCTCCCACGAACGTGTTCCCACGCTAACATCAACCCTGCCTTTCGCTTTGACCTTTGTCCTCTCCCCATCCATCCAACGCTCGCTATACCCCTGGATTGACGACAACACGTAACCCTACCGTCGAGGTTGACATCACCACCGCCAAGGGTCTCTTCCGTGCTGAGGTCCCCTCTGGTGCCTCCACCGGTGCCCACGAGGCCCACGAGTTGAGGGACGGTGGTAAGGACTACGTCGGCAAGGGTGAGTACAGCTCTCACATCCACCATTCCTCTCTGACCTGCTTTTAGGTGTCACCAAGGCCGTCAAGAACGTCAACGAGATCATCGCCCCCGCTCTTATCGAGTCCAAGCTCCCCGTCACCTCCCAGAAGGAGATTGATGACCTCCTCATCAAGCTCGACGGTACCCCCAACAAGTCCAAGCTCGGTGCCAACGCTATCCTCGGTGTCTCTATGGCCGTCTCTGAGGCCGGTGCCGCTGACAAGGTGCGTTTCTCTTACTTTTGTCTTGGCGCGAAGAGCTAATCTGTTGTCAGGCCGTCCCTCTCTACGAGTACCTCGCCGAGCTCGCCGGTGTCAAGCCCCCTTACGTCCTCCCCGTCCCCGCTTTCAACGTCATCAACGGTGGTTCCCACGCCGGTAACGCTCTCGCCTTCCAGGAGTTCATGCTCCTCCCCACCGGCGCTTCTTCCTTCTCTGAGGCCTTGAAGATGGGTTCCGAGACTTACCACACCTTGAAGAAGGTCATCACCAAGAAGTACGGTATTGACGCCGCCAACGTCGGTGACGAGGGTGGTTTCGCCCCCAACGTCTCTGGTGCCGAGGAGTCTCTTGACCTCCTTACCGAGGCCATCAAGCAGGCCGGTTACACTGGCAAGGTCCAGATCGGTCTCGACGTTGCCTCTTCCGAGTTCTACAAGGACGGCAAGTACGACCTCGACTTCAAGGTGCGCCCTCTATATCCTGTTTTGAGCTCGACTGACGTATCTGCAGAACCCCAACTCTGACGCCTCCAAGTACCTTTCCGGTGAAGAGCTCGCCAACCTCTACCACTCTTACGTCGAGAAGTACGACATCTGCTCCATCGAGGACCCCTTCCACGAGGACGACTTTGACGCTTGGGCCGCCTACAACAAGACCGCCACCATCCAAATTGTCGGCGACGACCTCTTGGTCACCAACCCCAAGCGAATCAAGACCGCCATCGAGAAGAAGGCCTGCAACGCCCTCCTCCTCAAGATCAACCAGATCGGCACCATCTCCGAGTCTATCCAGGCTGTCCAGCTCTCGCAGTCTAACGGCTGGGGTGTCATGACCTCTCACCGATCTGGTGAGACCGAGTCTACCTACATTGCCGACCTTGCTGTTGCGCTTAGGACTGGTGAGATCAAGACCGGTGCTCCCTGCCGATCTGAGCGTGTTGCCAGTACGTCCCATTTCTTTTCAGTATAAATTGACTTGGCTGACAGACTGCTGCAGAGTACAACCAGCTTCTCCGAATCGAGGAGCGTCTTGAGGGCAACTCTATCTTTGCCGGTGCCAAGGGTCTCTCCAGGGGTACCACTGCTCCCGAGCTCCACTCTGCCTAAGTATTTGGTAGTGCAGATGTTGAAGGAAAAATACGTTGGTAGTAGTCGACGGGAAAAGGAGAGAGAAGAATCGAAAGTCCTAAGCTGCTAGAGAATTGGCTTTTACCATGCATACTGCAGAGTTTACAAAACATCCAGCTTGTCGAGAGTGCACGTCACTGTACGAGTATATTGAGTTTGCGAGGGGAAGAGAGAAGGGTTCAATGAGGCGGAATCAATTTCCGGGCTTTTACGCGTTTATCGATCAAGTCGCGTCGATTTCTCATGTTGTAATTCCAATCTCAACGCGTCCCTTCCGTCTTTAGTAATACGGAGAGATTCAAGGATGGCTACGGCAGAACAACAGAAACAGGCGGCGCGAAAATTGACTTATTGGCTAGAGAGCGAAAGGCGGATCGTAAGTCCTGCACCATCGACGGATTGATCGGGAAGAATATAAACTTATGCCTGACCTTTTACGTGTTTGTAGGTCAGTTATAGAGTGTTATCTCGAGAACTTGGGCTACACGTCAACGTCGCTAAAGAGTGTGTATCTCATTCGCTCTCAGCGCTCGTGAAAGACTGACCTTGAACACGTGATGTAGTATCCTCCTAAAACACCTCCAATCAAACCCCTCCCTCTCTTCCACCTACCTCCTCTCCGGCCCCCTCCTCTCTTCCTCCTCTCTAACCCAAACCCAGCTCTCCCCCTCCCACGGGGCAGGGGGAGGGGGTGGGAAAGGGTTCAGAGATCTGGGAGAAGGGATGGTGAAGATCGTTGATATGGATGAGAGGAGTGATGCTGGGAGTGATGCCGATGCCGACGCTGATGCCGATGCGGCGGGGGAGGAGGGCAAGGTGGCTAACGGGGAAAATGAGCGTCTGGGAGATGATCAAGACACCCGTATGGACGGCGTAGGGAACGACAGGGGTGCCGCGCCCGGGGACGGCGGTCTGGGCGGGGGGGAGGTGATCGGAGAAGATGGCGATGGCGATGGGGTGAGGAGGGAGAGGGTGGATAGGTGGGGTGTTGTTTTTGCGGCGGATGATATGCTGGAAGGTACATTCCTTTTGCTTGAAGCTGCAGGAAGGAATGGGGATATGTTGACTGACGGGGATGATATAGAGAAGAAGAGGTTGTTCAACCCGGGCCACGTTAGTGTGCATGTTTATTCGCTATCCCCTGCTCCCATATCCGTAAGCCCATTCCCCTCTCCCTCCCTCCCTCCCTCCCTCCGATGAACATGAGATGAAAAGCACAAGCTGACGTGTGTACACAAGGACCCAACTCAGTTCATAATCCCCAACACCTCTATCCGCTCCCACCCCGAGACGCAATACAACACCGAGGTGTACGGGACTTTTACGGGCGATGCTTTCAAGCCTGCTGCTCAGCCAACAGTCGCGGCGGGAGTGAAGAAAGAGGCTGTGCAGGGGAAGAAGGAGGATTCGGCAGCGGCGGTGTTTGGCGCAAAGAAGCCTGCTGATGCGAAGGGGATCAAGAAGGAGGCCGGGCAGAGTTCACCTGAAGTGCGTCTATCCCGTCACGTTTCAAGCGTTCGTATCTCGACAGTGCTGACGAAGATGTAGAAGAAACCTACTACCAAAGCTGCTCCTCGGCCATCCAACTCTAAAAGAAAAGTCGTCACCTCCGATACGGAAAACGACGAGCCCGCGCCTTCCAAACCCGCTCCCAAACCCTCCACCTCCTCTTCCACCTCCGCTGCTCCATCAACAACCAAGCCAAAGGCCAAGACGGCTGAAGAAGAAGATCTTGCAGCGCTCGAAGCTATGGCCGGCATGGACGATTCCGACGACGAATTCAGCGTTACCAGCTTTGCCAAGGATGCGAGTAAGGGGAGAGGGAAGGACGGGGAGAAGGTTGGTAGAATTCCGGGGAAGAGGAGTTTGAGTGGGAGGAAGGTGAGGAGGGTGAAGAAGACGAAGAGGGAGACGGATGCCAAGGGGTATATGGGTGATGATCTTTCTGTGACATTCTCGGGTATCCCCGGGGCAAAGAACAGGAGCTGATCAATCGAACAGTATCCAAAGACTACTACACCGACGAGTCATACTCTGGCGAATCTGAGCCCGAACAAAAACCCGATATCAAAGCCGCTCCAAAAGCCGCTCCAGCCAAACCAAAACCGCCCATCAAGGCGCAAGGATCGTCAAGCAGTACTGGCAGTGGGAGCGGGGTAAAGAAGGGCGGGCCAGGGGCTGGAGGAAAGCCGGCTGGGCAGAGTACGTTGATGGGCTTCTTCAAGAAGAAGTGAATGTGATGTGGTGGTTGCTTTGTACATGTATTCGCTATCATGGGTTCTGCATATGTCTGAGCCATTTACAAACATCCGAGTCCAGTCCAGGTCCAGTCTGACCGAGAAGCGCGGACAAGCGGAACCAAACAAGACGCGACGATGATGCGTTTACGCGGGAGTATGTAACCGGTAACGTTTACGTCGACGCTAACAGGACGGTACCAATTCGAGGCTTTGTTTGTGCTGGCTGTACCATGCAAGGTCGCCCAATTTACAGCTATAATGTTCACGCACACATAGCGAAAACAACGCACCACAAAACCGAAAGTTTGCCGGAGATCTGCTCCACAAACGTCTTATTGTTCCCCCGAGATCATTTTTTTTGTGCGCCACTGGCGTATATACCGAGCGACCCACCGTCCATCCTCCTCTCCGCCTACCCAACCCTCTCCCCCATATCGCCACCATGCTCATAACAAACCCCCTCCACTCCCTCCAAATCACCGCCCTCCAACTCCCCGCCTTCCTCTCCATCCCCAACACCTCCCTCCACCATATCCCCCTCCTCATCTACCACTCCGCTTTCCCGCCCCAAACATGCACCGTCGACGATGTGACGCTGCATCTCGAATCTGTCGGCGTCGTGGAACCTGCCTGGGTCTACTCTTTTCCGGACGATGGGGCCGGCAGGTTTCATTCAGGCACGCATGAGGTGCTGGTGATCATCTCGGGCAGGGGCCGCATGTCCTTTGGCGGGCCTGAATACGCCCCGGACGAGTTGAAGGAGGGTGAAAAAAACCTGGCGAGGACAGAGCTGGTAGTCGCCCAGGGGGATGTGGTGGTAGTACCAGCGGGCGTCGCGCATGGACTAGAAGAAAATCTGGACGGGGATTTCGAGGTCGTCGGGGCATACCCGCTAGGCTTGGGTAACTGGGATTCCCTCACACTCGACTATGAAAAGGTTGGAGAACAAGGAGGTGAAGAACAAAAAAGCAAGCCGGATGGTGGCAAACGCAAGTTGAGGACGAGAGAAGAGGTGGAAGAGACGGTTCGGGCGGTGGAATGGTTTGAGCGGGATCCGATATATGGTGATGTTGGGCCGGTGGTGGACGTGAAGAAGAAGATGGAGGATCAAATGGTTCTGGGGGAAGATGAATAAGGCTTTGGGCCCAAGTGTGGTGAGTCTTTTCGCTTTCAAGTGGATCAGAGAAGCTAATCTGTCAGGCAACATTCGGCTACCCGCACGCATAATAAACCTGTATCGTTAGATGTGTCTAGACGACTGTATAAATAGTCAGAGAGTGGTCATATAGTCGAGGGCGTCTGGTTGAGACTGGAGCTACCACGCGGCACTCCACTACCATCGCCTTTATAGACATGTATCCCAATAGAGCACAAGGTCGACACGGCTTTGAACGTGATATGGTGCATAACGAGTCCGTGGGCGTGGTATATTCGTGGGACATTATATACAAAAGCCAGTCATCCATCCAAATGATAGCCCTTCTTCGTTCAACTACGGACGCCAATCAGCAACCCCGCCGACTGCGACTCAAAAGGATCAATGATCGGGCTCACGATAGAGATACAAACGCTCTCATTTCCTTCCATAACCTCTCTTCGCAGAAAAGTCCTTGATCGGCCCCAACTCTCCACTTTTGAGGTTCGCCGAAACCCAAGACGCTCTATTCTCCAGCAAACAAGCGAACAATCAAATAAATCGTAGACCCCAAGAACCGGAAGACTAACCCCCCAAACGTCAGCCAGGCGCCCTTCCTGTTCTGTATCTTGAAAACTCGACTCACAAGCCAGCCCCGCGACGGTATACAACAGCACACCCATATACGTCGTCGCCACCGAACTCGTCCCACTACTGCTCTGCAAGATAGCAGCTGTGAGAGCACCATTACTCATCGTCCATGCCAACAAGACCTATCACAACTATCAGCCTCCGTTCTCCCGACGGTTGAACCAAGGAGGCAGCAAACTCACATTCGTCCTAAAGTTCTTGTAATAATCCTCCTGCTTCTGATCCTCACTAACTACCGTAACCTCCTTTGGCGCTTTCGTGCTCAACACCCCCAGCTCGGCCGCATACACCGCATTGATATCTTTCTGCTCCACGGGAAGGTCGACGTCGACTTCGTCCTTGTTGTCGGAGGAGGACTTGACGGCTCCTAGGTCGTCCGAGACTTTGTCGGAACCTTTGGTACCCCAAGACTATATGAATGCTCGTCAGTGACCGAACGGTGGAAGTGAAGGAGAGAGGATAGGCGGGAGAGAGGGAAGAGGACGTACGACATCGTGGACATTGCAGAACGCATACACGCTACACCCATATCAGCGCCGACGTCATCTCGTATCTATACGAAAAGAAAAACTCACTTGAGCACATTGACATAACTCGGCGCCAAAAGAAGATATTGCAAGAAAGACGTGACTATTCCCCACATATCAGCCGCCTACTCTCCAGCATCACCCTACAGACAGAAAGAGAGAACTCACGCATATGCCAAGGTTCAAGAGCCAACAGTGAACTGATGATATACAGCCCATACGTCGCCAGCAGCGAAATGACGATATTCCGGAAAATCTTGTCGCCAAAGATCGTACTCGCCGTGATATCTCCCTCCGCTTCGATAGATTGGATTCCTCTCACCGCCAGGTAGACTTTACCCCATCAGCTTTTGACGATCAAAAGACAAAAAGACAAAGAGATGTGGATGTGGGGGACTTACTAGCAGCAAAGAGCATGTACACGGTGATCAAAGCAAACCCAATCATACTCAACGTATATCCAATCCTCGAGCCCGCCGGTCTATTGCCCAGCGAAAGCAAGAAACACCACAGGACGAGGCCGACGTAGATGTAGTGGAGGGGTGTGTTGACGTATTTCCAGGCGGTACCGAGGTCGTTGAGAGACTGAGTGAGGACGAACTGCAAGCAGAGTCAGGCTTTTGGCGAGCAAGCAAGGGAAAGGAAAGAGAATTACGAAGGCAATGTAAAAGTTGCCGAGAGCGAACCAAGCAAAGATCATACTCAGCGTTTCTGCCCCCCAAAAGTCAGCCTCATCCCACCATCCCATCTCATCCGACAAGAGAAAAGGACTCACGATAAACAAGCTCCACATGCAAAAACAACTTTCTCGTAACCGTATGCGAACTTCTATACAAATACCCAAAATGGAAAATCGAATGAATCGCCGCGAAAAAACTACCATTCAACCACCGTCGTCTCTGCGAGACCAGCTCGGGGACCGTGTCGGGAACGTCGGTGATGGCGTAGGCAGATTTGACATAGTGCAGTTTCCACTTGCATTCGCGTTTCGAGACGAGCTCCCAGCAGAGGATACGGTCTTCGGCGAGGTACATGTTGGCGGCGCTATTGCACAAAAAAATCCAGGGTCAGTCGGGGCAAGAGAGAAGAGAGGGGGAGGGGGGGCGTACAAGATACCGGCACCGGACCCGTGCATAGTCTCTCCAATGAAATACTGCTTCAACGGCCCATTCCCTTGCTCGTCATTTTGCAGTGCAATATACTGTCCACACCCCCGTCAGTTCTTCTCCAATAACCCAACAACCCCGAGACAGAGAGAACGTACCCGATAAGCAGAGAAAGCACCCGGCAAAACCGTGATATATCCGAAAATCGATTCCAGCGGTTTATCAAGGATATTACTCATCTTGTATTCGAAATTCTGCGCTGCGACCCTACCACCATCATCAGCCCCTTCCTCCCCTTCTCCCCTTCTTTCCGCTTTCCAACAATGTAGAAAATTGGGACATACAAAGGATTAATCAGATTCTTCCAAAACATCCCCTTCAACGCCACAATCTCCCCACAAGCGCCACCCACACTCGAATTGATGTCGAACGCTTTCCAGAGATGGTAGATCGAGTCCGGGCCGGGTTGGGTACCGACGTCCAGGAGGACGCAGACGTTGGGGCGGAGGCAGTCGCCAAAGGCGCTATAGCGTTCTGTCAGCGCTGAAAGAGGAAGAGAATGAGAGGAGGAGGGGGAGGGGGAGGGGGTAGGAGGCGTACTTGAAGAACCATCGATGCGAGTTGATCTTTTTCTGATTCTTTTCCTACCACACCGTCAGCATCCGACTCGATCTCAGTGAGAGAGGAGAAAGAGGACAAACCTTCATACAGAAAAGCATCTGGATCGGAACAGTCCCTGACCCTCCAGGGCCGATCTTTCCACTAGAGTTGATCGACACTGCTCCACCTATAAGCTCTCTCTCCATCTTGTAAGAGCGTGAAGAACTCACGTTGGGTGGTGTACTCGTAAAGATGCGCCGTGACAGGTTTGCCATTGACCATATTCTTTCCCACACCTTCTTGGTATACTCCGAGAGCTGCGAGGACTGATCGTGTACGGGGATTGATCTTCAGTCGACCGTCTGCAACGATACAGACTACCACCTAATAAAAGTCAACGACCCGCAGACACGTGAGACACGAAAAGAGTTGAAGACGTACCTTCTTCCACCCATTCTCACCCCAAGTCTTACTCTTACTCCTCGTACACAGATGTGCGATATTCTGCATCACACCCCTCATCGTCCGGCAGAACAAGACGTCGTCTTCGTTGTACATTGTGATGACGACAAAGAGCTCGGTTTGGCGAGGAGGGTCGTAGAGTCGTTGTCGAAGGGTATACTTGTCTGCCTGTACTTTTGTCAGCGGATCCATTTCGAGGTCGAAAGTATGATGAGCGACTTACGACAAAGTCGTTGGGATCGCCAGTGACAGCAGTATATCCCATCTTGGTGAATTCGTTGCCTTGGCGAATGGGACATTGGTCTAGGAGCATAGACGGGACGTCGACGTCGAGTACGAGATGGCCTCGGAAGAGTCTGCGAATAGGTCAGCAAATATTCCCTCGACCATCTCTCTCAACTTACTGAACCCTCTTCTGCGTCCTGTTACGCCTGACAATCCTCGACGGTACCGGCCCATAATGCACATTCACATAGTCATCCTCATCATCATGCCCCAGCCCATCTCCCGCATGGAACCCCGCCTGCCCCTCTGCCCCGCCCGGCGTAGCATACATCGGCACGCCCATATCCCCCGCCCCATTATCGCTCAGCTGATACCTCACCGCCGTCCCAGGACGCGGGGGCGGCTGCATCGACATGGCACTCTGCGACGCCGGTATCCCGAACCTAGGATCCGGCTGAGCATGCGCCAACAGCGGATGCGAGTCGTTCATATCGTCTTCTGGCGCGTTACCATAAGACTGCGGGGGGTAAGAGTTGTGAGGGTAGTCGGCTGGGAGGCCGACGTTGGAGTGGCTTGAATGGTGCGGCATCAAAGGAGGGGGCGAGGTGAGACGGTCGTCTATGCCGGAAGAATACGGATAAGCTGGAGCTTGCACGTGTTGGATTGTCGGGGTCGTGTGCTGCGGGGGAGGGAGATAGGAAGGGTGGGAATCGTAGCGGGTGCGAGTGGGAGATGAGACGGCGGGGATGGGGGCGTGGGAGGCGGCAGGCGACGCGCCATACGGCAGGGGCTGGGCGGTGGGGAGCGAGTAGCGGGGGGCGTGGTTGGGGCTGATCGGGTCGGCGGGCTGGAGGGGGTAGGAGGCGTGGTGGTGGCTGCCTTGAGGCTCGGCCCAGGGCTGCTGCTGGCTGTAGAGGGGAGCTGATGGGGGGCGTTGTGGGGAGGGGTTGCCGAACGGGTCGCCGTATTGCTGTTGCTGCTGCTGGGGCTGCCCCTGGGGGTACCCCGCGTTGTACACCTGGCCGGGGTTCATCGTGTCTGTGGCGAACGCTATTCATTTCCATCTCTTCTTATTGTCTTCGCGACAGCCTGCACCGCACAGACATTACAGAAATCACACTTACGTAACCGTTGCTTTTGCCTCTTTGGGACAAATCAGCATCGCTATTCGGCTGTGTCTTCATCCCCGCAGACCGCACACTCTTTCCCATACATACGCTTGCATGGCTCAGAAACCACTGTCATGCTATGCCGACCACCGAACTGATGACGACACAACAGTCCACTAGATCCCGCAGTCCTTCGCGCTCGGCTATCAGTGTCAGATATGCATTGACCACTTGGCACAAACCAAAGGATCGATGATGCATGATCTCAAATCGTGATCGCACTCTCCGTCAAGTTGCACAAGATCTCCCCATCATCCAACGTCCCATACTCTCCATACCCACCTTCTCGCGCAATCATCAAATCCACCTCTGTATTCCACCCAGCACCATCCTCCCCCTCCGACAAACTAGCTCTTGAATCAAGACTATCCACATCTGACCGTTGCCCGTCAGAGTACGGGAATGATATAGCCGAGTCTGATATAGAAGGCTCAGGTTCAGTTCCAGTTCCAGGGAAGAGGAGGGATGAAGGGAGGGCGGTATCGTCGTCGATGTTGAGTGAGCCTGCGCGGAGCTGGATGGGAGAGGATGAGAGGGATGGGGTGCGGGTGTGATGCCGGGGACGACGGGCGTGCCGGGGGGTGGGGGCGATGATGGAAGGAGACGACGAAGATGGGCTTGGTGTACTCTTGCCTTCGGATAATGTTGTCGCACTCGTCACTGATGAGGTGCTTCGCTCGGATTCGCGACGAGCTCCCATGAGATCGACCTTGGCTTCACCTCTTCTACTTTGCGTTCCGGCTTCATCCCTCCCCCTCTCTCCTCTCCTCCTCTCCCTCTCGTCCGCCCTCCTCAGAAGATCCACCCTCGTATCCCTCAACCGACAAAGCCTTCTCACAAGCCGCGCAATCTCCACATCCCCCGTCTCTGACAACTCTTGTATAAGTTTCCTTGTATCTTTCAGGACAGGGTCGTTGAACACTGATGGACTCCTACTCGGCCGAGGGGAGGTGGGGGATGATGATCGAGGGGATCCTCGGGAACGGGTTACTCGCACCATAGGGAGGTCTTCGTATTCTTTGCTCATGGTCGAGAGCTTTTGACCTTGAGCATCAAGCTTGACAGCAGCCTTCCGAGCATCGCTCTCCCTCTCCCTCTCCCTCTCCCTCTCCCTCTCCCTCTCCCTCTCCCTCTCCCTCTCCCTCTCCCTCTCCCTCTCCCTCTCCCTCTCCCTCTCCCTCTCCCTCTCCCTCTCCCTCTCCCTCTCCCTCTCCCTCTCCCTCTCCCTCTCCCTCTCCCTCTCCTTCACCAACACCCTCTCCTTCTCCTCCTTCTCCTTCTCCTCCCTCTCCTTCTCCTCCTTCTCCTTCCCCAACCTCTTCTTCTCCTCCTTCTTCTTCTTCCTCTTCTTCTCCGTCTTCTCATACCTCTTCACCTCCCTATGCACCTCCTCGCGCATAGGTACAGGCGCCAGATATCTGGGGTCGACGTACGAAAAGATGTTGTTGGAGTTTTTGCGGATGGCTTTGAAGAATTCTGTACTACAACCGAGAGGTCAGTGAACGGGATTCGTTGGGGTAAAGGAGGGATGGAGGGGAAGGTTTTACTATTCTTGGACGAGGGCCATGTTTGTGCCGGGTTTCCAACTGGGCTTACCATCCTTATCCCACACCCTTTAACATCATCATCATCATCATATCGTCAGCCACCATTCAACAACACATCACTAAAATCAGTGAGACCCAACTCACGTATTCCCCTCCTGAAAGCACATCACAAGCTTCATCATAGCCCCCATCCCAATCCTGAACCGCCGCTCATGTTCCATGTCCAACACCCATTTGTGTTCCAGCAGCTTCTCGTGTTGGCGCGCACGTTCCTTTTTGGATAGTTTTGGCTCGATCGTTGTAGTTGCTGATGCCGGGCGAGGACGGATGGGTGGGGGTTGAGAGGTTGTTTTGGTTTGGGTTTTGGTTTTGGATGTAGTCGATGTCGAAGCTGTCTCTTGATAAGCAGGGGGCGGGGAGGTAGGCAGATCTGGGAGAGGAGGCAGGGGGGTAAGTGGTGCGGGAGTGGAAGGACGTGTAAAGGCCTGAGGCGCTATCACAAACGGTCGTCTCGAAGGTTCCAGCCGGGCGTGTTCACCGTCCGGCGGGCTTGGTACTACAAAACTCCGATACCTCACCAACCACCCTAATCTCTCCATCAGCCTCCCCTCCTTTCTCCCTCAACGCAAAGAGAGAACGTACCTCTCCTCCTCGGATCAAGCACCACAACCCTCAACTCCGGCGCCGCCTGCCCCCACACCTTCCACCTCCTCACCCTCCCCCTCGGCCGCTCGTCAACCTCCGCCGCGGGCGGGGGGAGCTTGCTCCATGCCAGACTCGGGGGTTTCGGGTCGGTGTAGAGGCGCTGGGGTTTGAAGAATGGGGAGAAGTATTTGGCTGAGAGGGCGTCGATTTTGGAGGGGGGGACTGGGGAGGGAGGGGGTTTGGATGTGGACGGCATTTGGCAGTGGGAAGGGTTGGCGTGGGTTGTGGTGGGTTGTGGTGGGGGCGGTGGTGGTGGTGGGCCGCAGGCGGCGGGTAGTGGACGATGTGGGGGACGGATTATGATGAGGGACTTGGAGGGGTGGTGAGGGGTGAGGGGTTAGTGGTGTGATTCAACGAATGCAAACTGCTCCGTTTGCCGCCGTATTATCAGCCTGTGCCGGTACGTCAGATAGCTCTCTCCAAACAGACCTATGTGAACCCCTCAAAGGAAGGTTCATCATGTATGCACATAGGAAGACCCTCGAGACGGAGCTGGTCAGCGTACCAGATGAGGCAGAACGTCACAAAGCAGAGGTTATCAAGGAGGTCGGGCACGGCGGTTTTGATTATAGAACCGGGATGATGATATACCGCTCAGTCGTGAAGACATAATCGTGACCAGTCTCGTCAGCCATCCTCTTTGTCAACCAGCGACTATAGCTCGGTAAATGAACATCTACCTAAGCTACCTCCTTGCTTTATGTGGTACAACTATTCAGGAAGATCATATACATGTGTACATAGGTCTACATTACAGACAGGCAAAGAGCGGGGCGAGTAGTTGAAAGACAGGCGGGGCATCGGGTACCAAAACAGCATCGTAACCACTGCCGTCGGACCAGGATTTGCGCTAAGATACAAATATTGCGCCTGATGATGTGCATTGATGGTACCATACTCGTACGTCTCCCAGACCATCCATCATTCTCCGCTCTTGACTCTATGAGCTGAGATCACATCGGTACTCCCGCAAATGATACGACTACTGAGGAAAAGTTCTTTTCGGGATTCTCGATACCTCCTCCTTTCGACATCTTCTATATAGAGATGTTGACTTGAAGAATGGTATGTGGGGTGATTAAGATCCCGAATTTCGTAAGGTTTAGATTGTAGAGTACATAAGACCATGAGCTAGATGCTTCTGACTGTTCTGTTCGTTCATTCTGCTCTCTGAAGAAATCTTTGCCACATTGGACATCATCCACAAAAGCCTTCTTCCGATCATCAACGGAAGATCGCACACAAAAATAAGCCTTTCAGCTGATCACACCAGCTGTACCATCGCTACCAAAATGTCTTTCCCGATAGACCCGAATGAAAGAAGAGCACCAACAGACGACGAGATATTGTATTGCGTTGAACGACAGCCCGCAGCGTCGCGGTCTAACCCCACCGGTAGTCGGTCGTTCTCTCAGCACAGTCGCCAGCCATCCTACGCTCCACCTTCCCAGCAGCAAGGCCCGCGGAACGCAAGCTCTGCCCGTCGCAACACCACATCTGCGGGTCCGTCTCGAGAAGACGGACGTGAACGCTACAATCCAGGTGACTCACGAAGCTATTTACGGCCCAGCAGCAGCGGCCGACGGTTCACTGACTCTGCTGATCCCACCGATCCTCCTCCTCCGTTCGGGCAGAATGTAGGGGCCTATGGCGTACCGCGACAGTCGGCCTCGTCCAACGCGCGGTCTCGAAACGCCCACACTGTCCAGCCCACCACTTCCCTTTCCCCTCCAACCTCCCGCCCAGTCACACGCAGGGTGCACAGTTTCGGCCAAGGATCTAAGCCCGCCTCAAGGCGGTTTGACGAAAATGAAGTCTTCTGGAATGCCAATATGCCTTACTCTGACGAGAGGGTCGCTTCAGCCTGTACTGACTGGCTGAATGAGCGAGCTGTTGACGCTAGAGATACTCTTGAAAGGGAAGAGAAACTTGTGAAAACAAAGCGAGATGTTGAAGTGAAGAAGCAGAGCGCGATGACGGATCAAGTCTTTTACGACGCTAGCAAAGCAGCTCGCGGGTTGCAACTTGTCGTAAAACAAAGCGGAGATGTTCATGCCATATCTGAACTCGACTCTTTGATCCAATCATTGGGGCAGCTTTCCGCAGAGCTGCACTTGGAGAGAAATATAAGGGACGATGTGCCGGAGGCACAGCTCAGGGCGACTGATGCTACTTGGGATGGATGGAAGGCGACAAAGAGGGCGTTTGACGTGGCAACTGGTAATGCGAGTTTGGATGATATGCGCTCGTTTTGGGACCATCATGAAGCTAAAAAGGGGGTGGCTTGTCAGAATTGTGAGTTGCCCGCGGTGTTCTCTGGGGTGTAGAGCTCACTTTGGCCATACAGCACAAGAGGATGAGGGGTCTTGGCACACCATGATGAGAAATTTGAAAGGCACACCCACCGATGACATTCTAGAGGCCTTCGAGGAGGAACGCACCTCTTGTCGCACACAACCCTCTCAATATTCTCAGCCTACCAGTCAGCCATCTTCTTCCCGTGCTTCTTCATCCTCTCTTCCACCAAGGCAGCAGAGAGATCAACGACTCACACTTGGGCAGCGTCCCTCTAGTCCAGGTAGTAGTAAACGGTGGTGATTGAGTGGCCTATGATGACTATATATACTTCGGTGTGTTCTACCTATCCGATGTTAGAATGCTCAGACGAGTGCGGAAGCAAGACAAACGTGGAACAGACGCTTCCCCTCCTTTTCGGTCTCTCACTATCCTTTCCTTTGGTCTTCTCAACCAGCCCACTCACGTCGTCACTTCGACAATCGGTTATAGTAGCTTCTGAATTCCTTTTACCTCCTTGTCGGACCAGTATTTTACAGATAAGAGGTACTGAAACGATCATGCAGGTGTACAAAAGTCCACTTTGAGAGCGCCGAAGAGCGAGGAGGTAGTTCAATGACAAACCGCGCCGGGGACACATCGGTTCTGAACAAAGTGATACGTGCATGAGGCAACATTCCTTTTCGGCCTCTTGCTACCTCCTTTCGTCATCTTTACGACAGGGATGTTCGATGAATGGTACATAGAATGATGTCAAGAGTCGTGAAGTCTTCAATTGTGCATAAGACTAGAAGTTGGTCCGAATTTGCCCCAGCCATCTTCATCCGTCCTTTTCCCATAATTCTTCGCCAACCCAACAGACAATCGACACAAACCTCCTACTCACCCGGCCCTGATATAACTTTTGCAGACCAGCTACCAATATGTCTTTTGAGTTCCCAACAAGGGCGCCAACGGCCTCTGAAATATCGTATCTACAACAACGACAGTCAACGCAACCCAACCCCCTTCTCAGTCAGAGGTTCTCCCAGCAAAGTCAACCTTTTTTCGCATCTGCCCAGCAGCAACACCCTTGGAACACACGATCCTTCATCAACACTGAGCCTTCGGCGCCATCTCAGCAAGGAAACGGCCGTCAATTCTACCCGCCGCCACCCGATATTTCACGTTACTCTCAACCTCCCTCCGGCCAATATGCGAGCATTGCTCCTACCACCGGTCCCCCGCTCGGGCAGAACGTAAGCGTTCATCAAGTACCGCGACAGTCTCCATGGGCATCGCAGGCTCGTAACACTTACAGTGTGCCACCCGCTTCGATTGCCCAACAGCAGACGCCAAGGCAAAGTCGGCCCGCCTTTCAGAGCACTCAAACTTCAGCCCCTCCAGACACTGCTTCCGTTGATGTCAGCGTGCGCAATTTTGGTATGGGATCCAAGCCTGCCGCAAGGCGGTATGATGAAAAGCAAGTGTTCTGGAATGCCAACGTGCCTTTCTCTCATGAAAAGACCACTTCGGCTTACAGTGACTGGCTGAATGAGCGGGCTACTGAAGCTAGAGTCACTTTGGAAGAGGAAGAAACCTTGAAGAATAAGCGAAACGGAGAAGTCAACTGGCGGAGTGCGAAAACGGGTGAGACCTATGTCGACGCTCTTAAAGCGGCCCGCGGCTTGCAAAATGTGGTCAGCCGAAGCGGAGACGAGGATGCGATCTCTCAATTCAACAGCCTTATTCAATCACTTCACAAGCTTTCGATAGAGGTAAATCTGGAGAGAGATAAAAGGAACGAGGCGGCAGAAGCACAGCTGAATGCGACGGATGCTGCTTGCAAGGGATGGAAGGTGACGAAGAGGGCGTTTGATGTGGCATCTGGGAATGCGAGTTTGGATGATGCGCGCTCGCTTTGGAGAAAACATGATGAGGAGAGGAAGGCTTCTCGAAAGTGTACGTCGCCATGGAGATCGCAATCCGAAGCTGACAATGAACATACAGCTCATGAAGATGAAGGGGCTTGGCACTCTATGATGAGCAACCTAGAAGGCACACCCACCGACGACATTCTGGAGGCTTTTGAGGAGGCACCCACCTCTAACTCTACGCAGCCCCCCTCTTATTACTCTCAGCCTACCACACCCTCTGGAGTCTCTTTTAAACCAACTTCATTTCCATCTCAATTCCAGAGGAGTTTCCATTTTCACCCAACTGCCGTAGAGATACCTATTCAGCAACAGCAATTTTCTTCCTACCCTCAACCGAGTGCTGCCACCAATCACCATACTCCTTCCATGTCCTCAAGCTTTTACCAACAACCAAGTCATCAGCAGCCAAACTCCCAGCGCTTCGCATTTTCTACTCCCCCTTGCTAGCTTATGTCGACAGTAGACGATAGTTGCCGATGATCTACTTATGTTAATAGCCTCCGCGACTCGGTCCACTTTTCTACCCCTGTAACATATCACATGCACTCGATTTCCCTTTCCCATCAAACTGCTAATGAACGATACTCAAGACAGATAGTATACTGGTGAAAACGAGAGCCACTTACTGCACTACGCTCTCTTTTCATCTACCACGACTCTAACCGTCTCATGATGCTTCGGATAAGGCTGACTGATTCCTGAATGACTTTAAACGCGTGAGGTAATGTTGGAAATTGACTTGACAAGAGCCAAGATGATGAATGGCCCTTGAATGGTGATGATGAGAGCACCCGAGCAGCCTGTTTGATGATGGCGGCCCCTTCCGCCGACGCGCTCATCTCGCAAAAGTGATGACATCCCATCTGTATCCCACGCGTGTTTATACTCTATCTAAAGTATCTCTCACAACTTTCCCCGTCACCACCCACCCATCAACACCCAACTGGCCTCAATGAGCAAGCCCACTTCCGCCCTCCCCTCCCGCAAGGGCGTCCCACCCACCGGCACCCCCCAACCAAAACCCACCAGACCACTAACCAAAGACCTCCTCGAAAGCTTTCACCCTTCCAAACGCTTCTCCAACATCGACAACACCAACCCCCCTTCGGACTTCTCTGGTGGTCCTACCGAACATCATATCACCAGCTTGGCGTTTGACGCTTCTGGTATGAAGCTGATATGTGGAGGGGACGATGATCAGGTGTTTCTCTATGATGCGCTCAAGGGAAAGTGCGTGCTTGTGATTCTCTATACGACCCCCAGAAAAGGCTGACAGATTGATAGGATGACCAAGAAGCTGTATAGTAAGAAATACGGGGTCGACCACGTCCGTTTCACCCACAAATCCGAAAACATCATTCACGCCTCTACCCGTCGAGACGACGCAATCCGGTACCAAAGTCTCCACGATAATCGCTATATCAGCTACTTCCGAGGCCATACTTCGACCGTTCGGTCGATATCGATGAGTCCGACGGATGATACGTTTGTTTCAGCGGGGGATGATGGGACTGTGCGGTTATGGGACTTGAGGGCGGCGGCGTGTAGAGTGAGCGGGCTCGACCGACCGGCGGGTTGCATGCTGATGAAGCTTAGGGACTGGTCAATGATATAGGAGGATCGAGTATTGCTGCTATGGATAACACGGGGATGGTATTTGCCGTCGCTTGTACAAGTGCGCAAACCATCATGATGTACGCTACCAAAACGATGGATGCCGTAAGTCTATCACTTTGCCATACTCAAAGCTGACCTCTGTACCAGTTACCATTCCTCCACCTCCCTCTAATCGACATTGCCCTCGAATCCATATCAACACCCCCTCCCATCCCCATATTTACCTCCCTCTCCTTCTCCAACAACGGTCACTACCTCCTCGTCGGCACCTCCTCCGACGTTCACTACGTCCTCGACGCCATGGAACTCACCCCCCTCCGCCGTCTCGTCGGACACAAGGGCCTCGAAAGAGATGAGAAAGGCAACAAGACGGTCGAACCCCGCAGAGGCATCAGCGGCGCCGAAGTCGGCTGGACGGGCAACTCGGAATTCGTCGTTTCCGGCTCTGCTACGGGAGAAGTGCTCGTTTGGGATCTGCGTCCGGTTGATGGGGCGGAGAAGCTGAATAGGAATGATCATATGGGAGGGAGCTGGGATGCGCCTGGGCGGGAGGCGCCGGATTGGACGCGGATCAGGATACCGGATGTGGTGCCGACTGTGGTGTTGAACAACAAGAGTGATACGCCTGGGCCGAGCAGGGCGGTGGCGTTTAACCCGAGATATAATCTGATGGCTGTGGGAGGAAGAGATTTGGTAAGTCGCGCTGCTCTGCTTGAGTGGATATGTTGGCTGATTTGTGCAGTCGCTGTGGATTCCTCCAAAAGACGACGAGGCGAGATTGGCGGCCGAGGGGTACTGAGCAGAGATTTATACATCACCACGCATTGCATATCATCAGCATTATGTACGCATGCATGACTGTAGCTTTTTAAGCCAGTGCAGGATTGTACAGCCTTTGTCTGGAACCAAACATTGAGATGAGAGAGTAGAAAGTTTAAATCCAAGAATCACGCGCGCTCGCAATTGGCTCGCAGTTACATACCCTATTCATTGCTCGACTTTTCCCATTGTTCAACCAATACGACCCCCAAGAGGGCTATACAGGGTACTCCTCTGCCTCACACACTCCACGCCCCTCGGCCAAAAGCCCATGCGCCTCACTACCGCGCCTCGCAACAGCCTCCGCAACATCTCTCTCCTCTCCCTCCTCCTCCCCGTTTCTCTAACAGCCCTCATCCTCGCCTATCTCTGGACCCTCAGCACCCGACCGGATGTTCCCGAGAATGCTCGTATAAGAGACCGTAAGCCCAGCAAAAGTGCTGTAGTGGAAGAGCACGTGCTGATAGGCTTTGATAGCGCTCAGATGGGGGTTCCCGGCGTGGTATGGTGAATCAGAGAGTCCTTATGATAGAGTCTTTAAGGGTACTGAAGATGTTGAGGAGGTGAAGCAGGTACTGTTCTTCATCGGTAAGTGTCGGCTTGACAATACTCGTACAACTGCTGACATGGCCACAGACTTGCCTTGTACGTCCATCCTCGAGTCAAGAATACTATCCAGCTGACAAACAAAAAGACGACTCTCTCCAAATCCCCCGTGCCCTATCAACCCTCTCCACCCTTCGCCAAGATCCCGCCCTCAACATCACCATCATCTCCCCCTTCCTCTCCCACTGGGACGCCGACCTGCCCCCAGTCGAGAACCTCGAAGCAGCGAGGTGTTCCGAAATGGACTGGGTATGGCGGATAGGAGGGAGCAGTCGTGGTGTGGGTGATGCGTGTCAGGGGGCGGTATGGATTAGGGAAGCTGTTGGGGGGTTGGAGATGGATAAGCGGGCGGATGTGAGTCTCGGAGATCTTTTGAAGCTGCTCGAGCTGATGTGTTGTCCAGGTGCTGCTCTTGGACGAGCCGCAGATGTTGCTGACGGATGAGATTAACCCTTCCAGAGTTGAGGACAAGACTGTCAAAGGCTGGGAGCTGGGCTTGATCTCTTATATACGACCAGCCGTGCGTCAAGCCTTCCCTTCTTGAACCATACTCTCAGCTAACTCTTCTTAGGCCGAGTAAGGCCACTCAGACACCCGTAACCATTAATCAGCTAACACACACACAGCCCCGCCGTGTTCTACCCCCTCAAAAAAGTAAACTCTCCCCAGTCATTAACATACTTTCCTTCACCCACCACCCCAACCCGAGAAATACCCAGCCTTCCTTGGAAACGAGGATGGTCCACCTTCTCCCGTACGTCCTCCTCTTCCCTCCTCTGTACAATCATACTGATTGTACGATTTATACAGCTTCGAGAGGTCTTCCTCCACCCATCCGAGCGGGCCACGACCCCTTCAAAGCTGGCAGTACATACCTGAAGTACTGGCACAAAGAAGAAAAGAGACGGGCCAAGGCTATGCGCAATTCGGGTATCTGTCTTGTATCTCCATGTCTTTTTTTCATGTATTTCAGGGGAGAAAGAGCTGACGGATAGGATCAGTTTGAAGGGTGGCAAGATGGGAGAGTAGATGCCAGGATGGTGGAAGCGTTCTTATCCGGCTGTGTCGTTGCTACCTTCCCACCTCAGACCGACCACGGTACGTCCCTCGCCTTCCCCCTCCATCTCTATGGCCTTTTCAAACTGAACCAAAAAACAGACACCCTATCTTCCCTCATCCTCCCCCTCCCCAAACCCCCTCCAACCGCTCACCAAACCCTCCCAGCCCAAACCCTCACCACCCTCCTCTCCCACACCCCCATCGCCCACCTCCGCCACCTCGCCCTGAAATCATTCATCTCCGCCCGCCACCTCTTCACCCCTCCTGCCCGGCTTGAGAGTATACACCAAGTCGTAAATCTGTGGGAGAAGGGTGGGAGGGGGTATGATTTTAGGCATGGGTTCAGGTGGGATTGTGCGGGTGGGGTGGGGGCGCCTTGGTGTGGTGATGGAGGAGATGGAGCTTGATGGGACCTTGCATGTATGGTATTGGCTTTTTGAAAGTACTCGGGTATGAGATGGTCTTCGATAATTCTTTTTTTTTTTTTGCATTTTTTGGGTCAAGACGTGTATCAACAGTCATCAAATATAGTCAAGCGTACTCTATTTCTACTCTAAACAAATCCTCATCACATCCATCATAACCACCCCTACAGCATCCTAGTACAGCCTAGCCCCCCCCTGCCCCTGCCCCTGTGTGGCATACCCATTCCCATTCCCATTCCCCAAAGGCCTCGCCTCAGGCCAATGCGCACTCCCCGAATCCCTCCCCTCAACCTGCGTCTCCCCAGACCATCCCCCCGGCGACGTCTGTCCCCTTACACCTTCTTGCCCTGTGGGCCCGTGCCCGTAGGTCTCGCCTCAGGGAACGCGTCTCCCGTCTGGACACGCGCATACTGCCCGGGAGAGCCGGCTTCGTTTGACGGGTGCATGGCGTATCCTTGCGAATCTTGGTGTTGGTGCTGCTGCGTGTACTGAGATGGGTGGTACCCTTGCCCTTGGGTCGCTTGTCCTTGATCTTGATCGCGGTCGTAAGAGTAAGATGAGGGTTGAGTCTGAGCCATAGGCGCAGCACCCTTGCCCTCCTGTCCCTGGGCATAACTTTGGCCCCACCCTCCACCAACGCCGCCAACGCGAGCGCCAGCGTTGCCAGAAGCGTCGGAGTCGGTGGAAAAGTGTTTGTTGATCATACCAATCTCTTGACTCTGATCCGGGATGGAATCGGGCATAAACCTGGTCGTCTTTCGTCAGCTTTCTTTCCCCTTCCCCTCACCCCACCCCCCAAAAGAAAAGAGAAAAGAAAAGAAAGAACGTACGTCCTCTGCAACATCGTACTCTCCGAATGCGTCCCCGGCTTCCCCCTCGCATAATTCACGAAAAACCTGCACGCCCTATACACTTCCACCCCAAAGTCGGACAGGTTGACGGTATCCCAGATGGCTTGGAGGTAGGTTTTGAAATTCGTTTCGCGCTGGTGCGGGTTTTTTGATGGGTCGGTGCTGTGTCCATCTTTATCAGCTCTTTTCCTTTTTCACGACATGAGGAGGGGGCATACTAATCAGTCCAATTATAAGCCCACCCCATATAAACACTAAAAAACACCATCTCCACACACGTACACAGCGCCGCCAGCCCGTCCGACACGTTCGTCGCCGTCCACATCGCCGTGGCCTTGATGACGCCGTGGGACTGGAGGATGGAGAAGAGGAAGGATTGGTAGAATGTGAAGAAGACGATGAGTTTTATTGCTAGGAACTGCACGAGGGTCAGTTTTCTGTGTTGAGAGATGGCAAATGAGGATGGAGGGGGTGGGAGGGGAGGGGTGGGAGAAGGGAGAAGAGACGAACCTTGTTCAAAGGTTTCTTCCCCTTCAGCTCATCCTTACACAACACATAAAACACAATCAGCCCATAGAGCGCTACCGAGATCGACACAAAGTCCACAGCGTCGAGATACACTTCGGCATAGTGGACGGAATATTCTTCTGGGCAGAGCTATCCCGATGGTTCGTTAGCTTATCTGGCTTTTTGACTCTTTTGTAGAGAATGAGGAGGGAAGAGGGGGAAGAGGGAAGAGGGGACTTACGACGCCATAGTATTGACAGATAATCCCGATAATAGAGATGAGCGGCCGGAGGACGACATACTGCATCACGCTGAAACTGAGCGCATGCCAAAAATACGGCTTGCTCGCCCGGAACCTCCAAAAGCCGAACGGAAAGCTACAACCTTCCCATCAGCTTTCTTTCCTCCCCCACACCCAAGATACACAGGGCACATACGGAAACTTTTTCTTATCCTTCTCCTTCAACACCGACCCGATATGCAGATCCACAGTCCCCATCGACACCAGCTCCATCAGCAACATCAGGAAAGCCGACAGCGTCACGGCTTCGTACGCCGTCTCGGCCAGGATGTAGTATTCGTATTCGGTGTAGTAGCGGTAGGAGAAGAAGGATACTATTGAGTAGCTTTTTTTGGGGTCAGCGGGGGCGGGGTGGGGGAGGGAGGGACTCACACAGCAGGCATAAGAAGTACACGCATAACCTGCCTCTGCGCCGGAGGATGTTTGTACCTCGTAGCATGCATCGTCACTGTAAACAGCGTGATCAACGTGGTCTATGTTCGCATCCCGAAATTCAGTATTTGCTTTTCCAGGGGGGGAGAGGGGAGACATACGAGGGCAGCACAACCGCCTGCAACAGCCCATCTACGAAATCCGCCCATCAGCTTTCCACGTCTAGATCACTGTCTTTACTACTTCGGCCGGCCGGCCGGCCAAGGCATAGCGTAGGATAGGGGAACGTACCCAATACGATGAGCATCCCAATGGATCCCATCCTGTGAACCCAAGTCAGCGCTGATCCCCTCACAGAGGACGACAGGGCAACAGTCGTCAAGATGCGTGGGAAGACCCGACTCACCGAGCTCCAGAATTCATCGTCCACCGCCTATCACCGCCATAATTCCATAGGCATTATCATGATCATGGTAACAATTGGATGTGTCGAAGAGCAGGGTGAGTGATGGGAGGGAGAGAGAAACGTGGAGAACCAAAAAGTCAGTCGCGCTTCAAACCAATCACCTGGAGGTAGAAGAACTGACAGTGGAATTTGTTGTCTCTGTAGGGCACGACATGCACTAGTTTCTCTTTCTCCTTCTGTATCCTAATGTGTTGTTGAAGAAAGCGGACGGTCCGTTCTGAATCCTGCGGGTGGCGTTTGCTGAAAATTGCTTTTATTGGATCCTGCCGTAAAGCTTGTTGTCTTGTTTACCACTTGTGTTGTCTCTACCGTGTTGTCGAGGGTGGACGCAAGGTGGTCGTTGGGACGAGGTCGAGGGGATGAAAGGAAAGGCGATGTATATATAAAAGTCAAAAAGGTTTCGCCGTGCCCAGTTGAGAAGAGCTACGCCCGGAGGCCGAAGTGAAAGTCGCAGTCGCGTCGGAACCCTGAGGCTGGGGGGGATGTCTGGCAGGCACCGCTGGATAAGATATATAGTATGTCTGTACGTAGAGGGGGTGTAGGGGGGATAAGAGGCCGAGGGGGCAGAAACAAGAGATGGTTGCTTGGAGGGGACAAGGGAGCGGTGCACAAACACGGCGACACGAGGAGGGCAGCTCGGCGTGTATTAGAACAAGAGTAGATGTCCATGGCCTGCCCAACTCGGCGTGCATAAGTACTTGTACAGCATTTCGCTACCGACTCTGATGCATTCACCCCCACACCGACAACTCGGCGACAACACCGAACATCACGGTCATCTCCCCTTATCCTACTTCGGCACCCCCTCCAACAACCTCCTAACCCCCCTCACAGCCCTCTCCCCAACAACCTCCCTCGTCCCATCAATATCCACAACCACAACATCCTCCTCCCCGCTCGGATCCTCCAGAATCGCCAGCTGGCTCTGCAACATCTGCGCCCCAAAGAAATGGCCCTTCCTCGCCGCGATCCGCTCGTGCAGCAGCTCGGGCGTGCCGCAGCAGTAGACAAAGTATGTTTTCAGGTTGGACGTCGCGCGGTGGTGCGCGTTTGAGGCGGGGTGGTCTTCCACCTGTGTCCAAACCTATCAGCTCCCTCTTTTCACCCGAACGGAACGAAGAGAAAGAGGGGGGGGACTCACCAAGTCGTCTTTGGGGGGCGGATCAGCTTCCACAACGCCCCTCAGGATATCCCTATACCACCCCTTCAACGCCGAACAAGCAATCACCACCCCCGGCCTTCCTATCCCCCCTTCCCCAGCCTTCCCACCCTCCACCTCCCCCTTCTCACTCTCCTCCTTACAAACCCGTTCCGCCGTGGAACGTATAAGCGCCAACCAAGGCAACCGGTCCTCATCACTCAACGCCTCACCCCTCGACATCTTCTCTACATTCGATTTTGGGTGGAGCGAGTCGCCGTCGATGAAGGGGATGTGGAGGGCGGACGCGAGGTCGGTGCCTATTGTGGACTTGCCGCTGATAAGAGCACGTATCAGCACGGATTGTATAGTTTTGGTTTGTTTGGTGGATGATGTTTGTTGGAGGGGAAGCTCACCAAGATGCGGGTCCCTGGGGCAGAAAGTCAGCTTGGGAGGGGGAGGAAGAGGAAGAGGGGGACGGGTGATGACGTACCATAACGATAATCAGCACCGGGTCCGGCAGGTGCGCCGGGACAGTCAACTCGTGCTCTGGCTTGAGGGACATTTGTTGTTCTATGGATATAATCTATTGGTTCGTCGAAGGAAAGTAAGATGGGGAAAGAAAGACAAAGAAAGAGATGAGGAGAAAGATGTCATCCCTCCGCGAAAACGGCATCCGTCGGCCCGAATCTCCGATTTCTATTCCCCTGCCATCCATCCATCCATCCATATCCCAACCTTGCAAAACAACCATGCAAACCCAGATCCTCCAGTTTGTCTTCGTTGTCCTCGATTTTCGGTTCTTATTCATACATATTGCCTCTCAAAAGACATCGCCCAACAAAGTATGAAAAACTTGTAGTAGAATCCCTCTGCTTAATATACGTAGGCGCGCCTTGTCACTTCCGCCGCGAATGTCGATGAAAGAGAGAGAGAGACTTAACAACCGCCGACCTCTATCACCCCACATTAGCGCACTGCACCCTTCACCAGACGATAGAAGAAGGAAGAAGGAAGAGGAAGAAGGGGACATACGCTGAAGCACGACATCAAGCGAATCACCATCTTCCAGATCGAGGTCCGCAGCAGTCTGGTGGTCGAGGATACGTTCGCCGTCAAAGATCAATCTGTTTCACCGAAAGAGAAGGAGCAAAAGTGAGCAATAATTCAGCCGGGCAGAAGGACAAGGAGAGTAGGGGAGTAGGGAAGAGGGAACGTACCGGATAGAACCAACATCGGTACCAACACGGTCGGCGTAGGCAGTCTGCACACAACGCGTTAGCATTCACATCCCACCCCTGCCGTCTTCTGTCCTTATCGCCTATCGCCTATCGCCCGTCTACCTCTTGCACCATCCTCAGCCACAACCCCCACCCCAACACCTCGCGCCTTCCCTCCCTCCTCCTTGTCCATCTCCAAAAACAGCGGCGATCCCAACCAAGAAACATCCCCAACATTCCCAATCCATGTGATAGAGATCGGTGAAACGCACCTTGAGCTTGTTCAACTTGGTGGTCTTCTTGATCTTGAAGAACACTTCTTCGCCGTTGGTAGACACGATCTTGATGTTGAGCGTGTTGGGGTCTACAAGTAGTTATGTGTGTTTTTCATGGGATCACATTTGCCGTTATCGTATCGTGTCGTATTTGATTCGATCCAATCCAGCCGATTTCAATTGAAATAGGAGGAGAGGCAGGGGCAGGAGTAGGGGAGAGAGGAGAAATGAGAAGAGAAAGAAGAGAGCATCAGCTTCTGTATCTTTTTGCCGCTCCCACCATTTCCATTTTACGCGTTCTCTTCGCGCTCGCGCGGGATAGTCCAAAACGCTTTTCACGCCAATCGCACGTCGGCAGATCGGCAGATCGGTGGATGGGTAGAGGAGTGGGGTGTATGGATGGAAAAGGGGGGACAGGGGGACATACCGGCAACGGGTTCTTCAGGCTTGGGCTTCTCCTCAGGGGGGTTGGATCCACGGTCAGACATTCTTGCTTTTAATAACTTTTTCTTTTCTATCCAGCCCCCTCTTGTCAGCTTCCTTGCTCCTTTTCCCCTCTTCATCCTCTAGGGGTCTCAGTAAAGCTTACGAGGTTGCGAAACTAGGTGATACGCGTTGGGGGGAAAGATGGGAGAGGAGGTGCGAAAACATTGGCGTGGGAGAGGGGCGATCGCGCAAGTACGCGTTCGACGCTTCTTATATGGGGGGCACATCCGTATTTCTCGTTGCAGGGCGTACTATCGGGCATCTCGTCATTGGATTTAGGGGGTGTGCTTCTTGACGACCGGAACTTTAATGGGGAGCAGGGACTTGGGGGATGTACTGACCAGGTGAGAAAATGTGAGCTGGTGGGGGCGGTAGGAGATGGCTGAAATTGTAGACTTGCGCGCTGGACATGTTGAACAAGTTTCAACTCGTTTCTTCCACCCGTCATGCAACATAACTCATATATAGGATTAATTCAGTCATGAGCTTGTGATCATTTGCGGGGGAATTTAAGGTAGCAGAAGTTGAGACTCATGCATTCAGAAATATCATAAGGGCCCACGTCGAGCTTTGAATCGTTCTGTAATGGACCTAAATACCAAGTAAGATCAATTAACCGAATGAGCAGCAAAAGCCACTGCATCACAATTCCAACCCTAGAATCATGATCCATATCTTGGTATTTGGACATGTTAACTCACGCCCCGGGATCTGACCCTTAGATCCTTACACGTTCACTCCCAACAAGATGTTCATACAAGGCCGAGTACTAGTTCAAAGACCTATAACATTCGTTCTCTTTCCCCTTCCAAAGCCGCAAGAAACTCCAGCATCTACACATCATCAGCCTCACACCACTCAAGCATACAAACCACTCACAGTCCGATGCCTCCTCTCCGCCTCCTCCCTCCCCGGACCACTCTTCATCCTATCCCTCACCCTCAACAACTTCTCCTCAAAATGCCCCTCCGCACTTGCCCCCCTCTCCCCCCTCTCCTCATCCCCATCATCCACCAACAGCTTTCGCCCCACATGCGAACTGTAAGCCGCACACCGCATCACCCCCACAGCGCCGATAGCGTCAAGCCGATCGGCATCTTGCACTGCGTGCAGCTCCGCGCATGTTTGTTGCCACGTCCATTGGGTTGGGGTGGCACGGGTCATGGCGAGCTCGGAAGTGTAGGAGACGGAGGGGATGATGGAGAGAATCAAGTCGATCTTGTATTGGGGGAGGTGCGGGGAGAGGAGAGGGGTGAGGGTTTGGGACAGGGTGGGGTCGGTGGGCTTGGTGTACTTTTCTTTTGTTGTTTGCATTAGTGGGTTTAGTTGAAAGGGAAGGAGGAGGAGGAGGAGGCCTACTGTCTGCGACGTCGTGGAACAATGCGGCGAGCTCGACGATGAGCAAGTCGGGCGTCGGGTTCATCTGTTTTGCGATAGTCAAAGCCATTTTGCGTACCCGGTCCACTATTACAGCCAAGCTATCAGCGACCTGTAGACAGCAAGATCAGAGAGGGGGACATACCGTGTGGCCAGTCATGAGAAGGGTCATACCTAGCATCATCAGTCAGCGGCGGGTTGCGTCAAATAGATAACAGATAGGGTGAAGCAAAAGACGTTACTTTGCCATATGCGCCTTGACCATCTCTTCTGCTCTGGCGATAAGGTCGGAGTGAGTTTCTTGGGTCATGGTGCCAGTATACCTGTGGGTTTGAGGAGAGGCGGTTGTGGCGAAAGAAGATGTGGAAAGGTGGAAGAGACGATGATTTGGGCTCAAGATGACTGGACCATAAAACGCGTCCGACGCGACGCGTTCATCGTTATCTTGTCGGACATCACCGGTCTTTGATATTAGTCGTTCAACATGCCGTCTCGTGGCCTCGCTATCGACTCTTCCAAGAATGATTGCTTTCTCACCTTCCGGCATCATATCACAATCACCCTTCTCCCCAAGCATGCTAAGCTCTCTTGGCTCTCCTTTGAATCCCATGACGTCTGTTTTCATGAAAGGAAACATCAATCGCCCTTGCCTCTCCTTTTCTCAGACCTCATACTCTATCACAGCAAGGGGTGTACTAAGATGAAGGCTCATAATGACCATCAATGGAGGGACATACAATATAACTCACTCGAAACCCTTCTTGCCGCCCAACACTCGCTTGTCTTCTTCCTATCAAGTCGAGTATATCTCGGCCCTCCTGTCAAGAAGACTCATGTTCATCGCCGACTTTTACCCTCACTCAAACTATGCTTCAAAGCAGAGTATGGCCTAGCAACTAATCATGGGGAATGCTCAGTCGAATTACCAGCGCAGAGCCGATCTGAATGGACCTTTGTTTGGAGGACATTATTAGGGGGATTTCTCGATACGCGTAAGTGCAGATTCACCACACTTTGTGGTAAAAATCTAGCTCTGATGCTGAGGGCTGGTAACATTGTAGGGTGGACAGCAGCAGCACCAACCTGATATCAACAAACCTCTACCACCGACGCCCCGAACAAAGACTGTCAACTTTGGTACCGATCCTGCGTATGTCTCAGCCTCATACACCCACAACAGATCTGTTCGCAGAAAAGCTGACAAACAGGTCGCAGCCCATGGGTCTTTTACAAACATCGTCCCCCCGACGAAAACCTCGTCAACACCCGCTACTGCCACCCATCCTACCGGAGCCCATCCCCACCTCAACAACAGCAAGTATCGCCACCTCCGCCATACCCATCTTGGATCGATGAGAAGGGGTTAGTCGTTCAGAATCAATAACACCAAAACCTTTGGGTTTGAACGACGGCCAGCTGACGGAGAATATAGGAGGACGAGAATAGATTACATGCCTATCTATGTGTAGCCCGTGTACGAAAATATGTGTTGTTATGTGACCTGTATGAACATGCTCTCGACACCTACTGCGCCTTTTCAGCACCCTCAACACCTCTAGCCTCTTTCGCAGCCGCCGCCTTCATCTCCATCCACTCTGCGTCCGTCCCCACGGCTTTCCCCTGCCCCTCCACCGGTTTGGCCGCGGGCTCTTCGCGTGATGATGTAAAAGGGTTGAGCTGCTGAGAGATCCGCGAAATGTGCGAAACGTGCGATTGGACGGGTTCAAAACCATTCACCGGTGCTGTGATCCGAGAATACTCTTTCGGCAGCAAGATAGCTCTTAATCTCACCATCAGCCCATCGTCCAACAAATTCTACACACCGTGATACTCACCTATCGATGGCCACGGGTAAACCACGATGCCTGCCTCGGAGCATGACGAGGATCATAATCAACTTTGATACCGTACCAAATTCGCCAGAGAAGGCGTAGTTGTTGTTTGGCGTGCCGAGCGTGAGGCCGATAGTGGCGTATGCGCTGGTACATTCAAATAGGATGCGAAAGACTGTAAACCACTCGCTCCTATCATCCCGTCAACATCTCCCCTCATTGCACACGACGAAGAAAGACTCACTTTTCAGAATCAACAATCTTTCCTCTCTCAAACACACATATAGCAAGCACAGCCGCTGCCAAAGGCCACACATCAAACGCCAGCTGTTTCCGCATATGCCACATCAAATACTTGCTAAACACTTCCCCTCTACCTCCCTTGATTTCGGGCTCAGCGTCGGAAGAGGTGGAGGGGTCATCTTCTTCGTAGATGCCGAGAGCACGTTCTTCGTAGACGTTGGTGGATCGGACGGACATGGCGATGGCTTGGGGGTGTTGTTAGTTTGGGATGGGGGTAAGAGGAAGAGGAGGGGACGTACGGTAGATGGCGACATACATCAGGATCTCGAATAAAATCAGCATTGTTCAGCTGACGGTGCGTTACTCACGATATAGATAAACAACACGGCCGGCGCCATACTCGAGACATTCACAATCCCAAACCCCGACGCCCTCACACTCAAACTCTGATACAACCCCACCGAAAACCTCTCCCACCCACCCAAACTCTCAAGCACCGGCAACCCAATATTGAGCAACAAGAACGAAAGCAGCTCGGCGATCGTGAATGCGATAAGGATGAAGAGGAGGTACCACGTTTGATGACTTGGAAAGAGGTAGAGGAAGCAGCGGCGGGGGTGGTCGAGCAGAAAGTGGAAGGATTCGTGTCGGGTTCCGGTACGGGTGACTTTGGTGCCAATCCAGATGATGAAGCGGAGAACGATGGGGAGGGCGTGATTGCCGACGAGGAGACCGATCATGATGACGTAGATGAGGAGGTAGTTGGTTTGGAAGGGGATGAGGCCTTGGTCCGTAAGCCTATTGTTGCGGGTCAGTAAGGTGGTATATAGATAAGGAAAAGACGCACACCATACCGCACCCGGCGTAAGCGGAGGAAGAGAGGAAGAGGGAGAACCAAGTCTTGTTGACGGTCCCAGCTTGTGTCCCAGCGTTCGCTTCAAAGGCGCTGTCCCAAGAGTGCACCTGAGAAAAGTAGATGGCGAGGACGGCGAAAGGGATGACTTGGTAGAGGAAGATGTACTGTCGCCATTAGCCTTTTGGCGAGAGGATTGAAAGCGTACTCACAGAAGAAACGAGATAACTCAACAGCCTGAGCGCGCGATACTCTACCCCTCCAATCTGCTCCAGCTCTTCATCCTCCAACTCTTCCGTCCAAAACCTCGAATTCCGCCCCACCACAATCCTGCCCAGCCCCTCCGGTAACCACTTTGCCACACTCCCCGCCAGCTCTTCCTTCCAGCTCTCCTCATGCTCCGGCACTGGCCCGGCTCCAGGTTCTTCTCCTTGTGCAAACTCATGTTTGAAATCAGGGTGGTTGATGATATGCAGCCGCCGCGTGGGACGGGTGAGGCGACCTTCGGTTTTTGGAGGGAGGAGGCGGTTAGCGACTTGCCAGAGCGTTGGGAACCCGCCCATGCCCGTGTATTTGTGGTCGTGCGCAGCAGGGTAAGGAATGTTGGGCGCGGTATTGGAAGCGTGGGTGGCGTGGGTGCGGTGGCTCGTATGTGAGGCGTGGCTGGTGACAGGAACAAGGGGATGGTGAATATCGTGGGGGAGTCCGTCGTTGACGATGAATTTAGGGCGGTTGGGCGACAAGGTGATACTGTTTACGCGAGTTTGCCGGCGGACTCTTTGGCGGGCGTCAAAGAGGGGGTTGATGGCGCGTTGGATGATGATGGGCTGGGGTTGCTTGAGGGCGGTGGTGGTGCCCTGGGCAGAGTCGGCTCGAGAGACGGTAGCGCCGGTATTGAGCAAAGTGCGAGAGGCGCCCCCGGACCTGCCGACGGTCGATGGGACGCTCTGGTATGGAGCGTCACGCCCTTCTCTAGACTCGGCACTCTTCCGATGACTCTCTTCAAACGTCATCTCCACCGGCGAGTCAGACATGACCTGTTCCTCCTGCGCTACCCCGCCGTTCTGCCCCTCTTCATGCCCAATATCCCCAAACGACTCGATCTTGTGCCCATCCATCGGCCCAGAAAAGGCAACATCTTTCCCCTTCAGCCTCTTGACAGTCGACTTGGTTGTCGAGTACTCGGGGAGGCCGCGGCGGGATCGGTCGTTGGCGAGAAGCTGTTCGCAATGGGTACGAAAGTAGCGCTTGCGGACGAGTACCATGATGAGGGAGACGAAGGAAGAGTCGCCGATGATAAAGAGGACGAAGAGCATGAACTGCTGGAAGGGGTGGAGGGCAGAGAGGTTGATAGTACATAAGCCTGTCGTCCTGTGGTCGGTCAGCTGGAGGCATGGGAGAGAAGAAATCACGCACGTCATGGCCGAGAAGCACATGAATAGGCAGTCGAGGTACTGCACCTTTTGCAGTCCTGTCAGAGCGCTGTTGGCATTGCCGGTCGCCGATCCATTCGCAGCGTAAAAGATGCCAGAGGCAATGACTGCTCAGACGTCAGAGACGTTCCGTCCTCAAGGATGTACAGCTCACTGGGTATGAATGTGAATATCAAAATGTGTACGCGAAAGAAATTGAGGTGTCTGAGCCCACTATGCCAGTATTCAGACATGGCGGACGATGCTGCTTTTGCAGGTTTGTGGAGACAAGGGAATGAGATATCATCTTGGGTATTGTTTTGGGGCATGTTTTTCGAGGGATGAGGTACCAGTGCGTTGTCAGGTCTGGATTTCCAGAGGGGGTCTTGTAGCTGTCAGGGAGGGGCCTTTGGGTGACAGGCGGTGCGCGGCTGGCAATCCTGGCGACGTCCTCAAGGCGGGCGGCGAGGCGAGGCGCTATACTCAAGACATCGCAGGGGCAGATCGGGGCTGCGAAAGGGCGAAGGGTTGGCGTACGAGATGCCAAAGGATGGGGGCTGAAACTTTTGAATGCTGCAAATAACGTGGGAAAGGATATGCAAGAGAGCACTCGTCACCATCAGGTACCAGGTGGTCGGCCTCCACCGCCACACTGGGTCACTCAACATCAATTTCCCTCGTGTCGTTCTTCACTGCCATGGTGATGCTCAGATATGTAGAGATACTGGCTGGTTATACACACAACTGTTTGTTTGGGGCTATGGATTGCAGGTGGAGTCTGTTGAAAACAGACATGAAAGGGTCGTCGTACTGTCACAAATCGCCGACTCTCATGATCCTTTCTTCTGTCTATCGACTCCTGTTACGACTTTGCTTACACTCTTACCATCTCTGATTATGATTCACACTTTTGATTTTGTACTCCACCAATTCTGCTTCTCGCTATCTAGCAATCCTACTCACGGTCGCTCTCTCCCCAACCCGAAAACAACGTTCCCGCCAACATAAAGACTAGCCCCTTCAGCGCCCAGGCTCATAAAATAGTACAAAATGACAGACTACATACCAACGACCAACAGACAATGCCATCAACCCCCATCTCGCTCTTCTACCTCCACATTCTCCCGCCCTAACATGCCTTTTCCAACACAGTATTCCCAACCCCCATCCCGCCCTGCTCCCTCCTCATTCAATCGCCCTCACATGCCTTTCCCAACATCAGCAAACAACAACAGCAGCACGAGCCGCCCTACGTACACCCCAAGTCCAACTGCCTCCAGCGGTACTGGGCGGCAGTATCCATCGAACGTTTGGACCGCACCCGTACCACCCCACGGCAGGCGGACGGCGGTTCAACCAGCATATGTCTCGGCAGCATCAGGGCCGCCGATACGCCGAACGCAACTATCAAACCCATCTAGCAATCTATTCGGACCTTCACAACCCACATATACATTCGGCCTGAAAGCGCCCAGCGAAAGAAAGACGGAGGAAAGTACGTTCTGGGAATTGCCATCTGCAGTCAATGCTAGCAAAACGCATGGGGATATATATCAAGACTGGCTAAATAGCCAGGCGGGAGATGCGAAACAATCTCTGAATTCGCATGCCAAGACGGCACAAGACACGATACCAAAAGTCAAGCACAAGTCAAAGATGACTGATAAAAGTTATGGCGCTGTCTTTTCGGCCGTATCACGAATTCGAGAGAGGGTGTCGGCTTGTGAAGACCCACAGTTGATATCAGCCTACAATAATCTCTCTGCCAGTCTGAGAGATCTTGAAGACGATCTCGGCGAGGAGAGGGAGGCGAGAGATGGGTTGGCTGAAGCACACGCAAAGTCGGCGGCTGCTTCGTATAAAGGGTGGAGATTGACAAGAGCGGGGCTGGATGTTGAGAGGGGTACGCAGTCTCTGGATGATGCGCGTTCGTATGCGAAGCTATACAAGGACGATCTTTCCTCTTCCAGAGCATGTGAGTCGCTCTCTCCGGAATCAGTTCTATAATTATCGTTTTCGACGAACATGTGATTGCTGACGACTGTTTCCGATAGCATCGCGGCAGCAAGCACCATGGGAAGAGCTCCTCCTAAGCGTCAACAACCAATCAACCTCCAACATCATCCGCCAAGCATATCGATCAGCCAACCCGGATGATGACGAGACAACGCCAGCTTCCAGAGTACGCGCAAAATTGCAACGACGTGGATCGACATACGCATCTTCTTCGGCACCTTTTTCGACTTCTCCTTCAAGTGGGTCGACGCCGGGGTCGACTCGGCGTCCCTCGTTTCTCTCAAGGGTGCTTAGGAGCGCCTCATCCCGTGGATAGTTGATAGCATCCTCTATCAACGACTGTAGAAGGAGATCCTATCTTCTTCCCCTTCATAGTTGGACTGTCTCCTCGGAGCTTGTGGCAGGCACAGATCGATCCATTGATATGAGGCTCAGGCGGATGCGTTCTATCATTTCAATACAGTTTGTAACACTATATAAAGCTTGTGGGGAGGTGAATATGGTCTTCCTATCGCGCAAAATAAGTCCCACTATACTTCGAGTCCCGCCAACGAACCCTTCTCCTCTCTCAACCTATCCCCAGATGCTCTCTCCTCCTCACCGTCGCCCCGCTTTCCGCCCTTCCCAAATACGCGCTTCACCAAAGGTCTATTCCCAGAGAAGAAGAAGATGAGAGGCAGCACAGCGACAGCGATACCGAATGCGAACCAGATGACGGCGGACCAACCGTTGGGGATGCGGTCGTAGAACTGGCCGCCTATGGTTGTGCCCACAGCTGTAGAGATGGCTATAGGTACGTCAGCATCCAAAACCCATCAGATGCCTTCAGGGAGACGTGGCTGCAAAGACACTTACCGAAGGCGATTTGGAGGGCACCGAATTGGTCTGAAAGATCCACAGGCTGATCAGCGGGGCTCTCGAGTGGGTCATAGAAGGTGGCAGCACGCACGGATCTCGCTCAGTCCCTTGATATCTCTGGCTACCATCGTTACTTCTAGGCCGGCAGGGTTCATCGCGCACGTGATCATAAGGTCTTGTCATATACGTCAGCCTCTAGTCGACATACTGTATAGTAGCATTGGAAGTAATTGTTGTATGTACTCACTGACAAGAGCGAAGAATATGATGAAGCCCGGAAGACTGCCGGTGAGTAGCATAAGGGGTATCCATGGTAAGACGAGAATCATACATGGCAGCATGATAAATTCTGCGCCGAAGCGATCGCTACATGCGCCTACGATGGGGCCGGCGAAGAAGGTAGGGGCGGCGGCGGCGACTGAGGACGTTCTGATCAGCCTGGATTCGTATAAGGTGCGAGACCTGAAAGAAACCGACGGTAGACAAGGCCGACAAAGCCAGAATTCTTGTCCCATAATTCCTGCACGCGTAGTGTCAGACTATTACGGTTTTCGTCAACACCTGTGCAAGTTTCAAGAGACTTCAGGGTACTGACGTGGGCTCCAAAAGTCCAGTAATGATGCCAAAGACAAACATACTCATGAACGCTGTTATACCTCTCGGCGACTTGCACAGCGCACCAACAACGTGACCTGGTTTCAGACCCTCGCCCATCATCGTTTCTTTCTCCGCCTCAGTCAATGCCATACAGCTGGTATCCTCTATGCCAGGATTGTCGGGCATCACAACTTGACCGTCCACGATAGTCGGCTTGAGAGATCCGGGCGGGAGGTTGAAGCGTTCTTCATGGAACTGGCGGATGGTAGTGTTTTCGAGGATGAACAGACGCAGGACGAGGTCGATGAAGCAGAGAATCTCGCAAAAAATTAATGGAGCTTTCCAGCCCAGATGCTGGTAAAGGGCGCCTCCTATGGGAGGGGCCTAAAGATAGGTTGAGTATGTGTACTGTCATGTGCAGAAGAGTCGTCACTCACAATACTCTGTCCCATAGAGAGACCGGCCATGGCATAACCCAGTTGACGTCCAACGTTCTCCTCTTTGACATTTTCGCAGCTGACCCATACTAGTCAGCTCTTCGCTAGGCTACACTTGTGACTGGAATCAACTCACATAAGCGCAAAACCTAGACACCAGACCACAGTGCTGGCTGCTCCTTGCACAAAACGGCTCAGCACCATACACCAGTAAGGCTCGGCGAGCATGAACAGAAGCAGCGCCAGCATCATGGTGAACACAGCACCTATGAGCGGTGCTCTGCGGTATGGATAGCGATGGAAGAAGTAGGAGACGGGGAGTGTACAGGTGAATATGCCTGCAGAATAGGCAAAGAGGAGCCAGGATGTGAGTGAAGAGATGTTAGAGTAGTTGAGTGATTGAAGCCGATAAGGGAGGACGGGGACTACGATGGCCTGGGCATATGGTCAGTGTCCGCGAATGGGAATCAAGGAAAGGACGTACATAGACAAGAGTGTCGATAGCTACCCCGAACGTGACCACAAGAGTAATATACCACGCCGAATTCCGCCACTGTATGCGAATTCATTAGCATGCAGGAATAAAGGTGAGGTTTACTGACTTACTCTTGCGCCCCAGGGTAGGGTCCTGCCCTCTGTAGAAACTTGTCCAGCTGCGCCGTCAAGCTTCTTGGTCATTGTTCAAGATGCAGTGTTGGTGTCTTTGTGGATGAGACGTGACGGAGAGTTGATCTGCTACGCCAGTGAAAGATACTCAAAAAATCCATTGATTCCGTATATATAAATGGCAGTCCGTGGTTAGTAATGTGTTCCGTGGCTGGCGGATTTGGCGAAGGTGAGCATCTTTCTGGCGACATCGATCTACAGCTTGGCGAAAGAAGTCTGCTAGACTCATGTTGACTCGTCGCGTTTCGACTCGTCTCTCTCGCCAAACTCGCGGATTGCCAAACGGATTGCCCAGGCCGAGAAACAACGCCGACAGCATGCGTAGCGGTGGTTGCCGAGTGTCGAAGCTCGTCGTGAGCCATGTACTTGTCATGTTTCATTGAGATCAAGTCTAAATCGAGTAGATGTAGGGCACAGCACGTCTACGTTGGGATGAGAGAAAGACCAACGTCTGTCGGTATCGATTGATCCCTTGCACACATGCTCAAACGTTGTATCCCCTGTCAACCCCCTGTGCCAGGTCACATACCCATTATCGTTCATCCATAACCCCTACGACGATCCCTGTGTTCCCTCCCAATGTATAGCAGTACTTCACAGCGCCTCTTGTCCACTCCCCCTACTATTCATCCTCCCCTTCAGCATCCTCCTCCTCCAGCGGCCCCTGCACGTTTGTATAATACAAATCATCAGTCGACTTGAGTACAGGATAGGCGGTGGAAACTTGCTGGAGACGTATATGATTCTCTCATTGACTGGCCCTTGGAATAAATCGGCGGAGATAGGAGTTGAGCATGTCCCTTCAATAGTCGATAGATGAATTGACAAACGATGGAGATATGGCCGTCGTGGAACAAGGGATCTTGGGGTGAGATGGTGTTTCATAAGGGCCAAAATTGAAAGTCGGCCTGCAATTTGGAACCAAGGAGCATCGACTTCCTGTAGAAGATTGGTTAAAACACTTCATACATGCTGCTTTCCCTTTCATCTCACCGCCCAAATGCTCTTCTAGCCCCCGACAGTACACCCCTCTCTTGTCGATAGTGATCCAGAAGACATATTAAAGCTTGCTCTTGATCTCCTCAAAGGTCTTCTTAATCTCATCCATAGGAGTCTAGCAGCCATATCAGCACTCATTCATTGAAACAAAAACGCGCGAGGGCACCCACTTTTTGACCTGTAAGCCGAACCCACCCCGCACAGACATCAGTCAGTAATCCATGCCACGGATATAAAGTGAAAGGCAGCGTACCGGGCCATCCAACGACCAAACCCTCCTTGTCTCCAGCATCAGCAGGCTTGGGAATAACGTGGAAATGGACGTGATCGACTTCTTGATGAGCGGGTCTGCCGTTGTTCTTTTGCCTGAATCAGCAAGAAGCCCTTGTCTGTGGAAGCGGGAGGGGAGATAAGACGTACTTGGAGAATGTTGTAGTTCTCGGCGCCCTTTGTAGAGATGTCAGCTTGAGATTTGATGCGAAAGGTCAAAGCGGAGACGGTACGCACGGTAGCGATAGCGAGCTTCTTGAGAGCGGGGAGAATCTCGCTCATCTGGTCGTCAGGAAGGTCGGCAAGCTTCGCAGCGTGGTCTACTCACATCGGTCAGTTTACAGTAGTTCTGAAGAAGAACGAACGTACACTTGGGAACGACAAGACAGTGGCCCTTGGAAATAGGTCCAATATCCATAAAAGCGAGGATAGACTCCGATTCAATGAGCTTGAAACTATAGGCACACAGTCACACCCGCCACCCCACGCACTCTGGTCAGTCACATATCGAACAGCGAAAGGGGGTGGACTTGCGAAGGGATTTCACCTGCACGGCCGGTGAGCTCTCGCCTCGAGTCTGGCCGAGGAAGCGTACTTACCCTTGACAATCTTGCAAAAGATACAGGAGGCGAGGGAGGACATTCTTGGGGTGGCTTGTTGCTGTTGTGAGTAGGTTATAGCGTTGTGAAAGAGAAGAGTGGTTTTGCTGTCGCTGTCCAATTCGGCGAAGTTGCAGCCGGCTCGGAGCCCCAAACGCTTATGTAACGTCGCGTCGCGTCCATCTTTTTGAACTTGTTTTGGACTGTCGGTATGTAGATGCCGATGCAACTGTTCAGCTACTCAGAATAGCCGGGCCTACATCGACATATCCCCAGCGACCCTTCAATCCTCCTCATGAGTTTCCACGTCGGCAAGAGCCTGCCCAAGAAAAGGACGACGGCTACCATCCTCCAAATGAAGCAACTGTCGGACCTGCTGGTGTGTATGTATCAGGGCTTCTTTGACGATCTGCCGGACTACCAGACTTAGGGCGCGAAATCATCATGGAGTGCTGTCTTTGTGACCGTCAACGGGGTGCAATTTTTGCGAGTGGTCTTGAGGCGCTTGATCCACGCCGTCTCCTAGCCAGCGCCATCTCTCCGATCCATTCTCCCGCCTTCAAACCCAAACCCTCTCCATTCTCCTTGTTAGTAGACCTTCCTATCACCACCTCATTGCTTCTTGGCAGTATCACATCCGAAGCGCCGCCGATCAGTACCATCAACCGGTTATGCACCCTGTCTATCATCATAACGATCGATCCGGCGAATATGCAGGCAAGTGAAGCTGGTTGTAAAAGTCATTTTGCATGATTCGTTTAAGGAACTATGATGATGGTCATTGAGTGACGACCATGGTTTGGTTGTTGTAGTAGAAAGTGTGATTCCCGTATGAAGATGCTATGATTATGAACACATGAATAGCTCTTTGCCTCGAGCACGGAAAGATTCCCCCATATCCTCGAGACGTTACCACCCCTTGCCCATATCAGCCTCAACACCCTCCATCGGCGTACCCCAGTCCTGCTCCTTCTCTTCGCTGACCGGTTTCCATCCCGTCCACTTCACGGAAAGTCCATCTCCCCTGCTCTTGGTCACTTCAAACTCTCCATCTCCTTGCCCTCCCTGTCCTAAAGGCGCACAATCACCCCACCCGCCGAGGGAACCCACCAGCCACCGCTTCGACCCACCACAAACCGCCGCTATCGCCAATACCCCCCAAAGCTCTTCGAGCGATACTTCCGGTGTCGACGACCCCCCGAAAAACTCTCTCACTTTGGCTCTGACAGCTTCCGGGTCGGCCTTCGCCCCGTCCCCCGGCGCCGTCCTCGGATGACTAAACCTTCCCGCCAACTTGTGCGGATGCGACGATTCCTTGCTAGCGGGCATGAATGGTAACGGTGTCGTGCGGACGGACCGGGGAGAGCGCAGGGGCATACCGCTGCCCATACGGAAGATGGCGGTTTGGGAGGCAAAGATGGGTTGGTTGGCGTTGTGTTTGTCGTCGGGGGGATAGAAGGAGGGGTGGGAGGATGTGCCGACGCCTGATACTTCGACTTCGTACCTAGAGCAAAAGTCAGTAATGAAAAAAGAGAGAGGGAGATGACGTACCCCCAGTCGGCAGCAGCTGTTTCGGCCCATGTCCTGAACTCTGCTCCGGTCATCTCGATCTTGTGGTCCGAGTGCCTGCAATCACGTCAGATCACGTCCTTGCGCCCCTTGCAAACCTGTGGGTACTCACCTGAAGACACGCTGAGTACGTCCGGTAGGATCCACAAACCCTCTCTGTGCAAACCCATCTTCCTGCGCTCGCGGAAACTTGGCATTGAAGTCGAAATTCTACACATACACCATCAGTCGTGTGCCCACAGTTACAGGAAAGAGGAGGAGACTCACGGGTGTAGAAATCAGCATCAATCTCGGCCGATACGTCCCCAACGTAACGACACCAAACCGGCTGAGCACATTCGGGTCCAAATGCTCAATAACCTCGAGCGCGACGATAGCCTCGTAACCTTCCAGCTTGGCGTTGTACTTTTCGAGGCCGCCGAGCCAGAGTTCGGTACTGAGGGGTTCCCAGCGGGGACGAGGGGGAGGGAAGGCGTTGGAGGAGGATTGGGGGTTGATGATGGAGAGCGCAGGAGCAATGACGTCGCGGGAAGCGTCGATACCTCCAAGACGCTTGAGAAGAGTCAGCCTTGTCATACTCTGAAAAGAAGAGGGACGCACGTTGATGAACAACTCGCTTTCATGGTCGAATCCGTCTTCATCGCTATCAACAGGACTAGGGAGCTGCGAGCCTTTCTGTTGTCGGGCAGGCTTGATGGGAGGCTCGTAGACGGTAGACGCTGGCATCATGAGTGTCTCGAGGAGCGCACCTGCGCCGCATCCTACATCGAGGACCTGTACGGTGCGTCAGCGCTGAACATGAAGGCATGCCTGGTTTCACTCACAGATCGTACACCTTCCTTTCGGAGCGCCTGTAGAGCCCACTGTCGACGCTGCATCCAAAGCCTACAGAAAATCAAGCGTCAGCAAGGTCGGTCTATTTTCCAAAGATGTGGCCATGGCAACAGTCCACGTGCTGATGTCGACTGCCGACCAGCCAAGCGAAGGGTGGCTTACTCGGGTGAAAATGTAACGCCCGTGACGGCAGTTTCCTCGACCATGGAGACCTCTGGTACCAACGCATCCTCTGGAAGGGTATCGTGGGCCAAGAGCTCGGGGGAGCTGGCGGGGGACTCGTCGAGGTCGACATCAGGAGGAGGGGGCATGGTGGAGAAGCGCAGGGAGTTGTACTCTAGGGCGATGAAGTAGGAGGTCGAGTAATGTGATAAGAGATAGTCCGGGCGGATCTCGGGAGGGGGGATGAAAGGGAAGATGATATTATTTTTTCAAGTTGAAAAGAAGGAGAAAGAGAAACGAAAAGCGAGAGTTGTCCATCGAAATAGCCGGCCCGCGCCCCACGCGGGGCTTCAATCAAAGAGTCGAATCCCCCCGCTTCATGCTTGTTGCCCTTATGCATAGTGTGATTGGAGGGTATTGGGTCGCATGGACACCCCCCATGCTACGATGGTGCATGGGCTGCATACATATGCCCCGCGACGGACAAAAAGCTGTCTTGGCTTTAGCGAGTACGGCACCCCGCTCGCGAAGCATACTTTGCCGGTGCTCCGTTCCGCTCTCCATCCCAGCTTTCTCTCTCCCCTTCGCCCACACTGCCCTTCTCTACCCTTTCCTCTCTTCTTCCCCTCCATCCTCTCCCTGCCCCATACATACATCCCCCATCCCTACAACCCCTCGCCACTCTCGGCACGTGACGCTCCCCTGAACGCTGACCCCGTGGTGTCCCGCCTCTGCCTGACGTCTCCGGCAAATAAAGCACGCCATTTTGATCCCGTGATTCCAACTTTTCGTGCCTGGATGCTTATCAGATTGTGTGGACTTTTGTGGCAATGGGGCAGTCACTGCCACCTCTATCCACTGGAACGGGCCGTTGACGATATCCATACAAAAAAATCTTGCGGCTTCACTAGATATTAGATTGGCGGATGTGAGAGGAAGGTCAGTTTCGTTCGAGGATCAACTGTCGGGAGGGATGAATCGTACGAGGCTGCTTCTTGTTGGCGTACTGCTCTGTATGGGTTTGGTTGGAGTGGCGTAACCTAGGGGCGGTCACTAGGAGGATCTGACTAGGAGCGCCAGATGTTGACCTTGAATAGGCTGGATGAGAGGAGAATGGATATAGGTAGGATGGTTTACACGACAATACATCGGTGGGGAAAAGGTTACGGAGACGCGGCACGATGTATATATGGGAACCTCATCTCGCAATGCCACCTACGCATCCCTGAGACTATAGCGGCAACCCGAACACCGAACCCTGCGTTCCATAGCACACGCCACAACATCTCCTTCTACAAGCCAATCTGTACCAATCCCTTGCATCCTCTCGTCATCATGGAGTGCCACGCGGGGCTATGCCGACCGACGGGTCAGCTACTCTTACAGAGACATTGCTCGTAATGACTTGACGGTGTATGTAGACCGAGTGCTCGAGTACTTTGTCAAGCAAGAAGCCAGATAGATGTTATATCGGCCCGGGCCGCAAAGCTAATTAGAATGTGTGTTTGAAGAAAATATTGGTTCATCGTAGAGGGAAGAAGTATGAAGTAGCTCCGAAAGACCTCCTCATATATCTGCAAGATCGGGTTATATGGACTAGTCGGAGGAGGAGCTAGCTCTCGGCGAGTTCGTAATGAGCCATTAGCGACCAGTTCGCATTTGAGTCATCCGTGAGGAATCCGTTTAAGCCTGACCAATCCGGACTTGACAGTACGAGTAAGGAGGAATGATAAGAACTGAGAAGACGAGGGGATAAAAGCCGAGAGGCTTGTTCAAGACATATCGGGACGAAAGACCTGATACTGTGTTTGGAGTCGCCAGAGAGTAAGAGTGCTCCTATCGTACATGATGCGAATCATGCAACATCATTGAAACTTCTTAGGTCCACCAATGCAAACTATATGTCCCCTCGAAATCAAGTTGCGAGTTGACCCTATGGGGCCCTGCTATAGTCTCACCCTACTTTGGCAACGTACATGACAACGTTCTGCTCCACACCCCTCGCACTCTCGCACCCTGTTACGTCGAGTCCCGGAATAGCATGGCCACCAACCTCCTCCGACCTCAGTGCAGACAGTATGGTGTGTAGGACAGCGACACAGGTGGTACAGGGGTAATACTGCGGCCTGCGGATGATGATGCCTAAGCTGGTTTATGTGCAGTAGATCACATGCCATACCCTGACCATCAGCTGTCACACTCAGTGAGCACATGTACACCACCGACGCCCACTGGGGACAATGAATAATGCAGAGGTAGATGCAGACACAGATGTGTTATGTAGAGGACCTGCTTCCATAAGCCCGACATGATCTGAGTCCGATCATCCGATATGGATTGCATCCCTTGCCCCTGCAATCAGCGTCAGCTCATCGGGTCAGTCTTGCAAAACACCCAAAGGGCCTCGACCAGCCTGGAAGTTTGTCAAGCTTGTTGTCAATGCTCGATCGTGATCGGACATTACTCATCCCCGGGGGGGCGTGCTTGATCGTACCTATCACGTGTCAGGGTTACGTGTAACAGTGATCAGGACTAGTAGCTCTGGAGAGGAACAGGAAAAGATCGTTGATCGCCGCTTCTATCGATACCAGCCACCACAACACACCAGCAGGAGAGGAGAGGCAAATGGACGAACGTTGTTCATCTGGTCCCTAGGTATAGCAATGCTCGAGTACCTCGATGACCTGTTTCCATGGTGATTGTTGGAATATTCTCCTTGACATAACGCCTAAACGATGTGGGGGAGAGATCTGGGCCACGCTGCAGGGGAGACCCAAATCTCTTATACTGGTATAGTATCGTTCAACATACTCGTACGATACGCGTGTCACCTCTGGACCTGCTCTTGTTCGGATGTACCCCAATACTGCCAGATACGTATATCACATGTCTACAAACAAGCTTCTAGCTGAGATCTCGGGGTGTGGTTGTTAGTCGAAACGGAGCAGTCGGGATACGACTCCTCGAAGCTACGTCCACCTCCGACACCGCTCGCTCCATGCACTCCACACCCCATGCTTTCCCGAAGCCTTCCAACACATGTGTCTCTCTCTGATCTCATGCTGTAAAAGTAACAATCAAGGCCTGGACTGATGCACCCAGCCACAACGCTGCAGCCTAGAAGGTAGCGACGCAAGCGTTGGTGCGCAACGTTGAATGATCACAAGGGCGACTCACCTCAATCTAGAGTCGAGACCGATGGAAAGTCTTGGAGTCTCGGTGTAGCACAAGGACAGAGCGAGAGTATGCTTGGGGTACAACATGTGAGTATGCATATCCAAGTAGATACTTGGCCGAGGGCGCAGCGATAGCTTAGTAGCAAGGCCCGGCCTCGTCGCGTCTGACGTTGTCGGTCGCGAAGAATAATGAGATCACATTACGAGTCTATGTATCAACAGCCCAGTCAAGTACTGTATGTATACATGCCCCCTCCTCGGGCATACAATACACAATACAAGAGGAAACAAACCGCCCCTTTGAAACGACACAGCCCAAGGCCCAAAGCCCATCGAGGCACCATGCAAAAAAATGCACCCGGCCACATCAGCATCACGCTTGATCGGAATATTCCAAGGCGCACTGCACTGCAACGTCTGCGAAAATGAGAGATCAGGGTGCCTTTGGCTCTGCCTTACTTTCTGCGTGGTCTGGAACGAGGAGCAGCATCAGCAAATTTTGACTTTGGGAGCATGGATCTGGAGGACTTGACGGCGTTTCGGACGACCGATGGGAAATAGAAGTTGGGGAAACTCTGGGGAAATGGGCAATGTTGGTCGGGAAATATGGTATTCCAAGAGGGGTAGCGGGTGGGTGGCATGGGCTGGGCAAGGGCGAAGGCTAAGATCGCAAGGTAGCTTGCTCGGACGACTGCCTCGGGGGGGTGGGAAATTTTCAGTTCTTGAGATGAGAAATGTACTTAAGCTGGACATTCATTCGCCTCTTCGCTCATCAAAACCACCTTCTTAGCAACTCTCAGAGCCACCTCTAGCCACCCCAAACTCCCGCCCATACCTCGCAAAATGTCTACCGCCTCTCGCTCTCGCTCCCCAATCTTCCTCATCCTCATCCTCCTCCTGGTCCTCGTCTTCATGACCGCTCCAGCAGATGCCAGCATGGCGCCAGTCTACATGCACTACTACTGCCGCCAGCAATGTGATTCAACATTCAGGATGTGTGCTATGAGTGCCCGTGAGTCTTGCTCCTTCTTATCTTGTTTTGGTTTGGCTATGGCCGCTGCTTCTTCGGCGATCTCGTTGTCCTCAGCGTTGGAAGAGGATATGTGGGTCGTGAGTGGTGTGATGTGGAGGCCTTGCTTCTATTGAGTGCTCTCACTCTCATGTGCGCTTGGCCGGGTCCTTGCTGTTTCTTCTGCTTGTATCTTGTCCAGGGTCCGGCGGTCTCTGCTTCTTTCGCCACTCGCCACTGAATGTGGCAACCTCACCTTTCGCCACCCACCCCTAATCTCCCTCTTACCTCTTGCTTACCGCCTTATTTCTCTCCCTTCTCAGAGATATCCAGAGTGTATGAATGCTGACTCTACTCTCCTAGACTCTGGCCCCAGGCTGGCATCATGCTTCTCTATCCGCGGCGTCTGCTACATGCGCTGCTGACAGCCCTTCTCCCCTCCCCTTCCAACTTGTCACAACACCACCACGATTCAAAAGACACATTCCAGCACACTACATCTCTATCCCCCGTCGCATCCTCCAGTCTTTTCATTCTTCCCTTCTTGGCGTTGCTCGGTTTGCATATAGATATGTATAGACACTTCCCGCTGCTCTTTCTCATCAGCGTTCAATTCTACCTCAACGACACACTTGTAATATCAACTTTATAGAACGTACCTCTCTTCTTTAATCACAACAACAGACAATTATAGACATACTTGCCTCCTTTTTGGCTTGTATAGACTTTCTCAAATCATAGATGGGTGAACATGCATTTAGACAGATATAGATGGGCATTGCCGTCTTGTGCTTATATATGTCCAGCCGGAGAAAGAGGCACCGGTCGGATGCAAAGATCCCTGACAGGGGCCGGGATGAAGATGGTGCGGGATTGAAGGGTTGAAGGATGGGTGATGGATTATTCGGGTGGTTCGCCGCACGCATGCAACAGCAGGTTTCATCGGCCTCATCGGGAGGTGGCCAGAGCGTATCGTAGACGATAGAGCAGAAGAAACGCAGACCAACCATATTGGGAAAGGCAGTCTTGCTGAAAGTGGGAAAGCTAGAAGAGGCCATACAGGGTGGTGAACGCACAGCGCTCGGGACACCTTGCGGAAATACACCTTCCACGGTCCACCACCCTTCGAAAAATCCTTTTGTCTCCCCTTCACCCTAGCTCGGCGCAAGCCCGGGAAGGAAGGGCTTGTGTCGAGCCAGCCCCTTCACCCCCTCTTCGTGTCCCTCCCTCCCTCTTCCGCCCTCCCGCCCTCAAGCAACATCCCCTCCCGAAACAAGTATGAATGTTTGATACACACACCGACCCGAGGCACCCATTTCCGAAAGTCCGGCGAAAGAGATCAGGAACGAGGTCCCGACACGTTTCGAGTTTGAGAGTTGAGAGTGAAGTGAAGTGATGTTGCCAAATTTTATGGGATGATTGCGATGTGAAGGCGAAATGGATGGATGAGCAGCTGAAGTCTTTTGTGGGTGTATATATGCATGCAACATGAAGAAGGTAGATGTCCACTCACATTACGAGCACCTGCCCACCACACCTGCCCAACCAAACCACACCACACCCCATCCCAACCAAGCTGGCACTTACAATGTACCCCACCCGCTCTGCCCCTACACCCCCCAAGCCGACCGAGGCGACCGTCGCGAAACATTACCAGCCAACCACCCATTTGCGAACCCCTTCCCTTACCATACCCCCTACCACTACAACTGCTCTACTTCGTCGCTGTCTTCTTCGGCTTATACGCCTTCTGCGTCGACCCCTGTTTCCACACCGAGCAGACGCGCGCCTCAGAGCCCGACAGCCAGTTTGGCCCAGCCGCTCTCGCCTGCGAGGTCTACCTACCCTCCTTTTATCTCGACTACCAGTGAAAGAAGAAGGATGGACGAATTTGGCAGGGGCAGGTCTATGACCAACCCCGCGCCCCCTCCCGCCCCGGTGTATGCTACCCTGCCTACCGAGCTATCTTTTTTCGACGCGCGCCCGAGGCAGACATTGTTGCAGGATGTGGAATGCATCCTTGGCAAGAAGATGCACTTCCCCTTCCTTGCTCGATACTCTTCCTCCTCCTCATCATCATCATCAGCGAAGAACGAGAAGAAGGCAAAGAAGGAGGCGGAGAAGGAGAAGAAGACGCGGAGGCGATTGACGAAGGAACGGGCGTATGACGAGGACTGGGCGATGTGGGCGGGGATGGACGGATTCATGGATAGTCAGGCAGTAGTACGAGTAGTGGAGAAGAAGAGCAAGAGGGGGGTGAGAGAGGGGGACTGGATCTAGACATGCATTACGATAGTAGCAGCATTCCCTTAAGGACTTCTTCCAAATCGTCTCAGCCGGGTCGAGAGCAATATTTGAAGTAGGCTGCACTGCAGGCACCAGTATCCTCTTTCTGGTCGTAAGTTTCTCGTACCAAGTCGTAGGCGAGGATGCAGTTAGGGTCGTCGCCATCGACAACGCATGCATGTTCCTCGGCACTGGGAGGCTTTCGCTTCCAATCTCGCTTTGTCACATTCTTGGTCTGTTCGGACTTGATGGTATATAGATCCTTGAATAGAGTCCGTCCAGTAGGTGTAGGCGACTTGGACGACTCGGGGGGTCGACATGCTGTGGGGACAAGTGTAGTGTTGTGTGATGAGGATGGTAGTGATGTTGGTGGTCGTTGTGTCACTGGAAGATGCTGTCAAGTACCAGAAGGAGGAGCAAGGAAAAACCTGAGGGCGGTGTCGAAGATGTTGCGAAGACAATGCGAAGATGAGACCGAAGCGGGAGATGCACAAAGTGGGGATGCAGGATCAAGGGAAAAGGGGGGGGGTCTTTTCCATAAACGCAAAAGCCACCAGGAAGACGAAATACTTCCGTCAAGCTCGAAGGACGCATTTCCGCAAGGTGTCCCGAGCGCTGTGCGTTCTCCGCCTTGCATTGTCGGTCACCTTGCCTGATGCGGTAATAAGCAAAGACGTGGGAAGCGATCATGCAGAGTGCATATGAAGCTTGCGCGAAGGTATGCTTTCTTCGGACCTGCCGCTTGTTGAACTGTTTATCGGAAACACATACACGAGTACCGATGATATCAGGGTTGTCGTTGATTGTGTTGACATTATACGCGTGATTCCACATTACATGAAGAAGGGCTATCAGCATGTACGTATGCATGTCATTCCAGGGTCCAGGCTGTCGACTACATCAAGTATGTGCTCAAGTACACATCATGAGCCGGTGTCCGGTGTAAAACGTAACGTTGACTGGCGGTGGTCTGACGCGACGACAGCCGAAAAGCCGTGGACGCCGCTTCTGTCAAGCTGGTTGCGTGTTTGATTATCATGTAGCCCCTCGGTCTAGATATACAGCGCACCATAAACGTCAGTATACCATATATGACCCCCCTCGATATCATCGCAAACACGCGGCAAGCAGTGCACCTGCCCCCGGAATATACATCCGCCAAAGGCCAGGCGACTTCATTCAACGATCTTTACGTCCAGCGCGTGACAATGATGCTCAGTCGCCTGTCTCTGCAAAGAGTAGCAGTCACGCACATGTTATTTCCAATGGGAAGACGAGATACAAACGTCACAAGGGAGGCATGTTGACACACAGTATGTAGGATCCGGTGCCAGGCCCATGTATTCATGATGGAAGATTCGCGACAAGATTTGCATCCACTCTAAAGGCACGTATAGAGTCCCTTGGACTTGCTTCGCGGGAGGGAGAGCTTCTTCTTTGGCTTCGATTCCAGTATTTAGGGAACTGCTTCGCTGTGCTGTGCAAAGTGAAGAATGGTGCGAGAGTAGCGCAGTATTGGCAGAATTGAAGCGACAAGAGCGGTGGAAGAAGTTAGATGAAAAACGAATGGCACGGTTGTTCATGCAGCTTTTGTGGCTTGAACAAGGTTGAGCGACGCAGGGTAGATCATCACCTAGCCTGTGTATTTTCCACTAATCCACTCAGATGCGCACGAGCGACCATGCCATCCCAGCCACTGCGCTCCCTAAGCTCTCAGCCAAATGGTAACATGCCGCATGTCCCAACAGCCTGTGCTAGCCCCTACCGCAACCGGGTACCTCAAAAGCGACAATCTTTCCTCCTCTGTTCCTCTTGCTTGAGGCTGGGTGATATCGTGGCCAATCGTGGATCGGTTGATGGATAGATTGGGTGGGGGGGGTATTGGCGGTAAACGAGGCGGATGATGACATTGACTAGAGAACGGATAAGGGCGGGGGGGCAAGGGGATATAAGGGTGGCTGGGGGATGTTGGAATTCCCCACTTTTCTAGCGCAAGCTTTTCGTGCCACTCACTATCTGCCTTTACGCCGCCATGCTTCATTCAACTACTCGCACCTCATCCCTCTCATATCGCTCTCTCAACATGGTACTACTCGTCGCCATGTTCCTCCTGCTACCGACGGCATCCGCTTGGGGTCCTGATGGGGTATGTCGCGCACGGTGTAATGGCGCGTTCATGAGCTGCATGGGTGTTTATGGTGAGTGGGCTTTCGAGGTGTGTTGGTAGTGGGTTGACAAGTCGCAGGCAATATCCAGATTTGCAATGTGGCGGCCAGAGCGTGTTTTGCGCGGTGTGTCTAGAGGTCTTGTGCAAGGTGGAAGCGATCTGTTGTATGCATTGTAGTCGACCCTACATGCTTTTATGAAATGGTTCATACTTGCCTACTTTGGTATCAATATGTTTCGATGTCTAATTACGCCACGCCCACCAGCCCCCCAAGAGAGGGGCAGAGCTAGGCGTACTCAAGACCCGCTGCTTTTGCAGTCTTTTCGCTCTCCAACAACCATTACCCGCGCAAACTGAAAGAGCCCCAGCCGAAACTGGGACAATCCGATTAGACGGGGAGAGACAGCGCGGCTATAGGGTAGAGCGTGGCGTCGTCGTCGGGTGTTGATGAAGAGAAAGAAAAGCAAGATGGAATTGGAGAGGCCTGGAAAATTCCGGGAGGGGCGGCGATGTCCGTGCTGTTCCGGTGGAGGCAGTTCGGTGAGCGGATGGCAATCAGATGTCAATTGTCTCCATCGTTTGCTCTCATTTCTGCCACGTATTCTCCTATACCATGAAACTCACCATCATCGCCCCAGAGACTATTCACGATCACGAGGTCTCCCCGGAACTCTTGGTTGAAGACCTCATAGCCCTTGTCGAAGCAACCGTGAGTCATCTTCGTCATGGTGTCTATGGGACATCCCGTCAGCTACTCACATGGCTATATGGGACCCAGGCCGCGTCTGCTGTTTGCTGATAAAGTATAGGCTGAACTTCCTCCATCTGTGATTGTTCTGACAAGCGATTCCGGAACACCTCTTACCGACCCATCGCGCACGCTCGACAGCTATGGCCTCAACGGCGAACATGCTACCATCTTTCTCACACCAACGTGAGCATCTTGCTTTGGCGATGATGATTCCATTGCTTACAGAAGGATACGTACAGCGAACAACCCGTTGCTTCTTCCTCCTCTTCCGGGCCCTTGGCCGGTTCCGACGCCGATATCGAGCGGATGCGATTGCAAGCTCTCGGAAACCCTGAACTGATGGAAAGTCTCCAAGAAGTAAGACGATCGTTCCCATGATATCTTTTCTGTACGATGCTGATACAAACGTTCCCCGTAGCGTGATGCAGAATTGTACGCCGCTGTTCAGAAGGGTACCCAAGAGTTCAAGGCTGCGCTGCAAGCCTCACAATTGAGGCAGCGGAGTAGAGAGTACGAGAAGGAGCAACAAATCGCTGTGAGTCGCTATATCCTGTCAAAGACGACACATCCTGACAGATTCGAAGGCCCTGAATGCGGACCCCTACGACATTGAGGCGCAGAAGAAGATCGAAGAGGCCATCAAGCAGGCGGCTATCATGGAGAACATGGAGCATGCGATCGAGTACTCTGTAAGGCTGACACCTGTCCTATCGCTCCTTAGCTGACAACGTTCCAGCCCGAATCTTTCGGCAATGTCACCATGCTCTACATTGACGTCGAGGTCAACGGCTTCCCCCGGAAAGCTTTCGTCGATTCCGGCGCCCAAAGTACCCTCAGTAAGCCCATCACATGACCCACCTTTCTCCACCCTGCTAACACCCCCTCCCAGTCTCCCCCCGACTCGCTGAAGAGTGCAACCTCATGCGCCTCGCCGACACCCGCTTCTCCGGCATGGCCGAAGGCGTCGGCAGCGCCAAAATCCTCGGTCGCGTCCATTCCGCCCAACTCAAAGTCGGCCCCCTCCACCTCCCTTGCTCCTTCTCCATCCTCGAAGGCATCAAAGTCGACCTCCTCTTCGGACTCGATATGCTCAAACGCCATCAGTGCTGTATCGACCTCCCGAAGAATTGTTTGCGGATTGGCGATGTGGAGGTACCGTTTTTGGCGGAGCATGAGCTGCCGAGTGAGAAGAAGAGGGAGGAGGATCGGAAGGTGGCGGAGGATATGAGGGATGCCGCGGCGATGGGGAAGAAGGTCGAGGCGACGAGTTCTGCAGTGCCGGGGAGCTCGTTCCCTGGAGCGGGACAGTCTGTCGGCTCGTCAACGAGGGCTGGTCCGAGTACAAGCTCCAAGATGAACGAAGAGGATATCAAAACTGTATGTCGATGCTTCTGTGATGGTTTCATTCTGACTGACGTTATTCAGCTTATCGGACTGGGAGCCCCTAGGGACCAGGCCATCCAACTGCTCGAGGCTTCTGGGGGTAACGTCGATGTCGCTGCTTCTATGCTCTTTGGTTAGCCGTCATGATATACACGTACCAGCTCATGTAGAAAGCCTTCGGCTCTTATCAACGACTCGCGGGTAGACCTTCTCAATCTTGTTCTCATACTATACAAATTCATACCCATCTCTCAAAAACCAAGCAACCCTTACTGCGTCGTATATACAAGGACCAGTCGAACGTTGGGTGATAAAGAAATCGGATTGAAAAAGTCAAAGATACCCGAGAAAATATGTGCAGTTGATTATAAACAATACGAGTATAAGTCTTCGTTATGATAATTGATAGATATATAATTGTCCTTCATATGAGCAGAAGGGAAACAGATGGCTTTGATCAAAGCAAAGCAAAGCAATGGATGAAAAAAGATGAAATGGGAAATAAGAATCTATGATCTCTACGGCAAAAATCTATATCACAAAGCACTCCCCAACCCTACTTTTTAAGCCGTCCATCAAACTGCTCATGCAACTCGCCCAACCTCACCCTCTCGTCATCCTCCAAATCATTCTCATCCCTCCCCGCCAACGCTTCATACACCGTCCAATCATGGTGCTGGTGCGTCGCCACCCTGCTCAACGGCGCGCCCGTAGAAGGTCCCCCGGTAGCGCTAGACCCGACAATGGTGGAAGTGGGGTTCTCAGGGTTGGGCACCGAAACAGGTCGGGTCCCACTAAAGCTCGCCCTAGGCGCATACTCGCCCGCCCTAGACGAAATCCGCCCAAGACCGCCCTCCTGCTCTGTCGGCTGCACATCCACCCCATCACCCTGCGCAGGCTGAGGCTGGTAAACGACCTCCTTACCCTCCGCCCGGGCTTCTTCGTCTTCCTGCTTGGCCTGGGCCATGCGCGCAGCCATGATCATGGCCATTTGCTTTTCGGCGTCGGCAGAGTACTTGCACTTGGCGCGGATCTGGGCGCCGTACTTGTAAAAGACGTAGGTGGCGGGGATACACGCGAGGGACAAGAACCCGGGGAGGGCGACACCCCAGTGCACACCCATCTTTTCAAACATCTGGACCGTGAAGAGGGGGAAGGCGGCACCAAACAGAGATCGGAGGACAGAGTTGGCAGCGAGGACGGAAGCGGCGTAGATGGTGTAAGAGTCGACGAGGTAGCCGAGGATGGAGAGGAAGACGACAATGATACCACAGCCGAAAGGCACACCAAAGATGATGGGCGCGATCCAGTGGACGTTGGGACCGTCGGTGGCGGCGGTACCGGCAAGACCGATGACGATCAGAGCACCACCCCACATGGCAGGAGGCAGCCTGTCCTCGGGATCGGCCCTGCCGCCCTTCTTCTTGGCAATCTTGACGTATTGCGGGTTGGACACGTAGATGGAGAGAAGGACAGAGAGGATGGTACCAACAAGGACACCGAGGAAGGCCAGACCGCCGATACCAGTGTTCCAGCCGTGGCCTTGTTGGAAGATGATGGGATAGGCGGCAAAGAAGAGGTAAAGGATACCGTAGATGAGGGCAGTGTAGACAGAGAGGATGGTGACGATGGGCTCGAGGAACAAGAATTTCCAAGGACGGATCAAGCTCATCTTGAACATGCTTCCAATGTCGAGCGGCTTCTTGGCATCGCCCCTGAACCTGTAGACCTTGCCGGTGACCTTGCTGAGGAGCTGGGCGCGCCTACGGAGGAGCATGGGCGCATAGGTCTCGGAGCAGAAGAGGATGCCGACGATGAAGAGGACACCACAGAAGATACAGAGGAATCCTTCGATCCATCGCCAGCCCTGGGTCAAGCCGAGGAAACCACCAGTGATGGGACCGAGGGAAGGACCGAGGAAGGGGGCGGCAGAGAAGAAGGCCATACCGAGACCTCGCTGGTTGGCGTTCAGGACGTCGGTGATGGTACCCCCGGCGTTGGCAAGAGGGGAAGAGCCAAAGAGACCGGCGAGGAATCGGAATACGAGGAGCTGACCAATGTTTTTGGCGCCGGCGGCGGCACCAGTCCAGAGGGTGAGGAAGGCGTAAGAGATGATGTAGACGATTCGGCGACCAAAGATTTCGGAAAGGGGCGCCCAGAAGCTGACGAGAGTGAGTTTTGAAACGAGCTGGACGAGGAGAGGACGTACAGAGGACCGAAAGCAAAACCGACGACGAAGAGGGCGATACCGGCAATGACGAGCTCACGACTGGCTCCAAAGTCGATCATGATATCGGTGATACCACCAGAGTAGGCTGAAGAACTGCAGGGCGTCAGCTTGGGCCGAAATACAGATGTCACTGCATGGAAACGATAAGGGCGGCATGCTTGGAAAGATGTTTCGCAATCCCCACGAGCGACTGCCGAGTGACTGAAGAAGCCAGGCGCAAGCTCGGAAGGTCAAAGAGGCAAGAAGCCGTAGTGAGTCCCTAAGCGCTCCCGTGGTGACTGCCCGGAGATAAGAGTCCGAACGGAAGAGGAAGGAGCTCGCAATCATCCAGCCGAATATAGACACCGTCGCAGAGCCCTTCCAGAAGGCATACCGCAACGCTCAATGAGGTAACGAACATGGCAACAGAACGGGGGTATGGGGTCCAAGCGCAATCATGTCGAAGCCAGGTAACTCACCTGAGGGCAACGGCTAGGGTCATCCAGCTAACAACAAAGATCTGTCTTTCGTCAGCCTCATTCTTTCTCGCATCGCCCAAGATCTCCTCAGACACTCTCTGTCGATGCATCAACTCACAGTGGTCCACTTGTACGCGCTCGGCCAGTTCTGCGGGTCTTCCTTATCGTTCGGGAGCCAGTCGACGATATAAGGGTCTTCCGCTGTGCCCTGCCCCTGGCACTTTTTGGCAATGATTTCCTCAAAGGGAGTGACATAGGGTCGCCATAACCGCTTCTTGAGGGTGTAGGAAGAGAGGGGCTTGGATTCGAGGGTAGATGGGGCGGGGGTAGATTTCTCCTGCTGCCCTACGCGGGTGCTGGTGGTGTCGATGGACATGTGGGCGGGGGGTGGAGTGGGGTGGCGGGGCGGAGAAGGGGAGGCAGGGAGAGGCAGGGAAAAAGAGATTGTAGAGATGCAGATTCAAGATGGTTGGGTGATGCGATGCCTTTGGAGGGGAATATTAAACCCAATGTATAAATACTCCACTTGTTTGCACGGCCGCCTGGAATTTTCGGTACGGCCACTCGCCGAATTTTCATTCTCCGCGCCTTCCGGAGTTGGCGAAATAGGCATGTCCCCGCTTCTTCTCTGCCCCCTCTGTCCATGCATGCTCCACCCTATGCATCCGCCCCCTCCATACCTCCTCTGCCCTCTGCGCCCACATCACCCCCGTTATCGCTCCCGCTGGATGCGGCAGGAGGGACAGCACACAAGACGCACTAACAAACCTCTAATCGCGGGCGCCGTCTGGCTTCAGCCCTGACCCTGAATGCAGATCCGGACAATCCCCGATGTTGTTTGGCTCGCCCCGCCAATCTGCCTTCCAGTGCTCATCTCTTTCATCTCTGGTCACCAAGTATGTAAGCGAAGAACAGGCTATGGCATATACCCGCCCAAGATCCCCCCTAGCAACTGCTTCAAAAACATCGACGATCTCTCCGCCATCTCATTTACTTGCTAGTCTCTTGCTGATCTCTCCCTCGCATCAGCCTGACAGCCAGCTTCTAGGCTGTAACACATACCCGGATCAAGCGGATCCTGTGTTAATCCTGTTCACTATCCCAAGAAGGCGAGTGCCCCGCTTCCACTGCTCACTCCCCACCTTCTCTCGACACCACATCTACGCAGCACGCACGGTCATCTACATGAAGTATGTATACCTCAACATCACATGCCAGAAGCATCCGGGCCGGGTGTGCCTTTCCCAATGGATCTTCATCATCGGGTATCGGGCCATCTCTCTTGCACTTCTTTCGCTTGACGACACCCGCCCATTGCTCTGGCTCGACACAAGCCCTCACTGCCCCCCCGCTTGCGCCGAGCCAGGCCCATTACCGCTAGAAACCGCATATGTACTCACGAAAGGACAAGACTAGGAACAGATCTTTTGACTACCATCAAACACACACTCAAAAGGGGTTACGCCCCCTCCCACCTTTCGTTCCCCTCGTGCAAAGGGGGAGTGTGACACGTGCAACATGAAACAGACGGGATCAATCAAGTGGTGGATCCTGTTCAGTTGCCTGCAAATGTTTGCATGTCTGCTGACAAAGACGATCATGAGAGTATTCCTGTATAACCGGAAAAGGCGTCAAACGTAGTGGCGATGTAATTGATGGAAGATTGAATAGAGAGTTGATGAACATAATATAGAGTACGACTCAATGAAATAAGAATGTGGAGAGAGATTGGGATAGATGCTAGAGAGTAACACAACAAGTTGAAGAAAAATGAGAAAAGTCGTCAATCCGTAACACGTCAAATAAGAAAAGGGGACATCTATGAATTTCAAGCCTAGCTCCGTCCTCTCCGGGCTGCTTTCAGACATTCTTCTTCCAGGCCCACAACACGCACGACCTGGACGCCGCCAGATTGCAAGATCCGTGCGCCTTCGCACTCTACAAAGTCTGGTGGTTCTTCCACGCCCTATACCCTTTCGTCAGCTTCCATCCCCATCAATGGGCCATTATGGGAAAGAGGAGTACTTACAAGGTAGACAGCCCTAACACCCGCTTTGACAAGTTCTAGCGCACAGCTCGGGCCCCCCGACGTTCGATATGAACAAGGTTCCATCGTCGCCACGCACTCTGCATCCTTCAACACCTCTTCCACCTTCGGCATCTTCTCCCCCTTCCCTTCCTCCTCCTCCTTCTTCTCCTCTTCCCCATCACTCGCAGTCTCTGAAGACAAGGTCGACAGGGTCACAACAGACTTGTCATCCTCTTCCCCTTCTTCCCCGGAAATCTCGGCAAAGCGCGCTTGCAAGTTTGTCAGCGCATTCGCCTCGGCATGCGTGTTCCCCGGGATCTGCCTCGACCACCCGTCCGCCAAGATCAGGCCCTTGGCCTCTCCCAGCACCGACTGCGGGAACGCCTCGAAATACGGTTTCAGCGCCCCATAGTACTGCGACGCCGCCGGTAAAAACAGCGTCGATCCTACACAGAATGCCGTCGGCGACACTTCACAGTTCAACGTCAATTTCAGGCAATGCCGGATTAACGCTAGATGCACCGGGTCGGAGGAGGTTTGGGACGACGTTTCAGGGGAAGGCGCGTCTTGGTTGCCGGCGCTGCCTGAGGCTTCTATCGACCGGCTGCCGAGGGGTTTTCCTGTACGCGCAGCCATGACGCTCACACTGACCGTCTCATCCGTATTCTTCCGATCATGCACCGTGATGCACGCTTGCACATCCGCCAGCGCCTCGCCCTCTTCCCCGCCGCCTTCAGCAGGAGGCAGCGCAGTACGCGGGATGAGGTCGACGAGGATCTTCGTCTTTTGGTTGGGCAAGAGGTTGAGGTTGAGCGAGGTGATGCACTCGGAGGGGATGTTGATTTTCTCCTCTTTGGCGGGTACGAGGACGCTTGTAGCCAGCTCGGCAAGCTTCTTCGCCGGCGACTTGGCCCCATTCACTTCCTTCTCTTCCCCCTCACCGTCCATACCCGCACCAAGCTGGTCCTTGGGTACACCAAGCTCCAAAAGCCTCGTCTCGTACTTGACAATCTTTTCCGCTTTACCCTTCCGGCGCGCAATCTTGAGCTTCTGCATCATCGCTTCCAGCTCTTCTTCCTCCGACTTGCTCAGCGCTGTACCGGCATCGTGCTCATCGCGCGTCAGGTGGATACGCGCAAAGGAGGACGGGTCGAGTTGTTGGACAGACACCAGAAAGGTGCGCTCGTGTTTTGAAATGTTGGTGATGACGAAACTCTGCGTCTCGAGCTTCTTCTTCTTCTTCTCCTTCCCTTCCTTTCCCTTCTTATCCTTATTGACCTTGTCCTGATCCTTCTCCTTTTCGGCAACACCAAAGTCCAAACTGACGGGTTCCACCCTAAACGCCGGCACTTTTCTCACAATCCCCTTGACAGCCAGTGCTTGGTCGTTCCAGCTATCCAACACATTCTCCACCGTGATCGTCTCTTGGTAGTTACCAACGAGAGACGGGGTGAAGGAAAAGTTGTCGAATTGCTTGCGGCCAAAGGCAGAGATGACGCCGTACCGGCCGAGACCGAGTTTGAGGTCGCCAGAGGCGATGGAGCCGGATGTGCGGAGACGGAAGAGACCAATGGTGTCGCTCTTGTTCTGTATACCCGTCAGCTCATGTCTGGAACAGATGGAGAGCGACTTACATGGATGACAATCGTCTTGCTCTTCACTTCACCCTTGTCACACGCACCAAAGTTGATAGAACTCTGCTGCACTTCCAAGACACTCCTCACACACGAGCTCCGAATGATCAGATCTCGTATAGGCAGCTCTGCGCCTTCCGGCATACCCAGATCACCCCCGGGCGTCCCCGGTCGGCTGCCAGCAGCGTTGATCCGGGCAGCGTTCAACAATGACTTGTCAAACTCGACGAGCTTGATAAAGATCCTCGAGTCGGCCCTCTTGGCGCGCGTAGAGATGTGCGGGCGGATAGAAGGGTTGGGCGTCATGATCACCACCACCGCCCTGCTCTGCCCGGGACCCACACTCAGTGTTCGAGCGGGCACAAGCTTGCCTGACCCGACGAGCCCTTGGAGTTCTTTTCGCAGCGAGATGGTCCGTTTCACAAACGCCTCTTCCTCTTCCAGGGTGGTATGCGTCATGGACGTCTTTTTCGCATCGTGCGCTTCGACGGCTGCGAGCAGCTGGTCGATCGACATCTTGCCCACGTCTGCCGTATCGGCCGGTGGAAGCTCGAGAAGAGAATCGACACGCTTAGCAGTCAGGGCTGGAGATTTGAGAGAGGGTGATGTTTGGGGAAGGAGTTTGTTGAGAAGAGCGAGGGAGCCGAGATGGGGTTTCTTTGTGGGAGTGGTCGGGGTGTGTTCGCCAGTAGTAGGTGCAGTCTTGGCAACTTGGTGCTGGTGCTCCTTCCCATTCCCACTACTCGCCGTACCATTGGCTTTCTTCTTCTTCCCTTCCTTGCCCACCGATCCCGTCGCTTTCGCCCCCGCCGCAAAGTCCAGCTTTGGTACTTTGGGGTGTTGGCCTGAAAGCTTGGACTTGTCTTCCCATTCAATAGATTCCAGCAACTGGGCGCGCTTGGATCGCGGGGAGAAGCGGTGCGAGGCAATAGGAGGACCAGAGGCAAGGTCGAGATACTCGTGCGGTTGGAGAAGAGAGCGGTCTTTGAAGACTACCGAATTGCCATACAGCTGATTTCGATTAGCCATGTTCATCAATATAACCAAGTGACTTACCTGTACAGGCTTTCCTCGGCTCCCCTTCTTCAACGCCGCCCCAACACTGACCCCAACAGGCCTCTCTCCCTCCTCCTTCTTCGGCCCTCTCGTCTCACTCTTCTCCCTGCCTTTCTTGCCCTTGCCCTTAGCCTCGGCAGCTTTCCCATTGACACTCTTCTCATTGAGCTCTTCCATGAAGCGCTCTTTCAACTCTCCACCCTTCCCCTCCTTCCCCTTGCCCCCGCCATTCCCGCCATTACCGCTCCCGTCCGCAGACGTTTGCTCGTAATCCTGCGCTTCCACAGCATACCGCCCCATCAATCCCGGACGGACCTTGGCAATACTATCTTCCGCCCTCACAAACAGCCCAATGTCTTCCGGCTGCGAAGCCGACAGATCGAGGACAAGAGGGGCTTGGGAGAGATTTTCGATGTGGATAGTGCGCACGGTGGGATAGTTGATGACGACCGAGGAAAAGTCGAGAAAATTAGAGCCGGATGGCGTGAGGATGCGGTAGAGATGAGAGTGAAGGGTGAGGTTGTAGACGTCCACATTGCGAGACTTTATCTCTACCAACTGGTCTACGTATCGTCAGCCTCGCGCTTTCATGCCACAGAAGATACTCACCATTGGCTCGATTGAGACGGTTCCGCACAAAGATCTGCTTCTCATACTTTTCATTGATCCTCCTCGGGAAAAACTCCATCTTTTCCTCCACTGTCCCTTTCGCAGGAATCGTGATCAGCCCCTTCTCAGCACTCAACACTTTGCTCATCGCCGCAATCTCCACCCTCGCCTCCAGCTCACTCAGATTCTCAATCTTGATCGTCGTCGTCTTGGAGGCACCTACAGTGACTTGACCAAAGTCAATGACGTTGCCCGACGAAAGACGGATGAGAGAGGTGCAAGACATGATGGAGCAAGAGATCGTCCGTCGAGTTTTCCCGGGCGGATTCGACCCATGATGAGCGTGGCTCGACCTGACCGAACTCGGCACAGCGTCCAAAAACACTTTAAAGCTCGACTTGCGCAATCTTCCAGCATCTTCCTCCCATTTCTCGCCATCAGAGCTAAACGACGCAGCAGAGGGAGGCCGCGGTCGGTGGAGGACTGCTATCCGGTATTCTGTCCCGGGTCGCATGGTCACTTCTTCGATCTGGTTCGGGATGATCTCTTCTTCAGTAGTCGGCGCGGGTGTTGGCTTTGGTACGGTGGGTGTATACTCCCTCTCCACCAAGTTCCCATCAACATCTTCCACAGGACCTCCCACCACAAAAGGCAAATCCGAACCCCCAAAGAACGGCGGCTCAATCTCCTCCCCTTCCGACTCGTGCCCGAACCCATCATACCCTACCGCCTGCTGGCTACTCGATCCCCTCGACGTAACCCTCGACAAAGAGCGCGAGCTCGGCTGCGATCGCTGTACAGGCCTAGGCGGCTGGTGCGGGGTACGCCAACGTTCGATAACGTCCGTCTCACTCTGTCCCTGCACGTGTCCTGATACAGAACCAGAAGCGAGCGACTCGGGATCTTCTTCTGTCGTCGGCTGGAGCGAGCTCGAGTATGCTGCTTCGGAGATGGTGGCGCCTGAAGCGTTCGAGGGATGGTCGCGCGACGAAGCCCGGGTAGAGCTGTACTTGTCTCGGCTCGTCCCTCTGCCCAATACTGGCTTTGAAACTCTTCCCAGGCCCGAACCATCGGCTCCGCTCGAGTCGATCGGTACCAGACCCTCTTCCTCAACGTCTTCCCCAGCCACCCCTGCCAGCCGAAAGACGACTTCATACCCCTCCTCTTTCCCAAACCTCACATCCACCGCCCGATCACCCGTATTACGCACAGCAATAACCTGCCTCGACCACACCTTGTCTGTCGCTTTTCCGAAATCCAGAGTAGGACCCGTAAGGATCTGCAGAGACTCGTCTGGCGGCGAGGGGAGGATGGAACCTTGGGCGAGGCAGGTGAGGGTGTTGCCAGGTTGATGAGGGTTGGTGAGGAGGAAGGAGAATGAAAAGTCTTGTACCGGCGACTTGGATTGTAAAGACAATCTCAAGTGCCGAGAGGACAAGGCAGGGAGAGGGACGGGTCCGGCAGAGTGGTCGACCCCAAAGACATTCTCCGAATCTAGATCACGCAGCTCAAACCAGACCTTCTCCTTGTCCGGTGCGTTCACCACCATAGTCCCCCAGACAAGTTCAATCTCTGACCGGTTCACGAGCAAGACATCACGGTGGTACCGTTTGCCCACGACATTCTCCCCACCAAAATCCAAGACGAGCTCGCCAGAGGACTGTTGGGGGCCGGATACGAGCCCGGAAGTGGGCGAGATGGCGCCGGCTGTGAAGAATGACCGGCATACAGTCGCGTAGAATGGGAGCGCTATCATCTGATGTGAGAGCTCGGACGGGGGTGCAGGGGGAGGGAGGGCAGAGACGGCACGGATAGAGATGGAGCCGTGCACCGAGAATGCTCGGTGGATTGGTTCGCCCCGCTTGGTAGATTCGGGCATGATCTGGCTGTTGAGACTCCCGGCGATGCTCTGGCTGCTCCCTGCGCTGACGCTGACTCCGTCGCTGCCGTTACCGCTCGCAGCATCGTCCAAGCCGACAGGCGAGAGTCGGCCAGAGTCGCCGCTTTCGGTCAGGTCGAGAACGGGTTTGACACGGGGAGTGAAACCGCCGTCGCAGTCCGAGAAGGATGGGGAAGAAGCAACAGGAGAGCGAATGGATAGGAGTGGTTGGAATGCGAATTGGATCATGGTGGTTGAAGAGGGAGGCATGTGGAGGATAAGGGAAGGGGAGCCGGTCGTTGTTGATAGCGACGAAGTCGACGACGATGAAGACGGGATGCCTGTAGGATGTCAGATTGAACTAAAAACGTTTATGGTCACTCACTCTTTTCGTCCTCCCCCACCCAAAACACCAGCTGCCCCTTGAGATCACTCTCCACCTCAACCTCTACATCCCTGCCTTCGCCCCCGACATTCCTCAGCCCAAACGACCTGACCTGCCGCTGCCCCACATCTCCTCCACCGTCGCCAAAGAGATATGTTGCTGGCAGATGTATCCACCCGGAAGGGACGTCGAAAGTCTGGATGAGGGAAGCATGTCGGGGGAGGGAGAATTTGGAAGTGGATAGCTGGGTTGTGGTCGATGCTGTTGTAGCGGCGGAGGAGACGGTAGAGGCTGTTGGGATAGACAGGGGTTGGGCGGGAGAAGGCCTCCGAGAGGGGACACTGCCCTCCGAAGCACTCTCTTCCGCATCAGGAGGGCTGAGGTAGCCCTCGGCGAGAGTGACCAGTTCCCTGACGCCCCCCACCACGTTTTCAATGATATTCGACATTCCGGCTCGCACTCCTATGCTTCAGCTCGGGCTAGATACAGTGTTGTCGGGGATGGAATAGGAAGCCAGAGACCGGGGAGGTCTTGCTGGGTTTATTCCTTATTCATCGTTGGAGGGGCGGAGTAGGGGAAGCGAGTTACTGGGTGCTCTTCTGGGGAGAAGAGATGGGATGGTGGGCTGTGATCCTTTGTCACGGGGCGAGGGAGGGAGGAAGGGCGATGTTGCTGACGATGATATAGCTGACGGGGTCTGAGTATTGAAGGATATAGGAAATGATAGAGAAGACACTTACAGCCTGCAGTATGAGACTGGGTCGTATGGAGGGTCCTTTGGTGTGCCACGCGAGTTGCAAGTGGCCAGCTTCCGTGGGCTGCTGATACCAGACGGATTTTCAGGCGAGCACTCGATGGCAGAGGGCGGGGGGCGATGTGCGATGTGGCCGAGGGGTGATGTGGACGCCCTCGTAATCCTGGCGCTCGGTCGCTGCTCGGTATGTGGTACCAAGGCGGAGGGTAGCGAGTAGCGGGCTGCTGCTGGGGTGTGTAGGGGTGGGCAGAGGTTGTACCGTGTGGGGGGAGAGGGGACCCCTGTATGGAGCAGCGTGACAGGAAGGAAAGAGGATGCCCGTCAACAAATGAGCCCAACCCGCACAGTTTCTCCTCCACCGCCACGGATCTTTCCGCAAATCGCCATGCATTCGTTTTTTTCACTGGCTCACACGACCGCTCATCTGGGGCACATCTGTGCACTGGGTACGAGCTGTGTAAGTGCGAGGTCTGCTTATGGATATGTGCAAGGCTGCTGCCCATGGCCATGATGCTCTTTATCAATATGCCGGCACGACGCGCTGCTCATGTTGAAATTTCATTCCACTCTATCTGGAGTTCCATACCCCCGTCTCTCTACCTACCCCTTTGAAGGGCTTGATCTCAAGCATAGTACCAGGACTTTCCACAAGCCACTCCCAACAAATAATTAGTTTGCTGATGCATATGAAAAAAGCGGGACCAAAGTACTCAAATTGATCCCGCGCCGTTGTTCACGCTCCGCCGCCAACGCCTCATTGTTTGTCCCCGTTCATCCGACCTGCCCCTTCCCGTCGTCTCACCGCCCATACGCAAGACCGTCAACTGGGAAACATCAAGGGATCCATCGCCCCCGGCATACTTTACGCCAACTCTGGGCATCAAACACTCTCATACACCGCTCCCCTCAGACGACAATCACTTTACCTTCTCCCAACCTCTTCCTCCGAACCGCGACATACATCCACCTTCTCGTCATCGACCCTTACCCACAAAAAACATCGGGAACCAAAAATGCCGCGCAGAGCTCCGCCTGCTATCGCGGTCGCCCCAGTAAACACCCTCCTACCCCCACCTCTTCCTTCACCCATCATTCAATCTCTACGTAAAGATTGGCGATGGGCAGCCATCTCTCAATTCGTATACACCTTCTCCGACGCTTTTGGATTGCTCGACTGGGAAATTGAGGTGCGTATACTGCACTTTGGCATGTGGATGTGCGGAATGGCTGACTGGACGCGTTGTAGGCGCTGGAAAACGATTTCGACGGAGATGAGACGGTCCTGGTACCGACGCTGATCGCAAAGCTCCTCTTCGCGTTGACCTACAACCGCCAAATCAAGTAAGCTCTCTCTTCCTTCTTTTACAACCTTCTCCCGCGTGGATTACGCGTAGCCTCATGGTTCCGGCGCGTCCTTTCTTCTATCGCAATGTTTCTCTGTGCCATCGCTGGAGCGCGACTGACTTTTTGACTCTTTAGCCGTGACAATGCGTTCGAACATTTGCGGAAACAGTACCTGAAACGTTTGCCTGATAACAACCCGTTTGGAACGCTGGATGAGCCAATAGAGTGGGCTACTCTCGGACTGGGCAAGAAGGTTCGTCTTGTGTGTTTGTTGGATGGACGTGGACTGAGCTAATGGGGTATGGTAGGTTGAAGCTTTGCATCAGTTGTGCGAGTGGCAGATGGAAGATCCCGCGAGGTTCAGAGGACTCCTCAAAAGTGAAGACGACGCTGTCTCTTGGGTACGTCTCCCCATCTTTCATCTTCCATCTTCCATCGACATCACCCTGACACTGATGGTGGGACAGAGGATCGACCCCATAGGCTGGGACAAACCAGGCAACACATACTGGCTATTCGACGATAACCGAATCTGGATCCAACGGCCCCTTCCCCTCCCTCTCACCCAGGCTAAAAAGTCTTCTCTGAAAGCTAAACGTGCTCTCAAACGCGCTAGGGCCCAGCCGCCGGTGAAGAAGAGCAAGACGAAACCAATCCCCAAGAAGAAAGCACCCCCTGCCCGAAAGCCCAAGCCAAAGACGCCTGGAGAGAAGAAGACGAAAAAGGAGAGGACGCCAACGCCGCCCCCGGTGGAATTGACAGGCTCGAGAAGACGGACGGCAGTAGCGTTCTACGGGAATCCAACGCCTACTGCTCTTGCCCTCAAACGCGGGTCTGGGGGGCCTGCTGCGACGCCTACGAGGGCGGGGGGGAGGGCTACGAGGAGTAGTGGGCGGTTCTCTGCTGTGGGGTTGGATGTGGATGGAAAGGAGGAGGAGGAGGATGTCGAGATGGATGATAGGGAGGACGAAGAAGAGGAGTATGAGGAAGAGGAGGAGAAGCCTGCGACGAGGGCGACACGGTCGAGGGCGGCTGCGCCAGCGAAAGCTGCTCCTAGAGCGGGCGTCCGCTCATCTCGCCGTCATCGTGCTCCCACAGAAGAAGAAGAAGATGACCAAGAACCTCTACCCAAAAAACCCAGCCGATCCACAAGAGCTACCAGGTCCAACAAGGTAGTCGTGGAAGATCAGGCAGCGGACGAAGACTCGGAGCTCAGCGAGTTGACAGACGAGGATGAGCCTCTCGAGCCGTCGTCTGCTGCTGCCGTTGCGGAAGAAGTCGAGCCGGAGCCGACGGATGTCGACTCACCGCTTTCGTCTATCCCTCCCGACCTGGATATGGAGCTGCCAAAGGAAGATGAGGAAGAGGACTATGAGCCGGATGATGCTTCTTCGGATGAGGGTGAGAATGGTGAAGATGAGGCGCAGGAGGAGGACGCAGAGGAGGAAGATGATGGGGATGATGAAGAGGAAGAGGATATCGTGAAGGCTGCCGTCCGAGAGGCCAATGCGGTCCCAGAAGGCTTCGTCGAGTGGGAAGCTGTACGTCCTTGCCTCCCCTGTCTTCAGACTCAAGACTAACACGCAGCAGATCTGTATCACTCTCTACGACTACCGCACCTTTCCCCTCCAATTCGCCTCCTCCAAACACCCCGACGAAAAGGCTCTCTACTCTCTACTTCAAAAATCGATTTGCCCGCCCATCATCGAGCTTCTCACAGCTCAAGAAGTGGAAAAGCAAAAGGCAGCCAAGTTTATTGCTAGAAAGCGATCTTCGAGGATTGCAGAGAAAGAGTCTGAGAGGGAAGAGATTGAGAGGCGGCAGAAGGCGGAGAGGGAGATGGTAGAGCGTATGGAGCGTACTCGTCGGGAGGAAGAACGGGCGAAGAGGGAGGCGAACGCTGCTGAGTATGCTGAACGTTCTCGGGAAGAACGTCTGCGTGAACGAGAGGAGCGTGCGCAAGCCAGGGAGGAGGCAGCGTTGAAAAAGGCGGAGGAAGAGCTGAATGCAAAAGAAAAGGCGGAGAAGAGCAGGGAGGAGAGGAAGAGGCGCCGAGAGGCTGGAGAGGAGGGGAGTGAGACGCCCGAGGTTGAGAATCAGCCTCAGCCCCAGGAAACGCAGCAGTATGGTCGGGGCCATAGGAGAAGGGCGGATAGGTGGGAGGTTGCTTGTGAGGTCTGCCGCACACACGGCTGGAACATTGTACGTCTGTTCAATTTCCGTGTCAGGTCACAAAGCTGATCTCTGGACAGGATGGGGACAGGGATATGGTCTCGTGTGATCAGTGCGGTCGGTGGCAACATGTCGAATGCCATGACAGGCTGGATAGAAGTGTCGGGAAAGTGAGGCGCAATTGGGATCAAGTGGATTTCAAGGTATGCCCGCATTCTCTTGTACCGGCTGAAGCTGACTGGCCTACTAGTGCCAAGACTGTACGCATCGAGCGGCTAAACGGCCAAGAATCGACACCCACTCCAATGGCCACAGCCATTCGCATTCTCACCCCTCCCAACCATCTTCTCACCACTCCCAACCGTCCGCCCAGCCTCTCTCTCCATACCCTATCCTCCCCGGCTCCGCTCCGGGCCCTCCTCCACCTATCGACCCCGCCCATCCTCCCCCGCCCCCTCTACAGCCTGGGCAGTTCTACCTGCCTTACCAAGGATACCAGGACCATGCAGGAAAGGAAGAGAAGCCGGCAGGGTACGCGGTGTACTACCCGCCAGGGCACCCCAATGCTGGAGAGAGGAGAATCAGCAGAGGTATGGACGGGAGGAGGGTCAGTGACGGTTATGGTAGTCCAGGGCAACAACCTCCCGAGGGGTATAGACGGACGTCGCAAGGCTATGCGCCTCATCAACAATCGCCCCTCGCCCAACCCGACTATCTCCCCAGCCACGGCCATCCCCAAGCGTATCCCCCAGGGCATAGCCAGCCCCACTCACACCAGCCTCCTTCCCACCATTATCCTCCTCCCGGTCAAGGTTACGCGCCTCAGGGCCAATCGCCCCAAGCGCCTGCTCCTCGCCTGACATTGCCTCCCTTGCATCAACAGCTGCCTGGGCAGAACCTTCCTTCTTCGAGGTTCCCGGCCGCTCTCTCTGCCCATCCTCTTCTGCATCCTCAGCACCATGGCGCGCCTCATCCCCAGCAGCACCCTGGGCAGGTCTACCCCGGCGAGGGCTATCCGCCGCATGGCGCTTATGGTCATGGCCCGGGACACAATGGGCATGCGGCGGCTTATGCGCAGGGACAGCCGAGAGACTCGAGACTACAACAGAGTCCTCCTCAGGCTTCAGTCCATGCGCAACGGCCTTATCCTTGATGGGCGACTTTGTCCGGTGGCAGCCCTGTCGTGTGACATCTTGTTAATGTTGGAATTCATGTCAGCTTTACCACTTTTCCAATCTAGATTTTCTTTTCCAATGGGTATGTACGAGATTAAATGTAGGGCGTCTCAACATGAAAGATGCATGATGCATGATGGCATAGAATTACATGATGATACAGCGTCTAAATCAAACGGCCAAAAACCCATACAGCGCCACCTCACTTGCTCAGCTTTCCAACTCCTCCAGCCTTCTTGATCATTCTCTTGATCTCGCCCTCGGTCTTTTGCCACACATTCAACTTCCTGTCCCTCGTCATTCGTGCAGTGTCGTCGCCATACTTGTCGACGAGCTGCTGTAGCCAAGTTCGCTCGGAGGTGGAGGTGTGGCGGACGACGGGAGCGGAGGTGGCAGCGAGGAGCTCAAGTTCTGGAGGAGGATTAGCACAGGCTAGCAATGTAGAGAGAGAGGGACATACGCCTGACGACTTCTGTCTTTGCCTCCACCTTCTTCGACTTCTCATCAACCTCCATCTCATCCTCTGCCTTCTTCTGCGCTTCCTCCTCCTCCTCGCCCTCAATGATGATATCGATCACATTCCCTTCTTCATCCCTGATGATCTTACCGAAGCCGACCTTGACAGGTCCCGCTTCTCCTTCGTCTTGGGCAGATTCGGGCACTTCGGGGAGCTGTACGCGATGGGATCGGGAGGATGCTTGCTGGGGAATAGGGATGGAAGGGAGAAGACCGAGAGCAGCATAACTATCAACAGTCAGCCAAAGTCCTTAGTCCCAAGCGAGATACATACTTTTGGAACACGGTCTTCTTCTTGTCCCACTTGTCCTGGAGCACCTCTGGTCCCTTGAGAGGCGGCGCCTTCCTCAGCTTCTGGTGCATCCTCCGCTTGGCGGCCAAGCTGGGCTTGTGAGACCTGGAGGATTTGGCCTTGTTTCGCTGTCTGGGGTTGGCCATTGTATCTTGCTTTTCGTGGTGTTGATTTTGAGAAAAGTTCAAAACAGCCAAGGTCATAGAAAAAGCTTTCGGTGGTGTTTACGTAAGCCCAAACATGTGTTTCCCTTCGACCGCATTTGGCTGTTTTCCGCACATTTCCTCTATCATCTCTCCTCTTTCTCCTTTATTCTCCCCCAGACTCGCGTTACTTCTCCCTTACCCCAACTCAACTCAACAGACAACATTCAAAATGGGTGGCGAAGGTCAGTCGTGTCTCTGGATGCGGTCGGACGAGAAGCTGACATCGTCCACTCCATCTTCTCCTGCCGGCCATCTCTTCCGTCCGCGCTATCCATTCTCCGCCCGCATCCTTCTTCATACCACACAGGCTGGCTCTTTCTTTTCGCGGTCCTGATGGCCGCTGTCCTCTTGTTCACCATGGTGTTCTTCGTAAGTCTCAAGCATCGCTATAGGTTGTTTTTGGAACAACTTCATGATGTCATGCGGAACGTAGTGCTGACCGGTCGTGTGCCTTCGTAGATCATCATGTTCTCCGACCTCGAGTGCGGTAAGTCCACAGCCTGTTTGTTGGCTATTAGGGAGCCGGTGGAAGATGTCCGAGGTGCATAGGATGGTGACTGACGGCTTCTAGACTACATCAACCCCATTGACCTTTGCAACAAGCTCAACAACGTATGTCTCTAGTGATAAGCCTCAGACGATTACTCACGCGCTGCTTGCAGTTTGTCTTGCCTGAAATGCTTGCCCACGCTTTCCTTACCCTTTGCTTCCTCCTTTCTGGTCAATGGCTCGCGTTCCTTTTGAACGCTCCTTTAGTGGCATTCAACGTCAACAAGTGAGCACCATTTGATCAATGTCCCTGCAGCGTAGATGCTGATGTAATGTCTAGGGTCCTGGGCAAGAACCACATGTACGATGCGACAGAAATCTTCAGGACCCTTTCCGGGCACAAGAAGGAGAGCTTTATCAAGCTCGGTTTCTACTTGATCTCCTTCTTCTACTACCTCTACCGGCAAGTCTCCTCCGACGTCTCCTCCTTGAATAAGCAAGCTAACGGGGGTGTAGCATGATCCTCGCCTTGATCTCCGAGTCCGACTAGACCATTCCTACCCCAGACGACACACGAGTCTCGCACGAGATGTTAGAAGGAGTTTGGTGTGGTGCGGGATCTAGACGGAGCGGTTTGAAAGACGAAAGACGGAGGCAGAGGAGGATGTTTGTGTTGAGTTGCAGGCTGGAGTTTTCCAGTCTGGGCGTTAAAGGCGGAGGATGTAAAGGGGCAGGGGTGTTGGCTTTTCTCTTATTAGCGAGTGTTAGTGAGCCTCTTGTTCTTATGAAATCCCTAATGTGCAACCCTATCTGGGCGAATTTATTGAGCATACATGAATGAGTCTTTGACAGACCCTGTAATTCCACGGTCGATATATTGAGTGCAATGTAGTACTGATTTCATCGATAAGACTATTGTACAACACAATCAGAGGAGAGCAGTATGGTGCTATCATCGCAAACTCCATCATTCGTCTCCTTCCTCCAAAACATCATGCAATCCCTCACCAACACCATCCCACATGAAACTCGACCTATCCGCTTGCGACTCTTCTTCATCACTCCGCTCTTCCTTTGCTTCCTCTGCAGAATCACCATCGTATAAAAGACAAAACTGTGCGCGATCTTGAATGACGAGGGCGGTGCCATCCGGTGACCACTGGAGGTCTATGGCGGAGAACTCTGTGTCTACACATCTGTTAGAGGGGTGTTGTTGGGGTGTTATGAGAGACGCACGGGTGGGAATGCCGACACCTTCCATGTTGCCTCCTCTCCCAGCTTCAACGCTAGCATCACCCACCCCCGAATCTTCCTCCACCCACCCACTCTCCTCATCCCAAACATACACCCCCCCTCCACCCGTCGCAACAGCCAACTTATTACCCCTCGGATTCCACCTCGCCCTCCGAACGTCTCTCGCAAAAATCCCGCTCGCCAGATGTGTGACTGTAGGCTGCTCTGACGTTGGGGTAGGGAGGAAAGTGTGGAGGTGGATGGTGTTGGGCTGAGAGTCGAGACGGATGAGGAGGAGGGTGGAGGAGGGGTTGAATGTGAGTTGGGAGATACCGGTGCGGGGCATGGGTTTGGTGCTGTCGGGGCGGTTGGTTGGGAATGTACATGGGTGGGGTTGGCGGTCGACTATGGAGGGTTGTTGTGAGCTTCGGACCGATCAGGACTTTGACTATGTTGACGTACATTGGACGATACCGCGCCCTCTCGTATCTCTAAGCCAGTCACCAGGTTCCCTCCATATCGTCTAAATAAGCATCAGCATTCCCAAAATCAACTAAAACCCAAAAGACGACGCACCGAGCTTCTCTCAACAGCTCTCGTCCCCCAAGCAACCACACAAACACACCGCCACCCCTCATTCTCCAAAACCCTCACTTTCCCATCCCACCCCCCCACCGCGATCCACCGGCCACTAGGAGCCCATGTGACGAGCTTGATACCCAGACCGGAGATTTCATTGGGGGTGGAAGAGAATGTGGGGGATGATGGGGTGAAGTGGGCGAGGAGCGGGCCTAGGGCGGAGTGGATGTGGAGAGAGTACTGCGGGAGAGAATCAGCGGTTATGTAAGAAGTCTACGGGTGGCGTACTGATAGGGGCGAGTCCCAGACGGCAATATAGCGACCGCATGGACTCCATTCGATACCTTGGACGTCTGTCGTATGAAGTGGGTAATGCTAAAGTACGTGAGCATAATCGAAGATCATGGATGATAATGCTCACCCGTATGAGAGCATACTGATCCAGTACGTCATACACCCCGATATATTCTTTGCCGTAGTGCTTTTCGGCAACGGCTATGTAACGAGAATCGTGAGAATAAGTATGGCCTGTTCTACGATGTTAGCTCGCTATCAGGTGTAGTGGAGAGGTGAGTCTTACAGCTGGAAGACTTGGCATTCTGAATGACACTGGTATTCCCCGTTGAGAGGTCATAGATGTTCATCTTTGTCTGAGCCACACTGTCAGTTTCCCGTCATGCCAGCACTAAAAGAACACTCACATCAAACTCTTGCCAAGACAGCACATCCCTCCCCGCCCTCCCCCACTCCACCCTCAAAAGCCCCTCCACCCCCAGCCCACCTATCCTCGCCGACTCGCCCTCCTGCGCTATCCCATACACCCACGCCATCTTCACCTGGCTGGAGTAGACCAGCAAATACATGCTGTCTCTTGACCATTGCAGTGAATCTATCGTAAACTCGTCTGCTGGTAATGGATCTTGGGCGGTTGATGGAGTGGGTTTCGCTTTGTTGAAAGGCGGTGGCAAGGGGGCGGGGGGGCGGGTGCAAGCCCATGTGCGGACGACTTGGAGGGTGGCGGTGGACCGGACGACGATCCGGTTATGGTGCGCTGTGGCTAGAAACGTCGTTCCCGGGGAAAAGGCGATAGTGCTCGCGCTAAAGAGGTGTGAGAATTCGTACCCCCCCGACATGTTGAAAGCTTGTAATCGTGATTGTTGATTTCTCGAGATTTGTTGACAGCTTTGTGAAAGAAGTCGCGTCGCGTCCCCAGTGCCACATCACCCCAAATCCCGAAATGCCGCTCCTCCTCAATCGCATGCACTCCCCACCAAACTGCATTTCATTCTCTCATTCTCTTCTTCTTCTGCACATGGGTGGACTTTATAGAACCACCCTATGAATACCTGGTAAGTCTCTTCTCCTTCGCTCGCTGGTGTCTGCGCTAACGGCTTGTAGTATCCTTTTCTGATTCAAGAACATTTCACGTTACCTCCAGTCTTTTCACTCATCTGCCATGGCTCATCAACGCTCCCTTGACCAGAGCATGTTCAGCGATCTAGTGGAAGGCGCTCAAGTCGACAAGCAGTGAGTCTTTTCTCCACCTACTCTTTTTGCCCCCATCTCTCTTTCAAAGATGAGACTTTATTAAATGCAAAGTGGGAATCTCTCCTAAACCATTTGAGGATACTTTATATACTTAGCACCTCTGAACCTTCCTTCTCCGCTTCAACCTTGACTGTTGTGACACGGTGGCTGACCAAGTAACAGTGATCTGAACGCTCTCGTGTTGGACTATCTCTTGATAGAAGGCTTCTCTGACGCCGCAGTCGAGTTTGCCCGCGAGACGGGTCTGCCTGTCGATGTCGATCATGACCTTGTTAATGAACGGCTTGGTATACGGCAAGCTGTGGAAGACGGGCGGGTAGAAGAAGCTGTGCTACGTACCAACGAGCTAGACCCAGAGGTGAGCCTTCTTTCCACATTCTTATCTCTATTCCTGTTCTTTTTTTGGGATCCCAATGATTCAACAAATCATGCACCACGCTTAGCCAGGCAATCGTCGCGGCCATGCTGAAACAACCGATTCACAGACCTGATATGAGGGATCCCCATTTATCATTTATTTTATTTGTCTGATTGTGACTAGTGAGCTCTTGCTGACTCGTATAATCAGATCCTAGACAACAATGCGCCTCTGCTCTTCCACCTCAAGCTTTTACGTTTGGTCGAGCTCATACGGTCTGACAATCTCGATACCGCCCTCGAGTTTGCCACGCACGAGCTCGCCCCCCGCGGTGCCCAAAATCCCGAGTTTCTCTCCGACCTCGAGCGCGCTATGGCCCTCCTCGCTTTCCCCGACCTCGCCCGATACGCCGACGACTCGTCCCCCTCGGACAAGAAGCCCGCCCTAGCCCCAGACACTGCCGCCCTATTCGAAGAAGCAGCCTTTGACCCCATCAAGGGTCTGATGAAGAAGGCGCACCGAGTACAAGTCGCCCGAGAGCTCAACATGGCCATCTTGGAAAATCAGGGGTATGGGACGGATACCAAGTTGAGTGGGCTTATTAGGCTTATGGCGTGGGGCGAGCAAAAGCTGGTGGAAAGTTCTGGTATGCCTATACCTGAGGCTGAGCAGAATAGGGGTCGGGCGTGGGCTGATGCGGTGTTGGGTGTGGGGTTGGATTGTTGATATACTTGCTTTTTTGACGACTAACGGGGTTGTATCTTTTGCGTTGTAGAAATAGATATGTTTGGACCATGCACTTTTGTATCGTATGCCTGAATGATTAGTCTACATGTCTTGTCTGTTAATCTACGTGTCCAAGGTGGTTCATCCGGTTCACGGGATGTCTGGCGTCTATGTACATGACAACATGGGTATATGTACAACAAGTATCTTGCTTGGTCCGTCCTTGTCGGTACATTCGCGGTCTGACTTTGTATGGAACCACTATGTAGAAGGGGCCCTGTGGTGTGTTTGCGAGGTACAGGGGTGATGGCATGATAGCACGAGCAGCTGGCACGCACTAAAGGAGTCTCTCAAGCGACGAGTGCAGTGCTCAAGACGTGCGATGGTATCAGATACTCCACCCACCCCCCTGCATGCGTCGAGATCACCCAACATGCCCTCGAGGAACCCCCGGAGATGTCCGCCGCCCTCCACCAGCCAATGATTTGCAACCTCTTTATCGCGTCATGAATCAGCCAACCACCATTATCTTCTTCCTCTTCCTCTTCCTCTTTCTCTTCTTCTTCTTCTCCCCCAGCAAGCAGGATGCCGCCCCCCTCTCTCCTCCTCTTCACCACCTCCCAAACCCCCCTCCCCCTCCGCTACCCCCACCCCCAAAAACCAACCCTCGCCCTCCCTCCCCTCCTCCACCGCTCCCTCCACGCCGCCCTCGACAGAGACGACCCTTCTCTCCGCTGGCAAGACGGCGCCATCTGGATCCCCGATCCCCAATCTCTCGGCCGTTCTGAGCCGCTGCCAGTGGAGAACGGCCACGCCGCGCCAGAAAGTGTGCAGGATGAGAGAGAGGTGACTGTGAAGGTGCATCTTGTCGCGGCAGGGCCGGAGGATGGGCCGGGGAGCGCGAGTACGCGGGCGGGGTACGTACCCGAAGCTTTGGCTTTGCTGCAAACGACAAAAGGGCTCGGTCTGCCGGATAACCTGTTGGTGGGGTTCAAAGGGATCGATTATAAAGGCACAAAAACCGGCACGAAAGACGTTGCCGGACCAGAGAAACCCTCCAGCCCCAGTCTCCCTCTTCCGGCAGCACCCTCCACAACAGTCATCCCCCCCGAGCTCGAAGCCCAAGTCTTGGCAGTCTGGTCCCACCTCTTCACTTCCAAATCGTCTCTCCTCCAACCAGGGGGCAAGCTCGGCTCCATGTATGCGCCTTTGAACCTTTTGAAGAAGTTGGTGGAGAGGGGAGAAGGAGGGGAAGGGGAAGGGGAAGGGGTGGAGGCGAATGTGTTGGATACGCCGGATTGTCATCATTTGCCGGGAGAGTATGCTGGGTATGCGAGGGAGAAGGGGGTGCAGCTTTGGGCGGGCGGTGGACGGGAGGGGTCTGGTATGTTCCTTCCCCTCTTCCCCTCTTCCCCTCTTCCCCTTCTCCCTCTTCATTTGCTCGCACCATAGCTAACCTGAACGTCAGACCCAATCCCATCACCCCACCTCCAAAACTCCCTCCACGAGTTCCTCCCCCTCCTCCGCTCATCTCCCCTCCTTCCCATCGAAGCGCGTCAACTCCTCAGCAACAAGAAGCTGGATAAGCAAGTGGCGGTGACGGAGGATGGGCTTGGTTTTGTTGAAAATGGGGAAGGAGGGGTGGAGGTGCGGTGGGTTTTGAGTGTACGTCTTTCTTTTTGTCTTGCTCTGTCGAGGGCGGGGGTTTGTTGGGAGGGGGTGGGTCGCTGATGATAGAGTAGTATACCGTCATATCGAAAACCAGAAACGTCGTCGAAGACAAGGGGTATATCATCGCCGCCGACTTCCTACCATGAACATCCTCTCAACATTACTGCTCTTATCCTCCAGATGGATTGTACGGCAGGTTTGGGGGTGATGAGAAGCATTGGGGGGCGTAGGGCGTGGGGCGTAGATTGTAGGGTATGGGGTGTAGGGATGCAGGGGAGTGAGGTGCATGAGGGTTGTCATTATACTAATGGAGATTCGTGCGAGTGCGAGGGAGAATGGGAAGGGATGTCATTATTAGCATTTGAGAGTTGTTCAAAACGTTTCGTGATAGAATGCATGGGCTTGTGAATGTTACAGTTCCTACCAACAGTACCGTCAATCGTCAAGAGACAGTTCCAAGTCTATTCTATAGACAACGAAGCGCTTGCTAGGACAATACAAACAGGAACGTCACACAAGGAGGCCGCATGAACGTGGTGAGGGCCCGTTCCCTGTAGGGAAGGACAGGGAGAGCAGAGGCAGAAGCCCAGTATACGCGCATGGCGGGAACAATGTAGGTGAGGAAGGAGTCCCATCTAGGTGTGGCAAGGCGGCGGGTGTCGGGATGCTGGTAGTGGAACAGGAGGTATGTTTTCGAACGCTTCGCAGTGGATCGGTCCGCCCGAGCCCCCATCTCGACTATCGCCTCCGACAGCTTATCAATAAAGGCCAAGGAAAATGAGATCGGACCGGCCTTGCGTGCCTTCATGACCCAGGAGTTGACCTGTTCAACAATTGTCGGACGTGGTTGATTCAAATCGAGGAAGGGGAGTGAACGCTCGTGACCATTGCCGGGGGTGGATGGATGAGGCTTGTGTCTGGTCCTCGCTCCACAGGTACTCGAAGAAACAAGCGTCTAGTCGGCGTTCGGAAGCAGCATCCTTCGCGCTGTTCCAAAGCGTCATGAAGTCACCTTCGTTGGTGGCATAGGCAAGCGACTGGTACAGAGAGCTTTTGAGGAGTCCCTGTTGGTCTTGATCGCGAAGAAGCGCTTCCATGAACCTGGGAGGAGTTGTACCAGTCGCTCGCCTATGCCACCAACGAAGATGACTTCATGACGCTTTGGAACAGCGCGAAGGATGCTGCTTTCGAACGCCGATTGAACGATAGCTTCTTCGAATACCTGTGGAGCGAGGACCAGACACAAGCCTCATCCATCCACCCCCGGCACTGGTCTCGAGCGTTCACTCCCCTTCTTCGATTTGGAACGACCACGATCGCCGACTTGAAACAGAAAAATGAATAGTCGTGTTATGTATAACTGGAAAGGATTGAAAAAGTTACATTGAAATTGTTGTGTCGTGAGAAAATTTCGTGGTCGCATTATGGCCAGGGCGGAAAAGATATGGTCGCATTGTGTCCGGAAAACTTGATTTAGGTCGCAGGAAGTCTTTTCCTCGTCGGTATAAGTGGAGGATCGTTAAAAAGTCTAAACGGTCACTGTTTGGTTCAGGTTTGGTTCTTGTCAGGCCCAGTCACAAAAGGATGGATACCTCTTGTGTATCGCTTCAGACCGAGCAAGCTTGACTTGTCACTTGGCTTTACATCGTTTACAGAAATGAGAGGGAATCTTTGAGGCATACGCAGTCGCAAAGCTCATCGTTGTACGGACTTGACCCCATCCACCACACCCACCACCCATCCCCTGACCCCACCGATCTTCTCCCCAGGCGTGATATATGGCGGCGCCTTGTTTCCTCTCTCAAGTCTCTCTTGCGTGATGATGAAAGAGCTCGGAAGACCGTCATTCCATTGACCGGTGGTGATGTATTCCGCGAGGTATTTGGTGGAGAGAACTATGCGGGCCATGCCGTGTCCTGTCGTTCCTTATGAGTATTGCGTGATATAAAAATCGAGTGGGGATGAAGCTCACCTTGGAACCCGGCAGCGACATAAAGCCCTTCATTACCCTTTTTCTCATCCTGCAGCTGCTGGAGAGGAACGCTTCCGATGAGAGGAAGCGTATCTTGGGTAGCACATTGAATGCCTGTCCAAGCACGTATACGCCCCTCTCCTACAGCTTCTTCGCCCCATCCTTCAAAGTTCTTCTTGCAGAACTCTCCAAGCCCTTCTCATGATCAGCGCCTCGTACCACTTGCCAGATTCTCCACCAACAACCCACATTTCTCGGCAGCAGGCTGCACATAACTATCATTCCAGTTCCCATAGATCTCCTTCTTGTCCATGACCCCCTGCTTGATCGCATTGTCCGATGTGAGGCCGAGCACAATCCCGGCATGAGGGGTGGAAATGAGATAAGTTCCGTTCTCAGAAGTGTATGTGTATGCGAGAGAGGATGAGCCCGAGTAGGTGGGGGGAGGGGTGACGTTGGCGGCTTGGCCTTGGAATGGGGTCAAACTAGCTTGAGTCAGTGACGACGACGAATGGAGTGGAAAAGGGCGTACAATCGTTCAATGTCGGTCCCCTTCAACAGCCCTGGTGTATAGGCATTGGTGCAGATCACCACATTCCTCGCCCTCAACTTCCCTCTTTTCCCCAGATTCACCTCCCACAAGCCATTCTCACTCTGTTTTTCGACCGTCGCTGCGCCGTCGACCTTCTGTATTCCTTGTACCGGGGCCCATGAGTAGAGCTCGGCCTGGCCGGATTTGAGCGCAGAGCGCAAGAAGGCGCTTGCGAGTTTGTGGGGATGGATGGAGCCGGCAGGACCTTTGGAGTATGCTACAGCGCCCTTGAACCTTGTATCCTAGCTAGGCTTCAGCTCAACAAGCTTTGATACAGATCATCCAAAGAAGAACTCACTGCTTGGGCTTTCTTTTCGTCCCATGTCCAAGACCATTCGAGAGGGATATCCTTGTACTTTTCGCTCTTGTTCCTTGCTTCTGCCCACTTCTTGTACAGGACATCCATCCTCTGAGCTTGGGTTTGAGTCAGTCTCACTACACACGACTGTTAGCGATCTGAGCAAATAATGGCAAGGAGGCAACCGGGCGCACCTTCAACCTTTTCACCTTTCCAGAGATCAATCTCCCATCCTTCCCTATGCACCGTCTCTTCAACCCACAACAACACCCTTCTCTCTAAATCAAGCACATCCAGCGCATCGTCGATGCTGAGACCGCCACCTCCTTCGGATAGCGGCTTGGTCAATTCGGGGAGGGCGGAGAAAGAGTAAGGAGCACAGTGACCACCGTTTCGGCCCGCTGGGGAGAAGGAAGTGTCAGTGAGAACGTGTTGATCTTGATCGATCATGAGCACGCACTGGCTCCGGAGGCGACATCTTTGGCTTCTAGCACAACAGTAGTCTTGCCAGGAGTGATAACTTCACGAGTGAGATGATAAGCCGTAGATGCCCCTATCGGCCACTCATCAGCTTCAAGCTCGTTTTGCAGTACCCGTACTTGAGCGTGGCCTGAGCAGAGAACAGACATACCAGCCATACCAGCCCCCACCACGACATAGTCTATCACCTCACTAGGAAGAGCCTTGTCTTTGTTATGTCCGAAGAAAGAGTCTGGGCCGCGATTCTGTTTGAGGCGGGTGTATCAGCATAGAACACTGGCGACATATTGAACGCACGGTAGCTTGCCAGTGAGAGACTGTGGATGTGAAGGGCTGTGGAAAGGTCGACATATCTGTTAACTGGAAATGTAATGTTGAAGAGGAAGATTATGTCGAAAAGGAGAATGAAGAGCGATTGATGATGATAAATGGTCGTCGTCGGACTTGACCGATTTCACATGGAATGTCGACACTTCGGATGGCCGGGGCTAGGCGCTCGCTGAATGAAGAATTGCCGGCCTCGTCGAACTTGCTGAGGTGTCTATGATAGGAGATGCATTTGACACGATACGTGGTCAACAAGGAAAATAAGCCCGCAAAGAGGAAAAGATTTGTATATGTAATTACTTGAATTCACCGCTCTCCCTCACCTCCACATCTCCTCCACGTCTCTAAGCTTCTTCTCCGCCGGCAACACCCTCATCCGCAACCTTGACACCCTCGACACCAGTCTGACTCCTCTCCTTGCCCGCCTCCGTAGCAGCCTCCGACGCAGGGACGACCTTGGCGGCTTGGGGATGGGGGTCAACGTAGTTCTTCTCGTTGTTGGCAATGTGTTCTTCGAGAACGTTGAGGCCGCAAGCGGCGGCGACGAGACCGAGGAAGGGAGGAGAGGGGTTGAGAGGACGAGAGCAGAATTCGGGGTGGGCTTGGAGACCGACAAAGTAGGGGTGCTCTGGTGGGCACGTCAGTGATTGACATTCTTGCAGAGACATGAAACTCACCTGCCAGCTCGAGCATCTGCATTCGCTCTCCTCTCTCATCCTTACCGATAAACCTCATGTTTCCAGGCGCCTCCAGCTGCTCCACATACTTGGGTTCCACCTCGTACCTATGCCTGTGCCTCTCCCAAGCAACGTCCTTGCTACCATACAGCTTCCTGAGCTTGGTGTTCTCCGTGTTGGGCTCAAAGACGGTGGGTCGCAGACCGAGGCGCATTGTGCCACCCATGTGGGTCTTGGAGATTTCGGGCATGAAGCAGATGACGGAGTGAGGACCATCGGGGACGAGTTCGGAGGAGTTGGCGTCTATCAATCTCCATTAGCTTCTCCCTTGGAACCCACGCAAACTGTCAGACTCACCCTTCAAACCACAAACGTTCCTAGCCCACTCAATCACAGCCACTTGGAAACCAAGACAAATACCCAAGTACGGCACGTTCTGCTCTCGCGCCCACTTGGCAGCAGCAATCATACCCTCAGTACCACGCAAACCGAAACCGCCGGGGACAATGATACCCTTGGCGGAGCAGACGGCTTTCCAGGCGTTGTGGAACTTGACGGGGTTCTCGCTTTGGGCAGCGGGTTCAAGGTCGGAAGAGTCAACCCACTGCATGTTCTGTTAGCACATGCTGGGAGGAGATGGGGAATGGACTTACGAGGAGCTCGAGGTGTCTGCCACATCGCATAGCAGCGTGTTCAAGAGACTTGACGACACTCATGTAAGAGTCCTCCAAAGTGGTGTACTTGCCGACAAGGACAATCTCGACAGACTCGAAAGTCTTGTCGACACTAACGACCCATCAGCACCACATATTGCAGACAGTCTCGAGTACTCACCCGCTAGTCAAAGACTCCCACCTGCTTGCGATCTCCTCACCCTTGGCCTTCAAAGCCGTAGGGATCTCAACAGTCGACAAGGCAAGACGTTCCCAGAAGTACTTGAGCATGCCTTGGTCTTGGAGGAGGAGGGGGACGTGGTAGGTAGAGCTGACGTTGTGAACACCGAGCACTTGTCGGGGGGAGACGTGGCAGAACATGGAGACCTTCTCCATGGTGGCGGTAAGGAGGGGCTCGGTACATCGACAGGCGATCTGAGGAGTATCAGCACTATTCACTTCTTGCAGAGATATGGACTTACGAGGTCGGGAAGAAGACCCAAACCACGGAGATCCCTGACACCAGCCTGAGTAGGCTTTGTCTTTTGCTCACCACCAACAACAGGGATGAGGGAGACGTAGATCAAAGCAAAGTTCTCGTGACCGACTCGGAACTGGAATTGACGCATGGCCTCGACGAAAGGCATAGACTCAATGTCACCGACAGTACCACCAAGCTACAACACGTTCAGCAAAGTCGTCAAGCTGTTGAATGAAAAGCAACATACCTCGATGATACAGACATCAGGCTCATCTCCAGTCTCGTCAACAGGAACCTTAGACACTCGCTCAACCCAGTCCTGAATGGCGTTGGTCAAGTGGGGAACGATCTGGACAGTCTTTCCGAGGTAATCTCCTTTTCGCTGTACGAAGATCAGCTGGTCCATCACATGAGGTAGATATGACCCACCTCGCGGTCGATGACGTGCTGGTAGACCTTTCCGGTGGTAATGTTGTTGTCCTTGTTGAGAGAGACATCGAGGTATCGCTCGTAGTTACCGAGATCCAGATCGGTCTCACCACCATCGTTGAGAACGTACACCTCACCTGCAAACGTGTCAGCTTCATCCCCAATCTCCATATACATTCATCTCCGAAATCCTTCCGCCCTCTTTCCATCCTTTCATTTTTTACACGTTCATGGCCACCCAAAGTATGCTTCCACAAAACTAACCGTGTTCAGTGGGAGCCATGGTACCAGCATCAATGTTCATGTAAGGGTCGATCTTGATGGAGGTGACCTTCAAACCAGCAGTCTTGAGCATGAGACCAGTACTGGAGGCTGAAACGCCCTTCGTTAGCGTCCCACAGATCCTTCTGCACGTCCCGAGTCATGAAAGCGTACCAATCACACCCTTGCCGATACCACTGCAGAAAAGCCATGTATCAGATCCCAAACATACATGTACATTTCTCCATAACTCACGAGATAACACCACCACAGACGAGAATGTATTTGACCATCTTCTTCTAGCTGAAGCACCGGGCTTTGATAGCAATGAAAGGTAAAGTCGCGACGGGTGTTGATTAGTACGCGCTGGTTCGAGTTGGAGGCTGCTTGTCGCGCTCTAGCAGGGCGGGGATGTAGATTGGGATAGACGGAACGTTCCCGAGGAAGCGAGGGGACGAAGAATGGAAAGTGTGGATGTTTGTGAGAGTGAGCGTAAGAGCAGGAGCAGTCGGCGGCTCAACCGCGTTCAAAATTATTCTGTGGTGCGGAACCCGCCGCCCAGCTGCGCGGAAGCAGATCTCACGCGTGTCTTTCTGGATCAACAAACAGTCAACAGTCAGCAAACGCGAAATGTTGCCCTCTATACACAGTGAGGCCAAAGTCAGAGCTGCCTACATTTGAACTGCTATACTCAAGCACTTGTGGACAGGTTCTTCTGCTACGGAACGATGTATCATGTAGATGCTGACAGAGTTTGTGAGTGTTTGCACCTGACTGCCATTCAAGCTGCATTCAAGTCATTCGCTCTCGTCCAAATTTGGTCATTTCCATAAGGTGCGGGCCGACAGATTCAGGCAGAAGGCGTAAAAGCAACACCCCTCAACCTGACATACATCACCTCCCATCCCTCCTCCTTGGCCTCCTGCCCCTCTTGCCCTTTCACGCCCATCCCCGGGTTCTCCGCACTCCAATAAGTGTCGACCCTAGCAATCTCGGCGACCTCTTGCATGATAGTAGCGGCATCAGTGTCGGAGAATGAAGAGAGGAAAGAATGTCGAGCAAAGGTGGTGAGCCAGCCTTGGAGGGAAGTTGGGAGCGGGGTGGGACGGGGAACGAGGTGGACGTTGGAGGGGGTGAGGTCTGCTGCTTTGAGAACCTGTGGGCTTGTCAGTATTTGCAGTAATGAGGTGACTGATACTCACAGACTCGTATTGTCTTGGAGTGGGAAAGTACCAAGGGTCGAGCGGGATGGGATCAATACCTCTGGCCCTGACGGCATGATGAAGCGCTGCCCTGATACCACATCTGCAAGTCCATCAGCTTCGATCACGCTTTCGACAGAGAAACTTACACGTTCCCGAACCCTCCAAACTCGAATGCGAACCTGCCTCCGGGTTTCAGAAGCCACCTCACAAGCTCAATCACGCCCTCGGGAGAGTCTTTGCACCAGTGCAGAGTAGCGGACGTGAAGACGGCGTCGAAGGCGTGGTGGTATTCTGGGTGGGCAGCTGCAAAGGCGGATGCGTTTTGGATATCGGCTTGGATGTAAGGAATGGAAAAAGGGGACTGGGAAGCAGCTTTGTCGAGCTATGCACTGTCAGTACGCCGGACTTGACGGCGCCGGCGACACAGAACATACCATATTCTGAGAAGAATCAACGCCCACTATCACCCCTTTCTCCCCTACCACCTCTTTCAGCCCCTTTGTAAGCTCGCCAGTGCCACACCCGAGGTCGATGATCTTCTCGCCCTCTTTCGCCTGGAGGAGGCCCAAGACAGGGGCAGTGTTAGCAGCAGAGAAGACGAAGGAGGCGTTGGTGTGGTAGTTGTCCGCGTTGTGGTTTGTGAGATTGGCGGTGTGGGACATCGTGTGTACGGTCTCCTGTTTGCAGATGTAAGCGTCTAAGAAGGGGGCATGGGATGTCGAGTCGAGGGGAATGGTACAAGATAAGCCGGACGGTGGTCTACCTCCACCGCCATTTCGGCCGAAGCTCATTGGGTGCATAGACCGGCGGTAGCCGACGTCCTTCACCCCGACCATCACCTCTGAGTGAGGCTCTGACATCTGACGTCCATTTCGCAGCTGACACATATGCGACAGCCGCCATAAAAACACTTGAGGACATCGGATACTGTGGCCCCAAAGGGTCAAATACGACTGCTCTGATGGGGTCTCTGGTGCGAGTCTCTCTGATCTTCCCAGACGGAACGGTGGGAGTTGAGTTATCACATTCTAGATGCATCTCCTGAATGGAAGCTGAGGGTCGGCCTCGATGAGTGATCTATTCAGTCTGGATGTGCTCATTGTTATGCCAGGGAATCCCAAAGGTGTCGTCAAAGCTGCAAGGATCGTCATGAGAGGGCGCAAATGACTGTGGTAAGACGGACGGTACCTCGAAGGGCGCCGACATTGACCTTTCGCTGCCCATCCACCATTCCCTTCTCATTTTGCATCATCGTCGACATGTCTGACAGTCATGCACTCCCTCACCAACAACTCGACCCGCATCACGTCGACATTCCCCGCGACTCGCAGTCGAAATCGCCGGGTCTGCGAGTTTGAATTGACCCCAAAGTCCACGTGCAGGAGGGTGTATTTTCAGCCAACAACAAAGTGAAATCCCCCGCATTTGTCGTACGCCCGCTGGGATCTGTCACCTTGGTAGTCAAGATCATCGACGATGAAGGGGATCTGTGGTGAAGCCCTTGAAACAGGTTGTAGCGTCGGTGATGGCAAGTCTGCCCCATGTAAGTACTCAAATGCCGCCTCTACTTGCATACGCTGACTTTGCGCCGAACAGGGAAGCTCTCGGCATTACCCGAATCACATACAACCAATTCGCAACCATCACTCTTGATTTCGAGGCTTCTCACCCCAGAACCCACGCATTCGAGAACGGGTTGGTCCCTCCAGGCTTCCCTTGTGCGTTTCTGAAGCAGCTGGAGATCTGCTTCAGCTGGTTCGGCGAGTGGAGTACAAGTGGCGCGGAGGGGCAGAATGCCTGGCGAGAGGGAGTGAATGAAGGTGTGCTTGAAATGTTGAGACAAAAGTTGGTTGTGTGAGTCTGTTAGTCTTCGGCTGTACTTGATGCCTGCTGATCGATGTCCCGTGATTACGATCTCATATTCAGGGGTCCGCTGTACGACGCAAGTTCATTTACCGTCCATGCCCTTGACAAGTCGTATTGACATCTCGCAGGCTGTCGATGCCCGGCTCGCACCCCACCAGCCGCTGTTCGACATGTTTGCAGAATTCTATCAGATCTCCCTCGGAAACCAGCGTAAAAACCCCAAGAAGCCCATCGCGCTCGCTGTTGAGTACCACAAGAGCCTTGCTGAATGAACACGAAGCACGACGTAGGCAAGCGGCGCTCGACGCGACTACGGTGTTGATAGTGGAGGACGAGATGATGGACGCAGAAGCCAGGGCAGCACAACGAAATAGCTCCAAATGAGGAGTAGTTTACAGCGACAGCTCTCGTGGAAGAGGCAGAGGGAGATGGTGATACTGAAAGGAAGTGTTTGTGCAGTTGCTCATTGCGGACTATGTGGATTCGGGGCGTAAAGCTGAAGCGAGAGAGAACCCCCCTGCCGAGTCGATTGAGAGATTTTGGTAGATTTCCATTGCCAGCTTTTGGCTGTAAGAATAATTGCACGTAATATACGTACTATGATATACATGAAGTATGGACTCGACGGTAGCTGGCCGCGATTCTAGGAAGCTGCTTTCGCCGAGTTCTTGCCCTTGTTCTTCATCAGGTTCTTCACCACCAGGTTGATCGAGAGCGGCGACTGCCGCCCTTCTCCTCCACCGCGATCATCCGTCATCTCAATATCTTTGCTCGCTGGAGCACCGCTGGAACCAATTACACCTTTCACCTACAACAACCTTCTCGCAACTTCCATATCATACTATTGGACTGCTTACAGTCACATATTGGACAAATAAATGCTCAGCCGCAAGAACTTTGCCCTCTTGGGGCTGCTACTACTCGCTGTGGTGCTCGTCTCGGCCGAGGTACGCTCCCCCTCTTCCCTTATCTTCTCGTACTACAACTGACATCAGCTGGGTTGTAGAAACAGGAAGTGTCAGATCTTCCCGAAAAAATCGCCAAGGCCGTGCATGGAGGACACCATGGGGCTCACGAAGGGACGTCGATGAAGAAGGTCTTTGCGACGCTGTTCCCTTTTGAGAGTCCTGCTTGGAATTCAAGTAAGTCTTATACGGTCTGACCGTGAGAATATGGTGGTAGAAGGCGATACTGACGATGTGACCGTCTCATAGTCCTCGCTACATTCTACATCTCCTCGTACGTCCCCTCCCCACGCTCCTTCCCATCAAAGCCCACTCACTAACGCCCCCCTCCCTCCCAGCGTCCCAAACTTTATCCTCCTCGCCGTCCCCGCCACCCTCGACCCCACCTCTCTCAACACCATGATCTCCTTCGCCACCGGTGGTCTGCTCGGGGACGTGTTCCTGCACTTGGTGCCCCATGCGTTCTTTGGGGAAGGGCATGGGGATGGGGAAGAGGGGGTGAAGAGTGTTGTGGTGGAGGAGAAGCGGAATATTGTCATTGGGTGCGTTCTGGGTCTTGACTAGCTTGGAGACGGTAGAAAAAAGGGCAAGGGCTGATTTGGGTTATAGAGGGGCGATCTTCCTGGGCTTTGCAGCATTCTTCGTGCTGGACAAGACTATGCGCGTGCTCAGCTCTTCTGCCGGGGGTGGTGGTCACTCCCACTCTCACTCCCATAACCACAGCCACGCCCAGCCGGAAGGATCAACCGCCACCTCCTCCGCCATCGCTCCCTCTGCCGAGCTGCGTTCCCGCAACACCTCCACCTCTGAAAAGCCAACCCAGCCCGAGACCGAGGAGGACGATACGGAAAAGGTTAACCCTTCGCTCAAGCTGTCTGCGTACCTCAACTTGTTTGGCGACTTTACGCACAATATCACGGATGGCCTGGCGATGGCTGCTAGTTTCTACTCGAGCCCGGCTTTGGGCGCTGTCACCACCATAGCGACATTCTGCCACGAGATCCCTCACGAAGTGCGTCCATGTCCCAAAGTATACAGTCATATACTGACGATAATCAAGATTGCAGACTATTCGATTTTGATCAAATCGGGCTTTACCAAATCCCAGGCTATGGGCTCCCAATTCTTCACCGCCGTCGGGGCGTTCGTCGGGACCTTTTTGGGTATCTGGATCGCCGAGACGTCGGGGGTAGCGGCGGCGACTGCTGGAGGGGCTGTAGCGGAGGGTCAAGGGTTCTTTGGCACGACGGTGGGAGGCGCAGAGTTGGTCATTCCTATGACTGCTGGAGGTGCGTTCTTCCGCCTGTATTCGTCTTTAGGTCCGCAGAGAAGCCTGGACAGAATAGCTGACTTTACTGTCAGGGTTCTTGTACATTGCAAGTGTCAGCGTCATCCCCGAGTTGCTGGAAGAATCCCGAAGCGGCAAGCAGGCGCTCAAGGAGTATGCTGCCATGGCGTTCGGCGTCTTCTGCATGGTACATCTTTCCTCTGTCCCACAAATCCGTCCACTGACAATGCTGTGCGGTCCCCTAGGCTGTGATTGCATGGAACGAGTAGAATTAGTAGCAGGAAATGTACATTTGTTTACGAGAACGGAAGGGCCGGCTTTGGTTGTTGTTGGCCGGATGCGGCGATATGTGATTACGTCATTTAGCGTCCCCCACCAAACGGCCCGCCGCTTGTAGCAATAGATGGTTCCCATTTCCTTTCTCTTCCATCCATCCATCTCCCCATCACCATGTCCGATTCCTACAAAGTCACATTCCAGTGGGGCGCAGGGGCCCAAACCGTGAGTGATCTTCCGAGCTGCAGGGGGGAAGGGGCAGGGGGACGGGAGGCAAGACCGAGGGCCGCAAGTGTAAACATCCACCCCGCCTCCGCTGCTCCTATGTCCTTTTGTGCATATGCTAACCGCTTTGTTCTCCCATCGCTTTTCTCCTCCACTGTCTTTCCTATCCTCACAACGAACCAACCCCAAATCAACAGGTCTGCGTCGCGGGCAATTTCAACGACTGGTCCGCTACTGCCACTCCCCTCCATAAACAAGCCGACGGATCCTTCTTGGCCAGCGTGCCCGTACCTTGGGGAGAGAAGGGAGCGTTCAAGTATGTGGTGGATGGGGAATGGAAAGTTAGGGAGGATGAGGGGAAGGAGTGGGGTGAGTTCTTTTCTTTGATGATCCTCGGTGATGCCGTGTCGTTGAGCCGTGAGGGCTGTCAGCCGTGCTTGGGTTTGTCGAAACAGCAAAGTGGTGAAGCTGGTAAAGAAGAGGAGTCGATGATAGAGACGGGAGATGTACAGATGGAAGGGATGGCTGACAGTCGGCTTTTACAGATGCCGCCGGCAACATGAACAACGTCTACCAGGCTCCTGAATCCGAAGCTGCCTCCTCTACTGCTGCTCCCGCCTCTACCGCCACCACCGGTACCTCTCCCACCGACTCTAAACACTCACATTCTGGCGCCGAAACTGCCGTCGCTGCGGGAGCTGTCGGCGGGACTGCCTTGGGTGGTGCCGCCCTTCGCTCCCATGGCAAGGACTCTACCACCAAGGATTCTACTCCCCTCGCCTCTTCCGAAAAGAGCGTACCCTCCAAGAGCGTAGACACCACTTCCCCCGTGACTACCACCAGCGAAAAGAGTGCCGTGCCAGTTCAAGAGAAGAAGACCGAACCGTCAAACTTGCTCGCGGCCAACGTCCCCGGGTCTGCTGTCGGCGCGCCCCTCTTGGGCAAGCCTCTTACTGGTTCTGGGACTAGCACTACTGGAGGGGCCTTGCCTGTGGCATCTCACACTGCCTCGGAGAATGACAAGGTCGTTCCTATTGCTACTACCGGCACCGTTCCCTCCCCTTCCACTCCTTCCAAGACCCAGGACATCCCTCCCTCTCGATTGGTAGCGGAGGCCACACCCTCCAAATCTACTCCCACCAAGGACGCCTCTACCTCCTCTGCTGCTGGCGCTTCTGCTGCCACCGCCGCCTCTACCAAGGACGTTCCTTCCGCCAAACCCACTTCCACCGACCCTGCCGTCCACACTGGCGCCGGCGTCTCTCCTGAAGCCGGCAAAATCGACGCCGTAAAGCCCAGGACCGCGGCCGCCTCTGACGCTCCCGTCGACAGCAAGGCCGCCACCGACAAGGCCGGCGCCACTGCAGAGGGCGAGCCCAAGACCCTTTCTCCCGGTCCTGTCCCTGTCGTCGTGCCAGCGCCTACTGCGGCTGCTGCAATCTCTGGCCCGGACGCTACTGTCGTCAAGACTACGGACTCTGCTGGCGGTGTAGTTGGTACTGCGCCTGAAGCGACCCCGAAGGAGATTGAGCAGGTTGCCAAGCACGCCAATATCGGAGAAGCGCCTCTCGCAGCGCCTGTTGCTGTTGCTGAGGGTGAAGAGCAGCATGGTATTACGGAGAGGGCTGCCGAGTACGGTGCTGCTGCTATCGGCGCGATTGGAGGCGTTTTGGGAGGTGCTGTTGTGGCGGTGGAGAAAGCTACTGGTGTCGACATTGTCCACTCTTCTCCTGTAAGTCCCTCCTCAGATTTCGGTTCCAAAGCTAATGATGGACAAAAGACTGACGGCAAGCAGCTGAGTGTGGAAGAAGCCAAGGCCAAGGGTATCGATGTGTCTACGCTCAACAAGGTCGATGGAGCTTCGGACTCTACTGTCCCCACTGGCCAGGCGCCTCCTGCGTCTGCTATTGCCGCGCTCGATGAAAAGGTGGATGAGCTCAAGGCTGAGCAGGGCCCTTCTACCACTTCTACGGCGGGACAGGGCAACACTGGTGTCGCTGCCGTACCTTTGCCCGGTGGTGAGCCCCCCAAGAGTATGCCCGCCCCGAGTATAGGGTGACCAAGCTGACCATCTATGCAGAGTCCGTCGCCTCCAACACTGGCGAAAGCTCCCTCTCCGCCAACGCCGCCGCTTTCCAACCCCGAAAGCAACACTCCATCCCCGCCCAGCCCGAGACCATCCCCGACAACCACCAATCCATCCCCGCCCCCGTCTTCACCACCATCTCCCCCAAAGACCCGCACAAGGACCGTTCGCTCAAGGCGTCCGAGGGCAACAAGCTGCAAGATACAGCGGGGCAGAAGCAGGTCGGGGACGACCCTGCTGTGGACGCGCACGAGGCTAAGCGGGAGGCGGAGGCGCACCCTGGGGGGGCGTCGTCGTATGGCCAGACGGGACAGGCGGATGTGGTCGGGGAGGGCAAGCCGGAGGTGCAAGCTGCCAAGAAGAGCGCTGCGCCCGATACGCCCGCCAACAACCTCGGCGTGGGCAGGGAAGGCGATGCGTCCAAGTCTGCGCCCCAGAGTGAAGGGGCTGGTAATGCTACAGTGTCGAAAGCTGGCGAGGGCGCTGTTGCGCCTGGGTCGGACACGGAGGCTAGTGGGAAGAAGGGTGTGACGGAGGCTGCTACGGGTGCGCCCGCGACGTCTACTGCGCCGTCGACCCCGGCCAAGAAGACCAATGGGGCCAGCACGCCGGCTACGCCTGCTGCTGCTGGGGCTGCTACCGGGACGAGCACGGCCGCGAGCACGCCTGCAAAGGCTGCCAAGACTGAGGATGGGAAAGTCAACAAGAAGAAGTCTAGCTTCTTCGCCAAGGTGCGTCTCTTCACCCACAAGTTTATAAATTCAAGGCTGACGTTGTTGCCTAGATCAAGCATGCGCTTAAGAAAGACAAGAAGTAAATCAAAGTGTTTTCGCCTTCCATTCCCGTCCGTGCCGTGTAGCTATAATCAGGCCTCGAGATTCAAAATACTTTCGGTTCTCTCACTCTCTAATACATCTCATGTCTGCCCGTCTCTTCTTCTTTTACAACCAGTGGACCGACTCTTGTCGTAATCTTGTTTTCTTCTCTCTTACGTAGTATCTTTCGATAACTGGGTGTTTCTGATATACACGAACGCGATTTTGAGCGTGGTATACAAAAGTGGATAGCAAATAGGATCGGGATATGTCTCTGAAGCTTCCTTAGAAGTTGAATATGCAACTGTTCACGCTACCAGGGCTACATCGTACTATCTTACAACATATGAACTCGTCTCACATCCCATCCTCCGTCTCCTCCCCACTCGCCCTCTCCCCCCTCCCCTCCCTCTCCTCCCTCTCCCTCCCTCCCCTCCCCTCCCTCCTCCCCGCGATCCCCCGCCCCACCCGACTCTCCCCCTCCACCCCCAACACCCCACACAACCATCGCCCAACCTCCACCAACCTATCCAAATCTATCCCCGTCTCATACCCCGCCTTGTGGAGCGCGTAGACGACGTCCTCTGTCGGGATGTTGCCTGTCGCGCCGGGAGAGTAGGGGCACCCGCCGAGGCCGGAGAGGGAGGCGTCTATCGTTTGGAGGCCGGCGGGGAGGAGGGAGAGGAGGGAGGGGAGGGCGAGGGCGAATGTATCGTGGCACTACGCTCCATCAGTCTTTGTTTCATTGAACGGAAGAAGAGAGGAGGGGGGGCTTACGTGAGCTGCGACTTTGGACATGTCCAGTCCTCTCCGCTTCATGACCTTCCACAACCTCCCCCAACCCTCCACATCCCCCTCCCCCGTCGTATCCCCCATCGACACCTCATAACACCCCATATTCAACAACCTCTCCGCGACATCGACCACCTGCTCCACATCCGTCGGGCCGGAGAAGGGACAGGTGATGACGCACGATACGTACCCCCTCACGCGGAGGTTGTGTTCTTTGGCTTTCGCTATGAGAGGGGGTAAGGAGGAGAGGACGGAGGAGATGGAAGCGTGGTTGTTGGCTTGGGAGAATGGCTCGGAGGCGGAGACGAAGACTGCTATCTCGTCTGTGAGTGAGCCCCCGCCGGACGCTTGGGAGGAAGACTGGAGGTTGAGGAGGTTGTCGAGGCCTTTCATGTTGGGTACGAGTACGGGGTAGTGGATCGATTGGGCGGAGGGGGGGATGGGGATGTGGTGCGTGAGGGAGGTCGAGGAAGGGTCGGCAGGAGGAGGGGGGTCGGTGTATGCGGGGAGAAGGGGAAGGAGTTTGGGCGTATCTGCCATCTTACACCTCATCAGCTCTTTCGCCTCAACAAAGAAATGAAGGACATACCTGCGGCACCCAATCGCCCCGAACAAAACTCCCAACTTCCACACACCTCACCCCCGCCCAAAGCAGTTTCTCCACAAGCTCCTTCTTCACCTCTGTCGGCACGACTTTGCCCTTCAAGTTTTGCAGCCCGTCCCGCGGGGATACTTCGACGATACGGATGAACCGGCCGTCGGGGTTGATATGGGAAGACGTCTTGAGTTCGCGGGATAGCGGCCGGGTGGGCGGGGGGGAGGGCATGAAGGCGTCTTTCTCTGATAACGGCGGGGAGGGCGGGTAGACGGAGGTAAAGTGTTGTTTTGGGAACACTTGGCTGGCAGAGTAGCGGTTGAAAGCGGTAGGAAGTGGGAGAGGTAGATGAGGTGCGTTTCCCGCTGTTGCAGCGCTAGAGGGCGGTGTGAAAGGGGTGGAGACAAAGGTAGAGTCGGAGTAGGCGTTGGGGGAGGGTTGGGCGCGCATGGTGGCTGGGTAGGAGTGGGCGAGTCTGCGGGTGGATACTTGTAGGGCAGTGAGGGTTCGCCTGGAAAGTAGGGAGCGAGGGATAGAAGGCATAGGGGGCTGTAGACGTATGGCGGGTGGTGGGGTATAGACAGTCAATTGGAGGTGTATCATGAGATAGAGGCGAGTACAGATGGGCGGCGGGTTATATAGCAGAGGTTGTTTGGTTCGGACTTGACCGGCTTCGGGCAGTGTATAGCCGGGTGCAGGGTAGGTGACGGGTGCGCGGAGCTCCGAGGAGATGAGCGGAAGCGGGTCAACGGTGCAAGTCAGTCATTTCATACCCTTTTTCTAATACAAACGAGATCTACTTTGTATAGAGATTATCAGCATCTTATACAAGTCAGAGAGCCATAGTACAGTAGAAAGCGAGAGGAAAGTGCTGGGAAAGTGCGCGGTGACTGCCGCCAGGAACCTCAGCCATCTCACCCTCCGGACCGGATGCCGAGCGTGGCACAACCCGGCATCTCAAAGTGCGAAGCAGGTCGCCATCTATCCATCTTTGTATCTCCTGGCTGTCTTTTGCTCCCCTGCATCTCTCCCCTCCGCTCGAGTATCGCACACAAAGTGACACGGTCCCCTTCAAATAAGCTGGCTGCCGTTGGTCCGGCATTCGGCATCATCTCGGCAAAACAGATTTTATAAATAACCCCTGGCCTCAGAAGGAAGCCGACCTCTCAACTATGAGCACCGACGCCATCCTTTCCCAGTGGGCTTACGCTAGCCACGCAGACATGCCCCTTCCGAATCCCAACCCCGGCCGGCCAGCACGCCAAACCACGTCGCTTCCGAATCGTAAACAAATCGTCTACGTTGCTTCCTTATCTATGCCGCGGTCTTCGACCCCGCGCTAATGAAATGATGACACACTTTCCCGTCCCTTGAAGCGAGGGGAGACACCGGGGTCGACGAATCGCTGCAAATCTCTTCATCTCTACCCCACAACTGCCCCAGCCTGCCCCTCAATCAGTCAGCCAGGCCCTCCAATTCGGAAGACTCGATTGTACAAAAGGAACCCCTGCCCCCAGCGCGACAACGAAAGTTCGCCCCCTCGTCTTCCTTCTTCTTTACACTTTTGACGGCAAGACGATGTTTGAAAAACACGAAAAGCCCCAGCCAAAGCCTGAAGGGGCCCACGACGTGCAGCACTCGGAAGCGTCCCTCGACAATGACACAGAGGTCGACCCCGAGCACTTTATGCTCTCCAAAGAGAACAAGCAGCTCCTCGCCGACAACCACGCGTACGTGTGGCACAAAGACGAGCAAGGAAACCTCTTGGTAAAGTCTTTGAAGGGAGACCCGAGCGACCCGAGGAGCTGGCCGAATTGAAAGAGGTATGCCATCGTCGGGCTCGCGAGTTTGTTGAACAACTTGGTAAGCCTCCCGCCCATCTGCTGCGAAAAATATCCTGACTTGTTTTTATAGGTCTGTCTTTGTGTATCAGGCTACAGTACCGGTGTCGAGCAAATGGAAGAAGAGTTCGGCTTCAGTGCCGAAGTCGGTACAGTCGGCTTGTCTCTCTACGTCGTGAGTCTGGCAAGCTTTGGCCGTTCCACCCTCTTTTTACGGCTTTGCACGAGACTGACGCGAGGGACAGCTTGGTTTTGCGTTGGGTCCTATGTGTCTCGCGCCGTTGAGTGAATTTTTCGGGCGTCGGCCAGTATATCTCGTCAGTTGGACGATCTTTACCCTGTTCCAGCTTCCTGTAAGTGCATTTCCACCCCGTGAAAAGGTTGAGTGGCGGGCTGATGGTGGGGTGAAGCTCGCGCTTGCTAAGAATGTGGCGACGATCTTGGTATGCCGTTTCATCCAAGGTTTCGCTGGATCGTGAGTCTTTTTCTCCATACCTTCAGGACCCTCAAGCTGATTTTTTTGACAGAACACCCCTTGCCAACACGGGTGGTGTCGTGCACGACGTCTTTGCCGTCAAAGAAGCTGGCTATGCCGTCGCCATCTATGCGCTCTCCAGTGCCGACGGTCCTGCTTTGGGCAATGTCATCTCTGGATACCTGGCCCAAGAAGCCGGGTGGAGATGGCTTTTCTGGACTTATGTGCGTTCCCCCTCCTCACCTACCCCCACACTCAAATCCACTCACATCTTTACAACAGTTGATCATCTTTGGCACCTTCCTCCTCGTCATCTTCTTCTTCCTTCCCGAAACCCGCTCCACCATCATCCTCGCCCGCAAAACCAAGGCCCTCCGCGCAGCTACCGGTCTCCCCTTCTGGGCCGAACACGAGCTCGTCAAAAAAGATCCCGGTCATCTTTGGAAGGTAACCATCGTCAGGCCCTTCTCTTTCCTGTGGAATGAGCCGATTACTTATCTGTGTGCGGGGATTAATGGGTATATCTTTGGAATTGTGTTTTTGAGTAATGAGGCGTTTCCGTTGATCTTTGGGTCGGGTAATGGTGGACACGGATGGACCCAGTACGTCCCCCTTCCCTTTCCCCTTCTCTCATTTTGATACATATAGCTGACAATATCAAAAAAGCTCGGGTACAGTCAACGCCACATTCGGCGCCTACGCCGTCGGCGCCATCCTCGCCTTCCTCCTCACCCCCCTCCAAGAATCCCAATACCGCGCCGCCTCCGCCCGCCGCGGCACCTCCGACCCCGAAGCGCGCTGGTGGTCGTCCCTCTGGGCTACACCGCTCATGCCGTTGGGGCTGATGATTGCGGCGTGGACGTCGTATCCGCATTTGCCGTGGATTGCGCCGTTGATTGGGATGACGATGTTTGGATTTGGGTTGTGAGTTCGACTTGTTGCTCTTTGTGCTCTGACGGGGAGAGGGAGAAGCTGATGGGGGTTGGTAGTTATATTATCATTGCGGCGATCCTCAACTATGTCGTCGATGGATACGGCCATTACTCTGCTAGTGCCCTCGGCGGCGTCGTATTCGTCCGAAACATTGTCGGCGCCATCTTCCCTCTCTGTACGTCCCCCCCCCCAAACCCTTCATTTCCTTTGCGGCAGAGCTAATGTCGATCTAAACAGTCAGTTCACAAATGTTCAAAGGGATGGGCAACCAATGGGCCCTCTTCCTGCTGTCGATGGTATCATTCTTGATGGTACCCATTCCGATCTATTTCTTCTTTAGGGGTAAGGCGGCGAGGGATAGGTCGCCTTACTGTGCTGAGCACGCGAATGAGGATTAGGTGGGGGTTATGGGAGAAGAAAAAGAAGGGTAAGAAGAAGAAAATGGGAAAGGAGGTGATTGATTGATCAAGGAAATCAGAAGGATTGAGATATAGAACATAGATTTTGATATAGGACATGACGTTTGGCATAGCATGTATTATTTTCAGAAGCCTCTCACGTATACCCATGAGATCAGCGGGCAGTATGCACAAGCTCTACTCGTATGATCTTGTCACTTGTACATAAGCTACCGCACATCTCAGAGTGGATTGGTAAGATCGGCCCATGCAAGTGCGTTGAAGAAGAAAACACTTTTCATCGAGAAGCGTCCTGAAGGTTACCCAATGCAACACCCAAAAAACAATACTATCTCCTCCCCGCTCTCCTCCCATCCTTGTTCGCACTCCTCCAAATCCTCCTCGCATCCTTCATCCTCGCCTCATCCCTCTTAACCATCTCCTCCGTCGTCATCTCCACCAAAACCGGCCCATACTCTTCCCTCTCCCACCAATCCCTCCACACTCCCACCAACCTCTTTGCCCCCGACCGCCAATTAACCCTAGTCCCTTGAGCGCCCTTGACGGGCTCCCATTTAGCTTGTTCGGAGGGGTGGGTGTGCGCAAACAGTTCGAGGTCGAGGGCGTCTTTTTTGTGTTTGAGGACTTCGGCGTAGAGGGCGTGCGCGACGATGGGGATGGCTTCGCCAGAGAGGCCGAGGTCGGTGCAGTATTGTTTGGCGAAGAGGGAGGGGGGGAGGGGAGATGAGAGGTCCCATTCGATACGGTCGCGGAGGACGTGTGTGGTGATCTGCACCTCGAGCTGGAACAGTGTGAGTAGGAACACGGATAGCAAGATGCGCGCCACTTACATTCAAGATGACACGACAATCAGCCTCTGGCCATACGCGATCGTCCTTTTCTTCCACCACGCGTCTCCTCTTTCGAGCCCGAGCTCTAGACTTTTTATCTATTGACTCTTCAGGGTCTTCCTCCTCCTGCTCCTCCTGCTCTTCCTCGTCTCCTTCCACGCCATCTTGCTTTTCTTCCGCAATCTTGTCTTTCGCAGCCTGTTCGTCCGCGGCCTTTTCCTCTTCCGCCTTCTCCTCCTCCCACACCACATCATCCTCCCCAACATCCTTATCCCCCACATCAATCCCCGCCACATTCTGCGACTCTTCAATCGTCGACTTGATCAAATCGCTGATCGTGTTGGCATATGGCGTCACGGGGATGGACAGATCTTCACAAAAGATGACCGCGAATTGGTGCGGTGTGATGAAGGGCTCGTTCATGTTCCAGAGGAATCGGTCATGCACCCTAAAGCCAGGAGTGTCACCAGCGGCATTGACGTCAAAGTCGATAGTGATGGGTAAAAGATGTTCGGGGCGTTCGGCCTCTTGGGCGAGCTGCTCTTCCGTGCTATGGCACACGTCAGCTCTGATTTCTTTTGGTACTCGATGGACATACTGGTAGATGTGTTTAGTAAGCGCAGCAGTCTGGCTCCGGACCCTATCTCCAGGCGTCCTATCTCCAAGCCACGTCCACCCATTCTCCATCTCCTCCGCCCTCTTCCTCAGCTTGTACACTCTCTGGCTCTGCATCGCTTCCTGCCCACCCATCGTCGACTGACTATCCCTCGCGTAATCCCTCCTGCCCGTCGTCCGCCTTCTGCGCGATCCATACTCTACATCCTCATCCGACCCCTCGCCGTCCGAGGGCGACTCGAAATCATCATCGTCAGAGATGTTCTCTGCGTAATTGACAGTACGCGCTCGACGCGAAGAACCGCCATAAGAGGCTGCGCCCCGGCGCGACGAAAAGGGCGCAGGGGAGTCGTATCTCGGCGTCGACGCCCCCGAGCCTTTCCCGTCCGCTACATCCGAGTTGATCTGGCGCTCGATATCAGCCAAGAAGGCTTCGCGGTCTTTGGATGAGCCGGTGGTGTGCTCTGGCTGGACGAGGTTGGTGACACCTGTCCGCAGACGCGACGGATAGGTACTGTAGAGCGCTTGGGATGTGGGGGGTGTAGACAGAGATGGGTCGGTCGTTTTCTGGCCCGGGGGAGGGGTGAAGAAGGGCAGAGGACCAGGGGCGTGGGTGAAGGGGTGGTTGTATACTGCTACCGGCGCTGGACGCTGGTTCGGCGCGGCGTGCGCATAGGGCGTCGGGGAAGCAGCAGCGCGGGGTGGCTGAGTGTAGTTGTATGATGTGCGAGGCGGGCCGGCCGGGCGTTGGAGGGGCTGCTGTGGGTGTTGCTGGTACTGGGGGCGATAGGCGGGGGACTGGGCGTATGGCTGGTAGCCCGGGAGTGCGGGGATGGCGGGAGACTGCTGGGGCATGCTGGAGCGGGTGCCGCCGCGGGTGGGGTATGCCATGGCGGGATATAGGATGGATGGATGGGGAATGTTGACGTGAGAGGGAGAAAGAGGGCATGGGCGCTAAAGTGGGGGGAGGAGTGAATTTACGTAACAGCTGAAGATTTCTGCCCTTCGGCCATGATTTTGAACTTTTGTCTGGTATATACACCACCACCATGTCCCGTCTCATCATCCTCAACCTCCCCAACTCGGCCTCCCCAGCCTCCCTCCGTCAGGTGCTCGCTGCTCCTGCCTCCCTCTCAGGGTGCACCATCACAGACCTCAAGCTCGTGCCCAGACGTCACTTTGCGTTCGTCGGCTACTCGAGCGACGACGATGCGCGCAAGGTCAAGGAGTGGTTTGACGGTACCTATGCTTTTGGAGGAGGCGGAAAGGTCAAGGTGGACTTTGTGAAAGATGAAAACCTAGTCATTGGGGAGAAGAAGGACAGACAAGACAGGAAGGGCAAAGACAAGAAGGAAGTCAAGCAGCCTGAACAGGAGGAAGAGGCGGCGCCGAGGGAGAACAAGAGGCTGGCAGAGTTTATGAACGTGATGAAGGGTGTGGACCCTACCATCAACCCGGAGGCTTCCTCGTCAAAGCCAGAGAAGAAGGAGAAGAGCAAGAAGGGCAAGGAAAAGTCTGAAGAGCCTGAAGAGCCCGAGGCGGACGATGATGCCGAGTGGCTCAGAAGGAGGCAAAACGCTGCTCTGGAGACTGCTGTAAGTCCCTTCACTCATCATATCAATCAAAGCTGACTCGAAACAGGCGCCCCAGCTGTCGGCAGACGAACAGTTGATATTATCCACCGGTCGTCTCTTTATCCGTAACCTCGCCTTCATCGCCACCTCATCTTCCCTCTCCTCCCACTTTGCCGCATTCGGCAAAATCGACGAATGCCATCTCCCCGTATCCACCACCACCGGCGAACCACTAGGCACCGCCTTTATTCAATTCCATTCCCCTGAAGAAGCGCTCGAAGCGTACAAGAAGCTCGACAAGACGACTTTCCAGGGCCGTTTGCTGCATGTGCTTCCGGGGAGAGCTAGGTATGGGCAGGAGCAGGGAGCGAGTGCGGTGGAAGGGAAAGTGTTGGGGAAGAAGGATGAGGCCAGGGGGGAGGTGAAGCAAAAGGTTGATGCGAGGAGGAAGGAGGAAGGGTCTAGGGGCGTCAACTGGGCTTCCCTCTACATGAACGTAAGTCTACATCATCCTACCAAAGAAGCCCACTGACAATAGTCCAGAGCGACGCTGTAGCAGCATCAGTAGCCGACCGAATGGGCATATCCAAATCCGAACTCCTCAACGGCGACTCTGGCAACGCCGCCGTCAAACTCGCCCTCGCCGAAACGTCCGTCATCGAAGAGACCAAAGCATATTTCGAAAGCGCCGGTATCGTGCTCGAGGCCCTCCAGCCGCGGGTGCCCCGGTCGCAGACGACGATTCTGGTGAAAAATATTCCTTATGGGACTACTGTGCAGAGCTTGACGGACCTGTTTGCGCCTCATGGTGTGCTGAAGCGAGTACTCTTACCGCCATCAGGTACCCTCGGTGTGGTGGAGTACGAGAACCACATGGACGCTGGACGTGCATTCAAAGCGCTCGCGTACAGACGTCTCGGTAACGCCGTCCTCTACCTCGAAAAGGGCCCTGTGGGCATGTTCAAAGACTCTGCCTCTACCACCGCCCCCATGTCGACCCAGCAAAAGATCGAGTCTGAAGGCAAGATGCTCGCTGAAAAAGTCACTGCCCTCCGCGAAGTGCCCGACCCGTCGGACGAAGCTGGCTCGACGCTGTTCCTCAAGAATCTCAACTTTAGCACCACCACCCCGCATCTCCAGGCCGTCCTCTCTTCCCTCCCTGGATTCTCCCATGCCCGGGTGCAGACCAAGCCTGACCCGAAAAGGCCGGGAGAGCGGTTATCGATGGGTTATGGGTTTGTCGGGTTCAAGACGCGGGATGAGGCGAATAAGGCTATGAGCGGGTTGCAAGGGTTTGAGATTGATGGCAAGCTGCTTGAAGTCAAGTTTGCGCAGAGAGGGGCGGAGGAAGAGAAGGAGAAGGGGAAAGGCGGGGAGATGGAAGGCAAGACGAAATCTACCAAGCTTCTCGTCAAGAACTTGCCGTTCGAAGCTACCAAGAAAGACCTCCGCGAACTCTTTTCAGCGTACGGTGCTCTCAAATCTCTCCGTCTCCCGCGCAAAGCCATCCCCACATCCACCGGATCCCAGTCCACCCGCGGTTTCGCCTTTCTCGAGTTTACGACGCACACTGAGGCTGCGCGCGCGATGGAGGCGTTGAAGCATACGCATTTGTTGGGGAGGCATTTGGTGTTGGAGTGGGCTAAGGAGGGGGATGAGGTGGATGTGAGGGGTTTGAGGGAGAAGGTTAAGGGGGAGGTTCGGGGGTTGGAGGATGGGGGGAGGGAGGGGAAGAGGAGAAAGTTGGATTTCAGTGGCAAAGGGGCCGAGGAGAATGACGGGTTGGAGGATTGATTGTAATATATCTTGCTAGGCGATTGGATCGCATATGGTATTTCAATGCATTATGATATTAATACAGCAGCGCGTCGCTATGCTTGTTACTACAGATACGTGGTCGAAGAGCTATTAACGCTTCTCGGGATGACGCGAGGTGCCCATCGAGTGCTCTCCGTCCTTCTCACCCTTCTTTCCGAGCGGAAGTGACTCGTCGGCGTTGGCAGGTGATTCTTTGGTAAAGTCTTTGCCGGTCTGCATGGGGAATCAGCTCATACAACCTGTGGGGGAGGGTGGCGTGGTACGTACCTCTTGCTCCACTCCCTTGGCAGCTGTTTCAGGGTTGGCGTCTTTGTTGAAAGCAGCATCGGAATGCGAAACCTCATCGGTCTACAACTCCCGTCAGCACGCTCCACCACCATTCCGAGCCGACTTACAGAAGCACTGCTCTTCCCAGCTTCATCCGCATAAAGCTCCTCCCTGCTCCCCTTCTCCGTACTAACCCCCCTCCTCTGCCCGCCCATACGGCTCAGACCCATAGTCCCCGTCGCAGGGTCATACCCCCTCACACTCAGGCTGGACAGCGTCCTCGTCCTGAGCCGGGCGGGGCTGGAAGCAGAAGAGATGGTGGCGAGCTCGATGGGCTGGGTGGCGGTGGTGGGTGGGGGCACGAGGGGGGTGTGGAGGAGGAGGTTGAAGGTGCGTTTGGCGGTGAGGAACATGGTGGGTAGGGTGTTGTTTAAGTGGGATGTGGTTGGGTGGAGAGATGGGATGGAGAAATCTGAAAGTGGTCATACTTTGTGGAGAGATCGGGCGACGTCATTGCGGCGGAATCCGCATCAGGGCTTCGCATTGTTTGGTTCTCATGCACTCCTTTATCCATCAATAATTTGTCTCACATGAGCGTACATGTCACTTATCTGCATTTGCTCGCTGTTTATAAGCCCAGCTCTCGAAAAGAGATCGTTGCTTGTCAGGCCGCCATCAATCGAAGATTCTCTGCATGTCTTTGATGGTTGAGACCTACGCAGCTGCGGTGCAGGCAGAAGCTCAGATGCAAGCTACATATGATAGATAGAGACACGATGAAGTCATCCGAATGCCTGCACCTGTTCATTTTCCCTAATGAATAGACGTCTCGTTCGAGTAATTTAATGTAGTGGACTCTATTAAGCTGCCTGTGTGCCATTCGACGGAGTTTCGTCCGAGGCCTCAGAGGATATGCCTTCATGACTTCAATGGGTGCGTATCCATGCATGGTGGCCCTCTACATGCAGCTGGAACCATACAGTATTGGCTTTTGTACGCCTCATGGATTCGAGGAACAGCCCGCCGCGTCAAATTCGGCGATAAGTCTTGATCCCGCGCGCCGCGTGATTTTGATTCCGGTGTGCCACTCTTTGCGCACAATGGATATAGCCGTGGGCGGCGGCGTTTACCGCCTGTGGGTGCTGGCGGGGGCTGGGTGTTGATTTTTGGTGATTGGTGCACCTGCTCTCTTCTATCCATCAATAACTCAAAATGCCGGGTGTTCGTGACATCAGGTGAGTCAGCCGCCAACTGCAACAGCACAGGAGACAGGAGAGAGGGGGAGGCCGCGAGGGAGGGATACGGAAGAGTGCGGAGGAAGGGTCGGCGTCAGGGATGTCGAAAGGTGTCGAGTGGGACGGATGCTGGGACTTGTTGGAGATGAGGAGGTGCTGGGAACACGCGGTCGGTGTATACAAGGACGTCTGCTGATCATTGTCGTCTCGCTCTTCCACCAACCTCAAACATTAAATCACCTATTCGCCCTTATCCCACCCTCTATATGCCACCCAAATCCAACCCCATCCAACAGCGCCGATGCCTTCATCACCGCTTACTCTTCGCACTTGAAGCGATCCGGTAAACTCGAGATCCCTACCTGGGTCGACATTGTCAAGACCGGTCCCCAGAAGGAGTTGGCCCCTTACGACCCCGACTGGTTCTACGTGAGGGCTGGTGAGTCGCTTTTTGCTGGAAAGGGCTGTTGCTGCATAGAAGAGGGATAGGATTGATAAAGTGTCGGAGGGAGTGATGAGACGTAGCAGCAGCCCGGACGTCTTTTCCCTGCAACGCAAGTACTAACGATGTCCCAGCTGCCGTCGCCCGACACATCTACCTCCGAAAGTCCGTCGGTGTCGGAGCCCTCGCCAAGCTCCACGGTTCCAAGAACCGACGAGGAGTCCGACCTTCTCACCACCGAGACTCTGCTACCGGTGTTGAGAGGACCGTCGTCCAGTCCCTCGAGAAGATTGGTGTGCTCGAGGCCGCCCCTGCTGGTGGCAGGAAGATCTCTCAGGATGGCATGTGCGTACCATCCCCTACTTTTTCCTGTGGAAAGGCTGACTTTTTCTCGACAGGCGAGACCTTGACCGAATCGCCACCGCCGTCCTTGAGGCCGAGCGAGAGGAGGAAGAGGAGGAGGAGGAGGAGGAAGAGGAAGACGAGGAGGAGGAGGCTGATGAGGAGTAAGGGAGAAGCCTGCCTCTAGGTTTTCTTTCTGGCGCTTTCGATCTATTCTTTTGTAGGCCGGCGTGCATGATTACAGGATACATCCGCATTTACAACACCCTTGAACATTGGAGTTTTCGATTTCGAGCAAGCGCTGAAAGCATTGACGGGGCGTTTCTGGACAGAAAGCGGTTCCGGTGGGGGCGACTGACTTTTCTATACTGACAGCTGACACTCGCCCTTTTCTCATCAGGCCGCTACCCGCAAACCAACAAACTCACCTACCCCTCAATGGCTCTTCTCACCGTGTTTACAGACGCATGCCTGCCGCACGCTGTACTCGCGCCAGGGCACATGGTCTACTGTCCCATCACATTTCATTATTATGATCCCCCGCCACCTTCCTATCATTTCGACGCTTGTTGTCAACGGTCGAAGTATCTTGTATCACCCTCTCGATGCTTGCTGATGATGACGCTAGGGTCTTCGGCATACGGTATACATTGCAACGATTTGCATTACACCGTTACAGACCACATGATACACTACTAGCATACTTCTTCGACGTTACAACAACAAGCGCCACATCAACCTATACAATCCCAACGGGAGACACAGCACTGACATTGGGGCTGACTAGTAGTGGCGAGCTCTCATCAGAGCTGCGAAATACCGCGCTTCACCCACTCCAGCGTCACCCAAATCCTCCCATCCCACCTCATTCAACCCCACCACAAAAGCAAGAGAAATATCACTCACAAGCATCACAAAGTCCATCCGCCTGATACACCATAATCCCCCAAGGGGGATACCTCCCCCACTGCCTCCTCACCCTCCACACCGCACAGACCGATTCAGACATCTTGCGCAGCCGTTCTTTCTGGGCATAGTTGGGGATGCGGGAGACGTCGGGGCCGGAGCAGGAGAGACCGTTGGAGATCATGAACTGGACGAATTGGGGGTTCGGGATGCGGGATTTCTCCATGAGAGACATTATTGTGCTCCTGCGTTTCTGGGCGTGGTGGTCGCTGGAGTATCTGTCGCTGGTGGGGAGGCTGGTGTTTGAAGGGGTGAGGAGTGGTGGCAATGAAGGTTTACACCCCCCTCGCACAAGACCCATTTTTATATGGCTCACCACGTTATCCACGTTTGCTTGCCCTCCTGCCTCCTCACCATCAACAATTATGCAAACGTCAGCGTCTCGTATAGACTCTGCACGCAAGCGTCTCGCTCCGTCGACTCGACGTAAGTGTCCTCCCCCCTCGAGGCCCTCAAAGCACGCCGTTTCCATACATTCCCACATCCCAGAAAAGGGCTGGTGGGCAGCCGTAGTACAATACTTTTCTGTACTTCTAGCCCCGTTGTTTGGGCACTTGGGTATGGGTCCGTGAGCGGTGAGCGGTAGGGTTGCAGGGCTGACGCGTTCCAGAAGAACGCGAGGGGACGGCCCTCTTGCGAACTGGCTGCGATGCCCTGCTGCTTGCTGTTTGTATGACGTATGGTTCCATCAAATTACCTGACGGGTCCAGCAGGCCTGAGATGGGCTGTAGGGGAAGACCAGGATGGTGAATGTGAATGTAGAGTCTATACGTGGAAGTGGAACGGATCTTCAACGAGGACCAATATCAGGCCTATGTTGCACCCGGTGAAAACACGACGATGATCTGTCTGCTGTTGTGTGTCCCTCGCTCTTCCGCCGGAAAGGTGATCGTCCATGAATCGGTCCCCTGCTTTCCTCCTCCTTTCCCTGACTGTATACTCAATCGAGTGTATATAAAGTACATCCATTTCTCGGGATCCTCTGGCCGCAGCTGAAGACATCAGCAGCCGCTCGGTTTCGGAACGCCGACTCTTGCTTGTCCCTGCCCGAAGAACGAAAGGGGAAGCGATGCGCGTCGCCGCCCCGCCATATCGGCCTTCGGTCTTCTCCTGTGCTCCGCCGTCTCGGTTTCTATCAAAGGAAGACCGACGAGAATGTGGATGGCCGAACTCTCAAGCTTATATAAATCGCTATGAGAATGAACGTCTCTGGCGGGCATAAGCTGACCTCGCGAGGGATTTTCTGCAAGCCGACGTTCGATTGAAGTAGCATCTTGTGGCCGATAAGCACCCAGTAGTACGCACCCGTCTTGCCAGCTGCTTCCAGAAAATACGACAAGAGCTTACCCAGGTATAGATTAATGCTCAATATACATGCTTTCACCCTACTATCAGTCCCCCCAAGACCTCTCCCTTGACCGCTTCCTCCACATCCTCAATTCTCGAGAGGCCAACTACCGTCGCTGTCGCTCCTGGGGCTTTGGCGTAGAGAGGACGCCTTGCGTCGTATATGTTGCTCAGCTGTTTGGTACGAACGCGCAGACTTCGCATGATGCTTGTCAAGAGTGTGAGATATGATGAGAATTCAAGGTTTGAGACCGAGCTGATCATTGCTGTTGAACCAGGTGTGTTGATTAAGGATGTGGCGCTGAGAAGGAACCCTGCTCTGTTGTATGAACCTATCGTATATGCATGAAACAAAGGATGATCCAGCGTAAAATTGTATATACCCCTGTTGTATGCCCATGCAGCCGTGTAGAAAGACTATCGAGGAAGAGCATACAAAACACCGGCGTGAACCCCCACCAATAACCATGACCAATACTTTTTCTCGCCAACCAGATCACCCAGAGCAAGCACCAACAACAGTACAGCTGCCCAAGCAGGCACATTCGCTCCAAATATGGCTGGCTGTATCGAGATCATCTTGAGGGAAAACAGGGCGAGAGGCAGTATTGGCTGATGAGGTCTGAGGTATCCTCGTCGAGTAGCTACGCGTAGTGATCGAGATGCGCGGCTTTTGATTCGGGTGAGGATGGTCCTGGGAGGTATGAATGGTTGAACATTGATATCGGACTATAGTGCCAGCCAAAATGTTAGCAGACCGCACAACACCGGCCTCGAGACTTACAGGTATATCGACGATACTCCTCCGCAAGGCGACCTCTCCCATGCCCGTCTCGCTTTTCAAAGCAGAACCCACGTCTTGATGGCCCATCTGACTCGTGTACTCCTGCAGACAAGTTAGACTGCACACACACAACATGGAAATAGAGAGAGGGGAAGGCACCTGTATATCCGACAACAGCCGTTTGACCCTATACGCCATCGGTCTCTTCTCTGGCGTCAGAGAGAGTAACCGATGGAGGAGATCGACAACACCCGGAGGCATGTGTCGTCGTTCCAGGCTCCACAGCACGTCCTCACTCGGGATGAACCTGAAAAATCGTCAGTACTGATTGATCCAACCTTTTCAACCGCAGCAACGTACCCAGGGTAAGCAAGGATCTCTTCCCTCAACGCATCATAGTCTTCTGTATCTCCATAAGGCAGTCTCAAGAAGAGAAGTTTGTGGAATATCATGCCTGGGCAATCAGGATCAGTATACGAATGTAGATCTCTTGCCAGGGAGAGACTGACCGCAAGACCATATGTCGGCGTAAGAATCGGATGGCCGATAATGTCCCAGGGCATCGTGGACGAGTGTCTCTGGCGCCTATGCCGCTTGTCAGTTGATTTCTCCATATTCTCGGTACAAGGAACGGAGAGCTGACCATATACCTGCAAGAGCGAGAATCAGTTGACACTCTTTGCTCTGATATCGGACAAGACTTACTCCATGGTACCAGTATGCCCGCTTCGTTCTCTGTTTCCTTTCAGCATCTCTTCGGAGGTCCCGAAATCTGATAACAATGCCCTCGGTCTGAAAGCCAACCATCAGCCTTGTCGGACTTTCAATCCTGTCTCTACCACTCTTACACAAGCTGTCCTTCTTCCCAATGCAATAGGACGTTCGAGCACTTCAAGTCCAGATGCAGTATACATTGCGAATGCTGATAACTCGTCAGTACTCAGACTTCAAAGACGCACACGACATACCAAGAAAGACAAGCCGTCCATGATATCCGAAAACAAATGCAGAATCTCCTCCCAGCCCAACAACATGATCGCTCGATTCTCCTTCCTCCTCGACCAGCCCCCGCTCGCCTGCCCGCCCTCCGAAGGTCGCCTCACAGACTGCCGCCTCCTTTTAAACTCTTTGATCCTCTCTTCCTTGGGCAGGTTGTCGAAACTCTCATTGTCGGCGACCCCTTCAGAGTGGTTTGTTGGGAGGTGGGAGTATGAGCGGGTGGATAGGTAGCTATCGAGGTTGCCTGCTGAGGCGTACATCATGAGGACATAGAGTGCTGGTACATCTGGTCCGTAGCTGAGATGAAGTGTAAGCACATCGTGGACGACGTGGTAGGGAAAAGGGGCTTGCTTTGAGAACCGGGTGGTGTCGATCCAAGCGTGATGATACGCAATGATATTGGGATGCCGCAAAGCCCCAAGAAGCCTCACTTCTCGAAGCATCTTGTGCAAATACGACTTGGACCGTCCGATAGCAATCTTTTTGACCGCGTATTGCCCTATGTCGCGGGTCAGCATCCGGCCACCAGGAGTGGTCTGCACACAATGACTTGCCCAAAACATCGCCGTCAATGTGGTGGGTCGCCAAGAACACGCTACCCGCCGCGCCCATTCCCAGCCTCTTCTCCTCATGGAAGAACCTCGCATAGTATCCTCGTGAAGGCAGGTCTTGGCTCGTATCCGCATCGTCGTCGTAGGCGTTTTGGAACGGCGGTGGCGTGGTCTCGTCTGCGAAAGCGCCCGTCGAACCGTGTACTTGCTCGAGCACCCGAAAGTAGTTGGCCGGAGCTGGATGGCGCGACCCTCCCGCCAGACCCTCGGGCACATCCCCAGCTCCAGTAGGTAACGGCCGGGCGCACGACGGGCACAGCAGGATAGGCGAAACTTGGTCTTCCTCCGTCTCCAAGTTCTCCCCGGCCGAGATGGTCGAGCCCGTGATATTGTCGCTGAGGAAATGGTCGTGGTGGGGCTGGTTGCGGACTTGGAGCGCGTGGGAAGCGGGGTGGTAGAGGATGAGCTGGTTCTCGGTGTGTCTTGAGGCAAAGTAAGCCGGGGTTCGGAGAGGACTTGCATGTGTTTCGGTGGGAGCTTACCCGATAGCCTCCCAGGCGTGCTCTGGGATGAGCGACATGGTAGGATGTGAGTGTAGGTATAGCAGGGGGTGGTGATGTATACCAGGCTGGAATGGTGGCTCGTGTACGTAGAGAGCGTGTTGGTTATGGGTCACAGGGACATAAATAGGCAGCTCAAAATGACTGCGCCTATCTCGGAGAGCCGAACAGCATTTCCGTCAACGAACGACTATGTCGAAAATGATGTCCAGGTGGCCATATAGACTCTCCCCTATACTGCAGCACCTCACAGCTTTCTGAGTCAACTTGACACCCTCAATCTTGAGATAAGAGGCGGGGGCGTCAGTTGCTGGGGGTCCTTCTCGCGCGGCCCGAAGACTCCGCCTTCAGTGGAAAACCCTTTATTCTGTCTTCTGCCTCCTGTTGCATTGCTGTGGTGGGGGCAGACGGTTGATATAAAGTAGTGACGACATTGCAGTGACTGCTACTGTATAGTCCATACTGCATTGGCCCCCCGATACTGAGGTCGAATACCCGAATACATCTCTGCTGTTCATTTATGAGTCTCTTCTATAAAAGTCATGATTGGCATTTCAAGAGCGAAGCAAGATACATATCACGCTCAGCTCTGGGGTACTGGTGACTATAGACTCTGTCCAAAGACCAGGACCTAGGTTGTCCAGATCAAGCGCAGTCACAATTCTACCGTTCTGTCGATGTTGTGAGATGATGATATTATGATTTGCAGAATGGAAGTCGAGACTTTGGGAATTCAGGGGTCGCTGGTATAAGCTCAATATGTGTCTGCCAGCCTCATGGTGCATTATTTAGATTCGATAGAAGTACCCGAATCTGAAGATACGGTCCCCCTTGACCGATTCTCGCTCGTTCATGTTGACCGTCCTTCACCTACTAGTGATCATCTATGACTGACCACCTCAAAGGTCTCTGTAGTCAGAAGAGCCACCCTGTACTTGACATCTCCAAGATTCGCGATAGGGAGCTGACTTGAGATGCTGACAGGAAAGAAACCCAAGTGACTCTGGCGGACGCAGGAAGCGGGCGCGGGGGACTTTCCGGCGGCCACATGCGCGTTTTTGTCGTTCGTTGTTTGGCGCGTCTTGGTGCGTCGACGGCTCTCGCTCCTCTTACTCCCTGCCTGCCCCTTTATTCAAGTATACCCAGCCGTCACCATGGCAGAAGGAAAGACCCTGCCCGAGTCCGACATCGAGGCAACCCTTGTAAAGCTCAGAAGCGCTGGTACGCAAAACCCCTCTCCCCACAACACCTTCGCTCAGCTCATTCCTCCCTCCAGACCCCGACCGCAAAGTCGACATCATCCAGTACTTCACCGTCCAGCTTGACGGCGTCACATCCCTTCCCGAATCCACTATCGACCCCTTCCTCCTACTCTTACCTCCCCTCCTACGCACGCCCCATTCGCTCTTACTCAATACCGTCCTTTCAACATTCATCCCCGAATTCCTACCTCTTATCCCGCATCAGCCGACGTCGCACTTGAGGCTTGCTCTACTTCAGGTTTTCCCGGCCCTGGCGGAGAAGCTGAACGATGCGAAAGAAAGAGTACATGCTGCTGCTGGCAACGACATCTTTGCTCTCGGCGAGATGAGCTGGAAAGTCGACCCTCCCCTGCCGACCTCTAGTCTCGGACCCAATTCCGGGAAATCAGCCCTCTCGCAGAGCACGACCTCCAAACTCGGATCTTCTGGCCCTAAAGACAAAGAGACACTGTCGGGATTGTGGGAGAGGCAGATGAAGGATGTCTTGCAGGGCCGAGCAAAGATTGCGAAAGTGGAGGCCATGAAAGTCGTCGTAAAGCTGAGGGAAGCAGTGGGCGGCAAGATGGGGCTGAAAGGGTGGCTGAGCGTGCTGGTGGACTTGCTGGAGGACGGAGATGGGACGGTTCGAGACCAGGCTCGAGAGGTACATTTGTGTCCCATGTGTGCTCGATGCCAGAGCTGACAGAGACATGTAGACTGTCGTCGCCTTACTGGCTCCGCCCACAACTCCTCCTGCCGCCCGGTCGGAACTCAAGAAGCTACTCGTTGCCAAGAATGTCCGTAAAACCATTGCCGATAACATCATCGCTCGTATACTGGGCGGCGAGGTCACTTCGGGCCGCTCTACCCCTGCTGCCAAGTCGGAGGTGCTCAAAGATGATGCTGTTCGGTCAGGCGCCGGGACGCCTGCTTTAGCGCAGGGTGATGATGTTGACATTGTCTATGTGAGTCTGAGCTTTCAAGTTCTCTTCCTGAGCTGACATGTTGCTAGATCGCATCATCCCATGACCTTGCGAACGAATTTGCTTCCATGCTTCCTCACTTTGAAGGCAAAGAAACAGAACACAACTGGGGTCCTCGAGAAGCTGCTGTCAAGAGGATGAGAGGGATGATCAAGGATCAGGCGCATGTCAAGTACCAAGAAACTTTTGTTGCTGGACTCAAAAATGGATTGCTCGAGGGTGTGGCCAAGACTGTGAGTCGTACTTGACCGGCTTACGAGCGATACTGATCAGGACAGATCCTGAGCTTGAGAACAACTTTGGCTCAGGCGTCTTGTGTCTTATTGCGAGAGCTGGTGGAAGGTTTACGGACTGCATTCGACAACTTTGTCGAGTATCTTCTCCCCATCCTCGGCAAGATGGCGTACGTCCCGTCCTATCTCACGTATGACGTTACTGACGGGACACCTGCAGTGGTCTCACCAAACGAATCATTGCCGACCGTTCCCAACAAGTCGTCACTGCCATAATAACCCATACCAACGTCCATCCCCGTATCTTCATCGCCCATATCTCCTCTGGCATCTCGGAGAAGAACGTCCAAATCCGCGCTTACTGCACCAACCACCTCCGCACGTTCCTCAAGATCCACGCGGCACATGCAAAGCACCAGATCGAGTCTACTGCCGGTCTGGGGGAACAGCTAGACCAGACAGTGAGGAAGACGCTGGCGGATGTGAACCCTGGTGTGAGGGAGGCTGGAAGACTGGCGTTTTGGGGGTATCATGCGGTCTGGCCTGCGAAAGGGCAAGTCATCATCGGGACGCTGGACAACCAGGCAAAAAAGAGTCTCGACAAGGTCAATCCGCGCAACAGTAATATTGAAACGCTGTCGGCCACTTCGTCGACCTCCGCCTCTTCGTCCGCTGCTACTGCTGCTACGAACACGTCAGCAGGATCGGGAAAGCCAGCCGGCAGGTCGTCGGGCTTGGCGGCGATGATGGCTGAACGCCGAAAAGCCGTCAAAGCAGCAGCCGACAAGAAGGCGCAGCTGGGTGAAAGTGATGGGTTTGGGATCTCGCCTCGCATCGTTTCGAACCCTATCCAAGGCTCACCGAATGTCCAGGCGGGGCTGCCGAGGTCAAATTCGAGTACGGTGCTAGCCAGTCCTGTCCCCCAGAAACCGGCCCAGCTGGGACGGTCGGTGACTTCGCCGGAAGGGTCGCCATTGACTGCGAAAGTCAACCCAGGTTTACTTGCTTCTCCCACGCCGGACACGAGCACCAGCAGACGTCTCTCCAAATCGCCTTCCGCCTCACCATCTCCCTTGGACCGGCAACAAAACCCTAGAACAAGAACCACCAGCCTTGGTCCTTCTCGCAGTCCGGGCGGAGGTGTCAAGAGTCCACCGCCGAGAGAATCGCCCCTGAGACAAAGCTCGACGGTGCCGATCGGCAGGAGTGTGGAGAGTGGTAGGAAAAGTCTGCCAGAATTTGATGGGGATGGCGGACTGGGCTTGGGGCTGGGGACGCCTGTGAGGGGTGGACCTTCGCCGAGCTCGACGCCAGCGCGCACGTTAGGGATGCCGGGCACGCCTGCTCGAGCGCCTTCTGCCACTCCTCGTAACGGTAGCTTGGCTCACACCCCCGCCCCATCCAACGGCCATACCGCCCAAGCACACCTCTTCAGAACACCGATCAACGCTGCTAGTAGCCGGAAGGCATGGGAAGATTCTCCCAGGCCAGAGGCTGTCACCCCTCTGATGATGGAAAAGCTGAAGGAAAGGAAACATGAGAGGAGTTGGTGGATCAAGAGGCAGGAATGTGAGTAAAATTGTCTATGTTTGGGACTGAGAGTTGATGATCATACAGTGATGGACAAGGCCTCGCCTCTGAAGCCTACTAGCCCTTCTCCGGCTTCTGCAATCGTTCCAGACTTGGAAGCCCTCTCTTCCGGTAATATCGAATTACGCAACCTCCAGAAACTTGCCCTCTTTTCAAGCTCCCACCCCGTCCGCGCCGACCCTGAAGAAGAGGAGGACCTCTCCGAATCCGAACGCGATGTCATCTCAGCAGAACGCAAGCTCTGGAAAGACGACTCGCTGTTCGAGAGACTACTCGATAGTCTGTTGACGTACCTGCGGCCAGAGAAGGACAAGGAGCTGCTGGAGCAAGGACTGGTGGTCCTCTGGGAAATGGTGCAACATCAATGGTGTTTGGTGGACGACGTGGGCAAGCTTTGTCAGACCTTGTTTAGACTGAGGGCGAGCCGGGATGCCGTTGTGAGTGTCTACTGTATACCATTCAAGTGACATGCTGATGGTCTGGTAGATTTTGGAGTCAACGAACGCGCTGGTATCACTCCTCGTCCAAATCTCTGACCCCATGCTGCTGCTTTTCAGCCTCTGCTCATCTCTCGACAAATTCCTCGCCGAACATCCTCCGGTATCCCCACCAGCTCCTCGATTGTCTGAGGGACAGGACCCTCTCACCGCTGCCTTGTCACAGCTCTCTTTCGGGCCTGAGAAGGAAACGCCAGAGGAGAGGATCAGGAACTCTGGATACTTGTTTGGGCTGACGAGTGTGGGTATGTGTGTACTGAGGCTCTCGGCGCCAGTGGTCGTCTCGGAAGGGCCAAAGTTGGGGCGCATCGTCATGGCTGTACGTCTATCCCGGACCCTTTATGTTTGGCTTAATCTCATCTTCACTTACAGGCCGCCTCGAATCCATCATCAATCATTCGCCAAGCCTCTCAGTCCCTCCTCCTCTCAATCCAATGTATCCTCCGCAATTCCAACAAGACCCTCTCCCTGGTCCCCAGCCTCAGCAAGGGTCAGAAGGACCTGGCGATTTATTATATGGCGCAGAACGGCATTCTGGAGGAGAATGCGTTGCACAAGCAATTGGACAATGCGGAAGGGAAGGAAGACGCTGAAAGTGAGGATGGCGAAAAGAAGGAGGAGAGAGAGATGCAGATGATGAATGGGGAATTGGCAGGGTTGATGGCGAGGGGTGTAGCCAGGGAATGAGTCTGATCTTTTCACCGGCACGCAGGCATGTGTCGATCCTTGTAACATATAAGTGTACATAGAAACGGTATATTGTGACTCATACATCTATTGATTACACTCATTTAATCAGCGTGCATGGCCATTTTGGCCCGCAGAACCAACCACAGGTAGAACGAGAGTGGAATCCTTGGACAGAGTATGAGTCTCTGCATTTCGATGACCCTGAATGGCTCAATGATATGACTGCAGCACAATTGTTTCATTGCAGTTATATACACGTTTTCAAGTGGTTTCCAATATCCATTTCACTTTCGGCTATCTCTTGAGTCAACACTCATGCTCCTAGTCCTGCTCCTACTCCTTCCGCCTCTCCTCACGGGACTCCTGCTTCTACTGAGACTTCTCGAGTAGCTCCTTCCCCTGCCACCCCTGGGCCTCGGACTTAAGCTTCTTGAATAGCTGCGCGATCTGCTGAGACTCCTGCTTCTGGGCCTTCCCCCGCCTCGGCCTCCGTATTCAGGCGACGCTCGACGAGGAGCACCACGCTCGCCCCATTTGCGCATAGGAACCACGGGACTCCTGTCAGATCGACCCCATCCTTGATCTCGTCCGCCTCCCGGTCCGCCGTAGCCTCCTCGATCACCGCTTCCATACCCTCCCCGACCTCCTCGTCCACCGCCTCGTCCGCCGAAACCTGGCCCACCACCATTCCTTCCAGGTCCACCGAACGAGTCTCGTCCACCCCGGTTGAACCTCGGGGGAGAACGGGAACGGGATCGAGAGTATGATCGGCGGCGGTCGTAAGAGCCCTTGTATGGGCCGGCACCGCTGGCGCGTCGAGAGACTGGCGAACGAGAGCGAGAGATTGAGCGGGGTCGGCGGACGGGAGAACGGGAGCGGGAGTAGGAAGGGGATCGTCGGCGAGCGGAAGAAGCGGCCTTGGGTGGGGGAAGAGGGTGCTCCGAGATCTACATAGCGGTCAGCTTTGGGCAATCCGGGTGAGAGGCTGGACGCACGTCGACTTTGAGGACTGAACCGTCCAACTGGCCTCCATCCATGTGCTTTTTGGCCTTTTCAGCAGCCGATGAGTTTTCGAATTCGAGTGCAGCCTTGCCTCTGTTCAATCCAGCTTGGAAAACACAGCGTGAGCGATACCGTCCCTCCCAAATTGACGCTGATGCTACTTACAAACTTCAAACAACGGCATGTCCACTCTGACAACCCTCCCATATTCTCCAAATATTTCTTCCAGATGCCCAACTTGCACATTCTTGCTCAGTCCGGACACTACCACCACTTTGAATCCACCATCGCTCCTGGGACCTCGGGGAGGGGGCGAGCGGGATCGCGAGGCTGACGGAGAGCGAGAAGGGTAAGAGGGAGAACGGGCTCGGCCAGCTGGAGGAGGGCGGTCCCTGTTGCGAGGTGGAGAGGGAGAGAGGGACTTAGGGGTGCGCGATCGTCCTCTGGGGGGCATTTTGTGGGTTTTGTTGTTGGTTTGAGGGAGGATGCAATTGAGAGATCAAAATACGAGGATGAAAGGCTCAGCAGACGCGCTTAAAGTCGGGGTTGATTTAATTTACGCGTTATGTTGAATGATCTCTCACGAGTCACGGCAACAACTATTGCATCAGCAATCAGCATGGCCATGCACGTATACGTCCTATCGTATACATCCTATATCTAACCACTGTATATTCACGCAGCGCAGATGCCTTACAAGAACTCTTGCTTTGGTCTCAAACAAGACATTCCTATTCGTACTCCCTCTCCAGCGAGCCCTACAGTATACTTTATATTGTTGTACTTGGCTGACGGGCTGATCATCATATCAAAATTTGTTAGGTCAGGGACAAGTAGCCAACGCGCTCCGGAGTCAGTAGAGGTAGCGCCTCTGTAGGAGAAAGAGCGAGAGGACATTCTGTTTGTCTTGTAGAGCCTCTCAAGCCATCCAATCTATACCAAGCTATGGCCTGGGAGAAGATAGGATTACAACATGATGCTTTCATTGAATAATTGAACAAATAACATTATCCCTAGCTGTATCATACCCGTCCGCCCCGACACCCTCGATCTCACCACGTCCCGCCCCGTCGTTCACCATCCTCGCCGACCATCTTGCACGCAAGATGTGCTCAATGATAATAGTATACTCGTACCCCACTCCCTGCTCAGCTGGGTGGATTACCATACCCGCAATTTCAACTGAACTCCAACTTGACTCACCGCTTCACTGCGTCTATTGACATCATAGCTCACAACCACAATGCCCTCATCAACCACTTCTGCCCGTCCGCTCGCCTCCTCCTCTGCCTTCCCTTCCGCCTCGTCCGCACTCGCCTTCTCTGCCCACTGACACGCGAGGCACAGGTCCCCTCGAAGATGTGCTCGTACGAAGCAGTTGGGACCTGCGCAAAAGCGGAGGGTGAATGGGACAGCTGAGGGCATTGTGGTAAGTGGTGAGTCAAGTTGCGGGGGCAGCGAGGAAGGGGATGAAAATGTCGGGCTATTTATCCATGAATTTTCCTTCCCTGGGCGGTCCCCAGGCCCACATAGTCCCCCCTCCGCAGATCCTCCCTCCTCGGGTTCCTATCATTCCTGGGGTGCGGGTGCGGATGCGGCCGCTTGTCGCCCAGGGCCCAGGATATCGGTGGACCAAGCACTGTGTCAACACACAAAGCCTAACCCAATCCCCCTGCCCCTCGTGCAGCACCTGCCGAATCGGAGATCAATATAATCAATCCTGCTCGGGTGCATGTGTACAGCCCGATACCCTAGGTGCAGCACCAACTTTCGTTCAGCTCATTCAACGAATGACCTTGAGACTGGCACGCTATCAATAGCAGTCTCTTCGAGAGCGAAGTCGGTGCCAGTCTTATATGTACGCAAGTATGCTTTGAGCCAAATCGCATGCCTGGTAGCATGGTAACGCGGCCAAGCTCATCAGAACAACCGTCTCATCGCACCCCGAAGGTATCCTCCATATCTCCTGGTAACTCGTACCTTAGCTCGCCCTCAACCACAACAACAACCTCAAGAATTGCAAACCGGTTGTTCTGTTCTCTTGCATCTAGCCCTTCTCCCTCATCGATACACGGGGGTACAGCAATAGTCGCTTCCCGGTTCCGGCATGCGGAGGTGACACGGTTTCAAGGAGGTCGGGCATATGGGCATATGTCATCGGCTCCATCAAAAGGGCACCAGGGAGACCCCATAAGAACAATAAGGATTTGTCGTTTTGAGAGCACAAACCGCATCCCCTTCTATTACCCTTTTTCTTCTCTTCAGGCCGGTCCTCGAAGATTTTTCAGTTACCTGTCAAAGCTTCAGCCTCAGCCCTCAGGACGAAAAGCACCGAGCTCGAAGCTTGAATAACTGTGTTTGTGAGCGCTATAAGCCAGCTGGGGCCCGGGGGAGCTCTTTCCCACTTTCCCATAATCCACCAACTCGTGATACTAACGACTTGACGTCGTTTCTCCTGCCTTACTATTATTATTCAAACGCTCGTCATGCCCTCTATTACCCAGGGACGCAACCCCTCACGACAATCCTCTTCCTCCTCTTCCCCGTCTCATGACTCTCACGACTCTGAGCAAACGCTCTACGACCCCCGCACCCTCGCTCACCTGCCCACCCGATCACAAGACCCTCCAACAAGCGAGCAAGGCAGCAGGGCCATACTCGAATACCCCGCGCCAGCCCACTCGCCTTCCCGCCTAGCCGTTTCTACCTCCCGCACGACCACCCATCTTCCGAGCCCCACCTCCCAACAGCCCTCTCAGCGCGGCCCTCCACCCGCGCTTGAGGAAAGGGAAGCATGGTCCAAACCACCCGTCATGCCCACTTTGCGAGCCCACGCAAGACTGTGCGCTGTGCTGCTCGCCTTCTTCATCGCGTTGTCGGGGTTGATAGTGGGCTGGACGGTGTTTATGATTCACCAGCTGAAGACGGGCTCTTCGAGTGATAGCCAGGGATCGGACGATGATTCTGCGAGCAACGGGCAGCAAGAGGGGAATGATGACGACGATGAGGGCAAATGGAGTGGGGGTGTGAGTCCTGTGACTATGGTCATTGATGGTATCTTTATCATTGCGTGAGTATTTCATGCTTGAACGTTGACCCGACCGGAAGCTGACGGCATTATCAGCATCGTCCTCTTCCTCGCACTCCTCATCCGTCAAACATCACTCGTCCTCTCCCTCTTCCGCCCGCCCCCTCCTCCCCACGGTCCGAACCCCCTTTCCAACCCCTCTTCGCACTCCTTTCTACCCCCCTGGCTTCTGCCAAGGTTACCGTCATACATCGAGACCATCGGCGGACGAGGCACCGGCACAGGCGACGTCGAAGACAGATACATCGTCGGCGAAAGCCTGCCCGTCTACGGCCACAACAGAGGCAGCAAGCTCCTCCTCCGCTCCGAGTCCCGCGGCGGGGCTTTGCGTCAAGGAGAAATTACTCACTCGCCTACTGATAGTGTGGGGAGCAATCACTCGAGGGGGGAGCCGTTGAGTTATGACGTTTCAGAGGCGATGACGCCGAGGCCGGGGATGACGGGGCTGAGCGATCAACAGAGGATGGAGTTGGGGAGGGATCAGGAGAGGAGGGCTGAGGAGGAGCGGAGGGCGGGGGTGAGGGATATTGTCGAAAAGTCGCACTATGTCAGATAGCAGTAATCATTTCGGTAGAGAGAAAGTGCTAGCATGAGGATGGTGCGTGCATGTAAGTTATATGTTTTGCTATATATACAAGTATCTGCAGGATATGTCAGCTGTGCGATTCACAACAAAAGTGTCCAGCGTACATTTGAATTTTGATGACAACGATGAATCACACGGAGAACAATTTCCCCTTTTTCATTTTGTTTGATAATCAGACCACAGTCAGAATCTCGCGAACACCTTGCCGTAAGAAGGTGAGGTTGTACTCGATGGTCCCTCGGCGGACTTGCCAAGTGTCTGTCCGTAGCAAGACTACCAATGCAAGATACCTGTCTTAGAGTCAGCTTGCGTTGGGTAGAATGATATGTTGAGCTTACGGGGTAAATTGCCACATGGCCAGTGTAGTGCTCGGCAGTAAGCGCGTAGATTGGGTCATCCAAGGCGCATCAGGATCCTCATCATCCCACCATTCCCTCCCTTCCTCATCCTCCTCCTCCTCCTCTTCCTCGTCGTCTCCTCCTTCTTCCTCGCCCTCGCCATCCTCGTCCTCTCCATCTTCTTCATCTTCATTATCCTCTACAGGCCGTTGGGCGATAGCTTTGTAGAGAGATTGGAATTGGAGGAATGATGCGAGGTATTCTGTGACTTGCTCTGTGAGCTCGTCGGTGCGGTGTCTGTTGTCCGTGGCGAGGATGACGCGGGACTTCATGTCGAACAAGAAGGTATTGTCGGTACTTGAATGCTAATTTTGATGAGCCAGGACTCGAGATAACCCAGTAACCACTCACAGAAGTAAAGTCGAGCAACAAAGACTCGACTGCCGGCAACATCTCCATACTCCCCTGTATGACCTTGCTCCAAGCCGCCCTCAGACTCACATCATGCGCACTTGTCATACTATACACCACATCAGGTATCAACGTATTGATAATCATCCCAACCGTCCCCGGATCTTCGAAATCCCACCCCGGCGCCAGGCTCTGAAAATCGCCATACCGGAAATCTTCAATCTCCTCCGCCGTCGTACGCTGGATCTCGGCATAGTTTTCGCCGCGATAGTCTTCAGAGAGCATCTCGGCTTTGTGGATGAACATGTGGAAGCGGATAGCGGGGTTGGAGAGGTAGGCGCGGACCATGATGTGGACGAATTTGCGGATGGAGTCGTGGTAAGAGTCGTCTTGCTGCCAAGAATGGTGAGTACCTCGAAGGTGGTGTATGAACGGATGGACCTACTTGCATATCCAGCACGTAGACGATAGTGGAGAATGAGCTCAAGGGGACCTCGAGCTGATCAATCTCAAAGTTGGAGGGAGTGTCCCATATCTGTAATGGGATGATGGAGCTGACAATGACAAAAATGTCTTGGATCAGTCCCGTCCAAGCCCTAGGATTTGAACAGAATCCAAAAACTCACTTGTAGTCAATCTGCTCTATCTTTTGAGTCACACCAAAATGAGGAACCTCCTGGGCTGGAGCTTGCTGAAAGACAGTCTTGATGCAGGAAGTCTTGCCTGCTCTAGCGCACGGGTTAGCCTACAGGACCGGTCTGAGATGCTCGGGAGCTCACTTTCTCCACCCCAAGACGAGTATTTTTTGGCGTGGGTCATGGGAGGTGGGAGATGTGGGTGGCTTGGGCGGCATGCTGGCGGGATAAAGGAGATAGGAAGAGAATGGTTATGCAAGAAGCGATAGATAACGAACGAGCCGAACGGATACCGCCGGGCAACCTCGCGTTTGATCCCGTTTGCTTATGTAAGGTACTCAGAGGCTGAGTCGGACTCGGCAGCAGCAGCTGCAGCAGCAGCCTATGCAACTTTTGTTCATCCGTAGTTTCGTCAAATCTACATCCAGAAGCCCCATAACTCCGGTTGCTCGTATCGCCATGCCTGCTCCTCCATCCACATTCCCTGCAACAGCCAACAAATCGAACAAGAAGACAGGCGGTGATGATGAAGAAGGCTCATCCGGCTGGAGGTGGAAGCACAACAAGAAGAACTCGACCATATGTGTTGGACCAGCAAGGAAGGGAGGAGGGTGAAGAAGAAAGGGCATTTATCTTTGATCTTTGCTATAGACAAAGTCAGCACCTGACTATATTGGTTGCGGCACCTACCCTCCCACGTTTCGATGCCTCTAGCCAGATCATCCTCGGTGACCCCTTCGCCAGTGGGCTTCTGAATGGCCAACGCTTCATCAAACGCCTTCTTCATCTTTTGAATCTGTAGATGCAGATTAGCGTCATGCCACATCTTGGCTGGTCTCAACTCACCCGATCCTGGACTCCAGAGGCCTTAGCCTTGTTAAAATTCTTGATGTTTTTCTCGGAGAGCCGTTTGTAGATCACCGTAGCAGCAAGCTTGGCTTTATCGTTGGAGTCGGAATAAGCAGCCCAGTTCTCGGGTATCCAATCGATGAGGTAGTCTTGACTAGTGCGCCCATCTGGTCCAACACATATGGTCGAGTTATTCTTGTTGTGCTTCCACCTCCAGCCGGATGAGCCTTCTTCATCATCACCGCTGTCTTCTTGTTCGATAATTCGATCTGTTGGCTGTTGCGGGGAATGTGAATGGCGGAGCAGACATGCTTTCGGCAGCGGGTCACCGCGCATCGAAATTGATTCCGTCAGGATTAACCTTGGGCCCGGGTACACCCCGCGAATCCCATTCCTTCGTACGCTCTCGATCACTCGGATACCCACTCCCTTATACCCCGCGAGTGGATCTCGACCCAACACCGGACTTCTACGACCCAACAACACCAAACTTTCTCAGCCCAGAACTCCCTCGGCTCAAGGCTCAACGGACGACGATTTGATCCCGCTGCTTATGTAACTACTTGCTCTCATTAAGAATTCTAGCGACGCGCAGGAAAACGCGTCCTCATGTTTGTTTTGCGCGTCGCTCTCCCTCGACTGCTCCCTATTTCTTGTCTGAAGAGGGATACAAGGCCTCAGAGTACTCCCGGCCAACTTTTATCCCGCGATACCCTCCCCGCACGCTCCACGCGTCCCTGTAAGTCACATTACTTTTCTCAAACGCGTCGCGTCTCCCTGCTGCTCGATTGACACCTTCCCAGCACCATGTCCTCCTCCTCCCTGCCCCCCCTGACCTCCTCCAACCCCTCCCTTCTCCCACCAAACCCCTCATCTACCGTATCCTTCCAGTCCGACCCTCCTGCAAAGCCGCTCGTCAGAAAGACATACGGTCGCCAGAAACACGTCTCTCCGCCACCTGAACCCCAACCATCGTCTTCGTCCGTAGACGCGCCGGGACCGTCGCCGTCCAAGAGATGGACGAGTGCGAGCGATAAGATGCTTGCCAGTTTTGCGAGCCTCGACCCCGGGGCTGGGGCGGACAGGGAGGATGAGGATGAAGTTATGGATGATGAGGCGGTCAAGCGCGAGCTGGAAAGAATGAGGAAGAGCCGACAAAGTCGTTCTAATCCCGAGCCTGAACCAGCCGTTCCCGCCGCTGAAGAACACTCGCCAAGCAACGCGCCTGCGCCAGAGGCTGAGGGAGCCGCGCTCGAGCCCACCCAAGGCGACGATAGCGACAAAGACGACACAGAAGACACCCCCAAAGCTGCTCCCCGCAAAGACTCTCTATATGTCACTGTCAATGGCTCTACCCACTCCACTCCTTCCCTCCCCGAACTCCCGCCTTCTTCCCCGCCTCGGGGCAAGTTTTCGTCCTCCACTTCGCTCTCGAATGGCGAGGAAGGACGATCTTCCCAGAGTGGCGCGTCTGCTGATACTTTCATGACTCAGAGGGAACGGCAGGCAAGGAATGAAACGCTTCCTCCTGAGAAGCAAGCGAAGAAAGGGTTGAAGAAGAAGAGGGTGGTGGTGGAGAGCGATGAGGAAAGCGAAGACGATGTCCCAACACGGGCACCTCGAGATCGCTCCCCCGAAACTCCCATACAGTGGGAAGACAATGGAGATGAACCTGCTGACGAACCTCAGAAGGATGAGTATGATCTCGGTGCTGCCATGGAAGAGGTAGCGGAGGAAGAGGAGGAGGCGGAGAGGACACGAACGCGGAATGAGAAGAGGGAGAAGGAGTTGAGTAGAAGAGAGGACCCGTTGAAGGGAGCGGGCATGGACGGGCTCTTTGACGACGATGATGAGGAGCAGGAGAAAAAGCCAAAAAAGAAGGCAAGTCCGCAGGTCATATCTGAGGCAACCTGACTGACAAATACAACAGAGCTCGAAAGGTCTGAACAAACAAGACAAGAAGCAGATGCACAAGGACATCGACGCCGCTGAAAGAAGTTCGTTTCAACCTATGCCCATCTCGCAGAAGATTACTGACACACCTCCAGGTCGAACAGTCCACCTCGCCCGCCCCAGGACCGACTCCCACAACACCATGGCCGACTGGATGAAATCCTACGCCGAATCCCAAGCCGGCTTCAGCCGCTCACACCCTTCTTCTGGTCCTGCCGAATCGATTTCAGAATTTGACACGCCTGTCCCTGAACGTATTGCGCCGGCAAAGACGGGGTCGGAGGGCAAAGTGCCGAGCTCGCAGGCAATGTTGGCGGAAAGTATTGTGACTTCTTCGCCTTCTGCTGCTTCAAACAAGCTGGGACGGAAGGGCGTTTTTTTCAAGCCTTCTCCGAGAGCTACCCCTGCGCCGGTTGTAGATGAAGTGGACGCAGGAGAGGAGGAACAGGATTTTGCCGCGTTTGCGGCCGATCTTGATGCCCAGGACGAAGCTGCCGAAGCTGTTTCTGCTCTCGCAGCTGAAAAGGCCGCCAAGCAGGCTGCGCTGTACAAGAGAAAGCTCGCGCTCGTCGCCAAGGCCGAACAAGAAAAGTCGAAAAAGATCGGAAAGAAGGTCAAGGAAGAAGAAGGGGATAGTGATGTTGAGATTGTTTATGGTCCGAATGCCAAAAAGGGCAAGCGGCCTCTGTCCAAACTTCCTAATGGCGCTACCTTGCATCACAAGCCTCGCCCCTCCGATCAGAAGATATCTGAGACTTACATGGCTCACGCCGGCAGGGGGTTCGCCCACGCGCATGAACGCTCATTCAACGCCGGCTCTCGTCCGGCAGGCCAGAAACGGGGCAGAGATAGAATCATTTCGCAACAAGATCTGGACAAGGATCTGCATGATAGAATAGCGAGACAAGCCGCCTTTGTCAGGAAGGACAGGGAGATGATCTTTGGAAAAGGAAGGATGAGGGTGCCAGAGAGACAAGAGGTGGATTTGGATGCGATCCAGCAGGAGTTAAGCAAGAGGGCAGAGGAAGAGGTCAAGGATGAAGATGAGGAAGATAAGGATGAGGACGATGAAGATTATGTGGAGGAGGAGGAAACGGAGGAGGCGCTGTACAGCGGCGAGGAAGGAGACGCTGTCGAGGAGGACGAGGAGGAGGGTGAAGAGACCCAGGAAGATGAGCCCGACGCCAAACCCGTCAAACACGAAGAGGATGAGGAGGAGAATGTCGCCTTTCCCAAACCCAAAACACGTCCTTCTGCTCGCAGACAAATCGTCCCCGACTCTGACGACGAAGAGGACGCGCCTGCCTCAACCTTCATGCCTCCCCCTGATCTGCCCGCTTCCGCCACCCAACGATCCACACAAGCCGCCTCTGGAGATTCTGGCAACCTGGCCGATGACGATGTGCCGATGGGTCCTGCCGATGCAGGCGGCGAGGAGGGACTGGGAGACAATTTTGCAGCCGGCTTTGGAGACTTTGATGTGGGAGGTTTCGGAGATGATGCTGGTGGAGGTTTTTCACAGTTGTTCAACGAGACTCAAGTTGATAACGCTGAAGTGAGTTTTCCTGACGTTCTTTCATCACTCAACTGACTTATCCCGTAGGATGCCTTGGCCAAGCTTCGAAAGCCCGACGCCTCGGGGCTTGCACCAACTCTTGCTGCCCTGCCCGAGGTCGAGATATCCGAGACCCAGATGGCGCGGGACGATGCGCTGGTCATGGGCGTGATGGAGGACGCTGCAATGGACAACCGCCGAGAGTCGGAGGCGCCAAAGAAGATGTACCTCAACACTCAAGGGTAGGCCGACATATCGCTCTCAAATTTGGATATCTATGCTGATTCTCCTCGATAGAATGTTTACCCAGACAAGACCCAACGACTGGGAAGACGCCCCCGACCCACCTCAGCGTCCCTACGACGAAACACAGTGGACTCCCTATTCTCACTCCCAGCGCCCCCCTTATCCCAGTTCTACCCAGCAGAACACTGACGACTCACCTCTTCCGACATCAGAAAGAGATGCTGCCGATGTCAGTCCGACTCAGCCAAAGTTGAGAAGGCTCAAGAGACGTTCCTCACCTGCCCCAGAGGCGGAAGATGCGGAAGAGGAGGACGAGAGGGCAGCAACCCCCGAGCTGGAGGAGACACAAATTTCGTCGGCTCCTCGTAACGCTTTGACGGCCCTCATGGACTCTCGCAACCGGCGTGACCCCTCCGAGCCCGCAAAATCCAAGAAGGACAAGGGGAAGGAGTCGGAATACATTCAGCGCCAAGCTGAAGAGTCGGACGATGAAGACATGGGTGGATGGGGCAAGACCCACGACGAGGAGGAAGAAGAGGCCTCTGGTGACGAGGACCAAATCGTGGAGGGCCTGGTCAACGATGAGCAGAGGTCGGAGGCAGAACGGGAGAGAGATGAAGAATTGGGCAGAGCGAAGCTGAGAGAGATCGAGAAGGCGGATGACGAGAAGAGGATGAAGGCCGCAAAGGACCTCATTGATGGAGTGCATAGAAAGCACCGGAGGGGTGAAGACTTTGTGGACGATGATGAAGAGGAAAGGGGGCAGAGGTATAAGAGGATCAATAGAAAAGTCAGGAAGATCGTAAATGAGAAAACAAAAGAGGGTCTCATTGGTGAGTCAATCGATGCCGAGTCCATTTGGGTTGCTAACATGTACGTAGGTAACGAAAGTACCGACCGCTTTCAAGCGGCATACGAAGAGGAGCAGGATTCCGAAAGCGATGATGAGACTCAAGCTTATCATCCCGACATCTTTGAAGGCGCAAGGGGTCCCTCGCCCGAATTGCAGAGAGAGAATACGCCACCGCAGCAGGTGAGCTTTTCAGAGGGACTAAAGAGGTTACGAGAGATGGGCAGGAAGAATGGAGAGGTGAGTACAGTCCGGAGTACAATGCGAGCAAGAATACCATCCGCTGACCGTGGACGCAGCGCAACATGGATACCCTGGACGACGATCTGGATAAGGAGATTGGGTTGAACGACGATGCGTTCCCTGGGGCTCGCAAACCCTTGGGGGATACTTTTGACAACGCTATCGACGCTGATTCAGCCGCAATGCCCGAGCCTGAATACTCCATCGCCCGGGGAAATCCAAAGAGAAGGTCTGGTGCCCCAGAGGGTCTCGTGGACGAATTTGTGCGTAACTTGACTTAGCCAAGATCTTCTATGCTGACCATTCGAACAAAGACGTTTAAACGCCCAAAGACCACCCCTGTCCAAAAATCCGAATCCTTAAACGCATTGCTCAAAGAGGACTCGGCATACAGCCGGAGCTCAGCCATCTCCTCCGGGTCGGCTGGTTCCCGGAGTGTATTTAGATCAAAGGTTGGCGCTGGCGGAAGTAGCAGCACATCGCTTGGGTCGGCATCCTTGGGTGGCGGAGACCTGGGGAGAGGAAGGGCGCTGCCTCAGAGAAGTAATACCATGTCGAGTAGCTCTAGTGGGCTGACGGGGTTGAAGAAGGGAGACAAATTTGGTCGATAGGAGAAGTTATCATTCAATCTTGGGATCGTTAATCATTCTGTCGTATATTCTAGAATCATATCCGTGTATGTATATCTTGCGACTCGTCTTGACAGAAAGAAGGGATCGCAACACCAGAGTGTCAATTCCGTCGGTCTCTGAAAGTGTCAATATTTCAAGGCAAGATGCCCCACACAGCTCGCTACCAGACTCCGCAGGATGACCAGCGCAGTAGTCTATCCGCCAACAAGCTGCCTGACTGGACAGAACCCAACAAACAGAACAGCCAGCTTCCCCATGGGGTCATCGGCGTCCACCGACCTGCCCGCCGTCGAAGGATTCATTTCGCCTCTGCATGTCAATCATCCAGCACCACGATCCTGACAACAATGGCACAAGAACAAGCCCCGATAGCCTCCGAGGCTACAGCTGGCTCTCTGGCATCCGGTACATACCGTTCTCTGCTGCCAATCGTGGACGAGATTCTCGCTATACTTCACGCCCAGACTGTCTCTCCCGAGCGGATATCCCCAGCTCAATCTTCCGACCAGGTAGCACCAAAGGTGAGATCAGCAGTACGCTTCTAGAACTAGAATTTCAACTAATGAATGGCGCGACAGGCCAAAGAGCTCTCGCAAGCACTGGAAGGAATGAAGATGTCGGCTCTCTCGCTTCCGGGAGGCAATTTGTCAACGGAAGATATAGGCAAGCTGTTGGATGTTCTAGAAAGCGAGGGTGACAAGCGAAGGTGCGCACTGTGATTGTAAAGCAGCATGAAAGGAAAGCTAACTTCTTGACTATAGACGGATCCTGTCAAGTTTTGAGACGCTCAGCCTACCGACGGTGGATGAGTTGGCTAGTGCTGGGCCGGAAACCAAAACTGAAGGGGAAAGGCTCTGATGAGAGTAAGCAGGCTGAGAGGATGAGCTGTGATGGGCCGCTGATGGCTGGCTTCTCGTAGTCGCCCAGCTTTCGCCGTTCCTTCTATAATAATAGCCTTGTCGCGTCCCTTCACATATGACCGCAAGTGTATGTTGTACAGATATTCAAGCTTTCTCTTTCTTGACCATTAATGCATGCACCTCGACATGTATCATATCTAACCTTCAAAAGTGCTCTGCCATCTGCTGTACCCCAAAGTGCCCATGAGCCATACTTTACCCGTCAATGGCGGTCTCGACCGCCTGATGGCGACGCGTCGTACACTGCTGGTAATGTTGTTGACAATCACGAGCCTTTTCTTCCAACTGCATTATTTCCATATCTTTTCCGTCGCCATGGTCACCGAATTCCGGAGAAAGTAACACACCAAACACATGCCCCAGCTTCAGCATGCCCGACCCATGCTGCATCAATTGCCGCCGGTCATATGGCCAAAACATCTTACTCGACTTTGACCCAAGCGGTTTCTGGGCTTGCCCGCGATGTGGCCTCGTCGACGAAAGCGCCACCTCCACCGAGAGACTAGTGGACTTCAATGAGCATGGTATCCAGGTGGATGATAATATACGGGGGACGAAAGCTGCGTCTTGGACTGATTGGAGGGAGGCGAAATTTGAGGTGAGTCTGTCCCAGCAATGATGAAGAGCAAGCTGACAGGGTTGTAGGAACATGTGAAGGACCTGTTGGATCTATATCTCGGATCCAAAGATCCTCGGACAAGTATCCTTGGCACTCCAGGCGAGAGCGTTCGCACCAGCACCCGCAAATGGCTCACCCGCATACTCGAGGCCGACCGGCAGCTCTTTCAGCGTCTGCAAGGCCACAAGAAGGCCAGTCCCAAGACCAAGTTCTTTGTGGTGATTGCTCTCAAGATGGCGCTAGATGAGAATGCGGTAGCTGTGCTGCACAATCGGCTGAAAGCGGCGGGGTTTCAGACAGAGATGAAGAATGCTTGGGCCGGGGCTAGGAGTGACGAGCGGCTGCCGGCTCTGAGTCTGTTCCAGCTGGTTGTGAGTTTCGCCATCATCCTATTCATCTCACATGCTGACGTATGAGCAGGCAAGACTCTCCCAATTCCCCGCAACTAGCTTTGGCTACACAGACCGAGAAGGTTATCTGAACCTCCTCTATCGCCGCTTTACCAAGCTCCTCGGCAATACCCTCACACCTCTCGAATCCACCCTCACCTTCCTCACTTCGATATCCCAGCGTCTCCGCCAAATCGCAGATGCTTCCAACGAAGATCGTACTTCGTTGCTGCTGACCCGACCACCAGCTGGAAAGGGGACTCGGGAATGGGAAGCCGAAGAGTTTTCCTTCTTCGAAGACGTCGAGTGGGAAAAGGTGCTACCGGAAGCATACAGGCTGTATCAGATACAGGAGTGTGTCTACTTATGGAGATTTCGTTCGTCTCCCAGCATAGCGATCGCCCTCCTCCTCTGGTCTATCCAGTCACTCAAATCACTGGTCGTCCCTGATTTCTCCATCCTCATGGAGGAACTCTCAGCGCCATACGGCCAACAACGCTGGGTCGCTCTGGAGAGGTTTAAGGAGATGCGGAATCTGCTCGTAGCCTGGAGTACGTCCTTTCCCGAAGCGGCCATACCCTTCCCTCTGTTACCCCTGCCCCCAAAAGGGTTCATAGGCGATGGCGTATCTGGCTACGGTAGTGACTCTCGACGAGGAATACCCGAAATCGACATGGCTGTCACTGTTGCCCCTTTCATCACTCAGCATTGGCGCAAATTACTTCAAGCAAGGTCGCGGACGCGAAAGGACGCCATGCCCCTTGTAGACGAAATCCATCTTGCCCGCAAGATGTTTGTCGTGCGTGCTGGTGACTATGCTCTTCTACTAGACCCAAAAGCGACTCTACCGCTACATCTCAGGAATGTCGACCGGCCCAAGTTGGGGAGGATGTCACCGGCGGTGAAGAAATTCAAGGTCTTTGCGGATCAGGCGAGGGCCGAGATTGCTGGTTATGCGCCTCTGTGGCGTGTGCGCGTGGATGACGAGGCTGTGGAAAGGAGGCTTGAGGGGCTGCAGTTCATCCCGGATGGCGTTGACGCACCGGTCAGCCAAGCGAAAGCAGACAAGGCGTCACTTGCAGCATCATGCCAATCCATCCCTACGCCTGAAACGTCGGGACATGGAGTATACTTCCAGCGTGCCTTCCCTGAACCTCCTGCCCGTCCGCTCGCCTCTTCTTCTTCGTCTGACGACCACTACGGTATACTCCTGCGCGAAAGAGAAGAATATATAAGATTCCGATTCAAGACGTATCTCGAAGCGGGGCATATCGTCTCTCCGGCCTGCGCTACTATCATGTGGGACTGGCTGCGCGAAAAAGTGGAGACGGGCAGTATACCTGCGACCATCACGCCCAAATACCTGGCGAGTATTGGAGTGAAGGGCGACCCGCGGCAGGGATGGAATGTGGGCAAATGGGTCGAGCAGAAGACGGACGTATGGTCCCCTGTCGAATGTCTCTTGCGAGCTGGCGTCAAGCCGAACGAGATACCGCCTCACTTTGTACCCCAGTCACCCACCTATCTCAAGGTGATCCTTCGGCATTATCACGAGAGAGCGGCTCTTCTCGGGCTCGCTGATAACAATATACTGGCGCCAGTCGGCAAGTTTGAGGATGAGATCGCGCTACTATTTCCGCAAGGAGGAGAAGAGACTTTTGAAGGCATGTTTCTGGACGACAAGGAACGTGCAAAGCGAGAGAGAGACTACAAAGCGATGGAAGTGGTGGACAAAGACGAAGATATGGACGCCTGGAGAAAAGAAAGGTCGACTCGGGAGCAGGACGCCTTGTCTTACGAAGAGACCTCAGATAGCGAAGAGGAAGGCATCCCCTTCCCACATACCCTCGCCCGGGGCAAACCATCTTCTCCTAGCTCGCCATCTCACAACCCGCCTCCTCCCACGAGATCCCGCGCAGAGCTAGAACATCTCGCGGCCATCTTCAACGTCCCTTCACACCTCCGAAGCAAAGACCAGCTTGAGCTACTTGCCCAAGCGATTGGGACTAGCGACGATCCAGATCTACACGACTTTGGGAATGAAGATGACAGCGAGAGGTTTGATGAGCTGGCGTTCAGCTCAATGGGTTCAAGCTTGGCTGGGGTGGAGCTAGGATGGGGGTTCGAAGAAGGTGACGATAATGAAGAGGATGGTGAAGGTGATGCTCCGATAGCGAGTCAACAAGGGGCAGGCAGCAAGAGGAAGAGGAAGGCGGGAAACGAAGAGAAGGAGAAGAAGATATCAAGAAGTAAGAAATAGACAAGGACACTGTACTTGTATCATATGACCTGTATATAACGTTGAAGATATCACATTTGACTGCAGATGCCAATCATAGGACACATTCAGCAACAAAAGAAATAAAGCTGCCACAAGGTGAGCCAACAGTATGATGCCATGTGACAGGAGAAGAGAGGCAAAAAGATATGACGAAGACGGGATTTGAACCCGCGCGCATAAGCATGCCGGTAACTCAGTACCTGAACGACACTCCATTACCACTCGGACACTTCGCCACATTCGATGGAGGCCGCACTTTGTAATGAATCTATCCGACAAACGCATGTGTTTTTCATCGGGCTGTGACAACGAACGAAGGTGCACTCTTTCTTGACTCTTTCGCATCTCTTTCCTCGTCATCTGTGCTTCAACCAGGATAATGTACGGCGGTCGTAAGTTGACAGCCATGGCACTGATCACAGCTGACACCCCCCAGCCCCCTTCCCAGGCTCCCTCCCGCCCTTCCCTCCCCAGCGCCCGCCCCAAAATGGCATGCCTTCCTACCTCCCTCCCTTCCCTCCGTCCCCCTTCATTCCCCCTGGCATCTCCCCCAACGCAAACCCCGGCACGCCCGGACAGTATCCTCCCCAGACACCCATGCCGGGTATGATGGGTATGCCCCCGATGCCTCCCGGCATGAGACCGCCTCCGCCCGCAATGGCGCCCTCGCCGGCTCGGCCCAGCCACCCCGGATTGGGGAGCCAATACCAACCTCATCATGGTCTGCCTCGAGCGCCCAACCTTACTCCTGGACCTCCTCGAGCGGACGTGAAGACTACCAAGGTGTTTGTTGGGGGTATCGCCCCAGGTATCTCGGACGAAACCCTTACGAATCTACTCAATGTACGTATGAAGGTATCGCTTTCGAAGACACACGGCTGACAAGTACAGGCTTGCGGTCCTCTGTATGAACTCAAGCGCGTTATCGGGGCCAGTGGTAAACCCCAGGCTTTCGGTTTTGCCTCATTCGAGAATCCCGAAATCGTGCTTCGTGCGATCCGCTGTCTCAACGGCGTCGAGCTGCCCGATATCACTCCCCAGGGCAAGGCTGACGGCGCACCCAAAAAGAAGCTGGTGGTAAAGGCAGATGAAAAGACGACGGATTTCTTGAATGATTTTGAAGCTGCTCTAGGAAGGTCAGATGTGAGTGTACCGATTGTTCATCTGCGACCTCTGCTGACATGGATGTAGTCGGATGAACAAGCAGATGCCATCACCCGCAAATCAATCCAGCACATTGTCGCTCTTCTCACCGACCCCAACGCTCAACATCCTGACGGCTCCTCTGCCGCCGCCCAAGACTCTCATGTTATCGTTCCCCCGCATCTCCAAGATCTCCAAGAGGGTGACCTCCCCGAAGACCAGCGTGTCGCTGTACTGGATCAGATTGCGATATTTAGAGAGAATGCCGCAAAGAGAGAGAGGGAGAAGAAGTTGATGGAAGAGGAAAAGGAGAGGTTCAAGGCCCAGCAGAACCAGGGCCAGGGCGGGTATGGGCGGCAGCAATCTCAAAGCCAAGGTCAAAACCACTACGGGAACAGGGGATCGGGACGACAGCAAGAGCCTCCTATGAGGCAGTTTGGGACGCCCCAGGGGCGAGACAGCGCCGGACCGAGTAGAACGTTTGGCAGTCGGGATCAGGGCCAACAACGTGACCCTCAAGCGTATGACAAGCCTGTCAACTTTGTGGCTGCTCAGACTGTGGAAGGCAAGGTGGAGAGCGGACGTACGGATGAGGAAGAGGAGGAGTTCAGGCGGGCCGCCAAGCAGCGTGACCTGGATATCGCTTTGCGAGACGTGAGTTTTCCCCTCATTGTTGTCCAATGACTCAAGTTGACATGAAATCAAGGCCGAAAGGCGTGTCGAGGCCCGTGAACGCTCCCGCCTCACTACTCTCAACAACGAGCTCCAACACCGCCAACAAACAAGCTCTTCCATCTCTTCCCTCGCTTCCCTCCAATCCGCCCTCTATGCCACGCTCGACGACTCGGACCCATCCAACATCAGACTCCCGCCCAACCTCGGCCCGAGGGATGCGTCATTCTTCAATGACCGCAATGCCTGGCGTGCGCGCAGACAGAGAGTCCGGGCGAATGAGTACCAGGCGGATTTGAGGGATAGACAAGCGGAAGAAGATGAGAGGGTGAGGGCGGACAGGGAGAGTGAAGAGTTCTTGCGGAGACAGATGGCGGAGCTCAAAGAGCTCGAAGAGCGTCAGCGTGCTCGAGGTCTTCTTACTGAAGATGCCGCCCCGATCAAACTCGCCCTTTCTGCCGCTGCCCCTCCCCCACAGCCAAAGGAAGAAAAGAAGCCCGTGCCCCACGCTCGTCCTGGTGTACAGTTTGACGAAGATGAGGATGACAATCCAACAAAGAAGCGTCGCACATTCGTCAAGTTGGATGATGATGATGCGGCGAACGGGGGCGAGGCAGGGCTGTCGGAGGCAGAGAAGATGGCGAGGAGGATCGCCAAGCTGGTGGAGATCAAGAAGGACGTGCCTAGAGATAGGAGAGGGCTCTGGAGGGTGCCGGTGGAGTGGGCTGCTATCAGTGATGTGAGTCTGTACAATACAATCGTTGAACCGGGTTCTGACACTCAGACACAGCGCCTCAACCAGAACAAGATCAAACCCTTCATCAACGCCAAGATCACAGACTATCTCGGCGAACCAGACGTCGACCTCGTGAATTTCGTTCTGGAGCATTTGCAGGGAAAGAAGGGCCCGGACGAGCTTAGAGATGATTTGGAACCTGTACGTCCCCCTCCCCACCCAAACGAATCTCATCGATCATCTGCTGGCACGAAAGAGCTGTAGCGTGCTTGGTTCGAATGAAAAGAAACGAATTGGCTGACACGACTTGCTTTTTAGGTCTTAGCGGAAGACGCCGAGGCATTCGTCATCCTGCTCTGGCGTCAACTTGTCTTTGAGAGCTTTGCCTACAAGACCGGTACCGAGACTGGCGACATGATGATCTAGAGGGGAATTTCTTCGTTCTCCACCCGTGAACAGGCATGGATGGGAGGTGAGAACAATGTCTCCTTTTTCTTGCTTGCTACTGAGGACAATTCCTCTTGCTGTTGCTTTCTTTGCGTGTATAGGTCGATGATGGAATGGATGGGAAGGATGAAGAGATGAGGAAGGGAACCACCAATAAGGGTATGTCGCAATATCATGCATATCAACCGTAGAAGGTCAACAGATCACGCTTGATCTTTACTCAGCCCAGAGTCGATCAGTCTGCAAGGCAACCTCCATTTCACACGTGAGCAATCCTGGTCATTTGCCTTCAAAAGCGTCGCTGCATCTCATCGTCTGTTTCTCTTCGTCACAGCTAGAAGCCTTTGTTCATCCATTGCGTTTCTACTAAGACTGCCACGAAGTGAGTACAACGTGATATCGGATGACGTGGACATCGGGTACAATGACACAGTATGTATGGCCTTGTTATATATATATGCATTGAAAAATGACACAACAACTACAAAAGACCCGAAAGAACATGATTACATACGGTACAGACACTCAAGGATGTGATGGCAAGCCCCGTATAGTGGTTCGACCACACCTGTGTAAGATGCAAGTGAGCAGAAAGATAAATTGAAAGAAAGAGAAGCTGAGTACAAGACGTCAATAGGTCGTCATTCTATGTCGTCATCGTGGCACCAAGACTCCCAAAGAAAGAGTCTCATCTAAAGAAGGCAATCGCACTGCTCTAAGCGACGGTGTTTGTGGGTATCGGGTGTGCTGGAGACGGATGTGAGGTTGAGGGCGAAGCCTCGCTGCCGCCGGAGCTGACGACGAAGCCAAGTTTGGTAAAGCATTTCACCAGATCGGCTTTCGTGACAGGCTTCGCGATCACAGCGGAGAATAGGGTACCTTCCTCAGTGATGGATTGATGTTGCTCGTAAGATGTGGCAGCGATAACTAGCGTGCGGGGGTCAGCGCGTGAGGAAAGGTAACACAGATCATGGACTTACTCGGGGTATTCTGATTTTGGTTGCTAGTCGAGCGTATCATTCGGGCAACTTGCTCTCCATTGACAACAGGCATGTGTATATCACAAACTATGACATCGAACTCTGCCATGATACATCAATAAACCATGCAGGTGAGAAGGGCAATTATATGCTTACTGATGTTGCCCATTGTTGCCGCCAATGCGCCAGGGCCATCGTCGACACAGATACAACGACATCCCATTCGTCTGAGAAGGGTCTCAAGAATCTGGAAAGAGTATCAGCAACATCGCAAGGCTGCACTCCGTGCCACGTACCTTTTGAGAGATAGGATTGTCCTCCGCAATCAACACATCCAGACCCCGTGTCTCTGCAGGTGTCCTCCTTGCCTCTTCGCTCCCTGCTGGCGCCCCTGTCGCCGACGCTGCAGCCTCCAATTCCTTCCCGGGATTCTCGAGCTGTAATGATGCCTGCCTTCTTTGTCTCCACAATTCTGCACTGGCACTCCCCGCACTTGAGCCCGAATCCGTCCTGATCCTGTTCTGCTTCACATCTTTCCTCTTTGTCACCTCCAAATCGGCATCAGAAGTCTTTACCCTTTCGAGAGCGTTGAGCTCTGATAATCGGCGAGGATGTTGAGGGCCAGAAGGAATAGTGAGAGGAGGCTGTGGCATGTTGGCGCGGGAAGGTGTAGACACCGAGGAAGAGGTGGACGTGGATGGGGAAGGAGGGAAGGGGGCGTCGGCACCATCCGAGGTTTGGCGTCTGGATTTGTCTTTCGCCGAAGGTCTCCTCGGTTTGGTCTTGGCTGGCGCCTTGCCCTCGAGAGCCTGGGCTAAGGGTACCATCGAGTCCGATCTCATCTTCTTGATGACGTCGTCGTTCGCTTGTTTGAGCACTGGCAGATTCTTGTAGTTGAAAGCGCCAAAGTCGTCTTGCTCGGCAATATCACTAATAATAGCGTCCATTTCACCGGTTGTTGATGGGGACGCAAGAGGAATGGTAAGGTTGTCACCAACAGCTTGCTTGAAGACTTGAGCTGGAGCATCATCGTCATGGAAGAGGAAAGTAGCCCCGCGGGAGTCAAAGTAGTCTGTAGACTCGGGATCAGTGACCTCAGGAACGAAACTGGGCTCTTCTGTGGCAATGGTATCCCAGTTGATAGTCGCCAAGAAAGGATGCGATTTCACTTCCCCCGCCCCACCCGCTCCCAGACGTCGATGAGGATCGGCACAAAGAAGCTTGTCGATAAGATCTCGCGCCTCAGGAGAGATGTCAATATCTTCTTCGTGCCAGTCGATACGCCTAGAAACCACATTGTCGAACACCTTCTCGGGAGTGTCCGCATGGAAAGGCGGGAAACCGTATAGGAACTCGTAAAGCACCACACCAAGCGCCCACCAGTCCACCGCAGCATCGTCCTGGCCAATCCCCAAAATACTTTCGGGGGCTAGATAGTCGGGTGTGCCGACGAATCTTGCAGGCTCTCGCCCACTGCTAGCAGATGGGGAGTTCACATTGCCAGAAGTAAACTGTGTAGCAGCAGGCATCTGCCTGACATGTTTAGGAATGATGCCCGCAGACTCCGAGCCGCTCGAGTCGTCGGCAGAGCCGATGTCCCGAACAGGTGTGAAGTACGACTGGGTAGCGTTGGTGAGAACCTGAGGCATACTGATGTCGGGCGATGGGGAGAGCATGTTGGAATCGATCGAAGAAGTGTTGGACAGCGTACGACTCATAAATGGTCGCTGACGGCCCGAACCGCGGAGGTTGGGTAGATAAGCTGCCCTGGGACCTCCAACTTGACGATTGAGGAGACCGATCCTCGAGAGACCAAAATCGGTCAACTTCAGGTGACCTCGAGAATCGATCAACAAGTTGTCGGGTTTGATGTCGCTACCCAAAGGTCAGCTATGCTCGCACGCATTCAAACAGCACAAGACTCACCGATGCACTATGTTCCTATCGTGGAGGTACTCGAGACCCAACACCACCTCCGCTATATAGTTCTTCGCCCAGTCTTCGCTCAGACCTCCCAATGTCTTGACCAGAGACGAACAATCGCCTCCATTCAAATACTCCATCACCAGATACAAATAATCCTTGGATTGGAACGAGAAGAACAATTTCGCCACATAAGGCGATCTCGCTTGGTTCATCAGGATAGTCCGTTCGGCCTTGACGTTGGTGATCTGGTTCTTGGCGATCATATCTGACTTTTTCAGGGCCTTGATAGCATAGTAGTCGCCCGTTGTGGATTTCTTTGCCAGATAGACTGACCCAAAGGCACCCCGGCTAATGGGTTTGATGATCTCGAAATCCTTGATAGACGTCTGCCCAACGCTGGAACGCAAGGCTGCAGAGGGAATTCGAGGCGACAAGGGAGCATCTCTCAATCCCCTAGACGAGGCAGATACTCGTCGATGGTGTTTATCGTGCGCAAAAGGCACCAGTAAAGGAGAAGATGATATCGAACTTGGTTTGGCTGATTCGGGCCGCGAAGGTGTACCTTGTCGGGACCTAGACGAGGATCGAGCGCCTTTCACGGGAGATGATCGGTGTCCGACTGAGACCTCGGGGGGATGTCGAGAAGTGTCTGGCATGGGCGCAGGGATACTTGGGGGTGAAGGGTCGCTCGAGAGACCAAGAGTCTCGGGTACGGTGGGTGTAGGAGCGACACTCGTTTGGGTCGACTGGTCAGCGTGTGCTGATAGATGTCGATGGGGGTGACCTTGAGTAATTGGCAACCTCGCTAGAGCAGCAATCTTTCTTGGTCCAGGTGGCGAAACATCAGGCCCATCATCATTGCCTGCTGATGTCGGCTCGTGAGGAGAACCTTCAGACGAGCTTCTTTCGGACCCCGAGCCTGAAACGCTATCCGAGTCGCTACCATCTTCCTGTTCATCCAACATCCTGTTGACCTTGTCCTCCCACTCGTGCCGAGTCTTTTCCGAATACCGGACGGTACTTTGCATCCTTGCGACTGCCTTTTGCTTCCTCTTTAGTTGCTCCTCCACATGGGTGAAAAGGAGATTAAGGGCCGAGTCTGCAGTCTTGGGACGCTGCCATCGCGATATACTGTATAGCTTCGACTCGGCATCTTCTGAAAGATAGTGCTGAGCAGTAGAAGGAAGATCGGCTTCCTCCTCCCTGACGTAGGGTGTTTCGATTTGTCGAGCGGCACAGAGGACATTGAGTACGTCTTGAAGATGTTCATGAGCCACCTTTCTCACCTCAACACCCTGATACTGGGTAGTTGAGACCTCTTCCGTGGCTGCTATAGAGTCGGGCAGAGTGAAGAACAAAACACCCTCGTACTGTGAAGGTTGACTGGGCGCCGAGTTGTCGATTTCGGACTTGAGCTTGACCACTGTCTGGTGAAGTTCATGAAGACAATCGTCGCTCTCGGCAATTTCCGCTTCCAAACGGTGAAGAGCATCGCACGTCTCGTTGTGCTTTTCGAAGAACCAAGTGACGATCTCTCGCTCACAGATTCGGCACAATATACCTTTGGTGGAGATGTGCCCATCACGAGGAAAGGCTGCGTCTGTGATAGCTTCGACCATGGTTGCAGGTACCGGTTTCAGTACCCACATGGTGTGGGAAGGCTTATTGTTTTCACGCATCAACATGCCGACGCCCTCAAGCTCGATATACACGGGTCCAATCTGACGTTGCTCGTGTTCTGCCTGCGCGAGATTGTGGACCTCAAATCGGAAGCGAAGCTGAACAGTGTTGTTGTCGTCTTCAACCAGCTTCTGGGTGGCTTCAGAGAACACGGAAGCATCGCCGGGCGCCAACAGGTCTGTGATAGGGTGGTCAAGGACCTCTTCCGGTTCCCGGCTGAGTGAGGGTTTTGTCAGCTGTTGTATGGAAGGCCGTATGTCAAACTCACCCAGTAACTTCCATGATGGCATCATTGACGTACTCCACGACCTCGTCATGCAGACTCAACTCCATCACAATGTTTACACTCCTCGCGTGGTCGGCCATGAAGCGCAAATCGTCGAGATTCTGCGCTTTGGGCGAGCCTTTGCCTTGTTCTGTATCTGATTAGTCACTGAACGATATCATGTCAACCGCGATCACTAACCTTCAGGCCTTGCCGTCTGCGGGCTTTCGATCTCTGTCGATGGCACATCCAAGCTCAGCATTGGTGGGACATCTCCCACGACACTTGCCCTCCCACTAGCCTCGGCGCTTCCACCCATAGATGCTGGGGAATAGTTGGGATCACCGAGACCCCAGACACCCATTCCGCTTCCGCTAGCATTTCGATTTGAGGATATGGCTGCTTGGAACTCTTGCTCGAATCTGGGTTCCTCCCTCTCTCGTGAGGGTTTCATCACAAAGACCAATGGCTCATTCTCCGTTTCGGCGTCAAAGTTCCAGAAGATCTTTTCTGCCTCCCACCAATCAAGCACTCGCCCAAGATTGGCAACTGCAAGAAGAATCTCGACATACCACTCTCGCCCAGGCCAGTCGCTGTGGGAGTCCCACAGTCCTCCAGTCTTTTGGATCCGTTGGATGATAGCAGAACATGAGGAGGGGCCACTAGTATTGAGCGCATGGAGACTAGAGTCTATCACCTCGGTAGCCAAAACGATGAGTTCCTGCAGGGCTTCCAAGAAGTGGCGATCATCGTCCGCTGAGTCTGGCAATGCCATACTGGATGATGGGTGCCTGTATCCGGGCATGGGGGATCGAGAGCGAGACGTGGATCGAGAGCTAGTCCCAGATCGGGTCCTGTCTTTGGAAGATATCGAAATGTTACGGGCACCCGGCGCATAGCTTCGGGGCACGGCACTCGGGCGACGACGCGAGACGAAGCGGCTTGGGCTGGTCGGAAGCATCGATGTGATTGCCTGGGGACTGAGGGCCTGCCGAGACACAGAGGCTCTTCGACTGGGACCCCTTGATGACGACACTAGGTATATAATTAGTTTGTCGTTCGGATTCCAGAAGGGGCATCACTTACCAGCCCTAGACCTCGCTCCTTGTCCTTCGCTCTCAAATCCACCTAGTTCGCTCCCAGTATCTTCGGTATCCACGATTGGGCTCTCGTTCAGATTTAGCCTCTCAAAGTAGTCCAGCGGCACATCTTCTTGACCTTGCTGCGATTCTCTCTGTCCGTCGACGAACTTTGTGATACTGTTGACCGTACGACGTAGTGAATGGTCGCAGGCTTCTTTGGCACCGTTCAGTCTTCTGCGAATGTGACTTTTTACAGAGCCGACTGTGAGTTCGACACCAGGTGCTACAGGTTGATTCTCAAGCTCTCCTCCCATCTTTGAATCGATGAGGCCCAGTCCATGGGCGAGACCTTTGCCCGACAACATCGGACCCATCAGACCACCATCATCTTGAGACAGCCCCAAACCAAAGTTGTAGACCGGCGAAGGAGTCTGGTCCCATTTCGGCACCCCTGGCGTCAGCCCTGGTCCCAAAGACGCTGCCGAACCCGCAGACTGGCCATACACTGATGACCGAGACGAGGCTTCACTATCTCGAAGTGGTTGACCAAGAGGTACTTTCATAGGGATAGGTCCAGACCCCGGCACAGACGCCGAAGCTGAATTTGAGGACCCAGAGGTGAATGGGCTGTTGAACCTGTGCGGGGAGAGCTCCAGCCTCAGATTCGGCTGCTTTCGCCTTGCTTCGAGACTACCGCCAAGTCCGCTGCTGGAGTGGCCGGGTAACCCAGTTGAGGGAGGCTCGTTGCTATCTCTACTCGGTGGGGAAGATTCTTCAATCACCGTGGACGGAGCTCTGACGGGCCCGGCAGGTAACGGCGGAGGAGGCATCAGCGTGGATGCTGGCACAGCAGTGTCTGCGCTCGAATTTCGAGAAAGCCTAATGTCTTCCTTCCACCCGTCAATGCTCTTCCTGTAGCCCTCAACGCTCTGTCTGTCCGGATCTTCAACGCTCAGCAAATCTCTCTTCGTTGGACTTGCGCCTCCAGCCAGAGAAGCTGTTTCGATATCATCCCTGTCTCTCCTATGGCGAAGCTCGTTGTGAGAGATGACTTGTCTCAGACTAAGCCCATGGGAAGGAGAGCCTCGTCTGGTAGGAGACGGTGAGAGATAGACCGGGCTCCTGGACCGGTGAAGAGTCAAGGCAGAGGTGTGCGGGATGGATGCCATGGATGGTGTGGCTGACGGCTTTTTTGGAGAAGTGAAACTGGGCTTCAGATGGGATTGACTGGTAGATTCGGCATCGGGAACGAAATTGCTCTTGACAGCGTTCCACCAGCCTTCCATCTTGGTCGCCAAATTCTTCTTCTTCTTTTCACCACCACCACCACCACCCGCGGCGCTCCCAGACCCAGTCGCAGATCCAGCCAACGAATCACCAGACACCTGCCGACCCTTCTCGCGCCTCTTCATTCCAAGCGTAGGCGACAATCTGGGATCCACCAAGCTGAGACTCTTGAATGACAAACTTCTCTTTCGCAGTGAACCCTGCCTCGACCCCGAACCGCCATTATTGGTCGTTGGGACATGAGACCCAGACGACATGTATGACTCTCGTGACGTCGTGGGGGTGAGGCCAAACTGCTGTCCTTGCTGAGCGTTCGGAGCCTGGAATGACGAGGGTGGGTGTGCTGATGTAAGCCCAGAAGCGGAGGGCGGCACAGGCGTAGCGTCATGGTCGGATTCCGTCCTCTCCGCCTGCGGCGGCTGAGGTGTAGTCTCACTCTCCTTCTCAGGAGCCTTTTCGCCCTTGACAGACCCATCACTTGCCCGACGCTGCTCGGCATCCTTCTCCGCCTTGATCTTCATCTCCTTGTACCCTCTATAACAGTCCAACCAATCGACCCACTCGATATCGCCCATCCCGGCAGGGACAGCTGCGTGATGATGCTGAGCGTCGGGGTCGGACGAGCCTTGGCTAGATGGGGCGGGCGTGAGGGGGATTTGAGGCACCGTGAGGGTCTCCGGCCCAGCAGTCTTTGGCGAATGATCCTCGCGGGTAGACATGCCTCTGCCGCCGCTCTTGAACAATGCACCCAGCGATCCCGCGCCAGTGCCCACGGGGTTCTCCCCCGGACTGGATGCGGCGGTATCGACAGATCGATCAAGCTGTCCCCACTCCATCTGACGGTCCGCTCGGCGTACAGCCAGCATCGCAGGCGAGCCAGCACTAGCCGAACGCGCAAACGCAGGCGGAAGAGCACTTTTATCTCTCTACAATAATGGATGGGATCATCAGCTCAAATTTCCCGCCCGAGCAACGCGAGACTTACGCCGGAACCAACACCCCACCGCTGAATCTTTGCTTGCCGACTCTGCATAATCACATCCGCATGACTCGCCGCGTGGCTCGCCGCATCACTCCCAAAAGACCCCTTGCCCAACCCGTCCCTGCTCAACGGCCCTTTATCACTCAATCTCCGGATCTGCGGCAGCATGGCCGCGTCAGCCGTGAGCAAGCCCTGCGCCGGCCTCTCTGTCAGCGCAGACGAAGGCGCCAAAAAGTCCCTGTTGGTGACGGGCAAAGACGCCGAAGGCGGAAGGGAGAGCCCAAGACCGAACGGGGATGTAGCAGTATCATGCTTGGTGGGCGAATTGGCCGCAGTAGCCGAGCCGCTCCCCTGATTTCCATCTCGAGGCGATATGGACAGGAGCGGTGTCACGGGAGGTTCGTGGAGAGACGTTCTGTACTTGTGGACCTTGACGGGGTCGATGGTAGTTCCCTCTTGCAAAGGCAAAGACGGCCGCGGTCGGGGTAGGAGAGGTACCATGGGTGTCTTGAACGGAGCTTTGGGGGACAAGTCTGAGAAATGAGGCACATTGCCTCTCAGTGAAGGATGAGGGGTCGCCGTGCTCAGCGCCGGGCGTGTCACGTCCACAGGAGGGGATGCAGCAGTAGGCAGCACCGGTGATCCATCATCGCCGTCATCTTTCTCTCCAGGCTCGGAGACAAAGTCCAAACTGGATCCGGGACTGCTGGCGTTTGAATTTCTCAACAAGTCGCTCGCCAAGCGTACACTTGTAGGTACTCTGTTGAGCTTGATAGCGCCCGTTCCCGACCCACCGGCAGAGCTGCCGGCGTTACCAGAAGTGTTTGTCGAGGCGCTTTCGCTGTGCACGCTGCTGCCGAGACTGGAGCCCATCACTCCATCACCACCATTGTTGCCCATACTCGTCAAGTTTGTGTTGTGGTTGGCCGGCCAGGGGGAGGGGAGAGGATTGAGAGGGGAGACCATGGACGCCGACGTCGAAAGATGAGCCATATTGCCGCCAAAAGACGCCCTGCCTGATACAGATGACATCTTGCTGCTGGCCGAGGTGCTGAGGAAATCAGAGGCACGCCGTGATTTGGCGGGGCTAACACTGGTATACAAACAACAGGATCAGCGCTCCTTTCTTGAACGTATGAGGCCAAAGGACGCACCCAAGGTTGCTACTCGAGATACTGCTTCGATCTCCTCTTTCTCTCCGAGGACTAGGGGGTCCACCTGCCCAGCTGATACTATCCCCTCGTTCCCTATTTCTGCTCTTGTCCCTCAAGCTTCCCCCGGTGACAGCACTTCCCAAGCTTGAGCCTGAACCAGACACAGACGCCGAAGCAGGGATGGACCCCACCACAGAATTTCCGTCCCATCCCCATCCCCATCCCAGTCCCAAGGAGTTGGCCTCCTTTGTCTCTTGCGGCTTTGGGATAGCCACAGGCTTGCCGGAAGAAGCCGACGGAAGCGGACTGGACGCGGCGGTACTAACGCTATGATCTTGCTGAGAGCTGCCGCTGGACCCGCTCCTGCCTCTTGTAGATGAAACCGGCGACGGGTCCTGCGAAAACCTACTGCTGCTCGGGTGTGTAGGCGAGATCTTTTGGGTCGGGGACGGCTGCTTGGATGTACTCGCACTGCGCTTGTTGCGCATGAGCAGCGCACCCGGAGTCAGGGGTTGCGGGCGGGTGTTGTTGACTGGGCTGGGAGGACGGGACGTGGGACTACCTGCTCGTGATATAGATGGAGAGCGGTGGATTGAGGAAGACGGTGTTGTGGAACGGACAGCAGACCAGCGGCGAGGCGTCCCTGCTCCGCTCCCACTCCCAGAAACATCCGAAGCCTGATCACTCCGCCGCCGTTCCCTCTCCGCCTCTCCTTCTGTCAGATCCCTCTCTTCATCCGAGTGAGTCGGCGAAGATACATCAGACGACGAAGAAGTGTCGGAATGCGACGGCACAGTGACCGCCCGAGCTAGGGGAGATGGGAAAGACGGGGTGGTGGCGGCGAAAGGCGTGGGGTGTTTTCGATGTTGCGGCAGAGGCTGGCCGGCGGGTGTGGGGATAGGGGCAGCGAGTGGCGTGGAGGAAGAGGGTATCTGGAGAGTAGGCGGCCTGGCGGCGGTGGTCGGGGGCGAGGGTTTGGAGTCTTCGGCGGTGGTGGCAGGAGAGTGGTCGGGTGGAGATACGCGTTCGCGCTCTTCGTCGAGAAAGAAGATGCCACCGGACATGGTGCTGCCTCAGTCCCTCTTCTGTCAGATGCAGTCCGGATGGATCTGTGGCACACGGGATGGGTACGTGGTATGGCCAGTGGGGGCGGTGGAGCTGTGTGTGCTATCTCGAGTCACTGGGCGGGTCAGCGGGGCAGAGGGGGGAGGGCCGTGCGTACCTGTGGCTGGGTGGCATGTAGGGGGACGGGGGCGGACGGGAAAGGAGTGCGACTTGGAGAAGGATGCGCATGACGGGCCACTGGATAAGCCTCCAACTTTAGTCCGTGCCTGCCTAAATTGCCTCCACCGCCGCTTGTCCACTGCGTCGCCTCCTTGAGATCCCGGCGGCAGTATGCATGTAGAACACCCAAGTATCTGACTACCATAATACAGGGGAGGAGTTGTAGCAACGACTGGATCACCCAGCACCCCGGCCTCGTAGATACTACTGGGAGCGCCCATCACGTCATCATCAATCAACGACGTCTCTATCCCAACACGACGGCGACAACGTATCGTGACTTCTCTCGAGAGCGGTTACGTTTGCCATCACTTTTGCTCTAGATATGTGGAACACCAAATTTGAGGATCGACCGCAGTCGATTGCAATCTGGTCCAAATTACTCACACCCTACCCTGAAAGCAGAGCAACTAACATGCCATCAAACATGATAGAAAACCAGACCTTCGGTGTTCCATCGCAGCTGTTTATTTCACGCCTCAGAATGACAACTCATACACATACACTACACATACATTGAAAGCCTTTCATGCGGCAACGTCTTTGTCAGCGATCAAAGATGTCGACCTTCTCGTCCTCGAGGCCACGCACGTGGGGGACGAGATGCTGTTTAGGTGCGTTGATGCGACTCCGTATACCGTAATATGTGTACTCCCAGGTCAATCATTCTGTGCATGCTTCAAATATTCATCAGACTAGATACCACGGTTCCAAAGCTACCACAGCTACATCCCGTCTTCCACCCACAACAACCCCTAGACTTTCACCTCCTCCAGCTCATTAACCCACATCAACCTCGACCCCAACAAGTACAAATACCTAAACCAAACCATTTGGCTCTTATGCTCCCGCATCGCCTTGATCCCCGTCACCCACCCCCTCACATCATTCACCAAAACATGCGTCTCGGCAGTACACAGCCCTTGCTGTTCTTCTGAGGAGAGGTTCAACATGGCGAGGACTTGGGAGAGGACGGCTTGGGCGGCGGGGTTGGTCTGGAATATGGGGAGACAAGGGATAGATTTCAAGTGGAGGTAGATGATGTGGAGGGGGCCGGTGAATTTGGCGACTGTCTCGGGCGACTTGAGGGCGACGACTCGGGGACGGCTGGCTGGGGAGAGGTGGGAGATGGCCGCCGGGATGGATTTGTGGTTGGGGTGGGATGTGACTCCTTGACCGTCAAAAGTGATGATCTGCTTGGGATGAGTATTGAATGTATTGTGCGCGCAGGAGCAACATACAAGGTCGACGGGGTTGGCAGAGATAGAGTCAGAGATGAAGGAAGCGACGAGAGCGGGGTCCCACTCGGTCGTGATACTGTCCTGGAGATCCCTACTCATTCGTCAGCATGTGTTGCCGATTGCAATGGTTTACTTGCGGGTTGTCAATGAGCGTGACGTGGTCCTCGGCCACACCGAGGGTCTTGTATCCCGCGTAAAGCTCGTCCTTCCTAAGATGTCCGAGGCCATCACCATTGCCTGACTAGCAGTCAGTACAGCCACACAACATCAAGATGGGACCCACCATTAGACAAGCACAGCGCGCTCACATCCCAGCCCGCAAGCCCGAGGCCGTGCACCGTAGGCGCAAAAAACATAGCCTCATCATCCGGGTGCGCGGTCACCACCAACGCCTTCGGTTTCCAGCTCGCATCCACCTTCCCTTCCTCATCCCTCAGCGCAATCGGCGAGGAAGGGGCAAACGGCCTTTGGAGGTTGAGAGAGGACGGCTGGGGGAGAGGCGTGAAGAGCAAGAAGAGCCGGCAGATGGGGATGAGCACCGCGAACAGCATGGGGGTGGACATCCTCGGAGCCGAGGGCGGGACTGCGCGGGGTGTTGGGGCTGTTCGGGGGGGCATTTTAGGATTGTAGATGGGTGAATGCAGGAGCGGGATGCATTCGAGATGCGGAATATGGGCGGAGGGATGAGGTGGAGGTGGGACGGAGATGGCCGCCTGCCCGTGCTGCCCCTTCTCGACCTGTTCTCGACATCGCGCTCTCCTTTCTACTCTTCGTCCCATTCCTGCCCAACATGTCCGGTGCAGGTCCCAGAGAAGCCATCTTGTGAGCCTTACCCAGATTCATCGGAAAACGCTGACCCGCTCTAGCCCCACGCGGATGAACCTGACCCTCACAAAGGGTCGTCTTAAGGGTGCTCAAACAGGCCACTCCCTGCTTGCCAAGAAGCGTGATGCTCTCACCACCCGTTTCAGGACTATCCTCCGTAAAGTCGACGAGGCATGTACACCTCTCATACGCCGGGGAGACAAGCTGACAATGTGGAAAGGCCAAGCGCTTGATGGGCCGTGTCCTCCAGCTCGCGTCCTTCTCCCTCGCCGAAGTCACATACACTGCTGGCGATATCAGCTATCAAGTCCAAGAGTCCGTCACCACCGCGAGCTACCAGGTCGAGGCGAGGCAGGAGAATGTCAGTGGTGTCGTCCTGCCGGCCTTTGAGGGCGTTATCAAGAACTCGAAAGGTGCGTCATGTCTCCATCTGTGATCACGGAGAGAAGAGCTTGAGCTGATGAGGATGGTCAGAGGTGAATCTGACGGGTCTAAGTCGAGGAGGACAACAGATCCAGAAATGTCGCGAGACGTATATCAAAGCGGTCGGCACTCTCGTCGAGCTGGCGTCTCTCCAAGTACGTCCCCGATTCTCCCCGCCCCGATGTCCAAACTAACCACGCGACAGACCGCATTCACCATCCTCGACGAAGTCATCCGCGCCACCAACCGCCGAGTCAACGCCATCGAACACGTCGTCATCCCCCGTCTCGACAACACCATCAAATACATCAACTCGGAGCTCGATGAGATGGACCGAGAAGAGTTCTTTAGGCTGAAGAAGGTGCAGGGGAAGAAGAAGAGGGATGCGGCGACGACAGAGGAGAGGAGGGCGGGTGAGAATGAAGAGTTTGAGCAGGCGGGAGGGGAGAGGCATGCGGATGAGGGGATTGGTGGAGGGGCGGCTGGTGGGGGTGATATGCTTGATGAGGGCAAGGATGAGGATGTGATTTTCTAGGTGCGTGCTCTTCGTCTTGTCTGGATGCACGTAACTAACTTTGGTGAAGAGATTGTTTGTCCGAATAACCATTTGTATACAAATCATGAAATGATTTATGGCTTGGAAGTGCCGGCTATGATGCCCTTATGTCTCAGGTGTGTAAAGATGCGGAAATGTCACACAAACACAATCATCGCCGACATCATCAGACGTTGGAGCTGGATCCCATCTACCTGGTCACCAGTGCAAGATCTTTCTAAACGATACATGGCGACTGATCTCTACAATTTGATTCTTCTTCCGACTAGATGGTACCAAACCTCGTCCTGATACTCTCAAACATATCCTTTACAGACTCATCAAGAGTCCTATACTTGAACCCAAGAACCTCCTCAGCCTTCGATCCATCCGCAAAGTCGACATCCTTCGTAGCCTCCGCCCCGCTCCCAGCCTTGCCCACTGGGACATTCTTGACATCAGGGAACTGCTTGTGGATGGAATCAACAAAGTCCTGGCCGGAGAACCTGCCGTTGCTGGTGATGAACCTCTGGCCGCCGGCTTCGGGGACTGTGAGGGCGCGGACGTGGGCGAGGGCGACGTCCTTTGCGTCGACCCAGTTGTAGATGGGAGCGGGGAGGTCGGACTCGGATTTCTGGCCAGAAGCCCATTGGTAGAAGAGGGCTGCATTGCAAGTTGGAAGTGTGCGCAGAGAGATCAAAGGGAATTGACGTACCGACAGAAGTGTTGAGGCTCTCGACCTTGTCGACCTGTTGGAGCACCTCACCGAGAACGTAGGAAGGGTTGACTGTGACGGCATCCCAAGAAGGCTTCTCCTTCTCAATGAAGTCTGGTCTCATGGTCAGCTTGATACAGGAATGGAAGAGGACACGCACCCCAGAGAGCCTTCTCGGCAGCGGTCTTACTGGCCAAATAAGCTTGGGTACCTCCATCATCACTGCCGTTCTTCTCGACGTATGGGATAGAGTCGACGTTCCAGTCCTCTTCGGTGTAGCTGTGCACAACGTCAATCGGGATCCACAGATGGACCAACAAGCTGCTTACTGAAGCCCAGGCTTCCTCGTGATCGGACTCGACACAGCAGCCACAGACGACGTGACGACAATACGCTTGACAGATGGGCTATCAAACAGATGGGGTCAATAGTGCCCCACAATGTACAAAGGACGGGTCTCACTTGTTCTTCTGAGCGCTCTTCAATATACCAGTAGTACCTTGGACGGCGGGACCAATGAGCTCATTGGCGTCCGACACATTGGTGACGTAGAATGGCGAAGCCAGATGCGCAATGGCGTCGACGCCTTTGACCGCTTCGTCGAACGCGCCTTCCTACCACAGAGTTCAGCCCAGTCGATGTTGTAAATGTGAAAGACATACCTGAGCAATGTCCTTGACGAGAACATACGTAAACTCTCCAGGCAAGTCTTGGAAGAGGTTCTTGAGGTAGTCGCCCTTCTCTGCTGAACGGACGGTACCTCTGACGTTGATGCCCTCTTTCAAGAACTCTTTGACGGTGTGGACTGCGACGAAGCCAGAAGCGCCGCTGGCGAGGACGAGCTGGCCCTTGGAGATGGTGTGAGAGGAAGACATGGTGTGTTGTTGTGTTTGAAAGAAATTCGAAATATGTGGGTGATCATGGAGACAAGTGCTCTTCTTTATATACCCCCATGTGAAGACGCTTCTCGAGCGAGATGATGACGTTAACATGCGCTGACCGCCGGCCACCCACGATCGACAGCTATCCTCCACCTCCCAGCCTCCACTGCCTCCACCAAGGCCTCCACTTCCTTCCATTTGCGTCTCTGGCGGCAAGGCCGTGGCCAAAAAAACGGAAGCGGTGTGCATTTGATTCATGGAGGAAAGGTCGAAAAAGGGCCATAAATCAAGTTTAGATCTCTTCATGATGGGATGGGACCGTGGAATAAATGTTCAAGGAGTGTTTGGTACAAGATGAAAGCTCGTTCACCAGAAGTCGAGCAGAGTCGTGAAAGGACAGTCGTGCCGTTAGAGAAATGCCGATTTCACCACATTCTGCTGAACTAAATGCGTGCTTGCTTCGCTGAAAGCGGGTGGCCCTCGGTCGGCGGGAAGCTCCAAGGGTTCGGCTCCCGTGTCTCTCTGGGTGGAATTACATACCTGACACCTTCCTCTCCTCCGCCAGAACCGGTGCGCATATAGTGTATGGTACGCGGCGCATCTACGCGTTGTCGATGCATGATACGCTGAAGACTGGTTGAAAGACACAGCGCACTTGGCTATTGATGTGAGTCAGGTGCAGGCAGTTGCATGTCTCTCGCCCGCCCAGCTCTTTGAAGTACATAGTACAGGTATAGTCAGCCCATATAACCCTCTGCAGCCAGGGGCGTGCCATACAGAGAGTTGGTACACATCTGAACCCAAAGCTGGAGTGGTGTCCTTCCTGGTGCCTCGGCTAGCAATGCGGCCATAACCGGCGCAGTGTAAAGTCCCGACAGCGTGACTACCAGATGCAAATCCCTATCTTTTTCTCTTTCTCTTTTGCATTCCCATCTCATACACCACTGCCATCGCCCACCATGCCGTTCATCCCATACCCACTGACCACCGACGTTAAGCGACAGGGAGTGGTACGTTGCTGTGCTGGGCTAGATGTCCGAGGTTCGTGGCCTGACTGACAACGTTCATGTAGGAGATCCCTGGTACTCGCAAGGAAGGACAGTCAGGTAAGTGTCAACGCCATCACAAGCATGTTGTGAGCTGACAATCTACAATCTTGTAGGAGTGTGGAGGAGCGGTGAGTCTGGCTTAGCAACGCATCGTCGACCGGCTTGATGCAGGATGGGGCTGATCACCCACGTAGCCATCTTTGACCGGACCATCCTCAGCGCGCCTGATGAGCCTGGTACCCTCTACGAGCTGTTCGAACGATGTGAGTACTACTGCTGTACCCCGACATGCTCTTCTCCGATGTACAGACATGCGTCCCCCACTCACACAGCTACTATTCTGGGCACCCCTAATCAAACCTAAGCATCATGCTGACGATCGGAAATAGCGGCCACAACATACGGAAGTCGACCCCTCTTCCAACGTCGTGCTGAGCACCCATCATCCACTTCTCAGAACCCCATCCTCACCAAAACCTTGATCGCAACCTCTTACGCCGAGGTCAAAATCAAGCGCGATGCCGTCGGTTCTGCCCTGCTCGCTCTCGAGCGAGAGGGGTCTCTTAGGAATGCCTCTTCAGATGCCCCGGGTAGCAAAGCCACGCCTCTCGAGGTGACACACCCGGGCGTACCTCACTATGGCGATGAGAATCGGAAGAAGGGCGGCGCGAGGCGAGGGTGGGCTGTCGGTGTCTGGAGTAAGAACCGGGAGGAGTGGCAGATCACGGATCTGGCTTGTCAGGCCTATGGGCTCGTGGGAGTGAGCTTGTATGAGACTTTGGGTCCCGATGTTGCTCGGTATATGTGAGTGCGCTTTGTGGTCTGTCGAGTCGTGCCGACAGAGTATAGCACCAATCACTGTCCTCTATCGGTCATCGTCGCATCTCGAGACCATCTTACTTCTCTTCTCAAGCTTGCTCCCCAATGCCCCTCCCTACGAGTTGTCGTCTCCATGGACCCCCTCTCCTCCTCGGAGCATAACGTTCTCAAACAATGGGCCGACACTGTCGGTATCACCCTTTTGACCTTTGATGAGCTCTTGCAGAAAGGATCTGGTGCGAACGCTGTCCAACCCGGGCCCGAGCCAGGAGAAGAGGCACTCGAGCTGAACAGAATCGCAACCATCTCTTACACCAGTGGTACTACCGGCGACCCCAAGGGTGTAGTCTTGACTACCGAAAACCTTCTCCGAACTACCATCTCCAACGGTAAAGGTGTCAACCCTCGTCTGATAGGACAAGAATGGCAATTCTTGTCATTCTTGCCTCTGAGTCATATGTGAGTGGGGATATTAAAGTAAAAGGTATGTGCTAATCTGCTCAGTTACGAACGATTCGTCGAACTGGTCGTCATGTACGCTGGAGGCACTATCGGTTTCGCTTGTGGAGACGCTACCAAGTTTGGCGAAGACGCCCAGATCTACAGACCTCACTTCCTGGTCGGAGTCCCTCGCATGTGGAACAGGCTCCACGGAGCGGTGACGGAACAAATGAACGCCGGCGGCCTCAAAGGCGCCCTTCTCTCCAAGGCGGTCAATGCGAAGCTCGCCAGATGGAGAGAGACTGGGGAGGTGACTTATCCTCTCTACGATGCCCTCGTCTTCCGAAAGGTACGCTCCCACCTGGCATCGAGGTTCATCATTTGACGCACGATGCAGATTCAAGCACTCCTCGGTGGAAGAGTGCTGTTCATGGGCTCCGGGGCTGCTCCTCTGCGATCAGACGTTCACGAGCTCTTGAAAGTGTGCTTCGCCTGTGAAGTTGTGCAAGGCGTGAGTCCAAACTGATGGTATCCGGAGTATCAAGCTGATCAAGCCGTAGTTTGGTATGACTGAGAGTGTCGGTACCGGTACAAGAGGTCTCGGTTGGGACATCACAGCCCCCGGTACTTGCGGCGCCATCCAGCCCTGCAACGATCTCAAGCTGGTTGATGTCCCCGACATGGGCGTGAGTCACTTCTTGTTCTCCCGCTGAGCCTCGCTTATCTCGAGATGAACAGTATAGGGCAAACGACAAGCCCAACCCTCGAGGAGAGCTGTGTATGAAAGGGCTCAATATCACGCCTGGATACTTGCACAACCCCAAAGCCACCAAGGAGACTATCGACGAAGACGGCTGGCTTCACACCGGAGAGTAGGTCTCCCTGATTGCATTGAAGGGATGGAGAACTGACGTCTATGTAGTATCGGCGAGATCGACTCTGTCGGCAGGCTCAAGATCATCGACCGCCTCAAGAACGTGGTCAAGCTCTCCCAAGGCGAATACGTCGCGCTCGAGAAGCTTGAAGGCCTTTACGCGCTTGACCCCCTCTTTGCTTCCTTCCTCGTGCACGGCGACTCTACCCGATCGCACCTTATCGCACTTGCTGTTCTCGAGCCCGACCAGGCGGCGGGGTTGATCTCAAAGGTGAAGGGGGGCAATGTTAAGGCGGGGGACCTGGAGGGGTTGGAGAAGGCTGTCAATGATAAGGAGATCAGGAAGGCAGTTCTGAGGAACCTCGGGAAGACTGCTAGAAAGTACAAGCTCAATGGGTAAGTCCTCCCACACGCAGAGCTTAGCAGGGCTGATTATGGGTGCAGATTTGAAACGATCAAGGGGGTCTACCTGACCGTCCAGCCCTTCTCCGAAGACATCATGACACCCACCTTCAAGATCAAGCGCAACATTGCTGCCAAGCGGTACTCCAGGGAGATTGAAGAAGTCTATGAGCGTGGGGAAGGCGAGGGGAACGAAGCTCTGAAGGAAGCTAAACTGTAAGATCGAGGGACGATGGTATGGTTGTATCGAGTAGGGTTGTATCAGTAGATTTAAGGATCTGTATACACGCTGCCGAATAGGTCTCTCTTATATGCCGTCGTATGAATTTCTGCATGTATCGTTACATGCAGCTGTGTGTGGTGTGTGGTGGTAATGTACATATGCAATGAGATTCTCCTTGTCGTGCTGATGAGATGTTACTGGTCCAATACTGTGTGGCCCGGAATGGCATTCTTATGTTGCTACATGTCTTCTAGCCCTTGTCAGTCATTATCTATAGATTCAAAAAGGTACTCACTTTCGCTATGCTCTTTGATACCTCTCTTCTATCCAATGAATCTGAAATTTGAACTATGGACGGCATACTGCGCCCTCATCAGCATCATTCAGTGTCAAACTGAGAGAGAGCTCACTCTCGGCTGATTCCCTTCCCCTCCACCGACAACCTTCAACATGAACAACTCGTGAAACTTTCTCGGCATATCCTTCTCTGCGGGTTTGTCGCCCGAGGGCTGAAGGACGGAAGGGCCGTGGAGGACAGAGCCGGTGACATTGATAACGAGTGATGGGGGAGAGCCTTCTTCCGCTATTTATTTTTCGTCAGTATTCTGGCTGTAGATAGAGAAGAGGGAGGACGGACAAGAGACGGGGTGACAGTCCAGGGTTTGTAGATCATGTCGACTCAGAGGCATGGACCGAAGGAATTCGGCAAGAGCGGTAGGTTCTGAAGATATGGGATTTCCGTTCCAAATGATCTTTGATTCTGGGAGATACAGAATCGGGATTTCCTGCTCTTCGTCAGCTCACGTCCCGAGACTAGACAGCTGGGCAAGATGAAAAGCTCGACAAAGGACGATAAACTCCTTTCTCCCAATCCTCCTCTTCCTATGCCCAAATGAAGGATGCAAACACACCTCAGGTCTCCGAGTAGGCTCATCATAAGCTTCGTAGTAGATTTGACAGAATGCGATAGCTCCGTGAGCAGCGGCATCGATAGCCAGGGGACCCCATGATTGCACACTGCACATCTAGAAGGTTAGCTCTGTCTCTCTCGCTAGTGGTAAGGGACGAACGCAGGGGGGATAGAGCTAGGTACGGGAGTACCGTCAGTTGGGGGTAGAGTGGAGGGGGATATCGAAGCCATTTTGCAAAAGTCGGAATAGGGAACAATTGAAAGCGAAGCGGCGAAAAGGGTATCGACAAGAACCAAAGAAAGGTCAAACTTATTCGCGCTCTCCTCCTAGGATTACCTCTTTCAAGTTTTTCACCGGCGGCCAATTCTCGAGGTCTTCTCCAAGCATTCCGTGCATTCCACAAACCCTACAGACCACAAAATGGGCAGATTAAGGCGATCCAGGTATGTCTATATGATGGAGAGTGCGGAGGAATAGAGCTGATAGTGTATACAGAACCCACCACGCCCGACGAGATGTCCACCGTGCCGCGCGAACCCGAGTGAGGACCAAGGATCTCGACCAGATTGAGATGGACCTCCGCCCTACCAACAGGAGCAAGCTTGAGAAGCAGCCTATTGACGAGGACAAGCCTGGATTGGGTCAACATGTGAGTATGGAGCTGAGGGAAGCTGGAAAGAGTGGCGCTAAAGCGAATGCAGTACTGCGTCGAGTGCGCCAAGTACTACGAGTCTGATCTGGCTCTCAAGAACCACACCAAGAGCAAAGTTCACAGGTTTGTCATTCCCCGTTCTTGTAGATCCCTGCTGACAGAGTCCAGGCGCCGACTGAAGGAACTCAAGGAGCCTGCGTACACTATCGGTGAATCCGAACGAGCCGCTGGTCTCGGGACCGACGACAAACAAAAAGGAGTGGACGATGTGATCAGAAAGTTTGAGGGATTCAGCGGTGCTGCCGAGAGCTCTACAGCCCAGCAATGAGCCAGAGAGTGTGGGCGAGGATTGGACTTCTGACTGTTGTAAATTAGCTGTGATCTCTTCATGCTACGACCTAGATGGTACCGGGACATCTGTCGATCTTGCGATGTCGATCTTCCAGCTGTGACTCATACATTGTAAATTCAATAACATTGGACACAGCTCACGATTAAGCTCCACAGGATCAATAACAGAGTTGCCACATCCGGCGGCTGTGCTGAGCGTCGCGACACAAACACCGCCACGATCAAAAGCCTCGTGTCTGTTTACGTGTGTCGCGATGGGCGTCGTACAGGGTCGAATAGCCCGAAGTGTGTCTGCTCATCTGCATTCTCAGCGTGATCCAATGCCTCGCCGCCAACACGAGGTGTACACGCACTGGGTCTACTCATCACGAGGCAGGGCTGCTCAGCCTGTGCCACTGCTGATCTCGCCGCCATGCCCACCGACCATCTCGGCCTCGCCACTGCCCAGCAGGAGCTAGAAGGAGGACCGCATCGATTATCTACGCCCGCAGCAGCGCCCTCCATCTCCATCGTGCTTCCAGGACAATCTTTCAACGATCTACAGCACGAAGGCTGTAACCTTTTCCGTCGAACCGGCAACCCACTAGTCATCCCACTCCTTTCCCGTTCCGTTCTGCCGTCTCCCCAGCACCCCGCCCACGTCACACCCCGTCTCCGCTACAAAACTACTAAGCGTAAGCGTAACCCGAAGAGGAATAGACCCAGTCCCTGAAGCCTCCCTTTCTATAGCAATCTATAACGCGTGTTAAATAGAGCAGGTGAGTGCGTTCGTGTTCCGGCCGGCTATAGGCCCTCGTCAGTGGCTCTGCAAGGACACCTTGCTTTTTATCCTGCTGCCTGCAGGCGTGTCGGGGACATCCATATATATAGCGACGTGTCAACGATCCTTTTCTCATCTATCAACCCACCGCCTAGAAGCTGACCGTGCTTATCTGTTCTCCACGGCTAGACCGCTCTCTTTTCTCAGTCACTTCAGTCTTCTTTCCCGTTTCCCGTGTTGTTTGTTGGCCCACCGACTGCTTTCCTTTTCTCAAGACATCTTTCTCGACTCCTTTGCCACTTTCGCCGTGCACTTTGGTTTTACCGTGCCCCTGTTGTTCCACAGTGAGATCTCACATCGAATAACAAAAGCCAACGCCCTCGTTGGTAAGCCCCCATTCACATCCCTTTACCACGCGTTGTATGCTCGAGGACATGCCTAACACCGCCCGCAGACATCCTCTCCCATTTCACGATGTCTTCCACGACCATACCCCTCTCCACCCGCCCCACATCGACCACCAAACCCATCGCAATCCCTTCGTCCAAATCTCACTCCCAGGCGCAGACCAAGCTTCGTTCCGTGCCCTCACTCGACTCGGGCTATTTTGAAAACAACTCGCCACCTCCATCGCCGCCGCCTACGGCAGAGGAGAGGCTCAGTGTGCCAATGTTGGCAGACGAGGCGATAAGGCTGCTGAGAAAGCAGGATGCCAAGGTGGGTTTCTTCCCTCTGTCGTGTTGGGGTACGGCCCGTCTGTCGCGTCCTCACCATGAGAGTGCGTATCGGACGCCCTCCCGGGAGTGCGGCAAGTCGCATGCCGAGTATCCTCGCATCTCATGGCTTGAATGTGGCTTTTAGGGTTGTGAGATGGAGAAAACGAGATGTAGAGATCATCAATTTGCTGACATGTGTTCATCGCTTTATCACTTTCCACCTGTCCACATCGACCTTCATCACGCGCCTGTCCACCTGCTCGTGATCGCCCCATTACCTCATCTTTCCCAATCGTCGGTATTTCCGAACCCCCTTGCTTCCACGCCTCATACGCCATACACGCGTTGACTCGCCCTTGTCCAACCCTATTCGCCTCACCTCGCGCATCCCTCACCTTATCCGCCTCGCCCTGCCTTCCCTATTCAACGACAACCTCACCTCATCCTCGCCTCCTGCCCCCAACATCAATCGGCCAACAGATGATGTCCCTAGGCGACTTCATCGCCGAGCTACGCGAGGACTATGACCTCCGCACAGTCGTCGTAGACGAAGTGTTGGAGTTTATGACAGCGAACGGGTGGGTTCAGCTGTGGAAGAGAAAGGGGAAGGAAGAGACCTGGATCAGCATCGCCTGATACCTCCTCTTTGAGTTTTGAGCTGAGAAGGTTGTAGAGAGTAGCGCGGTGGGAATGGGAGGCGTATATCTCTTTGTGGATAGCCCTCTGGCCTTGGGATATATCCATGGTCATGGTCTTTGGTACGAAAGTCAGAGGTAGTGTGCAGGGGGCAGGTGATTCAGAAGCTTTCTAGAAACAAATCCATAAATTCAATCCTTTTCGTCCTTGTCCGTCATACTGTCCCTTCCTGCGTTGATTTTCCAGTTCGTCTCCTCCTACCCCTGCAGCGATTGGTATTTTGCCTTTGTAGCTAGGCTTTCCCTTCTGTCATTCTAGCCGCGTACCGTATTCACGTTGAGGTCCGTTTTCCCTTCTTCCCCACATTTGGTCGCTTTGTTTCCCGATGATGAAGATGATCCATCAGATTGTCTCACATATATGCAGTACTGGCGTGTCTCACCTGATCCTTATACCCGATCTGTATGTAGATAAGTAACGTTCTCAAGATCTGTACTCTGAGATTGCAGTATGAAAGAGATGATACACGCGTCAGTGCCATGCGTATATGCTTCAGCATCCAGGTCTTTTCGGGAACAATATTTCGCTTGATGCATCAGGGTTGATGCATCACTGTTCATCCACTTCTATAGAGTGCCAGTATGCCATGCATATACCACGACTACAGATAGCAGGCTGTCATAGCACATACTAGAGGGCAGACAAGGTTGAGTGACCTGCACTGGCCGCCTGTCAGTCAACAGGAATGCGTGTCCGGCTGTATACCAAGAGGCATCCTTAGAGACAGAAATATGAGGATCAAAGGTCTCTGCTCTGGAGAGCCCAGACACGGTTTGACAACAAAGGCACACTGATAGATACTCACTCAGGGTCCGGGGACGGGTCTGAAAGGGAGCGTCTAAGCGTCTGTTCAGCTCTCGTCTTTCGTCTTCTTATATGAACACTCACTGTTATTTCTGTACCACCCCTCACATCATAGTGCAAGTACAGCACCCTGAAGATAATGCCCTCAAACTTCACCATCCGTCCTGCCCTTCCATCAGACGCCCCCGGTGTATCTGCCCTCGCTATTTCCTCTTGGCACGACGTCTACGCCAACTCCGTATCTGAACTAGCCACAGAGGCTGCGACCACCACTACATTCTCCGAAGACTCGATGAGAAAAGATCTCGAAAGCCCGAATCATATCACATTGATAGCGGAGGGCGGTCCGAGTGGTAAGGACGTCGTGGGACTTTCCGTCTTGAAGAGCGGAGTCAGTACCCCAGGTGTATCAATGCCATCAGCTATCAAGCTGGGCAGGTTCTACGTCCACTCGTCTCTTCACGGATCTGGCCTTGCGCAGAGGCTTTTGGAAGAGACAGAGCAGACAGTGAAGGATACGGGCGAGCATGAGGGATCGTGGTTGCATGTGTGGTCGGAGAACGGGAGGGCGGTGCGGTTCTGGGAGAAGGAGGGGTTCAAGAGGGTGGGGGAAGAGAGTTGGGTTGTGGGCGACAGTCAGTTGGAGTTGATCACGATGGAGAAGGCGTTATGATTTGGGTTCTTCTTCAGGGAGCATGCCAAATGATAGGTTAGGATAGTCATATGTGAATAATCTTTGCAGAGTATCCATGCCGAGAGCGAATGTTAACGGCAACTCTGTCTATGGAACGACCGCACGGCTGAGGGCGATACAATGTAGCGAGTCAAGACAGTAGGATGATGCTTCGACCATAAGATTGGGTTCTAGATGTCTGATGGTGCCGCATGTGTTCCTCGAGATATCCTCGAGATGGCTATCAAGCTAAGCTATCAGAGCATATAAGCGCAATGCATGCCGCCATGGTTGATTGGATGGACAGCGCTAACGGAACGCTGACCTCGAAGCTCTGAAACATCCCACTATGACGGTTGAACTCTTCAACGGCCCCACTTCTTATCGTACTCGTACATTGCGCCCTGTTCCCACCAAAATTGCGCATAGCTGGATCTCCGGCAGAACTTTGGGCACTTTGAGTTTGTCACCAGACCCAAAGAAACCTAATGCGGCCAACAACAAGTAGTCAACAACGAGGGCGATCGTCAAGTTACGTAAGTACACTTTTACTGGATTCGGTGTCAACAAACAATAACAGAGACCGATCTCTCTTTGCATTCTCTATAATCCCCAAATTGCTCTCATTCAGGCCGGCAAAATCCCAGGCGACCATTGTGGACAGTGATCAAGACTCGGCGCGGTATACACGAATACAGTATCACCCTCGCGGCCTTTGACCACAACAACAAACTCCCACGTTCCCTACCTCGCCTCTCATCGCCCATCATTCCTCTCCCCGGCAGGCTCGAAACCCACCAGGATGGCCAACACGCGGCCATATACCCGCGATGAGCTCAAGTCGCTACGCCGGGCAGATCTACAGACGCTTTTCAAAGTGGGTAGATGCCTCTTTCAGCGTGTTTCGCCAAAGGTGTTGGTGTGTCATTCGATACACCAACCCACGCCATACACTTTACCTTTCTTCTCGAGAATCACACGATGCTGATGGTCTGGCCTTATAATAGGTACACAAATTGAAAGGCGCAACTGGCACCACTGCGGTTCTGATTGATCATCTTGTTGACTTTTTCGCTTCGCCAGCTTATCAAGACGCCTACCCGCCACCGACGGATTCGCAAGCATCTCAAGGCACCGTGCAAGTAAACGCAGGGAAGGGGGAAAGAATGTACAAGACTTTGCCTCAGAGGACTGCTGTCGCCAAGGGAGCTGCTGGGGGAGTGCGACGGAAGGCTGAAGGGGCTACTGTGCGGGCTGGGACCAAGGGTGCCGCGCCTACGACGGCGCCGGTTTCTGCTCGAAAGCAAGCACCAAGAGCGGCATCGAGGATGGCTGGGACAGTGAGGAAGAGAGGGCAGCCTCAGAAGGAAGTGCAAGAAGAGGTGGTGCAGGAGGATGCATCGGCGGGACAGGAAGGTAGGTGACCGGATCAAGTCTACGCATGCTCCGGCTGACTTCTTCGAAGAAGCTTCAATACCCGCAAACCAGCCCCCAATCTTCACTCCCCAACCATCAGCTACACCGCGACCGATACCTTCCTCCCCATCTTCAATACAAGAACCAGCTGCTCCAGCTCTGACGGTGGCAGATGTACAAACATTATTGAGAGAGAATGACGAAAAGTGGAAAGATCAGCTGCAGGCTGTTGAGGCCCGTCTGGGACAAGAAGTAGAACGGTTACGGAGTGAGGTGCAGGATGTGAGACGTGAATGTGAAGAGCTAGAACGGGCAGAGCGGGTATGTCTTCTTTGAGTGTGAACAGGCAGTGGCTGATGACGTTTCAGGCTCGCGCTCCCAGACCATCCAGTACCACACCAGGCCATCCGAGGATCCTTGGAGGGCAGAACGCCCCATACACCTCTCATCAACGGTCAGCGTCAGTGCCCTGGTCTGGGTCATATTCATCTCTTGGCAAGCGGCGGCATCCTCACGAACACCGTGTCGAGAGTGAAGATGCCGAGGCCAAACGCGTACGATTCAACGCCAATCGTGCCGGTGAGCCAGCATCGGATGCCACCACATCTGATGCTCAGAGCCAGCCTCGCACGCCCTCTCCTCGTCAAGCGCCTTCATCCTTTCCTCCAAACTTTTTCGCGCAGCCTGCTCTGCCTCCTACGACAAGTTCCCATGCCAGTGTCTTGCCCAGGACACCTTCGCCCTCCCGTCAAGGCATCGTTCCAGACAACTCTCAAACGCCCAGGCCGCCATCGGAATGGCGTGCACAGTACGAGTATGCGCCCGAGACTGGGCCCCTTCGTACTCCGTACAACATTGAACGTACACCAGAATTCGCCACAACGCCAGAACCTCCCCTGCGCGGCGACATCAGTCCATCTCTCGACGGTGGTGCACTAAGTGGCAGGCTGACGCCGGGTCACATTAGACAAAACCTGCCTTCGACGCCGGATCAGCCGGATGAAGAGGACTTCGCGCCGAGTGGGATCGCATTGTCGACAGTGACGGATCTGGAGAGGATTGACGAGAGTGAAGAGCTCCCTTCTAGCCGACAGACTTCTCCTGCAAGCCATCTGAGAGCACAGGCCAACGCGGTTCTTGGCCTCGGTGTGGGAGCCACCCTGAGCTCTGCCTCTCCCAGGCCTCAACCTAGATCCATATCTGTCCCGAATCAGCCTACCACACCTTCCCTGCTGGGCCAGCACTCGCTCCTCGCCCCTCCTGCATTCATCGCCAGGACAAGAGCAGGCTCCGAACGTCCCTCCTTTTCTGCCCGCGCCCAAACGCACTCGCCTCCACCCCGTCCCCGTTCTGCTTCAGCAGTGCACCGTCCTTCAGGAGGAGGCCCAGGGCGCAGGACGCCGTCCAATTCGAGACATGCGTCGCCGGCACTGTTGGCGACTGTGATACCGACGGAGAGGGATGAGTCGAGGGTGAGGTCGGCGTCGGCGGATTACATGCGGATTGCAAAGTATGGTTTTGAGACGAGCTTGGATACTATCGACGATCCAGACTTGTCTCCCACTGACCTTCCCATACATCGCCCCACGCCCACCTTCTCCACATCCACCCTACCTCCACCGTCATCTATAGCCACCGATACCCCGGGCCCTGGTGGTAGTGGTAGCGGTCCCGCCGGCGCCGGCGCTGCTGAGAGAAGGAGGTGGATTAAGAAGGACGAGGTGGCGACGCCAGGGCAGAGGACGTTGTTGGGGACGGAGAGGTATAATGATACGCGGTTTGGGGATATGCCGGTTGGATTTTGGGCGCAGCCTGGGGTTGATCTGGGTACGCCTGGGACGCCGTTCTGATTGAGTGAATGTATGGGAGGGAGGATCTTGGGCGGTAGGAGTTTGGGTGATGGATGATATAGAAGAAATGGGGACTGTTGACAAAACAAGGGGGTTTAATTATGTGTAACACTTAGATCAATCTTGGGTCTTTTTTAGAGATTAGCTGTATGAGCTGTATGAATATCTACCTGTCAGGAAGTAATATGTTGGCGATGTTGGAGTCGGAGCAGAGCAGGCCGTCCAAAATATACAGATGAGCTGTTGAGGACTTCTTACATATCTTGACATCCGACTATAAGAAATATAAACAACATCTAAACGCATCTCGGTAACAGTACATTAGCGTCTTATGATGAAGCTGAAGAGATGTCAGTCCTCAGCTTCAATCTAGTGAGAAAGACATACGCTTGTTGACGTTCATCTGGGCCTCGCCCTTGTCGTGCTGGAGGTTACCCGAAGTTTGCTGGGTCTTGTCACCAGTCACGGCACCGACGATAGAGTCCTTCTTTCCCTCAAGTCGGTCTCCAACACTATCCAACATCAGCATCATGCCCAGCGATAGCAGCAGATGTACTCACCCCTCGACATAGTTCTTGGCCTGAGCAGCAGTGATCTCGGCCTCTCCCTGGTCGTGCTGCTTCTGACCCTCGGTGGTGAAGGAAGAGGGCTCGGTGGAGCCACCAACAGCAGCGTAGCCGCTCTCGATAACGTTGCCGACAAGGACCTTGCCGGTACCGACAATGGAGTTGATCTGACCGTTGGTCTTGGAGGGTTCAGCAGAGTCGGACATTGTTGTGATAGTTGTTACGGTGTGTGTGTAGGTGGTGAAAGATGAGTGGCAAGTGGATGGGATGAACAAAGACAACAATCAGAGCGCTTTATATGTCCTCGTCCGTCCGTGTCTTTCTGGATCTCTCGTCATCCGCAGATCCATGACGTCAGCCGTGCTTGCCACATCATTTTGACTCCGGAACCCCGCACCGCCACGTGGGGAGCCACCGGGCCTCGCTGCCGGATGGCCGGATAGCCGGGCCGCGCTGTTCCACCGAGTGTGGTTCTGGCACGCGGGTGTTCTTGTCGAGTGCACGGGAGCTGATGGGGACTCATTGTTACGTATTGCCCTCTTTCTTCTGTCTTTTCGCCCAACATGGAGTCATATTCCCAAGACTACGCCAAATACCGCTCATACGACCACCTCACACCCCTCGGCCAGCGCCAGAACTCCTACAAAACCAGCGGGGGCAGCGCCAGCTTTGAACCCCCGGGATCCGTCAGCTTGGGGAGTATCGAGCTGCCATTTCCCGCCAACACGAGCCGCAGAGCAGAAAACATGTACGGCCGGGGAGAGGCTTATGGGTGGTCGCTGGGAGAGAAAGGGGTGCCATCAAAGAGCGACCGGCCGTGGGAGCGCAACTCGCCGAGGAATGGAAAAGACAAGTCGGAGCCAGCGGAGGAGGATGACATTGATCACGAGACCAAGCCGGAGGTGGTCCTTCCCTCATCGGGGCCTACTGCTAAGAGAGGTAGTAAAGCGTGTGTTGCTTGTGAGTCACCCTTACGGTCAACCCCTTCGAGAGCCAAGTCTAAGCTCTGAGGGCGAGGGGGGTCGCCCAGACAGCTGCTAGGCCGATTTCCCATCGCTCAGTACTGATGATATACAGGCCGAAAAGGAAAGAATCGCTGTGAATGGGATCCGTCTGCCAAAAACACAACCTGTCGGCGATGTATGCTGAACGGCACAAAGTGTGTTTTCGAAAAGGCTTCAGAAAAGTCCCGAGGAAAGAGTGCGACCGTGGTAGAGGTTCAGGGAGAAGCTGATGAGTGAGCCTTCTTCTCATCTCGGAATACTCAAGTGGGAGGATCCGACACTATGATTCTTGGAGTCGATCCTCACTTGCAATGCTGACATGTCGAACGCAGTCGTGTCAGGTCTCTGGAGAATGCCGTGCGAGCTCTTACCGATAGCCACACTCAGATGCAAACAGCTGTATGTCCACTCTTAAAGGATCAATGCAGACACTGACATCTTGTAGCTTCACCACGTATTCAAACTCATCCCGCAACTTTCATCCAACGGTCCTTCTCCGGGTATGGCGCCTTCCACAATATTCACCTCTTCCATCTCTCCGCCTCAAATCTGGCCCCCAGCTGGTCCCGGACTTGTCTCCAACGAACGCAATAACGTCCCGGAAAGACCAAAGTCGCCTCAAAACATAGCTTCCGGGAAAAAGGGCTCAGTCAGCGTCAAGAAGGACAAGGAGGACTTCCCTCCTCTACCAGGCTATGTCGCACCTTCTGTAAGTGGCATCCCTCTCGTTAGGCTCTGCAGCTTATGTCTATACAGAGCCACCGTTTTGGCACTTATGGTATTATCCCAATCCCTTCCGCTGCTCCATCAGCACACCACTCCCCTTCCTCTTCCCGCTCATCTTCATCTTCTCGCTCACCCAACGAGTACCCTAGCGCCCTCCCACACGAAAGCCTCACAGCGCCTATCCAGGCTCTCGAAGCGCTTGCCAACGCAGCTGATCAAGCGGCCGCTTTGGAAGGGGGCAAGGAGAAGCGCGGTGAAGGGTCCAGTGACGAGGATCATACTTTGCGAGCGAAAGGGAAGGGAAAGCTCAGGGACGATGTGGGAGAAGAGAGGGGGAGGAGCAAGAAGAGGAAGCGCGTGGCGATAGATGTGACGGGGAAGAATGTTCATTTGCGGTTGATGAAGAAGACGAGGCCGGACCCGACTCCGAGAAATCCGTTCCCGGACGTCATCACAAAGGGCTTGGTCTCGGAGACGGAAGCTCGAGAGCTTTGGGACATGTTGGTCAATCTCACCCTGGATACTACTAGTGCTGACCGGACTAGATTCTTCTCGGGCTGCCATTATTTTCTTCCAATCTTTGACAAGTCCTACGATACGTTCGAAACCTTTGTCGACCGTACGCCATTCTCCACGAACGGCCTCCTCGCTGTCGCCGCCAAGATCCGCGCTGGCAACGGCCCACCGGGGCAAACATTCGAAAGCTGCCTCGCTGAAGGGCAAGGGATAGCTAGGAGTACTCTGTTCGGGCCGGTGGTGAGGAAGGAGGCGGTTTTGGCGCTGGTCATTCTGAGTGTATGGAGTCAGAATGGGTGGCTGCCTTGTGGGTGAGTGGAACGTTTTGGGCTTGCAATCGTTGCTGATGTGGGCTAGACACGCGCTGAGAGCGGGGCTGGATATGAATCTTCACCGTGCCCTTGATCGTTTGGCTATCAAAGATGAAGAGCGGTCTGAATTTGAAGAACGCGATCTTGGTGAGTCGTCTTCCTCATTGACTATTTTGTTGGCTAATGGATGTAGTGGTGTCTGCGAGGATATGGCTGAATTGCTATATGCACGACCATCTGTAAGTAGCGAAAATCTCTTCAAGCTTCCGCTGACAAGCCCGACAGCGTCAGCTTGGGGAATGGAAAACCGCTGATGTTGAGAGACGACTCTTCGGTGCAACGGGCTAGAGAGCTTATGTGAGCATGGGCCGACGTCCCGGAATGAGCACTGACTTGGTGTAGATCCCACCCAATGGCTTCGGAAACGGACATGAAGCTGGTCGCCAGCGTCGAGCTCGTCAATCTGAGAAGTATGTCACTGTCCGGTTGACCGCATCAATACTCACGCCTTGTAGTCAAAATCCTCGAACATCTCACCCCCCTCCACGGCAAAGTCGACACCTCCACCATAACATTCGTCAAATCTTCCTTCACCTCCCTGCGCTCTTGGTACGACGAATGGTACAGCTTCCACAAGCAGCGCGGCTACGATGACGAGTGCGTCCTCATCAAACTTATGGAAACGGAGCGCGTCTATGCAGAGATGTGGACGGTATGTGTTGCGCTGAGGGGATGTGCGTGGGATAAGCTTTCGAAGGAACAGCAGGATCTGGCGTTCTATGCGAGGGATTCGGCTTGGAGATGTTTGGAGATCTTTTTGCGGGTGGACAACTTTAGAAAGCATCTAAAGTATGCGACGCACGAGCAGTTGGTTTCGGTAGCGTTCGCGGCCGTCTTTCTGCTCAAAGTGTAAGCTTGATCACCTCCTAGTCGTACTCTACTTACATGCTCTCAGCGCCATCCTATACCCCACATCGCTCTCCCGACCCCTTCTCATCTCCCAAGTCACTGAACTCGCCCACCTCCTCTCGAATGAATGCTACGCCGAGCGATACGCCCTCACCCTCCGCCTCATGCTCGCCAACTTCCGCCGTTCGACTGGTGCTCTATCGACTGTCCCAGGTTCTCCTCGCTTGGCCGGGAGTGCGTCCGCAGCGCATGTTCAAGGCTTTGGCGGTCTGGCAATGAACACACTGGGTGAATTGGACGGAGGTCTGAATAGTCTCTTGGAGTTACCAGCTGGTACAATGGGTCAAAATGGCAATGGATTGGACGGCGTATCCGGCATGGGTCAGGATGTAAATGGGGCGGCGGTGGGCATGGGTTTGGAGGGTGATGCGGGTATCTGGAATATGGATAGCTTGGACGGGTTCGACTGGCCGATTGAGCTTAGCCCGAGTTCTATACCAGTGTGGCTGCAGGATGGCGTGAGTTGGTACAATCTTGAGCTCGTATCATTCTGCTGACGTTTTGTGGCAGAATACAACCGACTTGGGTCTACCTGCAGATGGCTCCGACTCTCTGTTTCTTCCTCCCGAGTACGTTCTTCCTTTACCAGGAGTGCGCCCGTGGCTGATAAGTGTACTTTGCAGACTCGCCAACATGTTCTTACCGACAAATAATCAACAAAATCACATGTACCAGTTCTCTATGCCAGATTCGGGGGATGTGGGCGCTGAGGCCTGGTGAAGAGTGTGGAGTAGGACAGGGGAGGAAGTCTTGTACCCCATGTTATATTTATTGTACTCGCAGAGTGACATGACCAATATCTCAGCGCGTACTCGTACGAACCCCCATCAAGAACGATTATCGTCTGATTTCTCCGTCCCTCGGAGCATGATTGTTTCACTGTCTTTGCGTCTTTTACATTCTCGTCTCTGCGTTGTACAGTGTGTGTCTATAGCCAAGGTTGAGTGATGATTGGCCTTAAATGGGGGATCGGCGCAAAAGTCTGGGGAAGTCTCTGCAGCGATCCATTAGAAACAGGTCGCATTCATTAGAAAACTGGTCAGACATCATTAGACTCTCTGATCAGCAACCATTAGAGTTTGACAACAGTCGACTAGACCCGGAGCGCGCATCGCTCTGAGAAAACTGGTCGCTGAGTTTGTCGCCGGGTGTCCCGAGCGCTGTGCGTTTACAACAATGGCCGCGCCTGTCTGCTGCTTCGAATACTCCATGGATGATCGGTCGTACTGTCAAATACAGGGCTGTAACATGCCATCATGATACTGAAAGCTGGTGTGATGAGCATTCAACATTCAAGGACTGTTGGAGAGGGGAACTGTATTGATACAGAACGATAGAACGTGGCTCCTCGGTCACTCCTCGGTCGTTCAACTTCTATTCGCCGCCGCCAACAGAACGTTCTGTGCGTATGATTGCGGACTATTCCCTAGGTGTCTCTTGCTGTATTTACATTCGCATTGATTCTAGGATGAATCGCTGCTGGCACACCTCAATATTCCAAAGACTATTCAACACGTGGCTGGGTGATGAGAGTATCGTGCTGAAGGAGGAAGTATTATCACTAAATTGTACCTCCTCTTATTGCCACCCCTCGCGTTTTGCCACTGAACCTCTCCATATTATAGTCTCAACATGAGGCTGGTCGGAAGTCTTGACTGATTGTAGAAAAGAGAAATCCACTGAATCCACTGCATACATAGTGTCGTATCTTGATTTTCTGCCAGCTGCTGCTGCTAGTTGCTGTGCCGTACTCGCTGTCGTTCTCGAAACTTTACTCTCGGCAGGGTAATCACCAATCTGTTACAGCATTCCCATACCGTACCGTTATGCTGTACGAAGTACTCTTCCATGTTCCATGTGCCCCACGTTGCCCCGCGCGCCGCAAGCCGCGAAGCGTCGATCTCCCGTGAATTCGGCGCAAGGGTGGAGCGATGAGCGACGCAAGTGGAGACGTTATCAGATTATGATGCAGTCAAGCTTCGCGAAAACTGTGGATTGGAGCCAAATACTGTATGGTGCAAAGTTCGGTAGAGTCGCCTCACCCACAGCAGAGTCTAGGGATGGCGATCGCACAGGCAACACTCGTTTGGAGCACGGTGGAGCACTGCGCAGTCTGAACTCATGTCCCTGTCGTGCACAAGCACACTGCAGAGGGATTTTGTGGGCTGACGAATGGGCAGTTTTTCCTATCGGACTTTTGCATATCAGATACGGACAGGACAGCGTCGGCCGAAGACGGAACCAAAGCTTCCATACTTTTCGGGCGTTCTAACCGAAAGGGCGAGAAACTTTTTTCTCTTGTGAAAATTCACCTGGAAGGGTCCCGAGATCGTCGGTATTCGAGGGGTGCGGGAAACCCGTGCATCTTAAAAGCTGCAGCGCAATGCATGGATGTGATGTTGAGTGATGTTCTGATGGCTGATGGGCTGATGGTGTGCGCCGTCCGCTGCAGAATTATCAGATTGTGCAGATAGTGGCATATGCTTGTAGGGGTACCTGACGGTACCTGGGTGAATCTGGGGCATGGGCGGCCAATGTTGTGATGAGGTTTCAGCTTGTCTCTGCGCCCTCTGCTGGAAACAACTGTGAACTGTGCTCCCTTACTTCTGCTGGGGATACAGGGGTTGAAGGGGCAGTACCTAGAGGAGAAACTAATCCGAACCAGACTGGTCCGAAAGACAGCCAAGAAGAATGTGCTGCGATCGACTGGCCTGGCGAGTGGGTGGAAACAGGGGCGACAGGCGACGGGTGACCTGTAACCAGTAGCATCATGGTGTGAGGGGTCATACATATGAGGGATGAGGCGAGGAGGGATGAGAAGCCAATGGGATTTGGTCGTGGTCGAGGTTCAAGGTTATTTTGTCTTCATGCTTCTTTTCTCCTTCCCTTCTTCCACTCCATCAAACACCGGCATGCATAGTGTTTACCCGCAATCCACAACGGCAACAACACATCCATCGCGTCCATACCCTTGCCACTTGCACTTGGCACTTGACCCTTGACTTCTTTAGCTTCTTTGGTCAGTCATCAGGGTAGTGGAGTATGTACCAGATCCCAAAAAAGAAGAAGCTTACATGTATACGTATGATTAGTTTGGCAGAATGATGCAAGAGTGCAGCTCGGTACGTTGGGTTAATCGAGCTCTGTGGCGCTTCCTAGCCTTGAGAGCTTTGCTCGAGCTACGGTGAAGGGTTACGGGGAAGTTTGGACTATCACACCTTTCCATGTACCTCAGCAGGTGCCATGAGGAAAGCCCGTGGCCGTGGAAAACATGGAGGCATGGCAGCAAGCAAAGTTGATGGTGTCAGCCTCCAGTCGTGGCTCGCGATTCTGTACCCAGGCCGGATAAACGCTTTATTTCCAGCAATTCGCCGAGATCACCGTTCAGTCGATGATGATACCCTTGACACTTTGACAGAGCCGGGGAGTCGGGGTATGCAGGAGAAAAACAGCAAGGGATGTTGGTTGACGATGAGGCAAGCGACAAGGACAAGGTTCAGGCACTGGCGGTACAGAGCCGGGATCTGATTTTGGCAGGAACTGCGGAACAGAGTTTTCCAGGGTGCGCAGACAGGGGATGCAGGGAGCGGTATCTGATAAGGTAACGTAATTCCTGGCATGCCCCTTCCGGGCTCACAGTTCTCGTGCACGAAAAAATTCCAGCTCCAACAACATCACGATCACAAATCATCTATAAAACCCGCCCGCCATTTCCACAGATCGTCTTTCCCCATCCTTTACAATATCCACAATGGCCAGCGCCTCTCAGAGCAACCTTGCCATCGACGCAGACGACCACAAGAAGCTGCCTGAGGACGTCGAGGCCGGTCCCAGCGACGAGCTCTACTACGGTGAGGAGCAGGGCGATGAGGAGGTCCTTACCGGTGTCTCCAAGGTCGAGGCCGCCGCCGCTGTCTGGTAGGTCTTTTCTCTAACCTGTTCTGCCTTCACCGCTCATGCACGTTATAGGGGCCCCAAGAGCCAGTGGTTCCTCTTTATCGGTATCGCCCTCTCTGCCTACATCTACTCTCTGGACAGTAACACCACCTGGCAATACCTCTCCTACGCTACTTCCTATGTCCTCGAACACTCTGTCTCCGGTACCATCTCTACTGCCAACGCCATCATCATTGCTGTCGGCAAGCCTTTGATGGCCAAGCTCGCTGATGTGTGAGTTTGTTTTGCTCAAGAGTTCATCCGAGATCGCGGCTGACGAGTGTGCTAGTGTCGGTCGAGGGGAGACTTTCATCATCGTTGCCGGTCTCTACTGCATTGGCTACGTACGTTCACTCTATCATCCGCAGTCATATTGTGCTCATATCTTTTCCAGATTGTGATCGCTACCGCCAACCACGTTGGTCAGATCGCCGGTGGTCAAGTCATCTACTCCTTCGGTTACACCGGTCTCCAGATGCTCCAGCAGATTGTCATCGCCGACATGACCAACTTGAGATGGCGTGGTCTTGTCAGTGGTCTTGTCAGTGCTCCCTTCATCATCAACAACTTCGTTGCTGCCGAGATTGCCACCGACATCCTTCCCAACTGGCGATGGGGTTACGCTATGGTACGTTTCTCTTGCCTCAATTCATCATCATTGGCTCATTCATATGCAGTTCGCTATCCTCGTTCCTGTCTCCCTTGCTCCCCTCATCGTCGCTCTTCTCTGGGCCCAGAACAAGGCCAAGAAGCAGATGATGATCAAGTACTCTCGCCCTCCTATCACCAAGGGCTGGCTCGTCACCATCAGGGATGCTGCCTGGGAGATGGACTTTGTCGGTCTCATCCTCATCGCTGCTTCTCTCGCCCTCATTCTCCTTCCCCTCGGTCTTGCTCCTTCCGCCTCCAAGGGCTGGAAGACCCCTTCCATGATCGTCATGATCGTCATCGGTGGTCTTCTTTTCCCTGTTGCCATGCTCTACGAGGCCAAGGTCCCCAAGAAGCCTGTCGTACCCTACAGGTGGCTCAAGCGAGGCCCCATCCTTGGTGCCTGCCTCATCGGTTTCTTCGACTTTGTCTCCTTCTACCTCCAGTACACCTACCTCTACTCTTACGTCTACGTTACCGAGAGCTGGTCCACCAGAAACCTCACCTACTTCTCCTCCACCCAGTCTTTGGCCCTTACCATCTTCGGTATCCTGGGTGGTATCATCATGTACAGCACTCAGAGGTTCAAGTGGATGCTCTTCACTGGCCTTTTGATCCGATTGCTTGGTGTTGGTCTTATGCTCCACGCCCGATCCGCCAACGGTAACACTGCCTCCCTCGTCATGTGTCAGGTTCTCCAGGGTCTCGGTGGTGGTTTCGCCGCTACTGCTATCCAGGTCTCTGCACAGGCCGCCGTCGCCCACGTCGATGTCGCCACCGTCACCGCCATGGTCCTCCTTATCACTGAGGTCGGAAACTCTGTCGGTTCCGCTGTCGCCGCCGGTATCTGGGCTTCCTACATGCCTGGAGAGCTCGCCAAGCACATCCCCTCCGCCAACGCCACCACCATCGCGTCCCTCTACGGCTCCATCACTCAGATCGCGCTCTACCCCACCGACGACCCCGTCCGAACCGGTGCCATCGCCGCTTACCAGGCCGTCATGTTCAAGCTTGTCCTGGGCGCTGTTATCGTTGCCATCTTCGTACGTTCATCTCTTCTCCTTCTATGTTCACGGGCTAACACCGTCTTTAGCCTCCCATCTTCTGCTTCTTCCTCACCAAGGACATCAAGCTCACCCGAGCCCAAAACGCCGTTGAGAACAAGACTGTCGGTGGTGAGAAGACTGAGGAGGTTGCCGATGAGAAGACTGCTTCTGAGGCTGGTATCACTAGCAGGGCTTAAGAGCATTTTTTGGTCTCTGAAGCATATATATATAGTTGGACGATTTCTTTCCCCTTATGGTTTTGGTGGGATGCTTCTGTATCATGTTCTTGCTGGGCCCTATTACCAGTAGAACACTTATAATAGACTTGCTGTGAAATTTTCATTAGTGGAATGAACACGCTGAACCAACAACAATGTCTGCACCAAGTACACCGCCATCATTACAGGCCACAGCACATACATTGCATTCATATCACTGACAACAACCTGATATCCAAACGCAGACAGCATCGTCCAAGATCTCAGCGACGCTTGAGCATCTTCCACCTTACCAAATCCACAGCAGCCGTCGCATCAACAACAGAATAATGACCCAATTTGTCTTGAAGGTCCTGGATCGAATATCCCAGCTTCTCTTTGACACTAAAAGTCGCGAATGATCTCGTCAGCAACCAGCGGATGGGGAAGAGAGAGAGAGACGCCGAGGAGCAGTGGACGTACACTTCGCGCAACCCACGACGGCGAAGTAAGCCTCGTGGATGAGGGAAGAGAGCGGAGGTATCGACGAGTCGGTCATGGAAGAGTCTCAGAGCGCGGAGATCATTCTCGAGGCTGAGGAAAGTTTCAATCCATAGATTTGAAGAGACGGAAAGGATGAGCTTACCCGTGGCCGATAATGATGGTCTCAGGACCGATGAACTTGCACACGGCTGCACGAGCACCCTCGACATCCAAGGTGGCGCCGTCCAGGTTGGTCTTAGTGATGCCCGAAAATTTGGTATTGTAGTCGCTGCGACCATCATCAGTCAAATTCCTTCTGGACTTCGTTGCTGCTCACATGACTTTCTGCGTCGGTTTGACGAACTCGTCGAGAAGGACCTTCTCAGCAGTGTCGATGATGGTCACTCGAGCGAGGGACAGCCCGGCCAGAGTATCTACGAGCTTGGTCAGCCAGATCAAACCTTTCGTCACTCGACCCGCGTACATATCATTTCACAATCGAGTGCCACCACATCCACCCAATCCTTATCTTTCTCGCCATCCTCCGCATACTCTTTCACGCTCTTGTATCCTTCCCTCTTGGCCAACGCTTTGTCGTCGTTGTTATGGCGAAACACATGATAATTGTAAGAGCATCCCTCCGAATAATGCTGCCGGCCACAGCACTCATGCCTCCAGATCTTTCCTCTTCCCGGCACTGGCTTCGGCGTGGCATAATGATGCCTGCACTCGCGTTCTTTCCCGGCAAGGTCGGAAGAGACAGTGTAAAATGACTTGCAGCGGTAACATCTTTGCCGCTCGCCCTCTCCACTCGGTGTAGATCCGGCGGTGTTGCCAGAGAGGGATTTGTCCTTGGAGTCTGGGTAACCCCACTTCCAGACGAGCCCGGAAGGTTGGAGGGCGAAGGTGAGTATATCTTCTTTCTCTAGCTTTGCCTTAGGAAGTCTGCGCATTTGCGACGTAGACTTAGTAGATATAGGTGGGAGGCGATGAATGTCGATTGGTCACTGAAATAACAGCGTTGGGGATGGATGTCTCATCGTCGTTCTTGTCATTCACCAGGCAGCCGCTTCCCATGCATTGTAATTGGCCCGGACAAGTCATTACCCGGGCCCATGGTTGATACGGGAAGCGGGTTCATGCTCACTCGACCAGCGGACCTGTAGGCCAGGACGACCCACCCAGATTCAGGCGTGCGACGACCATTCCGGTTGACGTAAGCCCTATCGTTACTGTTGTTGAGGGATCCAGGCCGCTACTAGACTTTATCAGTGGGACTTGAGCCAAAGATCGTACTTGCACAAAAGATTCTTGCGAGGATGAGATGATATTTATACTATCCATGGAGAAGGATTGGCGACGAGTTCGAGACCAGCTTGTGCATATGAACATCCATCGACCGGTCTCTACGCCGACAAAAGATTCCCGCAAACAGCCCACCCCCAAAACAACTCGGCTATCATGTTTCACGTCGGTCTCACATACTGCCCGATAGACTTGCCTCGATGGCTTGCCACACAGTCAACCCCCATATCTTCTATGTCTCTGATGACCGTATCCATTCCTAGCTTGTTGGGTGGAAGAGGTAGAATAGCCCACCAGGACTGACATGGGCTTGCTGGTGTGGACCTGGTCAGAGAGAGACCGGTATATATGGGGAAGCAGCTCAGGATGCTACTGCACGCTGTTCTCCACCAGCCCCTCTCCTTGGCCACTCCAGCTCGCTGATTCTTCTTCGCCTTCTTCTCTGCCAACATGGCGGTGTCATCGATAACCCCGAGCGAGTCAACCAAGACAGTAGGAGATTATGGACGGTCGTCGGAATAGAGAGGGCTGACCTTGAAGCGTGCCATCGCGTCCAGTCCACCGGCCAGCGTCAGACCGACTTGCTGCATGATGGACGAGCTCGTCCGAAGGTTTGTGGTGAGGGGGCGTTCCCGAAGGCGCACATCCAAATGGGTAAAAGTCTCTGTTGTGCACAAGCCGAGAGTTAGTGGTATTCGGCAAAGATGGTAGAGGGTACGCACTTAAAGGTTGACTTGAAGTGGCTGTCTTGGAATGGCCGGGCTCGTCGCAATCAGGACTGTCTTGAGATTGGCCTCAAGAGGATGACTGCCCGAGCCTCCCCCGGTGCGAGAATGAACGATCGAGAAGTGAGCCTCCTCGTAGGGTGCGGCCCATCTGGTCAAGGTGATTGGAGTGCGTCCAGAGATCTCGAGCGGGGCTGACTGGTGTATTCGAAATACTCACATGATAGATAGTTTGGAGGGTGGAAAGAGGACTCTTGTATCTGCTGTGATAAGGTAAAAGGAAAGAAAGAGAGAACAATCGCAGAGCGGCACACCCTTCACGACCATGCCTGCTGTGAAGTGGGTGCACTTGGGGCTTGCGTGATGCCTGCATGCAGTTTTTAACGTTGATGCTTGCGAGAAATAGACAAGGTGCACGATAGCCCATATCACAGCCTTGCAGAGGGTGGTGCTTCGGGAGCTGACGTTGGCTATGGGTGATGAGGTGGATGACGCGATGCCGCGTTGAGGAATAAGGTGAACATATACATACATATCTTGTCATTATTGTCTCTCAACCCTCTGCAACCTCTCCTCCAGAATCTTCATCCTTCCCTCCAACCCTTCCCAGTTCCTCCTGATCCCCTCAACCGCCTCTCCCAGACCCTTCTGCACACTCTCCACCACCACCTCCAGCTCCTTCACCTCTTCCAAGCTCTTCCTATCTCTCGTCTGCAGTTTCTTCAGGGCCGAGGCGATATCGCTCGCTTCAGAGTGTAACGCCGAGAGAGATCTCAACCTGGCGAGAAGAGGGGTCAGGATCGGCAAAAGTGGGTCCAATCTTGGTAATACGCCGAAAAGAGATTGGAGTTGGTTGTACTCTGCTTGGGTCAATGCCAGATCCGTGCCCGTTGTCTTTTCCCCGCCACCTGGTTGGGTTATGGCAGAGCCACCAGGCCCACGACGGGAGGCAATAGCAGCACGGTCGAGGTCGACGAGCAAAAGCTTGACGCGCCGGGAGATGGCATCGAGGTGGCGGGGTTGGGTCAGGAGAGTGAGGAGGTGGTCATGTTTGTTTATAGATGGCAGCAAAGGAGTATTGGTCTGGCAAAGGGTTAGTATATCATTGTCGGTTTTGTAGATTACCCACCTGGTCGATGCCATCTCCAATAAGGCCGACAGCTTGCTCCAGTGCCGCAAGTCTCTTGTCCACATCAGATAACTTTACGTCCTTCTCACCCGCCGTGCTCTGACCAACAGACTCTTCTCTGCGTTTCTCGGCTGCCGTGAGCTTTGACAATCTCTCACTCCATTCCCCGCCTCGGCTTTCCACCTCTCCAGCAGGCAGATCCCTCATCTCCATCGCTTCCAGTCTTTCTCTGACATTGGCCAGCTCTGAGACGACGTCCACAGGCTGTCTGCGCGGCAAGACCGACTTTCGCTTCCCCTCTGCCTGAGGCTGAGGCACGGGCTGAGATTGGGTCTGGGAGGACGATCCGAGTTGAGCTTCGACTTCGGCGAGCTCTACTTTCAGCCGCCTCAGCCGGGCAGCCGGGGTTTCGCGTGGTAGAGGTGAGGGCTCATCAGAGTCGGAGGAGGAAGAGGAGCCGTAGCGGGACAGTGGTGGGAGACGAGGTCTGAACGATATTGTCGCGTTCTCTGTAAAATGGTTAGGTTATGATTAGGGGGTTTGGAGATGTCGATTCACCTGGCCGCCTTGTCCCACGAGCAAAGACACGCTCGGCTTGACGTCGCGAGGGAAGGCCTTTGGCATTGATCGCCTCTGATTGGGGCTTTACTGGGGCATCATCGTCTCCAGTATTGTTCTCGCTCTGTGCCACACTATTCAGCTCTGCGTTGAGCTACTCGAGTATTGCACTGACGGGTTTGAGCAGGGTGTCTGGTTCGTCGACTGTCTCGAAGATGTCCGCTGCAGTGTCCTATGCTAATGTCAGCCCTCATCCCCTCCCTGTATAGCACACTTACGATATCCGGGAGGCCGCTGTACTTGGACGACATGTTATCAGTGCTGCACTATTAGAGGTTGTTGCTTTCGCCTGGCTTTCGACGCGCGACGAGGTTCGTGCACGCGTCAATGCTTACGTACACTGCCTCCACCTCTCTCGTAGGCTTTGCAAGGGGTGGGATGGCTGCATCTCTCTTTCTACCTCTTTCTTTCCTTTTTCGTCTGACTGGTACACCGGGATACTACACACCATGTCTGAGAAGAAGTGTGAGTGTGGAACAGTGTTGACGACAACAGCTCACCATCACAGACGCTCTCGCCCGGGTCAGCATCTGCGACCCTCGCCTCGTCCCGGCCGGCACCCCACCCAAGGACATCAAGTGGGAGTCGTAGTACGCCATCTCCAGGTGGATAAACATTGCTGAATCAACATTGATCATCTGCAGCGTTCACTGTACCATCTCAGCAACTCCATCGCCAGACGGCTCGTCATTACAACTGGAAATGAGGACATCTTCGACATCTCTCGTACGTCTGTGCGCGGGTCACTCAACATGTTAGCTCACCATACACAGGTATCACGCAAATTTCTGCCACTATCCACTTTGCAGTCACCTTTTCGGCGTATCACCTACACGGACAAGCAAGCAGCCTTCAGATACGACTGGCCTGCCGAATCATCTCAACCACCCAATACTGTATATCGTCTCTTACTCCACTCGCCTTGGACCTAACGCCCAGCAGAAGGCGATGCAGGAATGCTTCCAACTTATCTTCAAAGAACCTACAGACCTCACCGCCCTCCTCGAGAGCCTCGGACCCTTCTTCTCGGCCACCCCTAGTACCATCAAACCCATTACCCTCACGGTCTCTCAAGTTCCACCCGCAAAGTCTGCACCCAAGGTTACCCATAGAAGTAGTTCTGCGGCCAAAAAGAAGGTTGCTCCGAAACCGAAAAGCAATGGCAAAAAGGGGGATGGCGGAGATGCTATGATTGTTCAATGTGTTGGCGGTCCGGCAAACCTTTCGGCGGTCGACGATAACAGGACTCAGCCTGCCGATTCGACCACTTTGCCTTCCTCCAATCAGGGTCCCTCTAGAACACCTCTCTCACCTTCATCTCTCGTTCTCAATCAAGCCGACAACCAACAGACTAGGCCGATGGTCCCTCTCCACGTAACAGAGATAGCTCCTCAACCCTCGCCCACTCGTCCACCATCTACGTCTACCAGTTCAGCCCTCACCACTCCCCTTGGTGGATCCAAAACTACCTTCCCGGAAGACCCCGACATAGCAAGTCTGAAGAGGAAGCTTCTAGCTGGACCTGAGCCGACCTCGACCGGATCCAAGGCAGCACACAGCAAATCCCCTCCTGCACAACTCGCTCCTGCCCCCAGCGTGGTCTATCCACCCTTCACCACCTACAAACCTCAGTCAGCAGACAGCGCGCCGTCTCAGCCTCAACAAACTTCATCTCAACTCCCTTCGTCTATGGCTCTCGTCAAGCCGCCAACATCACCCAACCTCATCTGCCTCTCCTCACCTTTAATCTCGACAGCCCCCTCCCCGCCGCGGACAGCGTTGAAACCCAACCCTCTAGACGATCTGTTGGACCTGGACAGCAGCTGCATGGAGTTTGTGCCGATGATGACTCGAGAGCAAGAAGAATTGGAGACAAAGAGGAGGTTGGAAGAGGAAGATCTGGATGAAGAGTATACAGTAAGTTGACCGTGCTTGTCAATGGCCTTGGGCTTATATAGAGTCAGCTACCAAACGACGGCAACGACATACCACCAGCGCATCAGGCATTCCAGACTACAGTGGCTCTTGTCGTAGCCTTTGGCTCACCTTTACACGAGCTTGGAGAAGAAGACATGGACGATCTGATTAGCACATGTATGGCAAGCGATGGCTTTGACTTGCTGGTAAGTTGTCTCGCAAAGAAGCTTATGTACTGTGACTCTGGCTGATGGATTGCAGTACAGAAAGGTGTCCTACCTGCTGAGTCGGCGCAATTCCCTACAGCTATATGCACCGGCGACACCTTCCCTCGGCACGCCTTTGGATCTCGATGATATGCCGTCGTCCAGGATACTAACACCTCCAACCGAATCCTACCCTCTGGGCTTTTTCGATCAACCATCCGCCTTTTCCCAAGGCCGAAGCGGCCAATACTACGACTTTCCTCAGACCGATACCCAGCCATCCTTTGTTCCCGAGACACCGGGGTACAGCTACTCCAGCAAGAGGTCCTACTGTGGTGATTTCAGCGAGCATGACCAGGAGAAGCGAATGCACATGTGCTTTGAGGAGGAAGAGGACGTGTATGATGATCTGGAGGAGGAGGATATGAGGCTGTGATCTATGTGTTTGTGGGACAATCATCTGTCGGAATGTCTGTCATTTTAAACCTAATCCCATACCCAGTGACCCTTTATATCTGTACTCATACATGCTTATACACATACTACATACACACTCTAGATTCGGATATGTCGGTACCCAGATGTCATCATTAATGTCGTTTCTCGTGTCTTCTAGGGCTTCGTGACCTCGACCGTCTTCCACTCTTCCGATTACTGCGCCCTTCTTCATCTGACACGTCGTCCCGCCTGCTATGCGATCTCCTCTTCTCCCTATCCCTGTCCTCACTCCTATGTCCATGTCTCTTGCTTCCCTCATCCTCGTCCGGTTTCCACAGAAGCTTGCCTGTACATTTGGGACACAATCGGACCTTCACCAGCGCTTCCTTCCTCTCCCCTGCTTCCGCATACACAAAAGGAAGCTCGAACGCACTCAAACGAGGCATCTTCTTATCTCGCCTTCTCTTCTGACCTCCCCTTTCCCAATCTTGCTCGTGATCTTGACGAGAACCCCCCGGCGGTTGGAACGACCTTCCATCAGGCCTATAACTCTCCGGCGAGCCTCTTCCCTCATCTAGGAAAGAGGCAGAACTCGAGGGGGGATGGTGAAAGTCGCACCGGAGTGAGGCGCAAGACTCTTCGCCAATACCGTCGACTACTTCTGGGGCTGTCCGCCAGCGGAGGGCGAGTTTCTTGGATTTGTAGTGTTTCAAGTCGATCTAGAATTACCACCAGCCTTTTCAGCTTTCAAATAGCATAGGATGCAGTGATTGACGCACCAGGGCATACTCCTTGAAGAGTTTTGACTCGTAAGCCCTCGCCAACCTCTCCTCCCACCCCACTTCCCCAGGTTCTTCATCATCTCGAATAAACCTGTGATTCTCCCTCAACACATCCCACTCCGTCTTGCCCTCTTTTTGACTGCTAGCACTCTTTGGTCGAGAGGATGACGGGACGGAGAGGTGGGGAGGGCGGAGGAGTTTGTGTTGGGATTGGGGCATTTTGTGAGGGTGGGGAGAAAAGTCGGGAGACCGAAAGAGATGCGAGAAAGGTCGAGCTGAAGCGCGGGAGAGGGTGAACGCACAGCGCTCGGGACACCCCGCGGGACAGCGTAAGGGAAGCGCCCGGGGACTATCGTCCGTCGACAGTCAATTAATTGGATGCCCCTCATTCAGCATTCAATTGTGGATGGCAGATGCATGACCAATGATGAAGAAGGTGAAGTTTTGCCATGCATGTCGGGCGTCAGCAGATATCTGCGACCGTTTTTTGCCTGACAGGCCCTTAGAGTCAGCATCAGCAGTGAATCAGCACTCGGTGTTTCGATGTTAACGTCCATGCGCTGACATGAATAGATGTCGTGTATGTATGATCCATGATAGTACTGGTACAACTCGTGTGTTTTGCTTAACAATCGTTTCAGCAGACTCTTCACTCAACCTGCCAAGCCCTCGCGCCTCCCCCGCCGTCTCGTCCCAATCACCACCGGTTCCCTCGCCGTGCCAACTCCGACGCCTTCCCCCGTGCCCCTACTCCTGACCGCAAACAGAGACACCCGATCATGCACCAGATCTTTCCCAAATAGCGGTACGTCAAGAGAGCTCTCAGAGTCTGGAGAGTACCCTCTTCGGCGCCTGCTGCTACTCGATTTGGATGCTCGTCTCTCCTTCTTGCCCCAGATCTCTTCGAAACCCTCGCTTTCGCTCCTCCTTCGCCTGCTCTTACTCGACCGTCTTCTTAACGATCTCTCGGATTTCCCAGCATCGCCTTCCTTCCACCGGACATACCGCCTCACTAGACCACTCCCCACCCAGCCCGACACGCCCCCAAACACCGCCCCAACGCCGAGTGTGGTCCCGACAAAGGTGATTGCCGGCCAACAGGCGTCCAGCACATCCTTGGCCAGATCCAAAGGGTAAAAGACGAAAGCTCGTAAGAATAGACGGCCGACGGCGGTGAAAGGGTACAAGAGCGCAGCGACGATCTGAAAGACCAACCACAGCCCTCGGAGCAGCCATGATACAGGTATAGCCAACACTGCGATGACCACGTAGAAGCAATATGTCGCCAGGCCCAGTGTGAAACCCCAATATGATGTCTCGGGCGAGGGGATAGATGCGGTGTTGGGTAGTATAGCGTTGGGGAGGTGCGGCTGGTACGGGTGCTGGTAGCTTTGGGGATGCGGCTGTGGGGCTTGTGATTGGGTATGAGGGAAGAATGGGGTGGAAGATTCAAGATCATCTGGTCGAGAGAGTATCTGGTATATGAGCCAGGCTGCCACGACGAATACTGGTATGCTTTCAGCTTCAAAGCTCCACCTCGTGCGCATGATTCACTCACGGACGACTTCCACGGGCGACATGGGCTCTGCTTGCTTCTTGATAGTCTTCAAAACAGGATCGTGTGGTTCTGGCCCTACGCCGTCATACTCTTCAGTATCCCCTTCCTCCCACTCGCCCGGTGAGCCAGCATCAGAGACGGTGGTCGGTACAGTCGAGCTGGACCGGCGAGTGCTCCGCGAGTCGGCTCTGCGCAGTGGGTGGGGGCTGGGTCTGGGGTCTGAGGAGTGGCGGCGAGTGCGCTTGAGGACGTCTGTAAACATTGTTATGGGGGTGGCGAGGACATAGGAGAAGGGAGGATTTTTGACTTTGCTAGTGATTTTGTTGTTGATGAGCGGGGAGGTCACCTGAGCCGACGCGAGTGAGTGCGACGCGCCGGGGTGCTCAACTGCCACTTTATCATTCAACATGCATATTCCACGCCGGGAAGGGGTGCACAGCAGCACAGTATCAGGTGGCAGACGATATGCATCTAAAGGCAAAGCTATGCCCAATTTTGATACAAGTGTTTCGACAAGACTTGTGGATCGTGTGACCTGAGGAGTTACAAGCTGCCAAATAGCCAGCACCTTAAGTCCTCTCCGATAAAATGGTGCAGTGTAGGAGTGCCCGGTGTACATTGAACCTTGCAGTCCCAACGAAACTTGACAGGCGCAATTTTGCCCTACACACAGGAAGAAATGATGACTTGCAATGCATGTCTATGCGCTCCATTCTATGCCTGTTCCTTCGACACGCCAAACATACCCTTCACGCTCTCCCAGATCTTGTCGTCTCCTTGCTTCTTCAGCCTCTCCTCCACTTCCTCGGCGGTGAGCCAGGCATGGGCGGTGTACGGGGATGAGGGAGAAAGGGTAGGTTCGCCAGCAAGAATGTGACCTCGGAGGAAGAATGTCTAGCTCAATGTCAGTGCTCATATACGGTACAAGCAGAAGCGGCTTACTCTTGATTCACCATCCTTGACCAGTCCCACAGGCTTCCGCGTGACGAGCCAACTGTCCATCCCCTGGCCGCCCAAGCTCCCTTCCACCCCAGTGATACCCCTCTCCACAGCCTCATGCAACGGCTCCAGCCTGCCCGCTTCTACCCCAGGGAACGTCCACTTTCCTCCTTCCTTGTTCTTTACCACACAAAACACTTCTTCCTCAGGTTTACGCTCCAGCGACTTGTCCCCTCGCTGAGCATCCGCCTGCTCCCAGTGATTTCTGGCAATTTCCTCATAGTCTGTCTCTGCGGGAATCTCTCCCACATCCGGGGCCTTGCCTGCCAATTTCTCGCCGTAGATTTCTGTTTCGTACTGGTGTTCCCGCACGAGATGCCTCTTTAGAGGTAAAGATCCAGTCTTAAAGTAAAAGTCGGTCGGGAGAGGGTTGGAAAGGGCGTGGGCGATGGAACGGGAGTGAGCGTAGTACGATGTTTCGAGAGAGGTGGGTGTTGGGGTGAGGAGGGGCGAACGGGAGAGGAGGAGGTTGGCCTGGAGGGGAGGAGGCGTTGATGAAGAGAAGCGCACTTGGGCTGAGAGATGTCAGCTTTGCCGTCTTGCTCGACATTACAACTCACTCCTGAGGGACCCTGTGGCAGTACGGGCTAATGGGCGGGCAGCAAACGACATTCTGGGGACAACAGGCGAAATCAGGTCTCTGTTGAAATTTCAGCCAAGTCGACCGACGCCGCAAGAGAAGATGGACGGCTTACTTAATATTACATAATTAGCGAAAACGCCGCCAATCTCCGCCCCGCGGTCAAAACAACAACATTCCTCGTCTCTTTCTTCTCCATCCCGCAGCTTCAAGGTCACAAGGCTCGTCACGAACGCAAGAGGCTGGACATCCCAGCCCTCTCCTCCTCGCGAGCGGGCCAAGGTCCTGGAATTCCAACCCCCCTTTCTTCACTCGAAGTCTGACCGGTCTTAGCGGACCCTCGACGCCAACCGCCGAGCCGTGCCCGACCAGAAATGCGTCCCCGCCTCACCATCTTTCAGATACCCGGAGAAGCTCTAGATGAGCGGAGGGCATGTGGGGATGGGGACTTGGTAGGGGTACGGGGGGTCGCCTTTGTAGTATCACCGTTTTCCTTTTTGGAAAGTCCAGATTCGAGCTCTGACTCGGACTCGGATGTGTCTCTCTACTCTGCCCAGGGATCGAGACCCGGCTACAAGGCTTTAGTGCAATTTGGTGACGCTCTCTCAACTCTTCGTCTTTTCCATGGCGAGGAGGAGGGTAACTCGATCAGGACTACTCTGGGGCTGCGGGACATGGCTTTACAGCCTAGATTTTTGGCATTGTTTTCTAATCATGCCATGAACAATTGCAAGCATCAAAGTTCGGCAGCTATGCATCCAAAGTTCGTCATACAAGATCATGGTATTCTGGCTTTTGGGTATCTATCTGCTTCACCTTCAATACCATACACATACCGTCTAAACTACAAGTCTGCCTTCTTTCTTCTTTCTCTCATTTATACTTAGATCTGAGGGGGAGCAGGGATGGTGGGGGCGGCAGTAGAAGTGGGGATAGAAGTAGCCGCAGCGGCGGGGGTAGTGGAAGAAGCGACATCAGCCTTGACGTCGGAGCTGGGCAAAGAGCTTCCGGCCTCGTCCGCAGGGACAGTAGCGAGGTGGGTCTTCTTCTTGTCCTCCTGAATCAACTCGTCAGTCAATAACATGAAGGGAAAGGCAGAAAGGGACTCACGGCGATCCTCTTGGCCTCCTCGTGGACGTCCAAGACCTGCTTCTGGGTGGTAGTGTAGAAAGCAACAACCCTGCTTGTATGTCAGCCTGATTCCCATGAAGGGAACTTGCAAAAACTCACTTCTGGCCTATAGGAGTACCAAACACCTTGCTGTAGTATTCGCTGAACCTGGCGCTGATACCCTTGTTTTGGTCAACCTCCCTGCCCTTGGCAACAGCAGTAGCGGCGTGTTGTTGGATCTTGCCAGAGAAAGTCTGGTTCTCGCCAACAACCTTCTGGCCGACAGTGTGGTCGAGAGAGTTGAAGAAGTTGAGGAATCGGTGAGAGATGCCCTGCTTATCTGCATGGAGAGTTAGCATAGAGACTTGAAGCAGCGATCAGAGACTTACGGTCGAGGTCGATAGCCTTCTGGACAATGTGGTCTCCGAGCACGTAACCGTGAGCAAGGTACTCGGCAACGATAGCAGCCTACGCAATGAAGGCATTAGCGCCGAACGCATCCGTGAGAAGCAGACGTACCTTCGGCTTGTCTTCTTGCGAGACACCCTCAGAGTCAAGACCGGAACCGATGGGGGTAGAGCCCGCTGTGGGGAGCACAGAGGGGGTCTTTTCAATGTCGGAAGCAGAAGTGACTTCAAGGTGGGCGCCGTCGAGCTGCGATAAGGCGTAAGCTGGTGTTCCTGATCTAGCACATGATGACAACTTACAGTACCGCCGTTGAGCATCCTGTGAGGAAAGAAGAGGGGCAGTCAGCATTGTGTCATCCGAGTCGCGAACGTAGATGTGAGCGAGGAGGACAGAGACAAGAGAGGCAAATGTCTATAGCACAGCTCTTGGCGCGATTCACTTATCGCCGCTGGCTGCCATCCCTGTGCCCCTTTGTCTCTTCTACCCCCGCTCGCACATAGAATATACACTCACAAACTGGTCCTCATAGCACTGAGCTTTTCGAAAGTAATGTCGGCTTCGCTCCCGCTCTTCTTGACGCTGGTGAGTTTACCGCAGAAAGAGAAGAAGTCGTGGAGCTTGTCTTCGGTGGTCTCGGGGGCGAGGCCAGAGACGTGGATGGTGTAGCTGGTGGACATTGTGGTGGATGGGTGGATAGTTTGGAAAGTATAGCAGAAAGTAGAAGTGGATGGAGAAGAAAGACGAGATGATGGAAATGACCCTTATTCGCTGCAGCTGCGCCTCCACTGAGAGATGACGTCATGGCTGATAAGAGTGGCACTTTTCCCTGCCTTCTCCGCCTTTCTCCGCCTCCATTGCGGGCCACCGGGACATAGATTTGAAGAGGATATGGTAAGAGTGTGGAAAAGGTTGGCATTATAGCATATTATATTGATTGCTGCATACGTTCACAACGAAGCGTCACGAGCCCCAATACAGGGTCTATAGCATCCCCTCGACTCCCAATGCTACCAGAGCCCACGCCAGCCAGCTCACTTTCCTCTCCTCAAGTGTCCATGTCTCCTCTCCAACATCACCGGCCCATTCGTCGAGCCCCTGGACTTCGCTTTTCAAAGCACGCCGCAACGTGGGCGACGAGGTCATCATGAGGAGTGAGAGCTCGGTATCGAGCGTGAGAGAACGGGTGGACAGGTTGGACGAGCCGATAAAGGTCAAGAATGGTTTAGAGCCAGGCGGCGATACCCATAGACCTGCGCCGAGTCAGCCTGTGCCACTTTGATTTGTATGGTACGCACCTTTCGAATGATATGTCCATCCTTCTCGCTCCCATTCCTTCAGTCGCACACCTTCCTGAGACTTGTCGTTCCAGGCTCTACCAGCCCTGACCGCGTCTCTGTGAAATCTACTTTCTAATAATGTATATCCCTCCGGGATCAGTCTAGAGAAGCCTTTAGAGCCGTAAAAGCCATTCGCCTGTATATCATCAGCTTGTGCACCGAGGAAATGAGCAAGACTCACTTTGGGCGAGGCAGCAATGATCTTTACCGGTGCAGGCGATTGTATCACCGCCTTCTTGTAGTTTTTATACAGGCCAAAATATCCACTCGTCAAATCTACCTCGACCCTCTGCCCATCTCCTTCTCTCTCTTCTCCTTCCACCTTTTCACCGCCTGGCTGGTAGCTCTCCTTGACAGCATCCCACACCTTGCCCATGGCCCGTTCTTCTTCCTTGATACCGATCACGCCTGCTTGGAGAACAGGCCAGAACCAGGTATCGACGTCGACACGCCGAGAACGGAAGGAATTGGAGGCGCGCCACGAGTTTTGGAAGGCTGTCAATGTGGCCAACGCATGGGGTTCGAATCTGCGGGGGTTTATGGAAGCGGAAGGCCATATGAGGGAAGCACGAGGTTTGTGAGGTGGTGATGAAGAGTCGGTGTCTTCAGGTGATAGCAGAGGGACGGTATTGGAAGGCGAAATGTGCGCCGGTGGTGAGTGGTGCAAGAGATAGGAGTATTGCGTGAAGAGTCGAGTGAGGGACGAGAGATAGGAGAGCAAACTCGGATTTGACCTGAAATGGATGTACCGATCTTGTCGATTCGCAAAGTACGAATGGCCCAAGTTGGCTCTGCACCCTGTTCAGCTATACCTTCTGGACCGAATGCCAGAGTACTCACCCGCTGATGATCACTTCGTCGTCCACTCCGTACCACTTTCCATGCCACGTCCCCCACCCTTCATCGTACCTCGCAGGGACGATCTTCTCCATCAATCCCCTCAGCCTGGGGCTTCGGTACAGCCATACTTCGCACCGTTCAGGAAATTTCTCGACAAGAGGCAGCAAAAGGTGCGCGGTAGACGGAGGGAGGTCGGGATTCGACGTAGACAAACGGGTGGCCCGGTGATAGTCTAGCATGAATACCACGCGTAGTTGAGGGTTGTTTGTGAGGGCTGCTTTGATAGCCTCAACCTAATCATGTTCAGTAAAGTGCGCAGTGTCACGCGATGACTTACAAGCTCGCCCTCCTCAGCGCCGATATACAGACTACTTATCAGTATTCTCCTCTTCGCTCTCCCAATGATCTCTATCAGCCGTTTGTAGAAACCTGTCGGCCCATTCAGGAGCTCCACCTCATCTCCTCTCGCGCCGAAACAGGGCTGCGTTGAAGACAGTGACTGAGAGAGATGTTCGAAGGCGGCATATTGATGTGGCTGTAATTTCGGTACGGGCGGTTTGGAGGGGTCCGGGGTGGCGATAGAGTATGTCCTTAGAAGAGCCAGACGGGGGCTCGAGGCTCTGAGGACGGCCCTCGTGGTGAGGGAGCGGGACATGGCTGGAATGGCGGCAAAAGATGAAAGCGAAGAATAAATTGTTTGGGTCTCGGAGTCTCCGACTGATGAAATGTGGACCTTTTTGGTGACTGCCCAATTTACATCTCTTGCATCTTGTCCGACTTTTCTGTCTTTCCATCTGGCTATGGCTGGACAATAAGTGACTGTAATATACCTCAACAATGCTTGGAACAGGCCTGCACGGCCTCAAACGGGCGCTGGTCATCTTCCCCTTTGCTTACACCGGCATCTGGCTGGGCTACTACGGTCCGCTCTCCCATCCCGTCCCCTCTCTTCCCCACTGACTTCCCTCCAGCATACACCGACACTCTGCGCCGTCACCACATTCGCGATCGTAACGCCAAACTAGCCAACGTCTTGTCCACCCTTCCCTCGTCTAGCACCGACAAACAGCTCCCTGGCCCCGACTACACGCAACCAGCCACAGAGGTGGAGAAGGAGGCTTTGAAGGAGCGATATGGGAGTTTGAAGTTTGCAGGGCGGTATTGGAATCCATATGTGGAGTGGAGAGAGCAGGGGGCTTGGGTTTGTCATTCTTAGGGGAAACCTCGAAGTTTGGGAGCTAACGTCTGGAGAAGGAATGGGCTGTATGGAAGGGGTTCATATCTATCGTCACCCTCAAACTGTTCTACGACGGGCAGGTTTTCCTCATGATACCAGGATCCATGTCTGACTCTTCTATAGAGGTGTACCGCCCGACAGACCTATACCCGATCTTCCTGTCGAGCGTCCGGATTTCGATCTTCTCTACCCGACTGATACGACCTCTAAACCCAAGAGACAACCTCCCACTTCGAGAGAACCTGGGTCTGGTGGCAGCGATGTGGCTATCACTGACAAGTTCACATCCACCTGGGTCAGTCCTCGCCTCGCGATACTTTACGAGGCCGCAAGCTGACCATACTCGAAATAGCTGGGCCAATCGACTACCTATGTGACTATGGACAACCTCGCGATTCTGACTGATCCTGCTCTTCAACACCGGACGATTCCCTCCAAATTTGCGCCAGAGAGATTACGGCCGCCGCCTTGCTCTTTGGACGAGTTGAAGAGGGTTGATCTCGTGCTCGTCTCTCACAAGTAAGCGGATTATGTCAGAAAATTGGGGCATGTGACCTGATACGCGATAGCCACTATGACCATCTTGATCCGCTTGCTATCAAGGAGCTGGGAGATAGCTGTGAATGGGTCGTACCAATTGGCGTTGGACCTTTTTTGCGCGAACACGGTGCCACACGCGTCACTGAACTCGAGTACGCCCCTCTCCTCTCTTCCAACCCTCCATACTGACAACTCCCAGTTGGTGGCAGGAGACCCAGCATACCCTCTCCAGACCAGGCCAAGAGCCCAAGTCGTTCACCATCACTGCGATCCCCAACATGCACTGGTCCGCCCGCTCGCCTCTCGATACCAACGCCACCCTCTGGTCCGCTTTCCATGTCAAGTCCAACCCTCCTTCTCCCGAGACAAAGCCCAAATCATTCATCCACCTTGGCGACACTGGATACTCGCCAACACTCTACCACGCTGTCGGCCGTGTTCTCGGCCCTATTGATCACGCTGCGATCCCGATAGGCTCGTATGAGCCCAGGTGGCATATGCATTTGCAGCATACGGATCCGGAGGGAGCGGTGAGGATGGCTTTGCAGATGCATGTCAAGAAGAGTGTGGGGGTGCATTGGGGGACATGGCTGATGAGCGATGAAGCTTGTGAGTGACGAACCAGCAAGTTGGTGGATGACCGCTGATGGTGGTATAGACAACAAGCCGCCTCTCGATTTGGAGATCGCTAGGAAGAAGTTGAATGTTGAGGAGGAGCAGTTTTGCGTGCTTCCAGTTGGTAAGACTATTGTCCTTGAGGATGATTAGATGGTAGATGCAGCTGTTCAGTGTATTGGTACTGTACTCGTAGAGTACTCTATTTTACTCGTGCGTCCTTGATACCAAGCATGATGGGTACCGGGCTTTCTAACGTGAAAGCATACATTACCCTTGCTATGGCATGAATAACATCGACGGCCATAGCCTCCTCAAAGTACCGCGTCCCGTCTGATCCGCGAAGTCAACTAGGAGAGCGCTCGGTTAGTACCAGGGTGGGGGACCACCTGGGAATCCCGGGTGTCGTCGTTTTTGCCTTTTCTTTTTGTCCGAATTTCTTATCAAGCTGACCCATGTCAACCGTATCGTGCGGATCCCACTGAAGTGCAGCCATCCTTATATCGTCATTCGTCGTCAAGCACTCCGGAATTCCCCGCCCTGAAGAAGCAGCTGCGGGGAGAAACCAAAAAGAAAGAGAACAATGGCGGCCCGACGCCTTCGTCAAGCTGAAACAAGGCACTGATCAGCACATCGATTGTCTTCTGATTGTGCATTCTTCCGGGAACCGGGAGCGATCAGCAGTGACGGTAGGCCGAGCAGGCGCTACACAGACAGATTCTTTGATTGTTCGGGTCCCTGGAAAATGTGATCCCCTGGACCCGGATGAGCAGTGCGGAGCTTGAGAGGAGAGGAGGGAGGATCTACGCGAGCCTCTCGCACAGACGGAGGCGTTGTTGGGTTCCTGCTGGGTGACACAAGGACAATAACATCTTCTCGTATTCAGGATACGTATTCAGGATCTTGTTTGTTTCATCACGGTCTCTGTCCCTATCCTTTCCCAAAGGCAACGTATATAAGCCGAAAAGGAAGCGAGGAGAAAGAGGAACTCCCATTCACCCATCTATCGTCTTACACTGCTTTTTACTTCGCAACACTGCCCAACTACCGCCTCTCTTTTATCACCAGCACGCGCCATGCTCTCCCTCGAACTCATCCTCCTGACTCTTCCGCTCGGCTACGCCCTCTCCATCCCCTTGTCTTCTCCCAGCTTTGCCCGTGCTGCCGCTGTCGAACAGCAAGAACCCAGTTCGCAGTTCGTGGGCTGTACAGACCGTGGATACATCCAGCAGATCACCAATGATGATTCTGCTATTAGCCCACGCTTGAGTTACGAAGCTTGTACCGTGCGTAGCACCTCCGGCTGCGAAAGCACTGAGCGATGCTGACACGAGATGTAGATGTACTGCTCTGAAGACTCAACCAACAAGTACGCGTACTTCAACGACAAGGACAGCGAGTGTTATTGCAGCGGCGAAGAATACCCAACGTCCTCAGATATCAGAGATGCCAATAACAGTGTTGGTACGTGTCAGCCATCACAGACCACCGTACGTGACAACTCTTTTCTTGCTCGGATCAACCCACCAACTTGTTACACAGGTCACGTACCTCACCTCTCCTTTCATCTTCACCCACTGCATCCCTTCCGACTCGTACTCCCCCTCGTCTTCCAGCGACAAGTCCTTCACAGCCTCTTCCCCCGAATACTGCCTTGACACCTGCAACACTACCCCTTCCTCCACCATTGCCCATGTCCAGCCGACTTACGATGCGGAGGACGATTGGTGGGTGTATGACTGTCGATGTGTGAGCTCTCGACAGCGTACGGAGGCGATCGGGGGGCTGTTTGTGCTGGACAACAGTCAAAGGGCTTTTGATGCTGGATGGGCGCCGGAAGACGGGGCAAAGTGCGGGTTCGAGAGCGTTTTCGTATATGAGAGGCCTGTACTGCAGTGAGCGAACTTTGGGGCTCTCTCCATACCACGGACAATCTTCTCTCATTCTAGGTAGCCTGCACGTCCTGCAGGCTGTAGTCTTTCTTCACATCCACGCTGTACTATACGTTCATCACATGACCATTGACGCTCCATACGACTCGCATCACATGCATTTGCATCCGGAACACCACTGCAGTGCTCTCAAGCCCTCAAAGGCTCCGGCTCCAGCGATCCCAGCTTGAAGGTGGGGCATCAAAGGTATACGCACACAGACGGAGGGAATACGTTACCCTTCGGTCGCGTCCGAGGCGGTGAAGAGGGGCCCGGCTTGAAGCGAGGGATGTCAAGGTCGAGACGCTGGGCCCGACCGCTTGCTTCTTCTCTTTCCGGCGATGTATAGATATGCTCTTGAGATAGGTACCCGCTATGCGCTAGAGAGAGATGATAGGGATGCATGAGATCTGCAAGATGAAAAAAGGCTGCAGGCAGGAACGATCGGCCTTCCGGTGGCGCCGCAAACGGTTAGTCCCACCTCCACTCTGCACGCATCATCAGCTCTACCCTCGATTTCTAATCGCTAGCCTCAACGGGCAGTGTCATGCGATAAGAAAAGTGTCCCGTTCGCCGGATGCGTCATGCAGTGAGCAGATCTACCGTCCACACGAACGTGAGGTTGCATGTGCGGAGGCAGAAGGAACACGCTAGCCTCCAAGCGGTGCCCTCTTTTCTCATGCACGCATACGGTTAGCCGCCAGCCTCCCGGGATACCGGGGAACAGAAAACGTATAAAAGTTCTCAAGAGTTCACCTACAACTTTTCTGCCATCTCGTTTTGAATCTATAATCTTCTTGCACTTTCCAAGTCGAACTTTCCATCACCTATCACCATGTTCGCTCTTACCCTTCTTGCCTCTGCTCTCGCGGTTAACGGTATCGCTATCCCCCGTGACACTGCTACCAACACCACATCTGCGTCCGACCCTCACTCGCTCGCTGCCTGGGCAGGATCCAATACCACCCTCACCGCCATCGGCTGTGTGGCCAACACCGATCTCGCCAACATCACCTCCAACACCGTCTCTACCAAGGCGGAGGCTAGAGAGTCATGTGCTGTAAGTCTCTTGAAGCTACATTGCCACACATGCTAATGCACAGACTGCAGACTGCCTGTCTTGAAGAAGGTGGAAGCGAGATCGCCTACTTCCGGGCCGACACTCAAGAGTGCTACTGTACCAGCGCCGACTCTTACCCCTCTTCTGGCCAGATCGTCTATGCCGACGATGACCTGGGTAACTGCCGAGACGAGGACGATGCATCCGTAAGTTTACTCTACGCCATCATCCAACGTCGCTGACATCTCTCGTAGGTCAACTACTTTGTCTCTCCATACACCCTCGAAGAGTGCTACTACACCGTCAACTCCAACTCGACCAAGACTTTCAACGCTCCTTCCCCCATCTCGTGTCTGACCGGCTGTACCTCCACCGGCCTTACCATCCGACCCGAGCTCGACCAGTCTTCCGGCGAGTATGTCTACGAGTGCGCTTGCTATGACGAGGAGGTCCAGGGTGGTCAGAGCACCGATTGTGGCTTCGGCGTCGAGTCTGTCTTTACCCATGTCTAAGGGGTTCAGTTCTGGGATCAAGGGCAAGTGTAGCATAATCTAAGTAATTTTCACAGCAAGGACAAGAAGGACAGTATAATCATAGGAGAAGAGAAACGGAAAGAAGCCAAAAGAGTTCATAGTATAATGTGTTCTCCCCCAAGTAATATGCATAGCAATAGACAACTGTCTTGACACCGAGAGCTGCGCCAGCTCCACCCGTTGGACACCCGTTGGATCTGGATAGCGCATCGGCTTGACGCTGCCGAACTCCAATTCCAAATTCCCGAAAAGGACGGGATCAAATGGCCACGGCAAGGTTGAACGGAACGGGAGCAAAATTCGCGCGAGCCAATCGTGGTGCAGCCGTTCAACTGCCAGAGCCATTCTCCAATCCTCGTCCACCCTTTTCTCGCCCAACAAAAAAACACAACGCCACTCTTCGCGCTCCTGTCCCATACCCCCTGCACTTCCTAATTTGCCGCTGCCACCCCCGGAATCCCCCAACTCGTCCGGTTCCGAGCATACAACAAACACCCGCTAAATCTACGCACTTGTCTCTATCTATCTTTAATACAACACCCAACCCACAATAATCACAAATGGCCCCCCTCCTCCTCACACATTTCCGGCCTCGTCAACGGTCTATCCTCTCCACCCTCTTCACCGCCACTTTCCTCGGCGCCGTCATTGTCGTGGCGTTCCCATGTCCTGCGCGCGCGGGCGAAACGAGATTAGACGGCCCTGGCGCTGGCACAGCGGGGATCGGAGAAGCAAAGAGAGAGGTCGTGTTGATGATGAACCAAAGAGGAAAAAGGAGGTTCTTGGAAGAGAGATAGTCGGTTTGATGGGGCAATAGTGTGAGTATGGGTCTTTTCCTCAGAGGGGACGCGCTGATGGGTTTGGGTCTAGTTTTTGACACTTGTCGATGGAAAGTCGCGAAACAGAGGCCCACGTCGGCGATTGTAACAAGTATTCTTTTCACGACACGTTGTATTTCGTGAGTACATCTAAGCTACACAGCTCTGGCTCTGTATCTGATAAGGGACTTGCAGTATAATGACCTCTCCGATCCTTCTCTACCACCATACATCTAGAGTTTCTCGATCATCTGTTTCCACCTATCCCGGGCTTTCTCATTGTCAACACATTTCGCGGCAAATCATGACCCAAAATGCATCTGCATTCGAAATTTCAGAGCGCTGCCTATTCAAAAATCCATCCATTCGACTCTTTTTTACTTCTTACGACCTATCGACAACTAAAACTACCAATTGCCATCTTACTTGGCAGCCTTCTCCTGGCTGACTTCCTTCTTTTTGGCCGCGCGCTGGCCGTAAGCCTTGGACGCGTACTCGCCATCAACGACGATGAGATTGACGGGATCTTGCTCCTCGCCTTGGAAGTATCGGCGGATGATTTCCTTGGTGCCTTCAGCGTATCGCTTCTGGGCGTCGAGAGTGGTACCAGAGTCTTATCAAAGCCATCAGCCATCACCCAAACACACCTAGCAGGCGAGAAGAACTCACAGTGCGGGACCATAGCATTACCACCATTGAGCGGGTTGAAAGAGTGCCTCCAGGGGTGGTCCTGAGGAGCAGGCTGGACATCCCACACATCACCACCGTAGCCTCGGAGGTGACCAGACGCGAGAGCCTCCTTGACGGCGGTCCGGTCGGCGATGGCGCCTCGGGCGGTGTTGATGAGCCAGGATCCGGGCTTCATCTTGGAGATGAGTTCCTTGTTGAACAGGCCACGGGTTTGTTCGTGGAGGGGGCAGTTCTGAAGACTGTAAGTTTGAAGACGCGTGAAGGATTGAAAGGGAGCGTACGATAGTGATGACATCGCACTGGGCAACAAAGTCTTCGAGCTTCTCAACTCGTCGAGCCTTGATAGCCTTGGCAGCATCTACAGCCTATATTAGCATCGCGTTGGATCAAGGCAAGAGATAGAGACGCACCAGGAGGCAAGTCGGCATAGTCAAACCACAAGAGCTCCTTGCAGTCGAAAGGCTGCAACCTCTGCAAGACTCGGTAACCAATTCGGCCAGCACCAACTGTACCGACAACCTTGCCCTCAAGGTCAAAGGCGTTACGGGCGACGGCGGCGACGTTCCAGTCGTCGTTGACAATCTGCTCGTGGGCGGGGACAAAGTTGCGGACGAGGGTGAGGATGGTCATCAACACATGTCTGATAGACAGGTAAGTCAAGAGTATGAATGGAAGGGAGGTGCACTTACTCGGCGACAGAGACGACGTTGGAACCAGAGACTTCGGCGACAGTGATCTTGTGCTTGTTGGCAGCGTTGAGGTCAATGTGACTGTTACAAAGTCAGCGCGACGTCTTTCGGATCTCGGCCGACGGTCCGGAAGACTTACTCGGAACCAACGCCCGCAGTCACACAGAGCTTGAGTTTGGGAGCCTTCTCAATGAGGTCGGCGGTGAGGTAGCCAGGGTGGAAAGGGGTGGTGATGAGGATTTCAGTCTGCGGGAAGGCTGGTCAGCGTTTGGGTTCTGGTGGTTGATAAGTGGCTAGGACGTACGTCGGGCAAGTGTTTCTGGAACTCTGAAGAGCTGCCTTCCTTGTCGTCGGTGACAACCAATCTAAGACGCGTCCATCAGCACGGAGCCGGAATCCAGAACGGGAGGAAGAGACACGCACTCGTGACCTTGCTCCTTGAGCCAGTTGGCGATGCCGAGCTGATTCTCGATGGTACCGAGGAGACGGGGTTCTTCCTTGGCGGCTATGCAAGGCGTCAGTGTTGAACAGGGATACAAGGCGGATGGGCCTTACATTGACCACCAGAGTAGAGGATAGCGAGGACCTGTGAAGGATGTCAGTACGGGTAGTGAGTTGAGGGATATGGGGGCAGGCGCACCTTGACCATTGTGGATGAGTGTTGGTGTTGACTTGAGGCTGTTTGTGTAGTAGGGGAAGGAAGTCTGAAAGTAGATGGGAAGAAAGTGAAGGATACCGGCCCGCCTTTTATATGTTGTGAACCCGCATCATATTTACGGTACGGCCGCCCGACCGACTTTGCCTCTCAAATCGATGCATCATGCTCTCAAATCGCGTGTGGGCCTAGGCGTCGACATCTCAAAGAGCAGGCCAGATATCTCAAATCCTATTAATGAGCAGCAGGCGGTGGAGGTGGAGGTGCAGAGAATAGTCTGGTATTAACCGAGTGGCCTATGAAGATACCCGGGGCGACGACGTCAGATGACCATCAAGTCGGGCAGCCTGTTGAGTGTGGCGCTGGAAGATGCACCCAGTATAGCAATCTTGGGCTGCTCACTCTGCTATAGTGCCTAAGACTACATACATACCGACAAGATGCCACAGCCTGACGCGTGACGAGCATCAATTAAATTGGTGACTAACCGCTTTTCTGTCAACAAGTGACGGAAACTCTCCGTTGAGATTCCATACGTCATTCTTTCTGCCCTCTGGGAGCTCTTTCTTCCAAACTTCGCAGGCGATCCAGTCCTATCGCACAGAGCCAGTTGGTGCAGCCTATGCATGCTCTTCCACCCGCCATCTAAGCGAAGAAGAACGACGACTTCTCTGGAACTCATCATCGACGTCAATCTAATTTACCGTGATTCAGGAACTCGGCTGGCCACATCTCAAATCCGGCATTCCACTCTTTGAGATCTTGTGAGGTTCTTTGAGATACTCGGCCCGACAGTCATGTCGCGATTTGAGAGATTGGGGGAACTCTTTGAGAGCACGTTATCCTCGGCTCGGCAAACTACGGCGCGACTGTCATTTCGCCGTCGCGCATTTTGAGAGGCAAGAGACCGAGTATTCCCTGGCTCGACGTGAGTATCCGCATGTAGCTTATTATAGCAGCAGCAGAGACCGGTGGAGGTCGCGAAGATATGACACTGACTGACACCACTCCGTGGTATCTCCGCGGCCCTCTCTTCCGTGCTGCACCCGTCCTTCGAGATGAGCAAGGCAGATCACTATCTCTTCTTATCTGGTTGGAGAGCTGTCCGTGTGTGGGTGATCAGACTGGTGTTGCAGCTATGATGTGCATGGGTATAATCGCATGCTCGGTATCAATGCCCGTCCATCTTTCCTACATATTTCTTCACTGTCTCTAGAACAGCATTTTCGCATTCGCGTACATCCCCGTCATCACATTCCCGCCATCTCTCACCCTCGTCTTGTCCAGGACTTCCTTCCCACCATACTTCTCTAGGAACTCTGCGTGCGTATAGATTCCGACATTACGCCGTCTGAACCCCTTCACGCCGGAGGAGTGGGAGAAAAAGTCGCGCGAAATCTTGGAGGCGGGGTTGAATGCGGAGGGAGGGGGTGGTTGGGGAGCTGTTACGGAGGGCGAATTCATGATGACGCTGTAGAGGTCTCGGAAGTGTTCAAAGTCTTTTGCATGTCAGCTTTCAGCTCGCGTGGAGATGGTGGGGTCTTACCGGTAGGGAAGAAGATGTCAAAGTAGCCCTGCTTGACCAAGAACGTCTCACAAGGAACCATACTGTTCCCGTACCTCGTCTGCACTACCGGCCCATTTCTGCCTTCAACAGCTTCCGGCAGCTTATCAAAGTCCGCCATCAACAGCCTGTGACCTGGCAGCTTTTCTCGTAGCTTCTCAGCAAAGAGTACAGCCTTGGTCGGCAAAAAGTCTGGCGCAGACATGTTGGGCGCGAAAGGTAACGAGGTGTAGAGCTTTCGTAGAGATTCAGAGACGAGCAGTGGTTTGGCCAAGGGAGGGGAGGTGGCTGGTGAAGGAGGGAGGAGGCGGCGGTATGAGAGGACGCGGTTGATGAGAGGGTCGTGGATTGGCTCATACAGCAAAGAGAATTCGCCCGAGGCATCGATGCCGACGACTGCTTGGCGAGGTTCGAGCGTATCGAGCTCATATCGCACCATGTCGTGTGCGAGGTTGTCAAACACTTCAAGCGCGACGACATAGCACGGCTGCTCCCCGTCGCTGACTCCTTCCCACTTGAAAAAGTCGCGGTTCAACACTTGCACCTTGCTCCCAAACCCTTCCTTCTCGGCGCGCTCCTTTTGACCCTTGGCCAAAGCAGCACTGATTTCAATGATGCGGTAACTAGTTTTGGGGTAGATTTCGGGATGGTTTTCCTTGATGTACCTCATGGCGTCGACCATGAACGAGCCATTACCGGCACCGACTTCGTAGATGACAAGGGGCTCGGACGGAAAGTGGTAGAGTTTATAGGATTGGATGATTGCAGATATCAGTGAGACCGCATACCACGGCTACATCCCAGTCAGTCTCGTCGTGTAACATACAGAGACAGCGGAACTTACCTTGAAGAGCTCAGTGGGTGTATGCCAGACTTGTCGACTCAGACCACCCTTTGCCCCTTCCGTCTGTTCCAACCCGTACTCTCGCTCGTACACCTCAGCTACCGTTTCCTGGAAATGAGCCGTATCTCTGAAAGTCGGGATATCAAATCCCTCTTTGGGAGGAGTGAAGATGGTGGCGTTTTTGGAAAAGTATCCGTAGTTTGGCTATGACGAGTCAGAAGACGTCGAGCAAAGTAGATGGAGACTTACGTTGTACAAACTATCGTCTATAAAGTCCCTCACCAGCATCTTTACTCTTGTCGGTGGCTCTTTTCTTGCCACCAAGTCGGCAGCAGTCACTCTCCTCCATCGTACATGCTTGTAACCTATCAGCCCACAAGTCAAACGATCAGGTATTCCAAGCTCACATCAGGATCAGGCTCTCCATCAAAGTCGATAGACGTATTATAGTTGTATTTGTCCTTTAGTGACTTTTTCTCTGGAGCATCAGGGGTCGATGCTGATGATTTGTGTCGGCGGTCAACTCTGGAAGGAACCGAGACAGATGGGGCGAGGAATGTCGGGAGTGGCAGCAAGGATCTAGCTGATGATTGGAGAGATTTACGGCCGAGAAGAGAACCCCTTATGGACATCGATGGTCCTGCCATGCCTTGTCGGTGTGTTGCGGATCGTTTTAGCAAGTTTATAATTGACTTGTTCTTTTCGACAACAACGTCGAAAAGCCCGGGGGTCGTCGTCCAAATTTGCTTCCGTCAAACACGCGTCAACCAGAAATCATGTCGACGCGTCAAATTCATCTCAATTCTGCATACTCTTCTTGTCTTTCATACCCCCCTTCCGCCACACAAGAAACTCGCATGGGGTCAAGGTCCAACCTGAACATCGCCGACATGCTCAAGGCCCAGAGCCAGAAGCCGAAAGCCCAGAGAGCCTCAGACATATCGGTGATCAGCGTGAGTGACGGACAGTGTTTGCGATGCAGAGGACGCGTATAACTGATGTCGCCCTCAGAGACAATCCAAATCTCCCTCATTAGCCAAAGCTTCATCATCTCGGCTGTCGTCTTCGTCGAAAGGACCGACGTCCTCGGGTCGTGTTCCGAACCGTTAGTCTTGCCACTCTTGAACCCTCGCTGGGCGCAAATTTCCTCGATTGCTGATGGGTATGTCCATAGGCTCGGATTCGCCAATAGAAATCGATATAGATGAGCCACCAGCGGCGCAGTCGAGTGTTCCCAGCGTACCCGAGTCGTCTAGACGGCCGTTACCCTATCGTCCACCAGCACACCTCGTGACACCAACAAGCAGAATTGGATCGCCAATATCTTCCAGTTCAAAGGGTAAAGGCAGGGAAATAGCAGCAGATGGGTCGAATATCAATGATAAAGATAACGGCGTGAGTCCAAGAATGAGCGGTAACAAGATCTGGCGAGCTAATGCAATAGATAGAAAACAACTCAGCAGTTGACAAAGCTCGCCATTCACTATTACGATGAGAGGAGCAAGCTCCAAGAAGAACGGCTGGCTCTGGTCACTTTGGGTAATGAAGATGACCGACTAGAGATCGTAGAGGAGAAACTGTGAGTGGCGACTACGCGCCAGTTCAGAGGCTGACCTGCCTTCAGCGAATCGGGAAGCAAGCGCATATTGGAGATCAAGGCGTCGTTGGCAATACGGAATGACTCTTCTTTATCATCTGATGGCAAAGATCGTAGCGCAAGTACTCCCGGTGGGAACGCAAAGTTTAGCACGGTACGTATCTTCATGTTGAATGTCTCGGGAGATTATTGAAACCAAGATAGAAATCCACCGATCAAATCTCGCGACTACTATTGAAATGGCTGGGAGAGAGAGACAAGAAGGAGGAAAAGATGTTCGCCATGAAGACTGGTCAAAGTGAAGATGCAGACGAGGAGGACGTGGATATCCTCGAAGATGAGATGTGAGTTCGGTTTCTTCATTGCGATGCAGATACTGACGGTGGCTCCAGAGCGACAACCGTCGAGCGCATTGCAGAGCTAAAGGCGGAACTGAGTGCTCGCTCGTCCAGTCTCGTCGCGACCACGCCTATCCTGTCCCGGCCAGGCTCTGTCATCAGCAGCTCTGATCGCCCCTCGATACCACCCAAACCTCCACATCTTCCACTCAAAGAAGCTCCAACGCCCACTGCCAATGGTGCGACAAAGTCCATAACGAATTTGGATCAATGGAACGCCGATCCGGTCAGCAAAAACCCGCACAGCGATGATTCGATAGAGCATGCTTTGACTTCGGGCCCTTTTACGGTGAGCCGACAGTCGAGCTCGAATGCGATGGTCGGTCCTTCCCGACTGGGTCAATCAAGAGAGGTAACTCCGCCCAATCCGCAGCCCGAGGACGTCGACATGGAAGAAGAAGAGGAGAATTGGGACGAATATTACGACGAGGTGATCGTACCCCAATCATCACCCGAACGCCCTCTTGCCGCTACAAGACATGCTGGGGTTCCGGCGCATACGTCAGAGCTTCCTTCAGACTTTCAAGATATCCCCTTTAATGAAATCTTCTCCTCACAAGGCTCTCCATACAGAGTTAGTGAAGCTCTTCCAATTCCTATCGACTCTTCGCCTCCCCGGGCTATCCAGCCTCCCCCGCGGTCATCGAGTTCCAAGACTCGAGATCACTCCACGACAGCGAACGGGAAGGAGAGGGTTGTCCAACTGGAGGAGCAGTATCCGTGGTCCCACGACGTACGGCAAAAATTGAGACAATACTTTCGTTTGCCGGGTTTCAGGACACATCAGCTGGAAGCCATCAATGAGACCATGGCGGGGAGAGATGTTTTTGTACTCATGCCTACCGGCGGTGGAAAAAGTCTGACTTGTACGTCCTTGCTTACTGCCTGATTGTAGCCTGACTGACTTTCATCCCAGATCAACTTCCTGCTATCTGCGATGGCGGCAAAACCGAAGGTGTCACTTTTGTCATCTCTCCCCTGATCTCTTTGATTACCGACCAAGTCGGCAGTCTGATTGAAAAGGAGATCCCTGCCATCGCCTACACGAGTGACCTCAGTCAGGCAGACAAAAATTGGGCCCATCAGGAACTTTCGCGCAGAAAACCGTCAGTCAGAGTGGTCTACGTTACGCCTGAAATGATGTCCATGGGCGGGCGTATCAAGTCCATCCTGAAAGGACTCGAGCAGAGAAACAAATTGGCGAGATTCGTGGTCGATGAGGCCCACTGTGTCAGTCAATGGGGTCATGATTTCCGGGCAGACTATCTGAAGCTCGGTCTCATCCGAAAAGAGTATCCCAATATCCCAATCATGGCCTTGACGGCGACTGCGCAAGAGAAGGTGGTAGAAGACATCATCCTCACGCTCGGCATCCAAAAATGCGTTCGACTGCAGCAGTCCTTCAACCGGCCTAATCTCCAGTACGAAGTCCGCCCTAAAAAGAGTGCTACTATCCTCAAGGATATCGTCAATTTCATCGGCACCCACAAAGCGGGCGTGAGCGGTATCATTTACTGCAACTCGAGAGACACTTGTGAGAATGTGGCCAAGCAGTTGAGGGAAGAGTACAAAGTGAGAGCCCATCATTATCACGCCGGAATGAGCAAGTCCGATAGGAGGATGAGGCAGGAGGGGTGGCAAGCTCACGAGTTCGAGGTCATTGTCGCAACTGTGGGTCATGAACAAGTATCCGTCCTGGTTGCAGCTTACGTGAGTGTAGATCGCTTTTGGCATGGGTATCGACAAGCCTGATGTGCGATGTGGGTCATCGTGTACAGATGCAGATCAAAGCTGACTTGGTCTCTACCAGATGTCATACATCACTCTCTGCCAAGGTCACTTGAAGGTTATTATCAGGAGACTGGTCGAGCTGGGCGAGATGGGAATCCTTCAACTTGCGTTCTTTGTGAGTGTAGCTCGTAGTGACATCGTGCTTGCCTGACACCTCTTTCAGATTTCATGTTTGCAGACGGTAAAAAAATCATCAACCAAATCGATTCCAACAAAGAGCTATCTTTTGAACAACGGCAGCGCCAGAAAGATAGCGAATACGAAGTCCTCCGTTACTGCGACAACATGGTCGACTGTCGACGTGCACAAGTGCTTGCCTTCTTCAACGAGGTGTTTGATCCGGCCCAATGTCACAAGGGCTGTGATAACTGCGCGAATCGGGACAAGTATGAGATCAAGGAAGAAGATGTGACGGAGGATGCCGTCAATATCCTCAAAATGATCGACAGCTTGAAACCCGACTCCAGAATTACCATTGTCAACGCTGCCGAGGCTTTCCGAGGCCGCAGGAGTAATCCCGACAAGGGCCTCGCTGATAATGCGTATTTTGGGAAAGGCGCGGACTGGGACAAGCACGAGTCGGAGAGACTTGTGCAGCGGTTGATGATAGAGAACGCATTGGAAGAGTTCAATGTGCTCGGTCCGGCTGGCTTCAATCTTGGTTACTTGAGGGTAAGCTTGTCGGTAATGCCTTCATGTCGTCAATGCTAATCTGTAATATAGATTGGCCCAAAGGCGAACGATTACCTCAAGCGCGGTAAACGATTTCTCATGGCATTCGGCAAGATGCCAATCACTGCAGCCCATCAGATCGCTAAAGACAAGCAAAAACAACAAAACAAGAAACAGCTTGCCCTTCAGCGTTCAAATAACAATCCCATCGAGCGCAAACGATCTGCGCAACGCATTCAGGCACAAACGGACGATTTCGACAACTCTGACTGGGGCGATTCACATGACAAGCAGAAGGAGGGAGATGAAGGCGAGCCCCAGGACGATCCTATCGAGGGCAGCGGAGAGGACACGGAGGTCGATGATGATGCGCCGTTGAAACCGGCCAAGAAGAGAAAGTCTATGGACCCTCCTGCCGCGGTCAAGAAAAGAGTCACGGCCAAAAGTACAGCAAAGAAGAATGGCGCGGGTGAGGAGTCGCTACAGTCGCAATGTTTCATGGCGTTGGAGAAGCTGCGTGATACTGTGAGTCGAGACCCGATCCCAAGCGGATAAGAAACTCACACGCATGCAGGCACTGGCCCATGATACCGATGCTAGTCTTTTGACCGATGAGATGCTGCAGATGATCGCCACCATGATGCCCTCAAGTGAGTAAGGCAGGTCTCATCGTGCAGCAATTGACAGCTTGTAGACGGTAAAGCAGTCATGGAGATCGAGGGTATGACCCCGCAGCTCGCAAAGGTAAGCCCTATCACCGAGCCTCGACCATTCGACTGACGATGGGGCTTCACAGAAATACACGACCAAGATTTTGGGCATCTGCATCAAATACAAGCCCGACGATCAGAAACCAGATGTTCTATCGTCTGCACCCATCAAGTCGAAATCATCAAAATCCAGGTGAGCGCCATATACTCTCTTTCTCTGGTATATTGCTGACAGGCCATGATAGTATCATCAGTGACCTTCAAGGATACATTTACAAACCTGTTGCCACCCCCGCATCTAGCAAGCCGCTGGGCAAACTGTCTCTATCAAACGCGCCAACGAGACGCACCAATACAAGCTTGCCGATGACAACGGGTGGCAGCTCAAGTTCATCAATCAAGAAACCCACTCTACCACGCCTTACTTCGCTGGCCTCCAGAGGTGCGACTGTGCGAAAGGATAAATTCTGAGGGAGAGGGTTGAGAGGAATGCAAAGCAGCAAAAGACGGAATATTATAATCACACTACATACACATAGGCATATCACATCTGCATTACAATGCAACACTTTTCAGCATGGACGTGATGACAGGCCAACAGAATCCGGCATCCATCTAGTCTGTTCGCCAGGGGATGGATCGCGTCGAATCAGCCTTGCGACCATTGCAGCATGTTGGGTACGGGGTTATCTGTAGGCTGTGGGGCACGCATGCGTCATGGAGCATGTAGGCATGGCGATTGTCATGTAAACTATGTCATCGCCCTGATATAATCGAGCAAAGCCCAAAATCGCGTTCCGAACAACATACCGCGCCTACCGTCTTGGCCGTCGCCGTCTTACCGATAAACGGGCTCGGCTAAATCTGGTATCTGGTAACGTCTCACCTAATTATTGTGTAAAAGGGCCGACCCAGAACGTACTTTACTTCGGCTCCCCAACCCCGTTGCAGCCAGATCTTGGGATATGCCTGCATTTGGGGATCGGGCCTTCAAGTTTTGCGTGCTTTCCTGTCCTCCGAAGCTTGCGGGCCAGATATGTGGTAGCTACATACATACCGGCGGAAAATGCGACGAGAAGGAGCGCGTCGCGTCGCGTCCTGAAGTGATCGGCAAATGAACGCAGCCGTTTCCATTTTCTCAGGCTTCGGGTCAGTTAGTCACCCCGAAATTTGTGGGACTATCGTACTTCGGGCGTATGTACCTGGATCCCAATATATGTTAATTGCACCACAATTACATCAGACGTAAGAAAGAGAAGGAGGAGGGAGGACTAGAAGCACTGCTGTTAACAGCCGCCTGTACAAGTACGAGTATGTAGCAGAGTCCAGGCGAAAAAGGTGCGGTAGCGGTCCTGAATGGCGCAAAAGACTCCGGTCCAATGCGCTCATTCCCCGGACTAGGAACTATACATAGCAGCGATCATCGTTCATCCTGGATGAGCCTCTATTCACGAGCTAGAACCGAAGTCCACCTTCGTAATCAGGATATGCAGGGCTGCCCGCAACAATTCAGGTCTCTGACCAGAAAAAGATGCCAGAGAGCAAAATCATTGCTCCTTGTACTCTTCCATCTGCTTTCGACGGCAAGAACCTCCTACAAGGCTGATTCTCTAACCCTCCTCTCGGCAGCCCCTCAGGTGCCTTCCCAGTAGTAACTCCGTGAGTCGTCCACCCAGTGTGTGATTTGGGTGCTGAGTGTTGGCCTTCTGCATGCCAGACGAGCCCTTTTCGCTTGTCATATCGTTTCGCCTCTCCATCGCCCTTCACCTGCTAAGCCTGTATCATCGCTTGGCAAAGATCTGTAGAGGTCCTACAGTCCAGGTTCACGTGAGAGATCAGGCGCGAAGCACGGGTACGAAGCTTGCTAGCGCATCACGCTTGATTATCACGGCATTGATAATTGATAACGTCCTCCGGGAGAGCACTGCCGTTTTTTGGCCGTCATTTGAAAAGTGAGAGCATTTGCCGTGTAGGGACTGGGCTCGTGTGGCTTGAGACCTGAGAGCTGGTATCTCTTTGACTGATTGGTAGGTTGCATCTACAACGTCAACTGCAACTATATCTGACAGAATCAACCTCAGCCAAAGCGAATTCACCGCTGGACGGTCATGACTTTATCGATGGAGACGGTTGTTGAAGAGCGCGAGCCCACTGATAACCGCCCGGTTCTGGGCCTACCGATATCTCCATTTGGTGCGAGTAAAGTGCGCGGGTATGAGAAAGAGATTGGAAGCGTATATGATGGTGGTGAGTATCTTACATCCATGGCTACCATTCGCGGGCTGACTTTTCTCAGGCGAGGGCAATGCGACGCCGCGAGCCTTGACACCTTCGTCCCCGCAGACACCGCGTCTCATATCACCTCGACAACTATTCCCTCCCCATGAATCTCCCGATGGCCCTTCCTCGGATCGAAACCCATCATTCTCTTCCGCAGACCTACCAGACTTTCCAGAGCCTCCCACCGCGTCTCCAAAGTTCTATGCCCGTCGGGCATCATGGTCATCCTCCCTTCCCCCATCGTCTCCCACCCCAGAGCATCGAAGTCGAGTCTCCCTAGATGCTCCACGGCCACTGCTGATGCCTCCTGCGGTGCTGCGGAGTCCATCTATTCAGAGCCGTCTTTTCACAGACGATGAGCAGACGACCGAGGAAGGCAGCCTTGGGGCGAGTCCGACAGGGTCGCTGGCTACTCGTCGGACCACCCGTTCTGTTTCCGCTCCCATGACACGCTATGGCGACTACATTGCGCCCTCAGCTCCCTCTGCTACCCTCAACTTTACCTACATCACCGATCCACCAAGCAAACGCCACTCGGTTCAATTTGTCAATGAAGACCTTCGCTCCGCTCCTGGCGTAATCGGTCTGGGAGATGGCTGGTCAGGTGGCCCCCAGCCAGTGGGTCTTAGTAAGCGACAGTCTAGCACTAGCGAATCCCTGGCATTATGGGGCACGGAGGCCGAGGAGGAGGACGTCCAGTATTCGGATAGCCAAAGAAGATCCACCGCTTCCCCTCTGACGCAAATCTGGAATCGCTCCCTTCGAAGCTTGATGATAGCCGAGTCGACTCCGGATCTGCACGCTGCACGATCACAGACACCGGATGGGGGATCTCGTCGGGCTGGTACCGGTATCCTGAAGAGGAGCTCTTCTTCGAGCAGAGCACTTTCTCCTCGAGAATCTCCGTTCACCTTGCGTCAACCTTCCCTTACCTCTCAGTCTGAGATGGATCTATCTGTGAGACCACAGTCCATCAATTCCAGCTCTACCATCCACTCGTTATCTTTACAGTCGCGAACCAAGAACCTCCCGCCCCCTGCTTCCATATCGTCCCCTGCTCGACCTACAAGTGCCCAGGCATACCAGCTCTCTCAACAGTCCCGATCATCTTTCGCAAGGTCGGAAGGCGACCTCCATCTTCCTCTGCGAGCTAGAAACGGGGGCCTGCCACCGCCTTGGAGGCCACCATCTGGTCATGCGGGAGCTAGAAGGCTGTCGACTTTGATCTTTGAGGGCAAAGAGGACCGTTCAGCGACGGTGGAGAGAAGGATTTCGCCGTCACTGCGATCCTCTTCCTATTCCTCTGTGCACATGCCGCCATCACGAGCGCTTTCACCGACCTTGCCCACTGCGCCCGAGGAAGACTTCAATGGGGAGGATAAGAGATATGGAGAGTATGAGAGACCGCAGCCAGAGATGCGGAGGGTGGAGTCTCCGTTGGACTTCCACCACGACAACGACGAGCACGAGGAGAGGGGCGAAGAAGCAAAGCCGGGGAAGCGTTCATCGTTCATTTCGAAAGTGAAAGCCGTCTTCTCCCCCCGCCGGCCGTCTGCGACCAAAGAGTCTACGACGACCACTTCAACTGCAAAGAAGACTACGAAACGTCCCTTCAGCTCGACATTTTCGAGATCCAAACTCAAACTCTCATCGCCATCCGTTCCCGCTCTCAGCCAGGCTGCCCAAGATCCTCTTCATGAGCGCGCCCGTTCGCCATGGCAGGCTTTGCAGCCGTCCCGTATCTCAAAGAGATTCTCGGCCATGAGCGGTGCTTCTGAGGTGACTGTGAGGCAGCCTTCGAGAAGTGAAACGCCAAAGGCGCAGGAGGAACGAGAGCATCGCCCTCGGCCATTGTCTGTTGGTGGATGGCATTCTATCGCCAATTACAACCCTAAGTCTCAGACTCGACCTCGTCAAGGTACCACAGCTGCGGCCCATTCTTCCTCATTGTCTCCCTTGCCCTCCCAGAGATCGAACCTCGCCTCTGTTCGTCTTGGTCATACTCACATGGGTCTCGAAGACAGGGTGGTGGACACTCAGAAGCGGGGCACGTACGGCCGACACCTTCACTCTACTTCATCATCATCCTCTGCAATGTCGATGGATGATCTGCTCCTTGGTCAACGCAGCGCTGCCAGATCTGCGTCAATGCCTCTGGGGCTTGGAATCCAAAACAGTCGGTACCCCTATGCTTCGCAACTCAGTGATGGATCGGGAAAGGCTGGGATCGACGCTAGAAGGCAGCTTTCGAGTAGCGGTATGACTCCCGAGCAAGAGAGGGCAAGCGTGTCGACAGAGAGTAGCCACAGCCCTGTTTCGTCGCATGCTCCCGCCACACCAGCCTTTCACGACTCGCTTGAACTAGCTCCACTGGATGAAAGCTATGTGATTTTTGAGAAGGCAGAAGAGGCCGAGGGAGAGAGCGAAGAGGAAAGGAGGAATGGGAATCGCTTCTCCGCTGCCTCTTACGCCAGCTACGCGTCTTTGGACAATGAGGGTGAAGGTAGATCATTTGGCGTCTACCGAGATGCACAAGCTAATATAATTCACAGTCCAGAAAGGCCGGGCAGTCAAGGTCAACAACGTGCTGGCTATGCAGAAACAAGCTAGCGTCGTCTCTTTTGGCGAACTCATGGACCGCCACTTTGAAAGTTACGGCGGGGTCAAAGTATAATGAAGCAGCAGCAGACACAAATTTACATACATTCTTACATACAGCTATATTGGTTTCTTTTGGGTATAGGAATCATGCTATGCATGATAGACACGGTCTTATCTCCTTCAAACAACACTTTTTCTCGAGTGGCCATCAAACACCTAGAGTAAAGATTTGAGATAGGACAATGGCAGCCACTATATATAGAGTCAGAGCGTACTTCCACCACCTGCAATAAGAGCGGCAAGAGCACCCAGCAAAGATCCAGTGGAGGCCGCAGCAGCAGCAGTTTGCGCCGCCCCCGTAGCACTACTCGACGCACTCTTGCTCCCAGACGTGCCAGCCGCATTGTTGGTCGTCCCGTTTCCGCTGGTCCCAGCAGAGACAGCGGCGTTGGTGGCACTGCTCGATCCGGGGGTATCTGTCCTGGCGGAGAGCTGAACTGTCCCATCGTCGGCGTTGGTGGTCATGTAGACGTTCTTCAAGAAGGTGTCTCCGAGGAGCCAAGTGTCGTCGTCTTTGATGGTACCGGCGGAGAGGGAAGAGAGGCAGTCACCGGTGAGGTCGTCCGTGAGGGGCTGGAAGATCATGTCTCGGGCGTCAATGCTAGGTTGCGAGTCAGCGAGAGCTCAAAAGAGACAAGCAG